TTGCTTTTTTACTCTTCCTTATATTTTTTTTTTATTTATTATTACGACGTTTCGAAGAACACGTCCTTCTTCGTCAGGTGTTAGAAAACAAATTAATTTTCAATTAAGAACACACGTATATATATAAGTACAAAATTGATCTTTCTTTTTTATTTGTCCTTTTTTTAATTTTCAATAGTGGAACGGACGACAACAAGACGGTAACACTGGACCGGAAAAGAAATACATTATCTATTTTCTTCTTCGTCGTCCGTTCCACTATTGAAAATTAAAAAAAAAGGACAAATAAAAAAGAAAGTTCAATTTTGTACTAATATATATATACGTGTGTTCTTAATTGAAAATTTATTTTGTTTTCTAACACCTGACGAAGAAGGACGTGTTCTTCGAAACGTCGTAATAATAAATAATAAATATAGGGAAGAGTAAAAAAGCAAACTTTAAATAAAAAAAAAAGAACATATTTTGCAATCAGAAAGTGATGATAGTCATAAAAAATTATTGGCAAAAACAACAGTGTTAAATAAAAACTCATATCGTTTGTGAAAGATCAAACATCGAGCTATCTTACCGTGCATTTATCTCAAATTCGATTTTTCCGACGAAAATTGAGTTTTTTTTGAATAGGAGAGCCTTTAGGCAAGCTGACATTATGAGACTGAATCGATGAGTCATTATTCTATGTAGAATAAAAATTTCAAAAATTGACATATTTTGATAATGTTAATATTTGTTTAGATATTTTCGTCATGAGAATAAATATGGATTGGCTTGTTTAGCTCGAGCAGATACTACAAACGTTGATGATGGATCAGCTTTGTCAATAATTGATCAATCACAACGTGGTATGCGTATTAAATCTGTTGGTATTTTAACGTCATCTATTATACATATTCAGTCATATGTTTATCTTTTACAAAGTGAAGCTAGGTTGTAAATCTGTATATTCTCTCAATAAAAAGAAATTATCATCCAATTAATATTTAGACTTTATCTTCACCAATCACCAGTTAATTATGATCGTTTAAAACGACTTCTTGTACGACAAGACCAACCAACATCAGTTCCTGCTTCTATTTACGTAAGAATTTGCTTGAATTAGAGCACTTTATTCTATTCTTGTGATAAAATACTTATCAAATGTGTTTAGTATATCGTACAAGAAGATAATCGACATAACATAAGTTGCCAAAGAAAAGGTCATCTTGTTGATAGATACGACATTACTTTGAGTTAAAAGGACAAACTTGTTTATAAAAAAAACACACGAATCGATTAAAATTGATTCTGCAGATATTTATCGCTTAGGAGAATGTCCTTCGAAAAGAAAAGAAGAATAAATTTTAATGCTTTGTCATGATAAACTTATCAAATATTGACAAGTTTGTCTCTTCGTAATAATTGATCGAACCTAATCGTAAGAAGAAAAGAAATAGAAATATCTTCTGTACATTTTCTACTTCTCAATAAAAAAGAATTCATACGAAATCATGACTTTATCAGTACTAAAAGCAGTTTTTATTTATAGGACTCTTTATTCACTGAATTTATTCAAAAATTTGGTGCAGCCATCTTTCCACTTTCAAGGTTAATTCTTCTTGGTAAACGTATTTTACTTTATTCACGTTCACCTATTGGACCTCTTTGTAATGCAGGTAAATACTTTTCTTTTTCTTTTATTAACAAACTAGAACTGTTATATACATATAGTTTATTTTACTCATATCATAAATCAATCTGTAAATCCACTTTTTTTTGTTACTATTACGGATTTACCAATGCTTCATAGTGAACAATCTTATATTGGTTGTACAACAGAAAAAATCTTTACAGAAAAAATACATATTTATGATGTACTTATTGATTGTGATAACCAAATTGTTTTCCATACAAGTGATTCGATTTTACAGTCAATTGTTAAAATAACACGCAATGATCATAATCGCTTAAAAAAGACCGTGACGTAAGTTAAAACTATCTTAAAAAAATTAATATAGAAAATACTTTATATGATGACATAATCTTAATGTATTATTATTGTTCAATGAGAATTTTCTTTTTCTTCTTTTAGTTTAAATTCATTTATTAACATCGGTAATCGTTTATCTCGATTATTGAATCAATTATCTCAATCAAATAATAATCAACAAATGACTAAAGAAAATTTTGATTCCATTGACCTTCATCAACGTTATGATCGATTATTTCTTAATGAATACATTCGAATACATCATATTCCAAATGTTATTATAAGTAATCCAAGTTCAACATTTTTTCGTGTTTCGCCTTGTTGTTGTTGAAATTTCAATTGATTTTTAATTTTAGTTTGACAGAAAAAAAAAGAATTATATTTGATCTCAATTTAATTTTTCTTTTCTTTTAATGATAATAATCGATTGATGAAAGGTGATTGATTTATGTAAGAATTAGATTTTTCTTTCATCAAATGATGAAAATTTTTCTATGAAAATATTATTCATATCTAATTTGTATACATATTAGATTCGATAATCATATTTATTCTGTTTCTTATTAACATCCAATGTTGCGTCGACAAAATCATTTCTTCTTTTGTGTCATTACCGTCCTTTTCTTATCATTAGTTGACAATATCTTTCACGCTTCTTTACATTCTGTCTATGCTCACAAAGAAATAAGTCAATCTCTTAGAAGCTTACGCATGTCATGAATACATAAAGGGGCGTGAGACGACAGACGTCCATATGTAACTAAAGAATAGTAAACGATAACTATTCTTTTCTTCTTTTTGTAGACAATCGCTAGCAAATATGTACAAAACGTAGCTTTAGTTTTTTTTTCTCTTCTTCTATTGAGTTTCATTATTTTGTTGAGTATTGTAGACTAAGCAAAGAATCTCTTGCATACTGTCATTGCATAAGCATTTTTCTCTCGATAGAATAGAAAAGAAGAAGGAGAACATATCATTTAATAGCAATACCTTGAAGACTTTTTTTGCCTATGGTTCGCTATGATACTGTTGGTTTCCATCTGATAATTGAGATAGACTGTTTACACGTCTTCAAGAGCATTCCTGTTTTTATCCTTCATTGGTCTATATATATATGTGTATGTTGACATTCATTGTTCTGCATCTAACAAAAGGAAAAAGTCCTTCTATTATAATAATAAATACAAAAAGCTTTATTCTATAAAACATTTTTCTCTTGACATTTTGATAAAAAAAAGAGAGAAGTACTTTATTTACTAGACAAGATATCGTGACTGTAAAAAAAAATGTTCCACACTTATACTCACGTGGTCTGACCTGGCGTTTTTTTTAATATATATTGTAGATGGTAAAGTAAAAAAAAGCATAAGTAACAAAAAAATTTTGTTCGAAAATATCGAACATAATGTTATTATCACAAGTAACAGAAATTGATCCTGACAATATTGATCCATCTTCATCAACATTACAATGTCGAATACAATATCTTGATGATATTGATCCCTTTTCAAGTGTCAATCTACCAGAACCAGCTCGACCTCCGTCCTTTACATTTTTGACATCAACTATTTTAAGTAATCAATTACATAGTGTACATAAAGTTCTTAATGCACCACATCAAGTAAATAGATAAATTTATATATATTAAAAGAATTTCTTCTTTATTTTCGTCTATAGATTTCTGATTGTACACTTGAATTATGTCGACAAGATGGAACTAAAACAGAATTTGGACCATATCTTGAATTAGATCAAACATTAGATGAACAACGTGAAGAAATTGAAACTTTTACACAAGGGTTAGTTTGCTGTATTTTTAATTGTAAAAAAAATTATTTTATGATGTTTTTTTTGTTTTCAAAGATATAAATGGTCAATTGTTCTTCGTACACAACTGAATGTTCGAGTTCAAGCTTGTATAGGTAAAATAAAAAGAAAATTATTTTGTTTTTGTTATGAAAATTTTTATTTCTAGATAAATTATTGAATTCAGATGGACGTGAATTACGAAGATCATTATTTTCATTGAAACAAATTTTTCAAGTATAAAAATAAAATATTAAAAAAAAAAAAGAAGAAATTGATCGATTGTTTTTAATTGTTTTCTTTTTTTCTTTTTCAAGGATGATAAAGATCTTGTACATGAATTTGTTAATAATCAAGGTTTACAATGTTTAATTAAAATTGGTGGTGCAGCTGATCAAAATTATCAAAATTATATTTTACGAGGTAGAAAAAAACGATATTTTTATTGAATTATGAAGAAAATAACAAACATAAGAATTTTTTTTTAAATAAATAGCACTTGGTCAATTAATGTTATATGTTGATGGAATGAATGCTGTTATAAATCAAAATGAAATTGTTCAATGGCTGTATTCATTAGTAGAATCAAGTGTATGAAAATAAAATATTCTTTATTATTGAAGAAGGGAAAGGATTGTGAAGTGATAAAATTGGCTTTCACAGAATTGACTTTATCATTTTCCAAATAGTTGATTTGAATGTCAAAAATTAATTGCCGTTCGATGTAGATAGTTAGACTGCATTCCGGTTGCGTAAATTTGTCTTTAAATTCGATATTACTTATTCTTTATAGAAGTATGTTATGCAATTTTCTTTTATGGACTTTTCCTCTCATCTTCAGCTCTTTTAATTTAAGTTGTTAGTCAAATGAAAGCTCTTTCTTTCCTCTATCGTGTGACATATAGGAATATAACAAAATATTGTTCTTTTCCGATTACTATTAAGTGACCTTGTTCGCTGGTATGCACAATATGAGGACATCCATAACAAATTTTCTTTATTATTATGCTTTTTCAGCCACTATATACTTTAAATTATATACAATTCGATAGACTTGTCAAAGCTCTACAAAACGATACTATTGTGTGGAGTTTAATTTGTAGACAATATATATTTTAGTCAAACATATAATGTTCATAATTGCCAAAAGTTGCCCTTTCTGACTGATATTTCACGCACTTTGGTCAGAATAATTAGACTTCCTATCAAGGCAAATGATATCTTTAGAAGCAACATAAAAACTAACTTGATGAATATATGTCGAAAAATAAATTCAGTCAAAACGTTAGTTTAACTATGAAAAGCCACTTGTAAATATTAAAAAATCAAAAATGACAAATGAATAAATAATAAAAACAATGTTTTGACTGACTTTATTTTTCGGCGTTATCTTCAGCAGAAAGAACTAAAGTTGAATTTTTGAAAGAAAATAAAAGTTGCCGAACGATTTTATTACACATATAGATCAACTCAGTTTCTTATGCTGTGTCCAAATATTGTGTTAGTTTTGATAGAAAGTCTAATGATTCAGAACAAAATCGATTAAATATTAGCCAAAAAAAAGGAGGCAACTTTTGACTCACACGATCATTATGTATTTGAATAGAATGTCTGGCCCCTAAATTATATACGATAAAGGAAGAAAAGAGCTTTCATTTACTGTGTAATTTAAATTACATGGATTGAAAAAAAGAGGAAAATGTTTCATAAAGATATTGCATTTTATGAATCTACAAAAGATAAATAATATCAAGTTTTGAGTCAGTCGCGCACAATCAGAATGAAGTCTAACGATTTCAATCGTACGGTAATCGACATAGGACACCTGAATTGACTATTCGGTAATAAAAAAAAAAACTTAATTCTGAAAGGGACTCAATTTCATTACTTTTAACGATCACCTTCCTTTTGAAATTATTTTTCTTTGTTCTAGTTTAGACTTGTTGTAAAAACAAGTTTAAAACTTTTAATTGTATTTGCTGAATATACAGAATCAAATGCTTTATTAATCATATCAGCTGTAACACAAATTGATCAGTCAGCTAATCGTTTATTATGGTCAAATGCAATGAAAATATTAAATGAAATGGATAATTCATCATCAGAAGTTGTTTTATTAATAATTACATTATTTAATACACTTTTATCAGCTATACCTGATCAAGATACATTTTATGATATGACTGATGCATTAGAAGAACAAGGAATGCATCGATGTTCACAATTTTTTCTAAATAGAAAACCAATTGAAGCTGATCTTATTGAACAATTTCATATCTATGATGTATGTTCGAAGATTTTTTTTTTCAATATTAACGATAACATCGATAGAATCAAGTTATTTAGAATCTACATAAATTTGAAGAAAATTTTCGAAGTCATTTTATATTGAGCCAAATAATGATAGGAATACGAGAATTTTTTTTTTGTTCTATGTTATATACTGAAGGCTATTTGAAGCAGGTCGAACTGAACTTAAACATTTCTATGAAATAATCATATATAAATTCCAAATCTTAATGGTCAATTAGTTTTGAAAATATCTGAATTTGTTGATTACATTTTAATAGATACATATCATAATAATATAAGATTTGACAGCTGAATATTATTAAATACATTTACAATGTATAACATTCTTTCATAATCATATGAGAAAAAAAAAGAATCTATTTATAAACTTGACCTTCAATTAATTTTATTTAATAATCGCTGAAAATTTTTTAATTTTAGGCTACTCTTCGACGTGAAGATGGTGAAGATGATGCAACAATTGCTCAATCAATAAGGTATGTATTTATCTTGATCTAGTTAAGCAAGTAGATCTGATTATATAAATCACAGTAAAAAAAAGGAAAGCGTAATTTAAAAATTAGATCTCCATCATTATCGAACATCTATGAAAATCTTATCTGGAGGTAATTTTTCAAAGGTTTCTTTTTGTTCCTTTTGCATAACACCTCGAAAATCAAGGATGATTAAAGAACCGTTTTACACTTGTTGTTATCCAGCATGTTTATCTTTCCAAAACCTAATATTCGCATGGTTATTGCATTGTATAGGCGTACACCACGTACAAAATCTACACTTGATCGTATATCATCACGTCATTATTCATCTGTTGATTCAAATTGTTCATATGATAATCAACAAGAACCTAGAATAATTTCTAATAATAATCAAGATATTTGTCAAAATCATTCGGATTTAACCGATTCAACATTGCCACAATATGATGATATGATCATGTCATCGAATGAACAAGATGATTCAACCGTATCATTCAATGTTGATATAGATGATAATGATGATAATGATGAGTATGCTTATTTTATGTTACATTGCCGCTTCTCTTTTTTTTTTCTCTTCCTTTTCCTTGTACAATGTCAGCAGGTTTTTGTTTTGCTTGGATGCTTCTTCTTCTTCTTCTTCTTCTTCTCCTTTTCATCATTTATTGATTATTATCTTTCAGGCGAAAAACACGAGTTAAAAGTATGATTGATAATCGACAAAGTATTCGACGAAGTTCATCGCATACATATCAAACTCCGATTTCATCGTTTCAAAAAAAAGAACAAGAAATGTAAATAGATAAATAAATTTTTTTCTAGTTTTGTTATTTATTATTGAAATTCAAATTGTATAATAATAATATAATTTAGATCAAAACCATTACCGGATACTACAGCTCTTCGTCGAATGCAAAATCGATGGGAAACAGAAATTTTACATCGTGAAGTACCTCGAACAACACGAACTGAACGTACTCGTGATCGTTGGGGAACATCAAATGATGATCAAACTCCATTATCTGATACAAATCGATCAACGATGATGACTCAACAATGTAAATAATTATCGTTTGTAGGATACTCCACTTTAGCAACTGAAAATTTTTGTTTTTCTTATATTTGGTTTTTCATGGTCATGATATAATGAGTGACCAGAATTTTGTCTCAGTTTTTGTTCAAGAGTAATGAAATCATTTTTGACAAGGACGAAAAAAATTAGTTTGGCCTAAGTTTGTAGACCAACCTTTCCAATTAGAATGATTATTAATTTTTTGTTCAAGAGTAGTAAGGAACTTTTTGAAAGACCTGAAAAATTATTTGCAAAGATGAGCCAATAGGTTTTTGCTTACTCTGAAAAGTCCTTTTCGAACATAGTAAAATTTGTCAGAATCGATTGTTTTGTAGAACGAACACTTTTCTACAAAATGCGATATGGAACAAAGTTGTGGCTTTTATCCCAGCATTTTTTCAAGAGCTCTTTTCAACATAAGACAATCGTCAATTTTTCAAAAAAGGAGTATTTAAGAAAAACGAAAATTGATGTGCTCTGTCGAAGGACAAAAAAATAGTCCATTTTGCAATGTAACTTCTGATCTACAAGCTAATATATAAATAAATGTCCCAACTTTTAGTTTAGAATCTCAAGAATGAGAATACAAAATTGTTCAAACTATATTTTTGAGCTATTCACAAATTTACGTAACAGAAATAACGAATCACGTTTTTCTCAGACTAACTTTTTCGTTAAAAAATGTTCAGAAAGGCTTTTGTTTCTTCGATCTAGTATGTCTGATAGAGCTAAAATTTTGTTGCATATATACTATACATTGCTTATTTCAAAAAATATTGTTCTACAAATTTTTGGTAGCTCTTACAAAAACAGCTCTATTCAAATAAGAGTACGCTATTGAGAGTATCTTCGATATTTTGGCTTTTTTATTCGAAGAACAAAAAATAAAAAGATATCCACTCTAAATAATGTCTATTGCCTGTAAGAAAAAACTTCAGCTCGATTGAAATGAGCATAGTGGAGAAACGGAGGAACCATTTTTCGCCATTTTGATCTCAGTATTTCATAGAAGAAAGCATCCTGGAATTTTATCTGTACTTATCAACATCTATCTACCTGATAGTTTCAAATATTTTTGGTGAGCAGTTCTTCAGCAACTCCTTAAAGGGGGTGGATGTACCCATAAAGAGAAACATTTTTTAAAATATTTTATGAATTTTATTTTTTGTAGTAAAACCGTTAACAACATCCATTGATAGTCATACCGTTCCGTCCAGTTGTTTTAGACGTGCGTCAACTAATATTGAGTCTATCTCACCGCCGCCTTCTCATGCAAATGAAACACCAGTATTTACACGAGCTGTATTTACTCATCAAAGAAATTCAATTAGTAACGGTGCAATTGAAACATTAGCACGTCAAATTAATTTATCAACAATGAATGGAAATGATGCATCATTAACAAATGGTCAACCAACTGTGATTGTAAAAGATACTAAAGTAATACCATCCTCAGAACTTATTGGTGCAGTAACAAGAGCAAAAGATGGTCAGTGGTTATGTTATTCAGACTAAAAAAATAAGTCTTTAAATTATAGGTTTACAAGCAGCATCAATTAAAACACCTCAAATCTCAGCAACGTGTTTTGTGCTGCCTGGTCCATTGCCTGATACATTATTATCAAAACCTCTATCAGATAATGATCTACAATGGGAATATGTTGTTGGAAAAGTATCAGACCGTAAATTACGTGTACAAGATCTTAATTTCGAAGAACTGGATGAACAAGATGATATAGGCATTATGACTGTCGTTGCTAATCGAGGAGGACCACCTCCACCACCACCAATGATGAATGGAAATGGGCCTCCTCCTCCTCCTCCACCACCACCTCCACCTCCACCAATGATAGGATGCCCTCCTCCACCGCCGCCTCCACCTCCACCTCCACCATCGATAGGATACCCTCCTCCACCTCCATTTCTACCGCGAGGCATGGGGCCATCATCACTAGCCATGAGTAATGGTGGTATCGGTGGGGAATCATTATCATCAAAACCATCATCAATTAGTAAATCAGTAAAAACTGTACGTTTACATTGGCGTGAGACAGCTCCAAATACAATGCTAACAGCGCCCGGAGCGAATGATTCTCTTTGGACATCATTGAGTAAAATCAAATTAGATACCGACAAAATAGCACACTTATTCGAATTGAAACAAGCTGAAGTTAAAATAAAGGTAATCATACTAAAATAAAGATTGTTGTTGTCTTTTTTTTTAATTTAAAACTAGAAAACTTCAGAAGCATTTGAGAAACAAATAGAAAAAAATCTATTTAATATTCAGACATATATAAATATATCTTTCTTTCTTATCTTATATAGGAAACAGTAAGTATATAGACACGTAATCTGTGTTTAATTGACAGCTTTGATTCTTTGATTACGTTAATTTTCTTTCTTGATTAATGCTTTCGAAATTGATTAATAATTTTCGAAATGTCATTAATTTATGCGTATTCAACACTGTCAAATCAATAGATTTCATTGGATCACTCTTTTATCTCTTTATTGTGTGTGAATAACTAACATTGGGGTAGTTCTTACATCAAATTTTGTTGTCTATTCTGCGTGAGTGTGCTTTATATATTCACTTCTTGTTGTTTTTCTCCTCTTTTTGATAAAATTCTTTTGTTTTTTTAACAATAATATTGAATTACGAGAAATTAATATTTTTTTTATTCTATAGAAAAGTGGTGATGTAAAAAAAGAAATAACTGTACTCGATCCAAAACGTTCAAATGCAATTAATATTGGTCTAACAGTTTTACCTACAGCTCGAACAATCAAAGCAGCAATTTTAAAAATGGATAGTAGTGTTATTAATAAAGAAGGCATTGAGGTAATTGATTCATGTAAAGAAAATCAAGGTTTGCTTTTTTTGTTTGAAACTCAAATCAACTCGAATTGAATTTCTTAGCCAGAAAAAAGCTTAACTTTCTTATGAAATCCATTCATTTGTATATAGTTTTCACCGTACTAATTTTATTCATTCACTATTTGAATTCATTTTTATTGTGATCAATTAAATACTGTAGATAGAACGCTGTGATAACTATAAATACGAATGTTCCTACAATCTTGAAAGGTTTGCGTTTTTCTCTAGTGTTTAATAGTTTCTTTTGCTCATCAATTCCTAGAAAACGTTCGAATCTTCTCCCTCAATCTTGGAAATCTCGGAACACTTCTAGGTACAAAAATATGTTTATATTATTGATAAATTTTGGTTTCATAATGAAAAGAAAGTACAAGATAATAAAGGAGGATAGAATAATAATTAGTATCAAAGCTAAATAATTCTATCACAACAAAGAAATTTTTAAATAGAAGTTCTTTTTCACAGCGTGTAAAACCATTAGTCCTAAGGTAATACCAAAGTTCAACTCAAAAATAACTTTGAATGAGACTTTCGCGCTCTTCGGTAAGAGTATATCGTTTCAGCATAGATTTCACATTTAATGGATTTGTTATTTGTTTCGGACTATGATGGAGCGTTTTCGAAATAAACATAACTCTGTCTAGTAAGCTTTTCTAAGTTTTATCTATAAACAAAAATAATAGATAAAAAAAATAATAATTAATTTTAGAGAGGTAAAAATAATATTTCAAAGAGGTATGTCCTTTTTTTTGGACTAGAAATGTGCAGAGTAGGGTGAAGTTAGGGAACTGTTGATTCTAAAGCTATTTTATTGCCGGGTCAGAGTTCACAAAAACATAGGCCCACAACTCCGTACTTGCTTGGTTTTGTTTAAATAAATACAACTAAACTTATTTTATACAGCTGAAGATTTTTGTGTCATTGTTGATGTCACGACTTTCGTTTATCAATTAATTGTTCGATTTTCTTTTTTGTTAACATGATGCTCTTTTCAACTAAGCGATAACGTTTAATTTATTAAGCATCACGTGATGAGAAAGTGAGCAACAACAAATATTTGTACGTGTACATTTTCGCTCAGATTACTCGGACTTAAACCCGGCCTGATTCGAGTCCACAAAATCATGTGCTAGCAGTTCTCTAGGTAAGGGTTAGAAAATTTCTCTTAGTCAGGGCACAGAATACGAAAAAAAATCGTATCCTACACATATCTATTTCGCACCACTTTGTACAATCTGTATTCATATTAGTTTAAAATGATTAGATTAAATATGTTTTTCTATTTAGAAATTATTAACAATGCTTCCAACAGAAGAAGAAAAAAATCGTATAATAGAAGCTCAAATGGCTAATAGTGAGATACCATTAGGCAATGCTGAATATTTTCTATTAACAATTGGAGCCGTTATTGAATTAGAAGCTCGTTTAAAGTTATGGTTATTTAAACTTGATTTTGATAATATTGAATTGGTTAGACAAAAAATTGTAATTAAATGATTATGAAAGGTTTTTTTTTTCTGTAGGAAATTGCTGAACCATTAATGGATATAAAAAATGGAATGAAAAATTTAAAAGAGAATATAACATTTCGACGTATACTTGAAATTCTTCTTGCTGTTGGTAATTTTCTTAATGGAGCTGAAGTATGTAAAATATTATTCTTATTTTTAAACTTAATTAACTAAAATTTTTATGTTTTAGTCAATCGGTTTTCAACTTGATTATCTCGCTAAAGTTCCTGAAGTTAAAGATACTATACAAAAACATTCATTATTATTTCATGTGTGCAATATTGTCGTTGAAAAATATCCTGATACAAGTGATTTCTATTCAGAAATCGGTGAAATAACACGATGTTCGAAAGTAATATAATGTCATGTTTTTCTTTTTCTTATGATATAACAAAATTTATTTTAGATTGATTTTGATGAACTTGAACAAAAATTAAATAAACTTGAAAATGATTGTCGAGCAGCATTTGAACATTTACGAGCTATTAGTAAACATGAAACATTACAAATTAAAACAAAGTATGTATGTTAATTATTTTTATCCATGAGAATTAATACTTTACTGATAAATCATATTATATATTTTAAATTTCAATATAAATTTTACTTGAGAAAGAAATGATGTTTTCTAAGAACATGATGTATATCAAAGACCATTTTCAGAGTTGATGCTAAGATTAATGGAAAATTTTGTTATATCACGTATGTATTTTATTACGCTTTTTTTTGTTCTACAAACACGAAAAAAGACAAAATGATCAAATTTTGCTTCACAGTTTAAATCTAGCTTCTTGCTTTGTTGTTGTTTATTTCTTAATTAAACTTAGAATGTTGTTTTTTGAATTTTAGATTGGCAGAGTTTCTGACTGATTGTGCCGAACGTGTTTGTTTATTGAGAGTTATACATAATCGTGTGTTAAATCGTTTTCGAAGATTTCTTCTTTGGCTTGGTTATCCTCTTAGTATAATACAAGAAACAAAAATAACACAATTTTGTAAAATTCTTAGTGAATTTGCACTTGAATATCGAACAACACGTGAACGTATAACGACACAAAAACAAAAAAAACAAAATCGGGGTGAACGAAATAAAACAAGAGGCAAATTAATAACTGAGGTTTGTTACTTTTTTTTTCTTTCGTCATATGTTTACATTGTAAAATTTAATATGAATTCTTCTTGTAGATTATTTCAGAAAAAGGCAATCCACTTAAAGATGTTTTAATGAATGGTTTTCGAACAGATGATGAATCTAGTTCTTGCTATCAACCAGTAAAAGGAAAAACTTCTTCATCAACTATTCCACATGATTATGATATTCAACCATCATCTTCTACCTCAGATAAGGGCTCAAGACAACAATTCAATCAAAAAAATGCTCAACCAAATATGTTAAGTGATCTAGCAGCCGTAGTAAGAAGTACATCAAAAGATGGTCAAGTTATGCCTGGTTATCGATTACGACAAAAAGCATCTGGTATGTTTAAGTTTTGATGAAAAAAAACAACAAGAATAGTTTCACAGATATCGTCTTCAATTACATTCCAATAACAAAAAAGAAATCTGAGTCATTACATTTACTGTAGTAATTTGACTATGAATGACAATTATATGTTTGTATTGAAAAGGATTTTAAGAGAGTACATGAGCATAAAAATATGTGTATCTTGGCATAATAAAGTTTTCTAAAGCTAAGTTTTATATCTTACAATATATGTGAAGTTATCCTAAAAATCAACGTTGGCAATGTGATACAAAAAAAAACATCGACTTTTAGATCATGCATTTTAGCTAACAAAAACTCCGACTTGAAGAAAAACTAAATAGTATATTCTGTAGACAACTGCTAAAGCTACAGAGTTCTAACGAAAACTTTTTCTGAGCATCGGTAGATTTTTCAAAAAAATCGATTTATTTTTTCTACGCGATTTTACGTAGTACGAAAAAATGCTCTTACAACCGAATGCAAAGTTTAAAATCAATCACAAACGGTACAATTCCTTCTTCAGAATCTCTAGAAAGTGAATTTTTAATAGAACGTGTTTTAAAGTTCAATCTTGCTGAAAATTTCACCATAGGTGTGATTCTTGTCTAAGAGTCTATTCTGGACTTTCAAATTTTTTTTCGCATATTCCTCGAGAGATATTTACTGATTACTTTTTAATTAATTAGTCAGAAAATTAATCCTTATATTTTCTATCTAACAAGGAAAATTCTCCGAACTCATAAATCACTTTTTAGTTGAAACGACGCATATTACGTAGATCCAAATGAGCTATAAAGATCTTGATAAGAGTTCGTGTCCTTAGATTATTACTATGGAGATATTACATTTTTACAGTATTTTTTAATGAATGCCGTGGTCTCCTCAGGAGAACTAATTTTCGAATTTCGACTTGAAACTTTGTACAAAGAGAGATCTTAACGAGATTAGTTTATCGTAAAAGTCTATCCTGAAATAAGAACATCGAATCTGCCGATGTATATGAGAGATGCACAAGACACGCTTTTACCATAGCGGTATCTTAGAATATAAACAACTTGAAGATCCGAAATTGTCAAAAAGAAGCTATTCTCACTAGGACTTGTCTCTATGGAGAGTTTCAGATCAAAATTTGAAAATCAATTTTTCTCAGGGGGAACTACGACATTCATTTAAAAAACTACTCTAGAAGTGTTATGTCTCCGTAGTAATAAGCTAATGACACAAACTCTTTTTAAGATATTCATAATTCAATTAAGTTACCATATACACATAGTCTCGACCTAAAAACGATTTATCAGTTAGGATACTTCTTTCGTAAGCACTTTTATTTGTATAGCCAAAAAATAATCAAAACAATTATTTTTTTTAATTTCGATTATTTTAGCGAATAATCTACAAAAATCATCCGTATCAAATTCATCAACAGTGAATACAATGCAATCGACTAAATCCAATGACACTGAAGGGTTTGATACAAGTGATGAATTACTTGATACTCTTGTTAGAAATGCGGCATTAACAACAACAAAAGATGTAATAAAACAACGTCGAATAGCTCGATATGCCCAACGTCAATCATGTATGTTCTTACATAGATATTTCATTGGTTTTTTATTCATAATATTTGTTTTTAGTACGACGAACACTTCAAATAAATCTGAATGAAGAAGAACAAGTTCAAGTATTTGGTGCTGGGAAAAACTGATCTATTTTATTATATTATTCATATCATCTATGTACTAATCCTGCACCGGTGTTTTCTCAAGTTGTTTTTTTTTCTTTGTGTATACATCCATCCAATTATGTGTGTGTGTTTTGTTTTAATAATATTCTGTTTTCTTTTTGTTTGTGCCTGTCTTTCATATATTTAAGAAAATGAGAAGAATGATTTGTCCGACATCCTTTGATTGTACAAAAAAAAAACACGACTCCATCAGTTTCTGACAAAATAATCGTCACAATTATTCTGTTTTTATATGTTGTATTTTAAAAACATTAAAATTAAAGACAAGAAGCTTAAATGTGATTTTGTAGATATATTCGAAATACAGAATTTATTAATATTATTGAACGAATATTAATAAAAATGTCAAATCGTAGACGAATTTGCATCGACAATGATACTGCAACAAAAAAGAAAAAAACAAACGTTTGACGATCAGTTAATTCAAATTTTTTTCCTAATGGAAATGCATTTAAATAGACATTTGCTGACATGAATAGAATGTGTATGTGAACTTGGGTGTTCGATATTTTCTTGTATTTATTTTTATTTTTATTTTTATTATTGTTTATTTTTCATTGGATTCGTTTTGTTTCAATGAAACTAAATTGTTTTCTTTATATATGTTTTATTCTTCAGGTAGGTGTAACAATGAATATTATCAAAAGTACAACAGGATTATTTCTATGCAAGGTAGATTTTAATTTTCTTGATCAAGGCTTTGCTGCACGGAATGAGTTTTAATTATACTTGCTAGTTTATAAAACGCTATGCATCATCACAAGCTTTAGCCACTGAATTAAAGAGTATTGTGGGAAATGACAATGTCGCAACCAGTACAGCTATTCGAGAACAACATAGCCATGATGAATCATATCATGCGTATGTTATATTATTTGTACGATATTTGTTATTTGATCATTATGCTTATAGAGGTCATCAGCCTGACGTTGTTGCTTTTGCACAAAGTACAGAACATGTTTCAAAAATTGTTAAATATTGTGCATCTAAACGTATTCCTATTATACCATTTGGTACTGGTACTGGGTTAGAAGGTAAAAGAAAATTCAGCTATAGCTTATCTTGATTTTGTTTGTTTTCATATGTAGGTGGTGTTACTGCTCTTAAAGTTCGTAATCAATATATTCTATTAGGCTAGACAAGAAAATTCTATTGATTTATTAGGGTGGTGTATGTCTTGATTTGAGTCGTATGGATAAAGTGTTATCAGTAAATGCTGAAGATTTCGATTGCACAGTTCAAGCTGGTGTTACTCGAAATGCATTGAATTCTTATATTCGTGATACTGGTCTTCAATTTCCAATAGATCCTGGTGATAATGCATCTCTTGGTGGTATGTGTGCAACAAGTGCATCAGGAACAATGGCTGTTCGATATGTGAATAAAATAGAATAGTTGAGAGATTGATTATTTATTTTTCGATATATTAGGGTACAATGCGTGAAAATGTGATGAACTTAGAAGTAGTTTTAGCTGATGGTAGTATTATTAAAACAGCTGGACTTAAAGGAAGAAGTCGAAAAACATCAGCAGGTTATAATTTAACTAATTTATTTGTTGGTCAAGAAGGTACATTGGGTATTATTACTGAAGCAACACTTAAATTACATGCAACACCTGAAGCAGTATATATTCAATTCTCATATATAAGCTAAAAGATATATTTTGTTTTTCTTTTGTTTAATGATCATAGGTTCTTTCTGCTATTGCTCCATTCAAAGATTTGCAAGGTGCAGTGAATGCTACAGTAGCTATTATGCAAAGTGGTCTACCTGTTGCACGAATAGAATTTCTTGATGACAAGATGGTTGATGCTTGTAATCATTTTTCAAAACTGAATCTTGATGTAGCACCAACATTATTTCTTGAATTTCATGGTAGTAATAATAATATTAAAGCTCAAGGACAAATAGCAGGTATGACACAAAGAATGTTGCGTTTGATTGATCTAACGCATGCGCCAGAATAAATGTCTCTTAATCTAATTATTTTTCAACAAACAAAATTCACGATTCAATGTACTTCAAGAAGGTATCACCAGTTTCGCTATAAAATGTAAAGCAAAAACATATAGACAAATAATATTGCGAGATTCGAAAGTAGTCAACTGTTTTCAACTAACGAGAAAAAACACAATAATTTTGTAGCACTTGAAAAGCTCTATTTTGAGAATAAAACAACAAGATGTTTGTGTTGATGCCTGCCATGTGAATGCATTATATCTTGTTTCAGACTTTACAAAAATAACGGTTTTGAATCAGTGATTTTGGGACTCTCAGAATAATTTGCGTTAATCGATGAAAAAGGTGTGTTAATATAATTCAACTGTATTTCAAGAGAAATGAATGATGCATTAGACTGATGTGTCAGAATTTGAATAAGAGTCTTTATTTGGGTGCATTGCTTAAAACAAGCAACACTTTACGTGTTTTTTGGCTTAATTTTATGTTTGCGTAGAAAAAATACTAGATTGACATGAATTTCAGTATACATCATGAGAAAGAACGCATCTAGTCACACTTTTAAACATACTCTGTCAAGTTGTTATATGTGTAGAAGCCTAAAAAAAATGCTGAATTTTTCTGAAAGAAAACAAGTTTAAATTTTGGGCACATTAGAGTCTTGCAGTAGTATTGATCCCATATTTCTGCATAGTGTTAGGTAGCAAAACTCATGATACGTTCTTGTAGAAAATTGAATCGCGAGTATGTCAAAAAAAAGCTTCAGCCAAGGCGATGAATTTTGACAGTGATATTTAAAACATTACTTAGAGACACATTTATTCCGGCGCATTCGTTGTTCATACTTTATTGGTCAAGTTTTTAATAAATAGAAATTTTTAGATATCTTAATCTATGTCTACAATTTATTTTCGTGATAATTCATTTTGTCAGATATATGCATATTATTTTATATAGAGGAAACATGCAAATCATTTGAATGTCTTAAATTTAATTTTGCAACTGAGATTGACAAGCGAAATGAATTGTGGAAAGCAAGACACAATGCATGGTATGCTGCACAAGCTCTCAGATCAGGTTCAAAAGTTAGTATAAGAACTTGATGAGATGAGAAAAATCAAGTGCTTATAATACACAATAAATAAATGATTAATGCTTTAGTTTTTCACAATTGATGATACAAAAATCCTGAGATATATTGTGCAGTTCACTCAATAATACGTGACAACTAGCCTAGCAAATGCTCTGATATTGTCTTTCATATATATGAGCAAAATCATTTGTTAACGACGAAACTTCGCAAAATTTAAGCATGTGTCTATCGCAATAATGAGAATCCTAGAGTTAAGTTTTATATTTTACGTGTATGTTGAGCTACTTCGAAAAACTAGAGTTAGCGACGTGACATAAAAGAGGGAGACAGATTTTCACACCAAGTGCTTTAGTTTAAAAAGACTCTGAATTGAGGTAATACTAAACAGTACATTCTCTAGACAAATTGTAAGGCTATAAAATTTTAAATGTTTTTTTCTGAGCATGGATTGATTTTTCAAACAAAAAATCGATTGACTTTTCGTTAGCGATGTGACAGTGCATGAAAAAATGCTCTTATAACTGAATAAGAAGTTTAGAATCAATACCAAATGGTATAAATTCTTCTTCAAAATTTCTAGATGATAATAAGACAAAATTTTTCGTTGCGGAACTTAATAGAATCTCTAGAAAGAGGGTTTTTACGAGGAGGTTTTTTGGAATGCGATATTACTGAAAATTGTACTGCAGATCCAGTTTGTGTTGTAGTCTTTCCTGAAGTGTTGGGACTTTTTTCTTATATGGTTAGAAATATACTCGCTAATTACTTCTTTAGTAATGGTCAGGTGAAGAACCAACAGTTTCAAATATGCCCAGGGTAAAAGAACTTAGTCAAAAAGATAACTCTTGTAAAGAATGAAAGTCAAATGAAAGACGGCTATATTGCGTTTCGCCTCAAATGATCCATTGATCCAGGATTATTGTTCAGTTTTGTTGGCCACCTCAGAAACAGTATTTTATCCGTAATTTAATTCGAATTCTATCAAATTATCTACTACTTAGTTGTAAATCATATTTTTCATTTTTCTTAAGGGTTATAGTACAGATGTTTGCGTTCCGATTAGTGCTTTGCCTAATATGATTTCATTTGCAAAAAACGAATTAAAACAATTACAATTATTAGGGTATGTAGAGATTAATGATATATTTTCATATTTTTTTATCATTAAATTTTCATAGATTGACTTTAGGTCATGTTGGTGATGGAAATTTTCATGTAATATTAATTGTTGATCCAAAAAATTTAGAAGAAATTAAACGTGTTCATGAATTTGCTACTATTTTAGCCACGTATAGAATTATCAAATTAATATTTATTATATCTATTTATTTCTAGCGAATCACTACATATGAATGGGACTATCACTGGTGAACATGGTATTGGTCTAGGAAAAAAACAATTACTTATCGATGAATTTGGATTACAAGGAATTAATACTATGAAAATCATCAAAAAAGCACTTGATCCATTAAATATTCTTAATCCTGGAAAAGTTATAGATATAGAAGAAGGTTTCCAGTTCGTAGCACAATCAAATTAATACACTAAGATTTGTTGTTGGTTTTTTCTTTACTCTATAATTCTCTCAATACACTAACATTTAACACTCTTTTTTGTTGGCAAATAACGTTTCTTCTACTCCCTTACTTTACCTATTCCAATGGTATTTCTTTTATCTTACTTCAGATCATTATAGAAATGAATATTATTAGAAGTCGAAGTACATCGATTTCTAACATTCTATGCAAAGTACGAATAATGTATAACTTTTTTTTTTATAAGAGTTTTATATTTCTTAGTTTACCCAACGATATGCATCATCACAAACTTTATCTACTGATTTAAAGAGTATTGTCGGCAATGATAATGTTTCAACTACTGCAGCTGTTCGAGAACAACATAGCCATGATGAATCATATCATGCGTATGTTTTAATATTTGTGTGATACTTGTTATTTAATCATTAGATTTATAGAGGTCATCAACCTGATGTTGTTGTTTTTGCACAAAGTACAGAACATGTTTCAAAAATTGTTAAATATTGTGCATCTAAACGTATTCCTATTATACCATTTGGTACTGGTACTGGGTTAGAAGGTAAAAGAAAATTCAGCTATAGCTTATCTTGATTTTGTTTGTTTTCATATGTAGGTGGTGTTACTGCTCTTAAAGTTCGTAATCAATATATTCTATTAGGCTAGACAAGAAAATTCTATTGATTTATTAGGGTGGTGTATGTCTTGATTTGAGTCGTATGGATAAAGTGTTATCAGTAAATGCTGAAGATTTCGATTGCACAGTTCAAGCTGGTGTTACTCGAAATGCATTGAATTCTTATATTCGTGATACTGGTCTTCAATTTCCAATAGATCCTGGTGATAATGCATCTCTTGGTGGTATGTGTGCAACAAGTGCATCAGGAACAATGGCTGTTCGATATGTGAATAAAATAGAATAGTTGAGAGATTGATTATTTATTTTTCGATATATTAGGGTACAATGCGTGAAAATGTGATGAACTTAGAAGTAGTTTTAGCTGATGGTAGTATTATTAAAACAGCTGGACTTAAAGGAAGAAGTCGAAAAACATCAGCAGGTTATAATTTAACTAATTTATTTGTTGGTCAAGAAGGTACATTGGGTATTATTACTGAAGCAACACTTAAATTACATGCAACACCTGAAGCAGTATATATTCAATTCTCATATATAAGCTAAAAGATATATTTTGTTTTTCTTTTGTTTAATGATCATAGGTTCTTTCTGCTATTGCTCCATTCAAAGATTTGCAAGGTGCAGTGAATGCTACAGTAGCTATTATGCAAAGTGGTCTACCTGTTGCACGAATAGAATTTCTTGATGACAAGATGGTTGATGCTTGTAATCATTTTTCAAAACTGAATCTTGATGTAGCACCAACATTATTTCTTGAATTTCATGGTAGTAATAATAATATTGAAAGTCAAGGACAAATAGCTGGCAAGAAAAGAAATATTTTAATTCGACAAGATTTTTAATAGATTTTTTTCGATTTATAGAAGATATATGCAAATCATTTGAATGTTTTAAATTTGATTTTGCTACAGATCCTGATAAACGTGCCGAACTATGGAAGGCAAGACATAATGCATGGTATGCTGCTCAAGCTATCAAACCAGGTTCAAAGGTATGTATATATGTAAATAAAAATATTTAAGTCTTATTTATCTGTAACTTGTGATCAAGATGAATTGATCAGCTTAATTCATTTTATACATACGTGATTGCAGTTTTCTCATATTTAATATGTACCGAAAGAAAAAAAAAGGTATAATACAAGGCAGGAGTCATCGATAAAGGGCATCCAGTAGAATCCGTCGGGTTCGAAATTTTTGGACTTAGACCAACTCGACGGATTCTATCGACCAGTATAACAGAAACTGCCAGAAAAAGCCTGTTTGCTCAAGCATGCCGTTTTTTTTTATTATATCACAAATAGAAATGAATAGAAAAAAGAACAAGAAAAACTGAAGTTCAATCTCAATGACGCTTGAAAATCTCCTATAATTGCTCCACTAAATAACTTTCTGCTCATGTAGTATAATCTTAAATTCTTTCAACACTGTATTCATATTCAACGGATCGATTCAGTTCATTTTCGTGTTTAGAAATGCTCATTAAAACAAACTAACGTTGAAAAATTTGCAAAAACTTTTGTATAAAAAAAGAAAAATATTCATAGTAAATGTCTAGACATCCGAAAACGGTGGACTCGCCGTTCCCTTTGTTCAGATATGTCCAATTTTGACGAATCCCCTTCTCCCCTTTCTCTATAAATCATTTACGAATGACCAATCATAGGATACATTGTTAGGCAAAATGATATAAATATTTATAGCTTGCTTGATGACAAAAGTAAGCAGTAGGTGCAAAAGCTATGAGCATTGTTCTTTGTTTTTATGATAAATATCTCTTTTTGTTATTTCAAAATACATTTTACTATTATTTTCGCATGAATGCAATGTTGTAAGCCGTTAATTACGTTTATTTTTCAAAAGAAAGTCTATTTTCATATGTATGGATTGTAAAGAATGTCTAACAGATTTTTCTTTAAAACTATTGTGGGATTCTCCCACTACAGTAACATATTTTTTATGTTCGAATGAGAATTATTTTTTAAAATAACTTTGATTATGATGATGATTGAATAATATAGTTTCTAGTTGCTTTCTATTTTTAGGGCTACAGTACTGACGTTTGCGTTCCAATTAGCGCTTTGCCTGGGATAGTCACATTTGCAAAAGATGAATTAAAACGATTGAATTTATTAGGGTATGATGCATGACATGCTATTTTTTTTGTCTCTTGATAATTTGGAATTAATTTAACTAGACCTATTGTTGGTCATGTCGGTGATGGAAATTTCCATGTATTCGTTATTGTTGATCCAACAAATCCTAAAGAAATCGAATTGGTTCATCAATATAGTGTGGCTTTGGCTAAGTATGTTTGCATATAATATTGATATTCTTTTAATTATTTATAATTTTTATTTCTAGAGAAGCATTACGTGTAAGTGGTACAGTAACCGGTGAACATGGTGTAGGACTTGGAAAGAAACAATTATTAATTGATGAATTTGGAACAGCAGGAATAAATGCAATGAAAGCAATTAAACAAGCACTTGATCCATTGAATATTCTTAATCCTGACAAAGTTTTATAATTTTTTAAGAACAATTATAGACAACAAAAGAGAAAAAAATATCTTTTCATTATTTAATGAAGCGAAAAATCTTGATCTGCTTCAACTTAAAATTACTTGAATAGTGCTATTTTTGGCTTAATTTCTTTTGATGATTAATGCGATGTTTTTTTTTGCGTGTAATAATAATTTTTGTTTATTTTTAAACGTACGTGTTCGATTAGAATTGGTACTTGGCACGTTGTTTCTTCTCTTTTTCTTCTCAATCGCTTCTTCTCATAACTTTTTTCTCTTTCGTTCTTGTTGTGGGAAAGTTTCTACTGCGTCATTTATATTGGTACGAACTAACTCACCTACTACCATTAAATTATTTTTCACGTACTAGTTTAAGTCTCTACTAACATAAAATAAAAATTTTCTTTTGTTAAGTTTAAGTTATTACAGATTATTTTGAATAAATAAATAAATAATAAATTCAATGGCAAATACAATAAATTATGGTAAGAATATATAGAAAAATGAGCAAATATTTAGTTTAGATTTATTAGATCCTGACGAACATCTATATTCACCATCATCTGATGTAGCATATCAAGTTCTTAGTAAGTTTCTTATATATGTCGTATCGAAGTTACTTCAGTTCAACTAAATATCAAATAATTGATGATATTAAAAATAAATATATACACTTATAGTTAATTCTTCAATTTTTTACGAATAAACATAGAAGAAATTATTCAGACAAATGAAGCATTACTTTTTATCAATGTTACATATATGTTTAAAGATCTATTCTGATGACAGTAAGGTCTGTAAATAATTAAAGATATCTTTAGAATGCTGTACTCTGATTTACATAGAACTTTACTTTTATATTAATACAAAATATACTAAATATAAGGACAAGTTAAATGCTTGCTAGAGTCCGTCTCACACTGAGTCAAACAAAAACTTCAGTTAGCTGAATGCTTGAATACTACGTTTCAGTCGAATATAAATAAAATCAGTGAAACTAATCTCAAAAAAGAAAATATCAGACAAACACCATGAGAGCAGTAGTACATAAAGCAATAAAAGCACTTTGTAGTCTTGGAATGCGACCCAACACGATGTTACAAGGATTTATTTTTTTTTTTGAGATTCATTGTATATATTCAAACATGCAGAACTATTTGTTGTAGTATATGTCATATTTTGACTGCACTACAAATAAAAACACAGGCCGAAATAGACATTCTACATCTGAGAACGTTTTTTTTGCTGTCTCTATTATCTTCCTTTCGGTTTTGCTATCAGCTAGGTACTTCATTAATCTTCATTTTTAGTCTTGCATTTTTTTTGCCAAAATGAATACCGAAATTCAAAGCCAAAAATTCAAAGCATCCACGAATAGAATGTATGGTGAGAGTTGTTATAATTATATAGTTATGTGCTATTTAAATCAGATCATAGTATCCTAGAGATCTCTTTCATTAGTTACAGATCTTAGTGTTGCCAGAATAGATCTTTAATCATATAAAAAATTGATAAAAAATAATTTTTGATTATTTTGAATAATTTCTTCTATGTTTATTCGTAAATAAAGATATATATATATTTATATTGTTTTTAATGTCATTAACTATTTCATATTTAGTGGAATTACAGTAACTTCGGTATGACATATGTGAATATATTGACGATAGCATAGTTTTATATGTGTTATGTTTTTAGGCGAAGTTGGTTCACCAAATTTTTTTGATTTAGGTTCGTATTATAATTTCAATTTTTGACAAATTTCTATTGTTTCTTTTTTGGCTTGTAATTCTCAGGTAATACTGATACTAACTCTGGTATATATCCATCTCACAATAGTAGTACTGGTTCTCCGTCACAATCAATACCATATTCACCAAATTTATTAATTGATCCTCTTGGAGCAAATTTCACTAAAACTGAAAGGATCGATTTTTCATTAATGGCACAACCGTCTGAAAAACTTCAAATTATAGCACAACCAAAAGCATTTTATCGTGAACGATATTGTAGTGAAACAGATCCACGTAAAAATCGAGCTCAACGTTTTATTCGTGCTGACGATGAAACTAGTAAACATGAATATCCAACTGTTCAAGTATGAAATTCCTGTTATTTTTTTTTACCAATAATGTAAATAGTAGTTTTTTCTCGTTGAGATTTTCAAAAAAGGTGTAAATACAACATGTTTAACTCTTGTTAAAGAATAATCACAACTAAGTTCTTTTTTATTCTCAGTAAATAGATAAAGATATATACATTGGATAATCAAGAAAAGAGAGAAAAGTTTTATCAAATACAGCAAGCGTGCGTATATGCATCTCTTATGTGTAAAAATGTGTTTGTTATCCGTCTTTCTGCAAAGGGAATAAAAATAACTATGTCAGTGTAACCTATCATAGATAACTGATGAAGAAAAATACTAGTAATGGGAAAGATATAAAACAAAAGGGAACATCATGAATCTATTGCTTTATGTAAGTGTGTGAGGGGCGAGCGGACAACACTTTCCCAGAGATCATGTTGATCGTTTCGAACGTTCAAAATGTTCCTCCGGAGGAGAAAATCAGAATAAAATATTGGTGATTGTCTTCAAATAAATGAATTTCCTTTTTTCGGACAAATTTTTCTACTAAATTTTTTACCGCAATAGAAGATTCCGGATCTTCTATGTGTCTCCTTTATTTTCATAATTTTTAATTAAAAGACTTTTTCAAAGAAAAACATTAAAAAGATTTCGAGGTTTCGGAATAAAGTTCAGCGGTTTCAAAAAAAACTGGAACTGAGAATCGAATCGAAACCGACTTTTTTAAACTTCTTAGAGCCGTAATCGTTAAATCATTAGATAGGCACAAAAATATTAAATCTATGTCGAGAAATCTTCATTTTTTCATTCAAGAGAGTAAAGATTTCAGTATATATGTATAATATTGTTTTTTTTTAAGTAGTGCACTATGCAGCACCTTTAATCTCAACAATTCAATAGCAAAAATTTGTCAAAATAAATTTAAAATTTCCGTATCTATCTAATGATTTAGCGCTTCCGGTTCCACGTGTGATATCTGGTGAACCAAATCGGAACTATAGTTCCGAATAATTTTTTGAACCGTCGAACGGATGCTTTTAAGGTTTTTCAACTCAGAACCCCAAAAAACTAGTGAAGCATATTTTAACGTAAATTTGCTAATTAAAATTGTAATTTTGTGAGAAATTCATTGATTAAGAGTCTTCTATTGCATAGAAGAAGTAGAGGACAAATTTTTAAATCTTTGAAATTTCATTTAGTTCACAAACGTTTCATGAGTTGAAGAATGATGGATTAATTAATTCACGTCAAAACTTTCCTCTCATTCGAGAACTTCATACACTGTCAAAAAAAACAAACCCGTAGAATAATAAACCCTACGATTAGGATTTATACTTATGTCATAGACCTTTCAAGAATTTATTGTAGTGTAATCAATTCTTTTCGTACAGTTTATGATTGCAAGAGTTTTTTTTGTGTACAGTGTAGGCTTTCTTCTCTATGTGAAATGTACTTCTTAGGTTTAAGTTCTACAAATATTTACTTATTAGTTTCTATCTTATTTTTAATAGATTCCATTAAAATGGCGTGATTCAAATCGAGATTTATACATTCGAGTTACACTTGTTACTATTTTTTCGGAAAAAGCACCCGTCATATGTATACATCCATATACAATTGATACAACAGAAAATGATGTTTTTCGAGATTCACATAATAATTCACTTTATTTTCCAATAACTAAAGATGATGTGCTTTGTGGTCACAAAAAGTATGAATATGATATAAAAATTTTTGTTTTTATTAATATATTTATTTTATTATTTTAGTTTTCGTATAAGTCGAAAAAAAATGGTTCAACATGATTTAAAATCATATGGACCTTTACATTTATTCGATTTAAGTAAGAAAAAAAAATTAATAATCTAGTAGTTTTTTTTATTTTTATTTTAATATTTAGATCAAACTGATATTCAACGTGTTATGAACTCTCATGATGCTAAACAAATTATTGAAACATATCAATTATGGAAATCTCAACTTGTATTTACAATTGCTGAACGTTTATATAATGATCTTTTTCCAGTTCCAATACCTTCGACATCAGTAACATCTCAAATAATGTGTGACGAAGCTAGTCGACGAGAAAGTTCGGCTTTTTTTTCTTTTAATTGAAATAATTATTTTTTTAGTTTAGAAGAACCATTTATTAATGATACAAATTATATAGCCATGTTAAATGATGCTACAATTAAATGTACACCAAGGAAAGGTGATTGGAATGGTGGAGATGAAATATTAATGACAATTCCTAAGCTTGATAAACGAAGAAGTAAATAAAACTCTATTTATTGATCTACTCGTCAATGCTACGCTTAGTTCGTTTTTTTTTTCATTTAACTATTTTCACAATGAAAATTAACATCTCTTTTCTATTATATTACGGCAGTACAATAGGATCTTAACAGATTCTTTCTCACTTTATTATTGTATGTATTTCATGACCAATAATACAATCTATAAAGAAATGAGATTTAACTTTCATCGTATAGACAACTAAATGTACTGTTTATATTAGTTCTGAAAACATTTATTGATTAATTTTTTTCTTTTATTTTAGTATTCAATATTTATTTTGATTATGGTTCAATGGGAAAACTAGGTGATATAAAAATCACATTTGTTGATTCAAAAACAATCTTTTTTCAAACCCCACCATGTCAAATGTCAATAGCCGAACGAAATTTTACAGTACCAATAATTGTCACACAAAATGATCTAATAATTGCTCGTGTTGATTTTATTTATTTAATGCGTAAATTATTTAAATCTATTGATAAAATGGTTTATTATAGATTTTTTTTTGTATTATTTTAGCAATGACAACAACCATAAATTTATGTTCACGTTGCCAGTGTGATGTGATGAATATAAATCATATGAATAATAAACGAAGATATTTTATACTTGATCCTACGGAAGATGATGGAGGTGAATTAATTGCTCAACAAATGAGTCGATTAACAACTGAAGAAGTAGATCAATAAAAAAATGTCTTATTCAATATTTCATAATTTTATATTTTAGAAATATGTTGAATCAAATCGTCGACTTATAAATGATGGTATATTTATTTCATTTCTTTATTGCTTTGTTTTTCATCTTTTCATAATGTTATTTTATTTTTATTTTAGACAAAATTTCTAAATTTGATAAATATCTTGGTCAATTACAAGATGCAATCGTTGAATTTGTTCGTACAAATAATCCTTCACGATTATTTCGTCGAACACGTCTTCTACTTGCTAAATGTGATCAAAATCCTCCACCATTAGATGATGCTATTCGACATGGTCATATTGATTTAGCATTAAAACTTATCGAGCAAGTAGTCGACATGTCTACATCGCCTGGTTTACTTGAAAGAAAGAATAATGATGGTGAAACATCATTATTACTTGCTGCTAAACTTAATGAATGGATTTTACTCGAAGCAATGCTTAAAAAACGTTTAGATCTTACTGAAAATACTGATAAGAATGATAATAATATTTTACATCTACTTGCAAATATATCGGAAAATAAAGCTAATGAAACAATCAAAAACGTTCTTTTATTATTACCTGATAACATAAAAACAAATCTTTTAAAAAAGGAAAACAATGATAAACTAACACCAATAGATATTGCTCAATCTAAAAACAATACGTATTGTGCTGATCTTTTTAAAAAAATTTAAGTTTGTTTTGTTTTTTGAATCTTTATCTGTTGGATTTTTATTTTTTTATATCTACAATTAATAAAATAAATACTTGTATTGTTTTGGTTGCGTGTTTTTCCAAGCTACATTAGTTTATTCTTCTCAGTACAGGTATAAAAGGAGAGAAAGCACTTATTAAAATAATGCCTTTCGAGGTCATAAAATGGCAAATATAAAATTGGTATTGATTTAAAATTCTGCGTGTGAAAATAGTTCGAATTTGAAGTTTTAAAAATTTTTCACAACTTCCAAACTTCCAGCAAATCTGTATATTGATAAGCGGAAATGATTAATTCTATTGAGATATAATGCAATTAGTAAATCACTAGGAAACCAGAAACCTGTTGTTTACATTGTTTGAATTAAAGAGAAAAGCAAAAACTTACTGTAACTAACCTTTCTAAATGAGGAAAGGAAATCAGACGTCAGAATTTAAAGGCTGGTATTATAGAGACGGTGATAGCTACTGGAATAAGTCAGATCGAAAATGCTGACATGAATTGTATTTTGACTCTTTCTTACTGGAAACAAACACTCTTCACTATTATTCGATTAAAAAACCATAACATTCGATGGATTTAGTAAGATTTCATATCGTTTTTCATTGAAAGAGAGAGAAAAACAATGAGACAAATTACTTTTCTCCTGTGAAAGTGTCATTGAAAACTGTTGTGTAGAAATGCTGTAAGTTGTGTAACTGTTCTCGAATTGAAATAGCTAAAATGATTCGAATTATTTCACTTGGAGTAATTGCTATCACCTCGAATAGAAACCCATGTTGTGAAAACCACGATTTTCTCCGATTAACCGCGATTTGCCACTAAAAATGATCCGATGTTTGTGACATAGAATGTGTTTCATTTTTGTTATATTTCAGTTGTGCTACTATGGTTTCTGATTTTTTTTTCGTTAGTCAATCTATACTGTTGTATTCTTCAAAAATGAGCTATAAATAAATTTCTGATTTCTGACAAGATTCAGAAATTTAAAATGATTAAATTTTTGATATTCTAATAATTATGAAGAATTTTGTCTACAAAAAAAGCACAAATTAGCGATTAGAAATTTACTGAAATCTAGTTACAGTTTGAGATTCGTTACGTCTTCTTCTCGACAGACTAGAGAAGAGACAACAAACACTGTATGGTGTCTAGAGATCGTTCTGTTTATTGTCATTTTTTTTTATGCGCATTCTCGCGAAATTTTGAAAGTAAACTTAATAAAAGTAGAATAGTTTTCAAACCAGTAGTATACCTTTAACTGTGATAATGATATTACTCATGTTACAAATACCAGATTAGTTTCAATGGCAAACCGCAGTATGGCTGAAAATTTGGTAGTGAACCATGATTCATCGTTTACAATAACTGGTAAGTCACACATCAAGACAAAAATATTGCGTTAGCTGCGAAGACTATCATTTTCTCATTTTTCATAGATCGATAATATCTGATAACCTAGCTCAGCATGTAAGTCATATGTGTACTCATTCAGTAGCGAAATGAATACAAAAGTTAAAGCGAAAATAGATGCCACTGCAAAAATATTTTTTTAGAGATTATTGTTCATACAGCTCTCCGATGGAGTCTAACACAATGAAAAATTGGTAGTCAAAGATACAGTTATTCTCAATGTACTTTGTATTCTGAGTGGATAGGAGCTAGCTATCGAATAGCTAATTCGGCAGTTGAGACCAATACAAAATCAGAAAAAAGCTCTAAATTGGATCTAGTTTACGAGATATTTTCATGTTGTGTTGATATTTTAGGTGGATTCAGCGTGCCGACATAATCTGATGAATGTCGAACTTTAGAATAATGTGAAAATTATACAGATTTGTGAAAAAAATGGCAGCTTCTCTAAGTTCGGTGCTAAACAGAAGCGACTAGTTCAAATCCAAAAAAATTGCCAGTAAACTACAGTTAATCGGAACATACTGATGGTCTTCATTGCGTCGGTAGTTCTTTAAATTCTTGCATTCGTTATAATAATTTTTCGATTGGCTCTATTTCCTTCAATCATAATGTTCTTCAGCCATTCTGCTGTTTACCATGCTCCATTATTTTTTTTTCATTTCTATAGAGCAGACCACGATTAGTCATTATATTCAAATTCAAATACTTCATTTTCAAGAAAGAACTATTCCAGAAAAAAAAGTATGGGTTTTTTTCAACTTGATCAATAAGAAAAGTAATTATGTATTTGGTTAACTTTCTACAAAATTTTAAACTTGCCACAAGTTTTATTTTTTATATTTTATAAGATTTATGCTCTGTTTCTGTTTCATATATTCGACAAACTAATTGTTGTTTAAGAATTTTTTTAAAATTAAATTTCCACATAGAGGATACTCAAACTTAATGACATGAAAAACAAATGTAACTTTGGTTTGGACATAGGTTTCGGACGGAATCTTAGCTTAATATTATACTTTTCAGTAGGAATACAAGATAAGATATGACTAGTGATGCGAATTGTAGGCGTAAACACGAAAATATGGAGTACAATGATATTGGGGTTCACTGGAATACTCAATCAATTACTCTGTCAATATATGCATTTTTGTGCTTTTACCTATAGTCTGCAACGAAAAATTAGTGAGATAAGCGTATTTTTCTCTTCCAAAAAATGCGCTGAATTTGAGTAATGGATCTAAAAATCTGTATCAATGTGTCAGTATCATCAGTGTTCTAGCGAACGTTGGTATTACTGTACTCACAATTTTAGTGCACATTGATACCGGGCTAGATAACTCGTCACTTTAAACCAGTGCCGGTGACGCCTGTCATCAAGTAGAGTGAAACTGTACATTCTTAGACATGGCTTCATCTATATAAATGGAAAAAATTTAGTTCGAATACTTTTAGATTAGCTAACGAACGAATGTCAACACCAGTTTATGATCAGATAAATGGTATACATTATTAAAAAATGTATTCGTTTTTTCATTAATATTTCATTTAGCTGCAACCGACAGCGTCGATGAGCCACCGCTTATTGAATGCTTTACAGGTAAATTTTGTTAAAAGATATACCATAAAACCAGTTCTCTACTTTATAGACGAGTTACTTCAGGAACTCGATGAAAATGGAGGTCTATATAAATAAATGATTTTTAATCTTTTCCTTAATAACACTTGTAATATGTTCTTCCTTTCAGAAGCATCACATAATATAGATCTTCTCTGGTCAATGTTGTCTGATAGCAGTAAGCAATGTTTGAAAGTTATTTCTCGAAATAGTTATATATTTCAGATAATGGAACATCGTCTGATTACTCACCAGAATTAAATTTGAATTTATCCAATGAATTTCAAACTGATAGTGTGTATAAATCGGTCGATACTAAAATCTATTCATATTAATTTTTCGATCGTTTCAGAAATCACTGCTTTTTTATCAGAAATGCCGCCCCGTTCTGATAGTCTAGAAATTATTGCACAGCCATGCTATACTTCAAAATTGCGAACTCTCAAGGATAATCTAAAAGAAAAGCGGCGCAATACTCTCAAGGCAAAAAATAAAAATTCTCCTTTTACCGGTCCAACAATTCGTGTAAGCTAATTTTGTTATTTTCATCTTCTGATGTTTTAAAAAGTTTTGTTTTAAAAAGATTCCAAAGCGTTACTTTAATGCTACAGAACAATATTATGTTGGTATTTTTCTTGTGACAGTTTTGCATGAAAAATCAAATTGTCGCTATATACATCCATATGAACTGAAAGATATTGATCATGAAGATCGGCGAGATCAACATAATAACGCTGTTTGGTTTCCGACCGAAGATGAAGGTCCGGATGGTATTAAAAGGTATCGAAAGAATTTCAACAAAACTCCTTCACACCTTATTTTGTAATTTTTCAGTTTTCCAGGTTTACGGATTGATAAAAAAATTGAACAGGAAGTGAAAAACTATGGTGCTCTACATCTATTTGATGGCGATTGTTAGTATATAAATAAATCATTGAAATATTCATGACTTAAAATTATAAAATTTAGACTCAAACTCGTTAAATAATCTGGTTTCAGAATTAACTTCTGGAAGAAAAATAGTTCAAGAATACAATCTTAAAAGAACTCAATTAGCATTTACTATTGGTACGAAAATAAATGTAAACGACAGCTTTCCAACAATTCTTAATCCTCATTTAACGATCTATTCGGAAGAAATGGTGGAAGATGCTGAGAAAGAAACAGTTGAAGATACGAAACTTACTGAATCAGTCACACAGCCAATTTTGCCACCACCTGAGTGTCCTTGGTACAAATACGCACCACGATGTGGTTATACAACAGGCGAGGAAGAGGTGCTTATTTTCTATAAAAAGAAACTTGAAGAAAACACATATGGAAGTAATAATAATACTTTTTCGAATTAATTTTTTATCATCTTCTACTTTTAAAAGACTTGCAAGTTACGTTTGAATATGGCATGCCTAATATTGGTTGGCAAACTTCATTTCCTGCTACTAATATCGAAGTCAAAGGTCAAATGGTATCGTTTAAAACACCAGCCTTTCCATATTTTATTAATGAGCCCACACCTGTCAAAATAGTATTACAACAAAAAGGAAGAATGTTAGAAGCATTACAATACTTTTATGTTCCAAAGAGTAGTTTATAATATTATTTTTTTAAAGCCATTAATTCATTTCCTCATTTTTCTACTTAAGCACAATGTTCAACATGTCAAGCAAAAACGATGAAAAATTCAGAGTCATTTATACGAAATATTCCAAACAAACGCACGAAGTCTTGTCTTGGGCCAGACGATGATGTAACTGATGCTGTTGTTCCTGCTTGCGAAAGTAAAACGGAATTGCCACAACCAAAACCGGAGCCAGTGAATAAATCACATGTTTTTTTTTTGTATGAAATGCTCATTTATATTAATTATAGGAATCAAATACAGATCTCAGTACATCAAATTCAGGTGAGAAAGATTTCACAAACTACATCGTTCTTGACATTAGAGCACTCCACAATATTGTATACAGCATAATTTTAATTTAAGAAAAACTTAATAGAATTCTTTTTTGTTGTCGGTTATATCTGACAGGAGTAAGCTTTAGACCAGACTACAGATTGTTACTGAATACTTAAATTGTTTTCTTCGTTTTTTGTGTACTCAAAAAGTGAGTACACTCTAGAATCGGTCAGTGTGTCGCGCCGTCCGTTTACACGATAACTTTTGAAAGGAGAGTCCGATTGCGATGAAATTTTCTACACAGTTCAGTCTTAACAATATCTCGGTCGAGTTCGAAGATGAGCATGATTGGCCGAGCCGTTCNGCAAAATTTCAGGTCGAAACTCCTTAATTTGATTTTTCGGTGAATATCGTATCATAGGTGATAAACCCAGTAAAATGACCATAACTCGAGAAGGAAGACCCATGGGCCCGTGTCCTTTTGGGCTTTTTCTAATCTCATTGGACTCTACCTATCGGCAAAATATCGGCTTAAAAGCTTTGAATCACTTCGAACGGTTCCCTCGTCAGTTATCAGAATATACTTAAAATCAAGATACAAAACGTTCAAAATCAGACTTCTTTGAATAGTTGATTTTTTGGATTTAAAATTGTGGAAAATATTTATAAAAATCAGCTGTCTCTCCTTGGCGTACTCGCACAAGCTCAGAATCTATTATATGTTGCATATATATAGAACGAATCAAATCAGCATCACTATATATTGTTTGTATTCCAAATAAAATAAAATAGACTTGTTACAAAGCCTTCACTTTCTAGTATCTTTAATTGTAGAATTATCGTTTTTTACTCTTTATTTATTCTTCTTATGAAATTATTTTATTTGTTTGAATTATTTACATACGAATTTTGTTTGTTTATTTATACACATATTTATGATTCTTGACAGTAAAATATCATAATAGAATGATGTTACTCGATTTTCAGAAAGAAAAACGAATGGTTAATCACAAATAACTCTATTCTTCACCAGAATTCAGAATCATTTCGTAAAAAATATTAAATAAAGAGATTCGAGTTCTTCTACTACTTTTGAAAATACTCTTTTTAAATTTAATTAGATCTATATACATCTATTACAAAGTGACTAAGATCCACGAAGTGATGTATCCATCTCACTTCATCATTTTCTCTCAAAATGTGCCAAACTCAAATCCAAGCCGTTCCAGTACAATGATTGCCAATTTATCTCACACTGCATTCTCTTTCTTTCTTTTGCTTTCTTCTCTTTCATGTTATATGGGTTTTTTCTTTTCTGTCGTCACCTGAATGAAATATCGACGTCGACTTTACCTTTTTTATTGTCATTTGAATTAGTTTTTCTCTCTCGTCACGCTTGTTAGGCTTTGCGTTGTCTTGTTTCTTATCGTCTACTTTGACGTTGCATATGTCCCTATTTAAAAATGTACTTTTTACAATAACTCACATTAGGTGAAACATTGATCTATTTCGATATTCCGAGTTAATCATTTGAGAAGTTCTTATACTTTCATAAAAATATTCAGTGAATTGGATTGTATTTTACAAGAAATATTCAAAACTCACAATCATTCTAAAGAAATGTAAGTTTATTTTTCTATTTCTTGACTAGATGGGCAGTTTTTCACAAAAGAGATGTAAGTTTTTCGTTTTCTAATTCAATTTTAAATGGTGAGTAACATAATATTATTTATTAAGGTCATAATAATCATGCGAGAAATTTCCAAACAACAATAAAATTTTTCTTTCTTATTAATTTCATTTTGTGATTGAATCCTAGCATTGTGAAGACATACCTCTTTTTTTCTTTTTTTGGAAACAAACTCATCACCTCTGCCTGTTGTATATTTTCTGTCATCGAGAGAGCATTTTTAGACCTCAGTGAACAATATCTACAAGAAAATCGAGTTTATGCTGATAACTTATTTCTGAGGAAATCAAACGTTGTTAGTGAGCTTCGTTTGTTTGATCTCACGTGTTTCGTATTTTAGACTTGAAACTTTGTCCATATAATGATCTTAATTGGCCTATATTACTTAATAAACTTTAGAATTTTCAAATAGAACCTCTCCAAGAAATTAATCGTTCAAAAAATACATAGAATATATACTATCTATAGAAAAGAATCTCTATATCAAAAGTTTTGTATTTCGAAGAGACATAGAAATTTTTCATGAAAGCTAGTTTAATTTGACGTATTTATATAGACAAAAATTAGGATCGATATTTGCAAATATTGTCTTACTGTAAATGTGAAGTCCTACTGTCAAAATTCACTAGAAACGTTCGATCTTCGAATAAACAAATCATGGTCATGAAGTCTTTTTATAGTAGGCATACACCCATGGTCAAAAGTGTTTCTCTTCTAGGATCTTAGTTCCTATGATAGCTAAACGTCTGATAATTCTAATGCAGGTTGTCCACAGTTAATATAGGTCACCGGTGACATCAACGTTGAAATCCCTCAAACTAGAGCAGAGCTATAACAGATGACACTCACAGTCACTATGAAAATAGTAACTCGAGAAAGCATAAGCTTATCAACTTGTCAACTCTCCCGTTTTGTAGCTCTGCATTATAGCTATTTATGGTATAAACTAATCGAAGTTCAACAAACTATTCATAATCTAGACCATTCTTGTACTAAAAACATGAATATACAAAAAACAACTGTGAAATGTCATCGAATGATCAATACTTCGGTAAATATTCGATGGATCTATCTAAAAATTACAAAAAATGTTTTATAATAGTTGACCATTGTTTTACTGAACGAAAATGGTGAATCAATTACCATCGCTAAGTTATTAGCCCTCTGGAGTGAGTCTCCCTTATTCAAGCAAATGAAATTATCTTTTGAGCAATGATAAGCCAGGAATTAAAATACAATTTCATACTGAAAGATCAATAAATATTCATAATTACTTTAAAAACAAAACATAAAAAATAGGTAAATCTATTTTTTTGCTATATTTCTGCCAAAGCAATTGTTTGTCTTCATTTGTCAAGATTTCAAGAGAGAAACTCTTTCGGGTTGTTCAAAATTCTGAGAAAACAGTAAAATTTAACTGTCTTTATCAAAGAACGCAGTATTAAGATTGAAGTTTTTGAGAATTATATTAAAGATGTCCCAAATATTTTAAAAACATGGAAGTCTATAATAACTGTCTCATAAAGTTTTAAAACTATAATCTTTCTATAACATTATAGAGATCTTATCCTTATCTACCTTAATTCGATATAAAGTTCGCTTGAAGAACTATATGGAGGTCTAGAACATAATGATTTCTGTTGTTTCATACAACTCTAAAATAATTCAAAACCATTTTACTAGTCAAATCTTGACAAATGATAACAATTGCTTCTTTAAGCATAAAAATACGAAAAAAGAAGTTTACTGTTTTATACGTTGTTACTAAGGTCATATATGAGTGATTATTGACCCTTAAGTATGAAGTTGTATTTTAATTCATAGTTCATCATTGCTCAAAGATAATTTCATTTGCTTGAATAATAGAAACTCACTTCAGAGGACTGAAAACTTACCGATGGTAATTGATTCTCCATTTTCGTTAAGGAAATTGTTTGCTTCTGAAGCTTGTAGAGTATAATGGTCAACTACTGTGAAACACCAAAAATTCTAACTTGATTCATCAGACTGCTACCGAGTTACTGATCATTCAATAGCATTCTCTGGATGTTTTTTCATATCTATGTGTTCAGTAAAAAATTGGTCTAGGTCATCAATAGCTTGCTGAACTTCGGTAAGTTTTATATTAGTTATAGCTGTAATTCAGTGCGACAAAATGAGAGATTCTACAACTTAAAAAGCTTATCTGTTCTTGAGTTACGAGATTCACAGTGATCATAGATGCCACCTTTTATAACTTCGTCGTAGTTTGAGCGAGTTTCGTGCTACTGTTATCCCTGACCTATAACATTATTTGTGGACTACTTATACAAGAATTTTCAAATGTTTAGCTTTCATAAGAACTACAATCCTAGTGGAAGCATACTATTAGAGAGTAGTGGAGGTCACTAAGGCCGACACGATATACTCAACTTCAATACAAAACTATACAGGCACCTGGGAATATTCCCTCCAGCGTGACATGATAAACAATTTTTTTCTTTTTGCATATTTACATGAAGCTAATCGAGATGAATCATTTACTGAATATACATCGAACTAGGCAACATATATGTTTCCATCAGTAGAAATGGTCATTCTCACTATCTTATTCTCGTATCGATTAGAAACCATCAAATTTTTTTTTCATATGGTCAATTAGTAAGAAATTTATCAAAAACTTGAACTAGCATCATTAATATAAATTTGGTATTTTCAACCTTTTATCAAGTTATTTTACAAGAGGCTGAATTTTTCAGGTGCTCGACTTCAATATAAAGGCATACTTCGTTTAATGTAGATTCTTGTTTTGATTTGTACCGATGGCTGAATTATTCCAACCACTTCGTATAATTGCTCAACCTAAAGCATCATATCTTGAAAAATATATACATGGAATAGATCGTAGTTGTAATCGATCACAACGTTTTATCCGTGCTGAAACTAATCCTCATCATTTGAACTATCCAACAATTGAAGTAAAGAAATTTAAAATCTTTTTTTCTCATTTATTTCTAATATAGTTGTTAACTAGATACCAAAACACTTGAATAGTCAAAGGTTATATATTCGTGTAACTTTAGTAACCTTATGCAGTGAACAAGTGCCTGTGACATGCATACATCCTGATCCAATTGATACTTCAGAATTAAATGTTATTAAAGACGTAGCAAAAAATACACTTTATTTTCCAATATCAGAAGAAGACTTAAATAATGAACGTAAGAGGTAAACTATAAAAATAAAAACTTTTTTCCAGATATTTCAGTTTATTGTTTTGTTAAATTTAGTTTTCAAATTATTCGTAGAAAATTAACCAAACGTGAATTAAGAAACTATGGACAATTATCCCTTTTGGATACAAGTAATGCTATAAATTCAAAAACAAAAAACCGTATTCACTAATGTGTTTTGTTTTATAGACGAACTGGCTGTTCCAAGTACAGATAATCTACATGATGTTCGAAGAATAATTGATGTTTATCAATCAGGAAAATCACAATTACTTTTTTCTATCGCTGAACTATTTGATGATGATTTATTACCAGTTATCTATGACGTAACATCTGTATATTCTCATATAATGACTGCTATTACAGCAAGGCCTATAAATAAATACAAATCATTTGTTATATGGGCACCGAAGAAAGGTTGCTGGTGTGGTGGTGATGATATTCTAATGGTAGTTCCAAAACTTGACAAGACAAAAGGTAATTTATTATTATCATGCTTTTGTTCATTATTGTGTAATTAAATATTGTGATTTGTCTTTTTTAGTATGTCAAGTATATTTTGAGTGTTTGTCATCAAACGAAAAAAGTCAAATTCATTTCGAATTTGCGGATATGAAAACAATTGCATTCACAACTCCACCATGTCCCATAAAAGCAACTAGGAATCAAAGTATAGAAATTCCTATAGTTGTTACTCAAAATGGTCAAGAAATAGCACGTGTTTATTTTATGTATCACTCATGTAAATAGCTTTATTTTTCTTGGACGTGGGGGTGGGGCAGAATATTAGAAATTTCTCTTTTTTCTCATTAGGTGATAAACGTTCAAATTTTGATATTGATAGTATGTTCGATTCTAGCAATTCATTAAATACAAACGAACAATCTTCACATTTAGATATGTATTTAGATGATACTGATGTTCTATGTATGTCAATTTTCTACTTTATTATATGAACTGTCAATCTAAAATTATAAATTTTATTTTAGCAGATCACAACGTAAAAATTGACAAATAACCTTATCTGATGGCAAAGCATTTTATGTTATGTGGATCATTTTTTCAAAGGTCGAATAAAGCTTATTTCAGCAAACAGAAAATGTTTTTAATTTTGCCATGACAACCATTCTTATATCTTTTTTTATTACCAAAAAGAAAATTTTTTTTGAAAAAGTATATGCCTGTTCTGTTTTTTTAACCTTCAATGAATCTTAATCAAAGACGAATGATTCATAAGGCTTCAATCATTACGTAAGAAGAAAAAAAAGTACAACCGATACAACTTTTGAATTTGTTTGATCATAACTGCTTTTTTTCTCTTTCTCTTTACTCAAAAGAGATTGAGACGGGATATTTTTCAATAACTTATCATATAAAAGAAGTCTAATGTCAAAATGATTACTTATATAGAAAGGTCACAGAAAAGTTAATCTATTCTTATTTACTAAGGACAATATTCAGGTTGATCAAGACTCATATACAGGGAAATAAATAATGAATCGTGTTGACTCATATGTTGTTAAGAAAGTATTATAGGTTAAAAAATCTATTGATGAACTCGATCAAAAACTGAAATTTCAAATATAACTGAGACTGATTTTAATATAAACTAAGAGATTAAAAATATATTTGTATTTTCTACCTAAGACACCAATTATCAATTAGATTTTTCATAAAGTGGCTATAATTGATATATCTGTCTAACATTAATGATGTCAAATGTATTAAGTATTATATAAGACAAAATAAATATCGAACTAAATATTTAATAAGTAAAAATGAAACATTATAATTCTTGCAGATTTGAATTGTTCATAATCATTTCTAAGTAGAATATTTTATTTATATATTCATATTATTTAAAGAAATAAAATACTAGACATATCTTATTTATTGTCATTAATGATAAAAGAAAAATGATTCTTTTCTTGCTATGTGATATTCTCTTGCTTTTCTGTTCTTCATATTGTTGCTTTAAATCAATATAAATTGACTGAAATGTTTTGTTTATGCTAATACAAGTAAAATACTTCAACTCATATCATATTATTGTGTTGAAAAAAGAAATTCGTCATCACAACGTATATGGAATTAACTGAATAATGAATTTATTTTGCAATCTCATTTTCCACTAGAAAAAGAATCCCTACCTATGTTTTACATGATCTTGAACATATATACATGTTTATAGATTTCTAGAATAGACTATTTCACGAAATGTTTTGATTATTTAAAGTTCTTGTTCATCAGGTACAATCCATTGAGGACGTCCAAGTAAAAGGGGGGAGTTTCAAATATTTAGGAGCATCCAGATTAGAGAACATCACAGGACATGTGTCCTGCAAAAATCGCTCGAAAGATAATCCATTTTTTTCTACACATGCAGCAATGGGACACTCTTTTCTTAGACTGTAGGACTTTCAGGACACCCAAGTCAACTAATGGATCGTGGTTCAGTAAAGTTCTGGTCTAGTAGTGAAACTCGTCATGATTTTCTATTATTATCACAAATAACCAGAAGAATGCATGTCATACTAACGGCTAGTGCTTCATTGGAGTGATTATTTAGCTAAGTAGATTATGTATTTACTTAAAGACGAGCATGCTTATCATCACGTCAAATTGATAACATATGAGTCATTATTTCATAAGGGAAATTCATGAAAAGCAAAAACAAATGAAAACTTGCTCGCTTTTGTTGTCCATCTACTTATATTGATTGTATTTTGAATTTTGTATCTTTATGTTTATTTTATTATATTTCATTTCTGCTGGAAAACATGTGATAATATTTATTAACATGATAATATTGTAAATGATTTTTATGTAACTAAATAGCATATCTATGATATTTAATATTGTACCTGATATGCAGACAAGTTTTATCGTTGTCAAAAATACAGTGAAAAGATCATCATACAGGATGGATCCTACCAGGAGGAACTTTTTGATGCCTTGCCCTGCGTTCCATAAACGAAGATGACTGAGTGGTGGTATACTGCTGAATGTAGAACAGGATGAGAAAAACTGTTTCGTGATGTTCTCTAATCCACATGCTTACTATGAATAGCTTCCTTTTTTCTTACATCATTCTCGACGAGATTTTGAAAATTTCAAGAGAAGCTCGCAACTGATTAATCGCTTTTAAGTGAGGGTTATACACATTATGTAGACCTTAATAAGTTATGAATGTTCGGAAACGAGTTCCAGCTCATAGGTTATAGCTGCAACTATGCTGTATTTTTACGATATTTTTTTAGTTAATGCCATAGTCTTTCATAAGGAACAGTAGGAAACCTGATTTTCGAATTTCGATTTGGAACTATGCCTAGAAATAAGCCTTAACAATAATAGGTGATTGTAAAAGTTCCAGATATTTTCGTTGTTCCTATCCAAGATACAGCTATGGTAAAAGAGCGTCTTTCGTATTGTTCTTATATACTCACAGATTCGATATTCATATTTTAAGACAAGTACAGAATAAATGGCTTGGTAATTTCACGATCAACTATTTTGGTCAAGATTTTTTTCCTAAGCAAAGTCTCAAATCAAAATTCGAAAATCAATTTTCCAAGTGTTCCTGAAAGGAGCTACAGCAATTCATTGAAACACCATACCATGAGAAAACTAGACAATATTCACCAAAAGCAGAAAATTGTTTCGTTTCAAGCAGAAACGCTTCTGTAAGAAACAACATCATCTACATCAGATCATTCACGCCAGAGAAAATCGAACACGCATCAGGAAGAAATTATTCATCCATTTCTACATTCATAAGCAGAAGTCAAGAAGACTTAAGGAGATATTGATCATATTATTTTTTCAGCTAGAGGGGAAGTTCTAATAGAAATAATTTTTTTTCAGCAGAAATGGAAATATTTCTACCAGAAATCTTTCATGCATTTCTATTCTTATAAGCAGAAATGAAAAATGAAAAATGAAAAATAGTCGGTCGAATAGTGGTTGATAGATAAAAGATATTCTAGAAGTTCTGAAATAATTTTAAAGTTCATCATTATTGAAATCAACAAAAGTAAACTCTTTGACAGGTCGGCAGGTTATGGCATCAACTTAATACAACACAGCTACAAAGTTTGAGGTCTATGCTTCTACTATGAATGAGAATCTGTAACAACACTCTAATGTACTATTTTTTTTTTCTATTTTTCCTATCATCTTGGAAATTATTTTTAAAACAATCGAATTTCTCGAAATAAAAATACCTACATAACAAGTTATCAATGTTCGTAAATTGGTTATTATCATTGTCGTCGATTGTTAATTTCAGCCATATTGTCATAGTATCAATCACCCGTTTATGTAAAACAACACTAAATTTATTACATTCCTTTTAAGTACTATTTTTCAATCGTTCAATATTATTGTATTCCTAGCGTCGTAATTCTTCTTTTAATACATCTTACATGTTCTTCATTGATCAAACGTCGGTTAGTTTTGCAGTGCAATTCTTTTCTTTAATTTGACTGATAAAACTTTCGATGTTATGACAAGTCACAAACATTCTGTATTTAGAACTTTGATTACCTCGAAAAATTATATCTTGTAAATTACCTAATTCGTTTATTTCTTTTGTGTTATTATAGTTCGCATGAATTTTGCATATCTACCATTAGTTCAATTTTATCTATTAGCACAGGGAATAGAATACTGTTTCGTTTTGGAATATGGTTATCAAATAGTCTCTGAAAATAATATTTGTTGCTCTGGTTTTCTGTAGAATTCAATCAATTTAATTCATTAGAAAATTAAATAAATAGTACATAATAGTGCTGATACAGGTTCTCATTCACAGTGAAAGCTGTAGACTTCACACTTTGTAATTATGTAGTACTAAATAGATGCAATAATCTGCTAATGTTTCAAAGAATTTGCTTTTGTTGAATACAAGAACGATGAATTTAAAAATTGTTTCAAAACTTATAGAACATTCTTTATATGTTTATATTTTTTTCCATTGGTCCTTGATATGCATGTTTGACATTATATGGATTGAACCATTTCTCCTTGAACTGAAATAATGTCTCCATCAATTGGTTCAATTGTCTACTGCTTTTTCTTACGCATCTATCGACCATTTTTCTAGGGTGTGGGTGTGGGCGTGGGCGTGAGTGTGGGTGTGGGCGTGGGTGTGGGTGTGGGTGTGGGTGTAGCTGTGGGATGTGAGTGTAATTGAATAGTAAACGGAGAGCCACACCCACACCCACACCCCACACCCACACCCACACACCCACACCCCACACCCACACCCACACCCCACACCCACACCCTTTACATAGCTTATATATACGAAATAAAAAGAGCGATAATGTTCTAATAAAGTGATATGCAGTTGACATTCATTATCAACCAATGTCCAGCTACATTTATTTATACTGATGAATTAGATTAAAAAAAAATGACTATTAGAGTATATGAGGATTGTGAAACTTCTGCAGTTAGCTGCCTTTTCTACTCGAGCTTAGCTTGTATGAAGGTCTAGTTTAAATATGTTACTGTTATTGAACATAGAAATGTTGTGATAAGTTTAAATAAAACATCTTATTTTATCCTTTTTCTCTTTTTTTTTATACTTTTAAAATATCAATATAAGAATAAATTTGAAAAAATATAATTATTTATTTATTATTCATTGTTATAAAGATTTATCATTCAACAATGGAATTTAAGGAATACTCAAAACTAGAATACATTTTAAGTTGTTAATTTTCGGTCAATTATATGTGGAAAAGAAAGTGGAACAAGATGATGAAGGGAGGAGAGGTTTAAATAGTGTTCGGTGCCTAAATGTAACTGTAGAAATAAATTGATTATTAACAATAAAAAAATATCTTTTGACTGAATATTAGTGTTATTGTTTTTATCTAGGAGTAATTTTTGTATACATTCTAGTATACAACTAGCAACGAGTATTAGTATAATTTAATACCAAATAAACTTTGACAAGTTATGATTTGATGATAATCATTTGGAACTCGGCAACTTCGACAAGAATTACATAATTGACCACTAAAAAATGAAGTCATTCGATTTTTCGTAAAATTATAACACATAAAAAATAAAAAAAGATTTTTATCTGACTTAATATCAAACAGAAAAGATCTTTTCATCTGATTTAACGTATAAAACAAAATTCAAAAAGTTTCGCTTTATTCATATTGAAAAATTCTGATGATTCTTTTACAAAAACAAGTGTAAGTACAAAGAAACAAAGAAATATTCGCAGTTTCATTTTTATTATAACCATACGAAAAGTGTATCTTCATCTATCGTGTTAGGAACTTCCGTTCGAAAAGAACGAGTATTTGAATTCTGCTGATCACGCAATTGTTTCTCATAAAGTTGACCACAATTACATTCACCACTAATAGTAAGAAAATTTAATTTCGAAAGACCGTTGATAAGTATATGTGACATTTCAGTGACTTGCCAGTTAATATCCTGTAGTTCTATGACTTGCAAGTGACGTAGTCGCTCGACGATTAAATAGGCAATGTTTACCAAGTTTGGTTGTTTTGAAGCAGGAGAAAGATTGAGTTGTCGTAAGGCATTTGACATGAGCATATTGCACAAAGAAGTATCGTCAAGTAGATCGATTAAAGTTTCTTCTTTCAAATAACGTTTATCATCATATTCTGATCTATAATGCAGTTCTAGAGTACGTAGATTAGTTGTTTGCGAAAAGAGAAAGTAAAGATGAATTGAATTGAATGGTTGAGCAATATTAAGCGATGTTATTTGATTCCAAGCAACGATAGATGGTGACAAAGAAAGAAATTCATCGTTGATTTTATCATAATAGTCACTCATAGTAATCCTATTGCAGCGAAACAACTGACTGTTGAAGGCACGTCTATTATATGGCCATCGGCTTCGTCTAAATAAAAATAAAAACGTCTATTATAAAAAAAAAACAACTGTCTATTTATACCCATGGACAGTATTATGTAGATAAGAATAGACACATAAATATTTATCCCTTCTTGGTGCTGTTACAGCTCTAATAGAATACATGTTTTCTTCTAAAGATAGTTCTAATTCAATTGACACTGATCCTTTGAGCTGTTGAAACGTGTCAGATAAGATGTTGCTTACTTCTGATAGTGACACTACCGTTGTCACGCACCACCAAACATCAAAAGAGATTAAACATTGACTGGAAAGCATTGGTAGTAAATTGTGAAGAACATGAGGACCAGCCATCTTCGCCGATAATGTGAACTTGATCAATGAAAATAAAACATCACGCTCAAATAACTGATTAATTGATTTCACAGTAACTATACATTCATTCCAACTTATGTTAAGACGGCATAGATTTGGAGCAAGACGTCTATTAATGGGAGTAACTCGACTAAAATGAATAAAAGACTATTTTCAAAAGATAAAAAATGCATCACTTATATTATTTTACTTCTTAGTGAAACATACTTTTTTCCTTCATTATCTATGTCAGATCGTACGTCAGTGTTCTTTCTATCTACAATATTCAGCACTTTTTTTTATTCAAACTGTTATTTTCTACACGATGTAAAAATGATAGTCATTCTTTTTTTTAAATTTTACATTCAACAATTTCTTATCTTATAATTATATGTAAAAAACACGAAAGAACAAACGTTCCAATGAGTTCAGATCTTTTCATAATGTAAGCGTGTCTAGTCATACTTATTTCGAAGGTTTTCTATCTTTTAAATTGAGTACTTCTTCGATATGTCTTTTTTCTGATTTTCTATTAAAGAACCAGCCTTCTAATTAGTGTTTAACAAATCATACTCCTGATAAAGTTATGAGAAAAATCGAAAACAAATCTCATCATAGAAACAAGTCAAATGTTTCAAGACTAGTCTCAGAGCGTTTTCTTGAATATTTTGCCACAATTTTAACGACCAATAAAGTTTTCAAATGCATTGTCTTTTATTCCAAAGTAGTTTCTACTTTCTATGGAAGCCTTCATCTTTTCCTAAATCTTTCACCATTGATTTTCGTAGAAACATTTTTCGAAAAGAGCCTGTTCGACATTGTAATTTATTTTACAACGTCTTCTGGTATTGTCTCTGGAGCTGCTCGATTTTTATTTGGGAATAGCTTTCGATCTTTCATGCTAAATTTGAGTCTAATCTGTTTAAATCTCAAGTCTTAAATAAATATTAACGAAATGCACTACAAATAAATGAAGAGAAGAGTTTTCTTTGCAAGAATAAATCGAAAAATATCACCATAATAAACTAAAATACTAATGAGACAGATTCAGCTTTGTGACTTTCACAAGCGGAAAGTTCACTAATTACGAACGACAAAAACAATAACTTTTGTCTTGATTTCACGAAAAATAAAGAATTTTGATGATTCCTTTTTATATACATTCATGTAATTATAATTGCATATAAGAGCTTATAGTTGACTAATTTCAATCATTTTTCTTATATTTATTGTGTGTATTTAAAAATCTAATACATAACTCGTTTGTAACTCATCAACTATATGACATCTCCTCACTCTTATTAATATTTGACTCTAAAAGTGAATACGATTGATTGAAAAAGTATTTTATTATTTCACAAATAATTCAGTTTTAATTATAATTTCTTCTGAGAAAATGATTAGATACATTCTTTTCTATCATACGCTTTACATTGAGTTCATAAGTTAAAATATACATGATATTAAAGAAAGAAACTTACTTGTTATCACCATATCTTAGTGGATGTTCTTGAGGTAGCCAAGGAGCACTTCGTGCATAGCTGAGTTGTTCCAACTGTGGAAGATGTTCAAATAAATATGATAGAAAGCTTGGTGAGCAATCCCGAAGTACAAGTGATTGTAAGTTTAAAAGACTGGTTTGAATAGGCACAAAAGCTCTATCAGGTGGTAGAACGAATTGACTGTCTAGAGTAGATTGTATGTATCGCCAAAAAAACAATTGACATATACGTAATGAAGGAAATAAGTGAAAAATTCGTTCATAATATGCACCTTCAGGCACACCTATAAACGTATAAACAGAACGACAATAAGTTGAAAAACGTACGCTAAACATGATGAGAGAATTAATGGGTGACAATGAGTCGAGAATCAATTCAAAAGAAGAACGTTTAATGTCGATTAAAGATAAATGACGTAGGTTAATAAATGCAGATAGATGTGATGCCAGCCATAAGCCATTATTAATAGCTAATGTATCTGAGACACATAATGAAATAAGACGATTACAGATGTTTGATTGTGATAAATGTGTATAATAAAATTCAGTCACTGCTATACTCATTCCATTGAGACCCAAGTAAACGGGCATAATCGACATATTATCAATGATATCAGCAAAGTGTGAATTAAGGTTAGAAAAAATATTGAATATTTCATGAAACTGAAAATAAATAAATATTTCGTAGAATAATTCGACGGAGAGATGCTCTAATGTTGCTGCCATAGTTTGTCTTAATGTCATCATAATGAATATTGTGCATCATTCTTATACAATAGCTTTATGAACAATAGCACAAAGCATAATTGTTCTTCCTACCTATAGTCACCGCAAGAAGATGATATTATTATGGATATTGGTCGACTTCATAGGTCAACATATATACAAATTGTGTTTTCTTTTCTTTCGATCATTTTTCTCTCAATAGCGTGTTTATAAGAGGCGACAATAAAATTTTTACAATAGTCATGAATTATCCTTTTTGCTTATGTAAAACGTTTTTTTGACATTATGTATGTGCAACATTTTCGAAAAAAACGTTGCATAAAAATTATGAATAATAATTAAAAAAGCAATAATTACTTTTTTATCATCATATGTTATCATTTGATTTCAGATGATCATTTTTTCAATGCCTGTGATGCCGAAAAAGATAAGACATCAAAATTTTATTAGTCTTCAATGAACTTTGAACGTCACTTCGATAGCATTTTGGTCAAAAAGCAATTAAAAGTTCTGTTTTTTTATTAAAAAAAAACAATATTCATCATAGCATAGCAAATAATAAAAGCTGTACCTTTCATTCGATATCATATGTGATGGTAAATGTTGTAGATTCAATTGCCTGTTCTTAGTGGTGGAGACAGGGGTGGGCTGGAGGGAGCTGAGTCCCTCCTGAAATTTTTTTTGGCTCCGTCACTACCTGTTCTTCTGATTACATCACATCTAAATGTGTCTTAATGATATCAAGAGACAGAAAATTTTGTATAAATTTCATTCATTTCGTTTTTTAATCAAACAGTCAATCCTAAATATAATGTTGCTAGAACATCAATTGCTCAAAATAACAAATAGATAATGTCGAATTTTAATTTTAAATAGGATTAGATTAAATTTGAAATAGTGAGAAATGCAACTTTTTTTTATATATAGTTTTCAAACAGTAACTACCTTTAAAATGAGATATGTATCACATTTTATTATTTCAATAAAAGAGACACAGACACTGATTCATCTTTGCTCTGCTACTAATAAATGTTATCATCAATTAATGATGCATGTTTCATTTTTTAGATTTGATTGTGTCCTTTTTGCGTGATTCAAAAAATGATGCCATCATTTTCTTGATTAAATATTAAAGTGTTTGACTGTACAATTTATTCTTACGAAGAAAACTGAACATTAAACTTATAAAGACAAGAATGCCATCAAGAAAACTCATTAACCATCTCCGTTCCCCCTGACTTTAGTATTCTCGATCAATTATCGCAGACTTTTTCTTCTTGTCTTGTATCATAGCTATTGATCATCGTTCGAGAATTTTTTATTTACTTATGTGTCAGATATATTGTTTTTTTTTCATACAATCCAAAATACTAAAACAAATTACTAATGTTACATTATTCAATATCATAATTCAATATAAATTGTATCATTTGAACGATTAAATATTGTTCATCTAACATGCAAGCATTCAGTTTACAATCAACAGTAATCACTTCTGATTTTCTCGTTTGATCACTAACAACTAAAAGACAATGTTCACAAAGTCCATTTCTATAAATAACTAATCACCAACGATCATTGATAAATAATGTTTAATAAAGAATAAAATCAATATTTCGACCACATTTTTATAGTGAAAATGATAGAAGAATTGGAATTGTAGTAAATAGCTGTGTTAAATCCATTGCATAAAGACTTATAGGAAAATTGATCATTTTTATTTTTAATAACTAGATCAAACCGTGAACTTAATGGATTAACACGAATATATCGAATAGTTAGAAAAAGGTATAAAAAAAATATCATCAGCAAAATTTTACCAGCATTATCTTTATTAATGAAGTTTTTTTTTCACCAAGCATTTTTTAGATTCCATTCTGGTAATGAACCGTATTGTCGAGTATTTTCTTTTGGATCATGACAACAAATAAAACACCTTTATCTTGCTCAACATATGCCAAAGCAATAAAATGATGTTATTGATTACCATGAACTTGTTGTACACTAATTCATGTAAATAAATGTGTATCAAATAATGAAAGTGCCATTCGATCCAAAACAAGAAAATAATTTTGTATTGAACACCAAACAATATCTGATACAAACCCATCTTCTATGGTTGACCATAAAACACTTCCATCCAGAACTCATGCAATCATTAGGGATCCTTTAGACACAATTTTCATTTGAGATTTTTGTTCTATGATGGTACATTTAATAGATCTAATCAAGATACGTTATTTAATACTAAAAAAGTGAGATCTTCAATAGTAATATATGTTGTCCGAAAGTATAAAACAGAATTCTCTGCAATTCATCAAAATTTTCAAAAATTTATAAAATAGGACTCGAGGATGGGTTCAAAGATTCCTTCATATCTCTTGATAGGATTTTCAGAAAAAACTAAAAATTTGGTTTTGAGAATAACTTTTCACGCTCTTTCGAATGGTCTAACTTATTTCATAATAAAAATTTTTTCAAATGCAAATGTTTATATATTTGGTTGATTTTCCCATGGACCCCATGAGTTGCCTAATTCGAATCATAATATAAATGCATCCTCAACAGTCATATATGACTTATAAAATAAATCGATATATATCGGAATAGATTTAGTTCTAGTTCTAGTTATATAGATATACATAGATATACATAGGGTGTGGGTGTGGGTGTTGGTGTGGGTGTGGGTGTTGGTGTGGGTGTGGGTGTGGGCGGGTGTGAGTGGGTGTGGGTGTGGGTTGAAAAAAGGCGAACATCTACACCCACCCACACCCCACCCACACACCCACACCACCACACACCCACACCCATACCCCACCCATCCACACCCTATGAATAACATGGGTATCTATGTATGTCTATATAACTATGACTAAAACTAAATCTATTCCTATGAATAACATGGGTATCTATGTATATCTGTATATCTATATAACTATAACTAAAACTAAATCTTATCCGATGAATAACATGGATATCTATGTATATTTATATAACTAGAACTAGAAGTAAATCTATTCCTATGAATAGTGTGGTTATATTTTGTGCATTTATATTATAAGTCGAATTAGGCAGCTACTCGAAAAACGACCGGAAACCTTTTCAGTAGATAGCTTGTTCTGAAGTACATTGACTATTTTTTTGCTTTGAACACGAGTGATAACAGCTTTATTACGAAATTTAGGATTTAACTCATCAATATGTCTTTTAGCAAGTTCATAAAATTTTTCACGTGCAAAATCATTGATAATAGGATGAGAATAAGTTGATTGTTGTAATGTCATTGTTGATTTTGCAAAAGAAAATATCGAAAGCTATTCAACACTCAATGAACTTTGTTTATGAAAATGAAAAAAAATTGGTAGTTAGATGATATAAAATAATCACGAACAGAGAGCGAATTCTGCCTAGTCAAAATTGAATTTGATAGAAGCGCCAAAAAAAACAATTTTGCCTGAAATTCAAATTTGCCTGTGACATATATTGAAGTTTAACATTATTAAAAGAAAAACCAAGTCGGATAGTGATAAAGCGGAAAATTAACTACGATTTTTAATTATCTCGCCAATGAATAAGCCATATTGATTGAATAGAATCGATTGAATTATAAGAATCTGTTTGCCTTCTCTTTTAATATTAAGACACTATTATATTTATTGTGATAATGGTGAAATCTTGTTGTTGCTCTCTTTATCCATTGATGCTGGTCCGACTAGATAAATAAATAGGTTATGTATCATAGCTAAGAATATGTTATTTCATTCTTTCTGCACTTTTCTTGCGCAGTTAATTTTGAATATTTTGCATTCTACAATATTTTCAACTAATCACATAGTTTACTAACTATTTTTGCAATGAGTTGTAATCAAGAAGAAAAGCGCGGCTGTAGTAATTTTTCGAACTATTGGAGTCGTCCTTGTTACCTTCTTATCATAACACAATTTTACGAGACATCCAAGATAACAGTTCCCTATCAAAGACGCAGACAAAAATATAAATTTTATGATGGCGGCTTTGACATTAAAAAGGATGCATTTTTATGAGTTTTATTTGATTTGAGTTGGCTATGCTCTTGAAAGTGTTGTGTCTAGTCTCGGTACGTCTACACGATAAAACATCTCCACCTTCACTCTGTTCTGGTTGTGTTTATTATGTAAAAGAACCTTTGTTGTTTCAGAATAATTGTGTATATCGAATACCTGGTTCTTAATAATTTTGATATTGTCACATCGTCATCCTCAAAAAAATATTTCAAGTTTGTAAAAGTTCATTTTAATTACTCGATAATTAACGTTTTTTTTTTCATCTCAATATTATTTATATTAAGTTTCTAATTCGCTCGAAAAGAACATCTATTTAATTATCTACTCTTTGTATGATAGTGTCATTGTTCTCTGTTACTCAAAGTAATACTCGATTCTTGTTTTCATTCATGCATAGCTTGACATCTTTTTTTTCTCATAATTAGTTAAGAGTTAATATAGTTAGTAGGTCAACAATCCAAATGAATGGCTGAATACAAGCCAGTCTTTAAATGTTTAGTGCTTTCATTGAAATCTTTTATTCTGATATAGAAAACAAAGATGCGTATGAAATGATCAAATATTACCAATAATGCAAATCCTCCATATTTCTATTTACTGTTTAGTGTAACACAGATTTTGACATTTTAAAAATTTTTCTGGCCATGTCGACAGAGATAAGAAAGAAGCAAATAATTATACTTAGATATCATTAGTAAGCTTTGAGCCCATTTGGTTTCTTTTTTCGTGTTTTTAATAAATAAAACAAGTTGAACAGACATAGAAAATATATGTTGAAGAGTAACATGAAGCTTATCATTTAAAATTTATGGTACTCAATTGAGATCCTTATTAAGAGAGTATATTATTAGCTGAAATGTTAAAACAATTTTATCAAATTTGTTTTTCGTCTGTTTTCATTTTGTTTTTATCTTAACCATGTAAAAAAAACTGAGTATAAACCTATGTTAGCGTTAAACTTCATAAGAGCGCAATGATAAACATAATTAACAATGAGTGTGCAACTGATGTTTTTCTCACTCTAGCAAAAAATTAGACTAGAAAATAAACTTGATAAATATATTTTAGTATGTTTTCTAATGATGCACGGTCTTAATAATGATGTCAATTGAATAGAGTAAATTTTGGATGATAGTTCAAATGTTACAAATACATATCTTCTATGTTTGTCTAGGTTTATATATTTGAAAAAAAAGCAAACTCAAAATGATCCGAAACCTATGAAACAGTTTTTATATATGCTACATTTACACAGCGTGCGGTAGTTAGATGAGCTTCTTAAAGGTAGAAGAATTTTTATTATATATGTTCACCTGTTATTAAACATTTAGTTTTTGAACGGATTCTACTTATAGAGAGAACAATCATATTGTTTAGATTTGAGTTGCTTGAAATATAATTCAGATGAATTCTTATAAGAATTCAATCGTGTTACAAATGATTTATTAGTTTGATTTCAATCTGTAAGAACACATATCAAATTTATAATCCATAAGAATTTAAAATTTGATATAGATTCCTATGGATCAAAATTAAATTAATATGTCATTTATTACAAGATGGTAACAGGATTGAAGCAACCAAGAAGTCATCTAAATAATGGTTCAAGCAAACCAAACCTCTGAAATATGCTTATTCTCTATAGGAACACACTCAATGCTAAAATTGAACATGTTAAAAATCTTGAGTGAATATATATTCGTTCGAAGCAGAGACCGAGACTGAACCGATGTATTCGACTCAGCAACAACCTCATCATTGAGTCTCAAATACTAGCAATAAAATGCACTTCATCATAAGGTTCATATTCTCTGTGTCTTGCATTTTTTCAAACTGTTTCGATTTCTTTGCGTGAGAAGTCTACTAGTTCAACTATTACTTATATTTACATAAGAAAAAGTCAATTTATATTGACTTATTCTAAGGTTAATAATTTTAGAACCAGCAGATACATGTGCAGCTCTTTTCATGACTCTGTCTTTTTCCATGCAACTGGTAGAGTTTTTTATTTTCATATAATATTCTGAGCTAATCAGTAGATGATCGAAGTTTTGCACCCTTTCAGTTGATAGGTTGATAAAGTTCTACTATCGATATACGGGTACTTGCTCTTTTGATTGCATAAGCAGCAGTACGCTTATAAATAAATTTAGATTTGATGATTTATTACTCTTCTACATATTCTGATTTGTGAAATGGAATGACAACTGACTTGAGAACACTAGAGTGAAAACAAAATATTGAGATTTTCTAATTCAAAAACTATGGAATTGATCCAGCCAAGGTTATAGATTATTAGCTTTAGTTCAGATCAGGACATTGAGATGGAGTTTGACTGAAAATAGAAGTTACTTTACTATGTTTCATAATATGTGCATCTTTCTTCAAGAAGAAGACAAATATATCAGTGTTAATTATGTAAATTCACAAACTACTATCTTCACTGATCGATAAGAAAAATAACTTTATTAATAATAACAAGTCCTGATTTGTATTCTAGCTTTGCTTTGAAGCTTGTAAATTTCTCTAAATCAATAGATTTAGCATACAGATACAGGAAAACCTTAAGTGAAATTTGATGCAAAATGTATGTAAATTTTGCTTATGACAATGAAGGAATTGTCGTTTCTGTTTGGTATTAACTGAATCAAGATTCTCGTAATAGTTTCGATCTCTAGTTTGGAAGTTTTAATGCGTTCTGAAGGTATAAAATTGTACGTTTTTCACGTGTTTTTGGTTATTGTCTGTCTGACTAAATAACACATGCATAAGTATTGGAAATATTCAGCTATCGTAAAGTGAATTTTCCCAAGATGACACATTGAATTTTGTTTCAGCGTGTCGTCGTCTGATATATATTGAATTTTTCTAATATATTCGATTATGTCATACTTGGTTCTTGTCCAACATGCTTAAACATATATATATACCCTGAATTCGTTTGTTCTTTAGTTATCTTCTTATTCATTTGGAGGTTTCTTTTCTTTCTCTCCCTCTTTCTTTCCTATTGTCTAAGTTCTTCCAAATATCATGTCAAGTGCTATACGAATAAATCGAGTTCACTCTTATCGGAAAGAGCTGAAATAATTTTTTTTTTTTTGATTCAATCGATCAAACTGATTTCTTTCGATTAAAAAATTGAGAGTAAATGTTTTAATTTTCTATCAGCTTTAAATTAAAAAAAATTAATTTAACCAAAAACTTCAAAGAAATCAAAATAATTGAACAAGATCACTTTTTTTGTCACAATCGTGGTAGACTTCATCCTCTAAATGTACGGATACTTTTTCTTTAACAAACAACTTCTACCTGTAGACCTGAGTTATAAGAAAATACTTTCGCAGTCAATATACAAAACCGTTTCGAACTGTTTAAAGTTCTGAGGAAACAATAAAACCTATCTATTTTCATCGAAGCAAGCAGTACTGAGATTAAAGGTTCTGAGAATTCTATTGAAACTGTCCAAAATAATTTAGAGCGTGAAAGCCTATAGTAGTTGTCATCTAAAGTCTTAAAAATATAATCTTTGTATAACATTATAGAGACCATATCCTTATTTACCGCAATTTGGTATATAGTTTGCGTGAAGAACTATATGGATGTTCCGAACAGAATGATTTCTGCTGTTTCATAATACTCTAAAATCATTCGAAACCATTTTCTTAGTCAAATCTTGACAAATGAAGACAATAGCTTGTTTCGACATAAAATAGAAAAAAAAGGAAATTTAGTGATTTATGTGTTGTTACTAAGATCATATATGGGTAATTATTGACCTTTCAGTGTGAAATTGTAGCCCAATCGATGGTCATTCATTGCTGAGAAGATCATCCCATCTGCATGAGTAATGAAGGGTCCTGAATTCCTACAATTTCCTGACGGTCACCAATGTGCCATATTCGTTAAGTAAATTGTTTGCTTCTAGAACTTTTAGAAAACATTGATCAACTATCGGAAAACACCTCCGAAAATTATAGATTCATCCTTCAGACGTTTGTGGAGTTATTGATCATTCAATAACATTCTATGGTTATTTTTTGCATGTCCATGTTTGCCGTAAAAAATGATCTAGGTCGTCACTACGTTATTGCTCTTCGATAAAATTCATCTTAGAAATCGCTACAACGCAATGGTACAAAATGAGGGATTCAACAACTTAATAAGTTTACCTGTTCTCCAATAACGAGATGCATAATAACCGTAGATATCACCTATTATAGTTCCGCTCTATTTTGAATGATTTTTTGCACTAGTGTTACTCTTGACCTATGCTACGTATGAAGTATTTGTACAAGAATTCTCAGATTTTTAGCTAGTATAGAAACTACGATTCGAGTGAGAGAATACTTCTGGCGAGTAGTGTAATTCACTAAGGTCGACAGAATTTATTAAATTCCCATTCAAAAAGAAACGGATATCTCCGAAATTCCCCTCTTAAATGACATAACAAATGAATTCTTTTGTTATGTGCATTTACATGAAGCTAATAGATATGAATCCGTTACTGAATACGCATCGAACTAAACAGAATAGATGTTTCCATCAACAGACAGAGTCATTCTCATTATCTCATTCTCATATCGATTAGAAATGGATTTTTTTAGATATTCGACAAGAAAATTCTTACTAAAAATATGAATTATTACTGGCAAAGATTCATCGCTGTTAAGAATTTGAATAAGTTTTGTCTTTCTAAAATAAATAAGAAAATTGTCATCGAAAATACATCTACTGTTTATTTGTTGCCACATGTAGTTTTATCGTTCTGTATAAACAGGGAATAAATTATGTAAATGTAGGCGTAGAAACTAAAGAGAAAAGGTGAAAATTTTTTGCTTTACAATATTCAGCATGTCTTTGAGTTATAAAATTCTTGCTTTTTCCCACTTCATAAGAAGAATCCATAAAATATTGTTCGTATGCTCAATTATTAATAAATTTATAAGGATCTTGATGAATAATTATTACTAATCTGACTTAGGTAATTTCAACATGTTACCAACAAAGAAAGAAAGAGTGTAAGGTTTATTCCGAGATAACAGTAGTGTGATTGATACTTTGATATTGTGCATAAGAAATAGAGGAGTTTGATAAATGTGAAATTTCCAGATATGCGACCTTCATATATATGAAAGCATGTTCGGTAGAATGTCAACTTCAGTTTTGATCTGGTTCGATGGCTGAATTCATTCTAACACTTATTATAATTGCTCAACCGAAAGCGTTACATCGTGAAAGATATTTCTGCGAAATAGATCGAAGTCGTAATCGATCACAACGTTTTATTCGTGCTGAAGCTAATTCAGATCGTTTGGAATATCCAACAATCGAAGTAAGTAAAATTTAAAATATTTATTTTTCATTTATTTCTAATATTATTGTTAACTAGATACCAAAACAATGGGATAGTCAAAGGTTATATATTCGTGTAACTCTAGTAACCGTATGCAGTGAACAAGTGCCTGTGACATGCGTACATCCTTATCCAATTGATACTTCAGAATTAAATGTTATTAAAGACGTAGCAAAAAATACACTTTATTTTCCAATATCAGAAGAAGAATTAAATAATGGACGCAAGAGGTAAAATGCAAAAATAAAAACGCTTTTCTAAATAATTGACTTTATTGTTTTGTTAAATTTAGTTTTCGAATTATTCGTAGAAAATTAACTCAACAGGAACTAAGAAATTACGGACAATTATCTCTTTTGAATACAGGTAATGAAATAAATTTAAAAAAACCTTATGTACTAATATGTTTTGTTCTCTAGATGAAAAAGATATTCGACGTACAGATGATCCATATGATGTTCGAAGAATAATTGATGTTTATCAATTAGGAAAATCACAATTACTTTTTTCTATAGCTGAACTAATTGATGATCATTCATTACCAGTTATCTATGATGTAACATCTGTATATTCTCATATAACGACTGCTATTACAACAGCATCTATAAATAATGACGAATCATTTGTTAGATGGGCACCGAAGAAAGGTTGCTGGCAAGGTGGTGATGATATTTTAATGGTAGTTCCAAAACTTGACAAGAGAAAAGGTAATTTATTATTATCATGTTTTTGTTTATTGGTATGTAGTTAAATCTTTTGGTTTTTCTATTCTAGTATGTCAAGTATATTTTGAGTGTCTGTCATCAAATGAAAAAAGTCACATTAATTTTGAATTTGTGGATATGAAAACAATTGCATTCAAAACTCCTCCATGTCCTATACAAGCAATCGAAGATGAAAACATAGTAATACCTATAGTTATTAGTCAAAGTGGTGAAGAAATTGCACGTGTTAATTTTATGTATCAAGCATGTAAATAACTTTATTTTCTTTAGGATGAGTATTGAAGTTTCTCTTTTCTCTCTTTAGTTCATAAATGTTCAAATTGTGATACTAAGGTTATGTTCGATTCTTTCGATTCGTCAAACAATGACGAACAATCTTCACCATTAGATATTTGTTTAGATGATACTGATATTTCTACGTACTCTTATGGTCTGCTTAGTTAGATGAATCATTAATTTAAAATTATGAATTTCATTTTAGTAGATCACAATATAAAACGTGAAAAATAACCTTTTGTGACGGCAAAGTACTTTATTCTATATGGATCGTTTTCAAAGGTGAAGTAATGCTTATTTTTCAATCGAAAATTTTTTTAATCTTGACATGCGTTCATTCTTTTTTTATTATTACAAAAATAACATTTTTTTAACCTTGACATGCGCTCATTTTTTTTATATTGTTACAAAAATAATTTTTTTTTAAAGAAATGTGTCTATTCTTTTAAGCTTCAATGTATATTAATAAAGAACGAATAATTCATATAGCTTGTAGTGCTACGTAGGAAGACAAAAAAGAACACAACCGATACAACTCTGAATTTTTTAAAATCATAACCGCTTGTTTTCTCTTTCTCTTTACTCAAGAGAGATTTAGAAGGGATATTTCAATAATTTATCATACAAAGGAAATCTGATATCAAAGAGATTACTAAATAGAAAAGTCAAGGGAAACTTAATCTGTTGTTATTTACTAAGAACAATGTCCATGTTGATCATTACTCATAATTTTATCAAGAAAGCACTACAGGTTAAGAAAACCTATTGTTGGAGTCTATGAAAAATTGGAATTTAAAATACAACCGAAACTGGTTTTATATAAACAAGAAGATTGAAGATATATTATATTTTGTAACTTAAAATATCAAATATCTGTTGGATTTTCATAATAAACACTTGAAATGATTATAATTGATATATCTGTCTAACATGATTGATATCTCATGTGTTAACTATTATATAAGACAAAATAAATATCGAACTAAATATTTAATAAATAAAAACGAAACATTATAATTCTTGCCTATTTGAATTGTTCTAAATCATTTCTAAGTAGAATATTTGATTTATATATTCATATCATGTAAAGAAATAAAATCTTAGACATAGCTTATTTACCGTCATTGGTGATAAAAGAAAAATGATCCATTTTTTGCCATGTGATATTCTCTTGTTTTTCTGTCCTTCACATTTTTTTAAAATAAATATAATGCGGCTGAAGTGTTTCGTCTATGCTAATGCAAGTAAAAGGCTTCAACTCACATAATATTAATGTGTTGAAAAAAGAAATTCCTCATCACAATCTGTTGAAATAACTATGAATAATGAATTTATTTTTCAAATCTCATTTTTCACTGAAAAAAGAATCTTATTTATGTTTTATGTAACCTTGAAAACATATACATGTTGATAGGATCTCTAGAGTCAATTGTTCCACGAATCTTTTGATTATTTAAATTTCGAGTTCACTGAGAGAAAAATATTTTCGAGTGAGAGAGTGAAAGAAAAACACATACCGGCAGAAGAAAAAAAAAGGCTAAGTCAACTTGGAAACATCTTCTCGGCTTTTTATTATATTGTGTTTTTTTTTTTTTATTGACCACATTGTTCCTATACATCAAACTCCGTATATTACATAGTTTTAAGTATTGTACAAAATTTTATTATTATCATTATTGCAATATTATTTAACAAATGTCGATGGCATATGGTAATGAATTAAGAGAAAGATTTTTTCTTTTTCTTTTTAAATAAAATTCGTTTTAGATTGGAATAAAATTTCTGCAGAAGATATAGATTTCGATGAAAAAAAATGGGAAGCTTTTATTAATTCTGATGAAGTATATACTGGACAATTTTCAAAATCAATCAATACAATAGATACTACAAATATAAATTTTAATAAAAAAGATATTGTAAAATTATCAGTGAATTGTTTAAAAAAATTAACTTTTATTAACAGCGATAAATTTATTCATACTGGTCGATCAATGGCAATTCTTATTTCACCATCTTCTAATCAACGTGTTCGATATGAAAATGAATGTGAAAAAATACTTCGTTATCTTTCTGTTCCAAATAAAAGAACTATGACGATAAAAGTAAATGAAAAAAAAAAAATTTTTTTTTTGTATTATTATTTTTAATTTAAATAGATTCCTGATGTTCGTGATATGTTTGGCATTGATGATATGATTTGGATGCGTATAACACGTACAACAATTGATCATCGAAAAGATAATCTTATTTTTTATCATCCATATCCAACATGGATTAAAGATAAAAGTGCTCGAATTCATAATGGTTCAATTTTTATTCCAATAACTGATAGAGATATGGAAAATGGTTTTATTGAGTAAAATTTTATGAAAAACAAAAAAGTTAAATATTTATATTTATTTTCTAGAATTGATACTATAGCATTAATTAGACTTAAACAAGATGATTTAGCTAAGATTAATACATTAGGAATTTATTCACGAACTCAACTTAATTTTGTCGGTAAGAAGCTAAATTAATTAATTGATTATCTATTTCGAATTATAGATTTACATTCGTTGGATATCACAACACCAAAATGTACAAGAGATGAATATATACTTCGACAATCAATTTTGAATTTTCAACTTGTTCGAATTGATCAAAATAATATTGCATATCTTACTGATTGTTTTTGTCAGACAGAATCTATACATGAAATAGAAGGTAAAATTTCTTGTTGTTTACAATAAAAAGTTATACATAAATGCTTTTTTTATAGCAAATGGACAACGACAAATAAACAGATCTCACAAAGTGAAAACAATTAAATCGAAGATATTATACAAAAAACAAAAAAATTAATTAGAAAAAAGAAACATAAATACTCAATTAATCAGATCATTAATCCAATAGAATTGATGAACTTAATCAACTTATCATTAGTTGTTGATAAAACAATACATGTGTTTCATAATGATGCACAAAGAGTGTTTTATATATTTATTGAATCATTAGACCTTTTATTTTGAAAAAATAAATAATTGTATAAATGTTATTTTCCTCTACATGTACACATGCTTCAAGATAAATTCGACTTGAAATATTGATCTGCATTCCCGATTTATAGTTCATTTAATTTTTCAACTATAGAACATGCCAAAGATTCGAAGACAAAAAGAAATGTAAATACTTCTTGAACAATTGAAGCGATTTATATGCATTTTCTATGATTTTGTTGGACACTTAAGAAAACTTTGTTTCGTGTAATTTTATTTGCAGCTAAAGTTCAACAAAGATCTCATGGAAGTATAATAGGCAAGTCCACTAGTTCTAATATTTGGACAAAAAAAAAACAACATATAAAGAATACATTTAAGAAATACAAGAAACTAAGGTGTGAATAATATCAGACTCGGGTGAAAGCGATATTGGTTTTATTCATATATCGTTAGTTAGATACTGGCGTGCTGATAACGAATATGTATATTCTAAGCTTTTTCTGTCACCGTTTAGGAGAGAAATTTTGAAAATACTCAAAAGGTGTTAAAATGGACTAGAAGTGTTCGTTAAGAAAGAGTATAATTTTTTTACTATTTTTATTGTCGCATTTTCCAAACTACATCGTTTTCTTATTCTCTATGTAAAACTTAGCATAAGGAAGTCATATTTTATTGACTTTAAAATCAAAGATATGTCCAATATATTTGTGTTAAACACTCCTACTAAGATCTGCTAATACCCAATATTGCAAACCAATCTATAGTCCATCCAAAAAGTCGGTGCGTGTATGTGACTATTTTTTGAATAACTCGAGAATAGAAATTGATAGAGACCTGCGGTTTTCATCATTTGAAAGAGCATTATCAGTAGCATCTATCTACCTAAGACATATTAGATAAAAAGCATTTGTTTATGCCTTTCTTTTCAACTGAATTTTTTAGTTGCTATTTTGTCATTTAATTTTCCAAGCGTTTCAATCCAGATTATACAAAAATCAAGCTAAAATCACCCCATATTCGTGATAAAATTATAATTGGCTGTTTTGATATTTTTCTTTCAACGGGACTTCTTAGGAATATGATCATTTATGTTGGAATATAACGTGGTTTTGACTTGATTTTTATATAGTTTGAGTTGAAACGCTTGAAAAATTGAATGAAAAAACAGCAACGAAAATATGACATTTGAAAAGAAAGGCATAAACAAATGCTTTTAATCTAATGTGTCTTAGGTAGATAGATGCTACTGATAATATTCTTTCGAACGGTGAAAATCGCCGATCTCTATCATTTTCTATTCTCGAGTTTTTCAAAAAATAGTCGTACGCACTAGCTTTTTCGATGGACTAGAGTAATTCTACGAACAGAGATGAAGCCAAATGTCTTACTTCATTAGAACTTCTTGAAGCAGAGCTTTAACAGTATTTATTTCATTTTTTTTAAATGCTAGTATTCGTAAGACAATAGAAGTTTATGGTCTAACGAGCAAAATCCTGCAGAAACTTGTCTTGTTTTTTTGTTTTTTATTATTCTAGTGAATGTAACACTCGGAAGTGCTTATACATGATAGTAGAAAAAGAAATAGTGACGTTTAAGCCAGAAGCAACATCATTAATGCAAAGCGTTTCACAATTTGCCACTACTATAGTTATGACGAATATTACATCACGCTTGTAGGGATGTTAAAGAGGTAAAATAAAAGGGATCAAAGAAGAAAAAGAAAAAAAAAAGAGTAAAATAAAGGCTAGATAGAGAAGAAGAAAGAAAGAAGGAAAAAAAGTGGATTAAGGCATTACATTTGCTCTCTTTTTTTTAATTCGTTTCAACAAATAACACCCATTTTACAAGAAATGATTCGTGTCGTTCTATTAATTGTCGCACACGACGCGTACGAAAAAAATGGCCGAGGTGATCGTTTTTTCTTTTGTAAAATTCATCCCACACGAAAATATCATTATAGAAAAGTGAGGATTCAAGATCAGTCAAATGCATTCTGCTCAATCGTCTTTGAACTCGTCTTGTGTTCAACTATTGTAACCATTAGAATACCAGAAAAAGAACAATATGAACGTCATATGTGAAACCAGCTTAAAAAATACTCCAGGTTACATACATATCATCAAAACCATTTTTCTATCACAAACTCATGTTGAATGAGAACCCGAGACAAACATTTTCGATAGAAATATATGTTACTCGATACAGTCTTTTTAAGCTGATTTCGAAGATGATGTTTATTTTGCTTTTTCTGGCAGTCTAGTAGTAAAAATGGCTGAATTCAAGATGAATGTTTGCATGATTTTGTCTTGTACAAAAAAATTTCTATTTTCTCACAAATGCCACCAACTTGTTGAATAGTAAATAAATACTGTTGAAATCCATCTTCAAAAGGTTCTAACGAAATAAGACACTTGCCTTCATTTCTTTTCATACAAACAACTAGAAAGGTTCTGCAACCTTGGATACTAGCGAACTTTGTTAGAGAAGGAGAAAGGTCACGAATCGCAGTGTCTGTCAGGATCCTAACGAAAGAGTTGTTCAAACAAGGATGTCTGTTTAACACTTTTCGATTGTATTCAAACTTTCTCTCTTCAGAGAAGATAGAAAAAATCCGAAACTTACATATTTATGATTAACGCATCAGATTTCATCTAAAGATCTGTGAATAAAACTAGAATCGTTTCTACTTCAGATTTGCATTATCCACATCTTAATTTTATTTGGATATATTCATATTCATATAAACAATTTTTCATTTGAATTGTATTTGAATTGTTTCTTCAGCATATAGTTTGCGAATATGGTTCATAACTTTAACATACCGTGTACTATAAAACCATACACAACCAGCACGTTTCGTTTAATAATAACGTCAAATCGATTGAGATATATTGGTGCGTTGATAACGAAAACCATCGAGCACAAATTGGACCTTGTTTTTTGAACATTATCCAATTGAAATTGTATAGCAATAATAGAATGAAACAAACAGTAGTAAAGTCTGAATAAACAAAATGAAATATAACTCATTGAACACTTATTCGTCTCTATAAATATGATTCTCTTAATCATGAAGGTAAGTACTAGCGAATTATCAATACCATAGAATTTTGCTTGTTTATCATGCACTTTTTTTATTTTGTACTAAGCGATCTGATATTGATTTTGTGTCTTATTTAATAATCGATGGACGTTGAACTATCGAAACTCATCTATTGTGTCACCTTGATCTTTAGTAAGTATTGTCTGAACAATATGTTCAATATATTCCCATTGAATAAACTCGAGCTACTCTAAGTTCAATACACGTAGAGTTCATCGAATTGAACTACATCTTGGAATTCACATATTAGCAAATAATATTTTGTAGAAACTAATATAATAGTTAACTACCGATGTATAAAGACGAATCTTTGCCTTGAAACAATTTCTGAATTTTGTAATTATTCGATACATGTTTCAACGAATTTTGACAGTAGCTTAAATGCATGATGTCGATGCACTTTTATGAATAACATATGCTTCATTGATTCATTTGGGATCTAGGAGAGTTACTCGAAGAACAATTGCTCGCTTAAACAATAACTCATGAGGAAATTTGCTCACTAGAACGCTTGGTCTACAGGTCATTTGTACACATGCGTATGGATGTGAGTATAAATGTGAATAAAAGGAAAACCTAGACCAAGACCAACATTCATCATTGTTTAACTTGAACAGTAGTATTAATGATTGGTGCTATCAGGTAGCTTTTTAATTTCAATTTGACTTCTAAAATATATTTGACATAAAACTCTAGCTAGCTCACATTTATGCAAATGAAACAAAAGGAGTGTAACTGATATTAGTATTTAGGCAGCAGTATTGGTGTAGGTGAGACTCTTGCTTTCACCCACACATCTCACTTTCACCTTCTTCATCCCATCCACAATCTTTCTAACTCAACTATCCCTCAAAAATATACTGTAATTTTATATACTTTTCATATTAAAACGAATTTTCTTGACCCAACTCAACGTCAGACTACGAGTTTTATTCCCTCAGTTGAATATGTAAAAATCAATTTTAGTTGTATATTGCAGACATTTTGTCTGTACTCGTACAGCAGTATTCTTAACTTATATCATTCATTGCATAATGATGTGCAGAAATTTGAAGTTTCAGGAAACAGGGATTTACTATGCTCTCTTTCGTGAGTAACTCTCCAACTCTTCGCATTTCAACTGTTATTACTTTCGAACTTCCAAAAAAAAGTTCATTTTGCTACAATACCAATCTCACAAAAGTATTGCGCAATATCTTTCATGTTAGTCATATTTTTTGTGGAACTTGAATGGTTGTTTTCTTGTTCCAAACATACGTAATTTAAATTTGATCGTCTATAAAACTATTCTGATTACAATGTTAATAAATGCAGACATTTTATCTTAAATATATTGAATAAATCTTTAAAGAACATAGAATTAACTGATTGTAGAAGTATGCAAATCTTTTGAATTTAATTTAAGAGATTTTTACGTTAATTTTTTCGTTTGAATTTTTAGAACACTTTGCATCCTTCTACATGCAATCGAGGAATCAATATGCACCATTGCATGTATCTTCCATCTCTATATTATTGTGGTTGGAAATTTCCAACAGTAATTACATTCATTCTATTACCATTTTTTTTCTTTTCTTCCGGTTGTTTTTGTCTCGGCAGTATTTAACAGTTGTAGTTTCTTTGTTTTTTCATCATTTTTTTTATTCAATACAGCAAGTGAACTTCGATAATCTGAGTAAGACTATTGTATATGATTAAAATATTTTTCAATGCGTGTGAGACATCTATGCTCATCATTCAAATACTATAAGATTCCTTTGCGTACTAATCCTTTTTTTACAATTAGAACAAAACAAACATCAGATGACTATAAAAAAAGGTTGTCTTGCGAAGTCTCATATTTTTTTGTAAGATATCGGAAAACAAGAAAAACATTGATTTTTTTTTCATTCATTTCAGACAAAAAATAGGTAACAAATATGATATATCAACCAGACGACAGTATGTTAAAACTATAAAGTGATGATTATTTTATCTTTTCATGTTAATTTTAGTTTTTCATCATACATATGATGACAATGAATTCAATGGTCTTGAAACAAGCGTATCATTACCTCCTATTTCTCAAGTGGCAAACAATGAGGATAGTAATGGTATCGATCAAAATTTATTAGAACCACTGAATGAATTATCTGCTTCAATTATTGTTGATGAATTCATCAATAAAATTATCAGCTCGGGTGAAGCATCACCACGCACACTTTGTTGTGATCCTGATGAACCACTATTTCCCGGTTATCAATTGGAGGATAACCAACTAGAAGATTTTTTTGAAGGTATTTTCTTTTCACATGTTTAAAACTAGATATTCTAAAATAAATTATAGATCCGATCAATGAAGTTACAACTACAACGACTACTATCGGTACTTGAGAACCTTTTTGTTTTTGCTGTTATAACATTTATTTTTATTATTTGTTAGCTACTGAAAATGCTAATAATAACAATATTGTTAATGATACATCATCAGAATTAATTTCAAAAGAACATGAAAATTTTGTTCGTAATTAATTTTTATATAAAGACTGAAATTTTACTTGAAAATATGTTTGTTTAGAAATCGGATGATATCAAAAATGTTTTAAACGAATCTTTTGCTGAGTTTAGTCTACAAATGATTGATAATTCTATTGAACAACGAACAATGGTTGTTGAAAGTCAACCACCAGCTAATCTTCGTTATCGTTATGGAAGTGACGGAAAACGTCAAATAGAAAAATCTCGTACAAAACCTATGATTATTAAAGTATGTTAATGTCCGTTATCTTTTAGTTAAGATATCAATTTTTGTTCGTTTAGTTACCAGATTTAAAAGACATACAATTAAATTCTAATCAATCATTTTGGTTTCGACTCATTTTGACTACATATAGTAAAAATCCATTAGATGAAGAATATCTTCATGTTAATAAATTAGAATATCATTGTAATGATGTACACGAATTTAGTGATAAAACTATTTGTATTCCATTAACTCCAATGGATATTAAAGAAGGAAAAAAAGTGTAAGAATTTTTATCTTTATTAAAATTTTCTTAAATTTATTTGTTATTCAGACTTCCACGGTTATCCATAATCAAAACAACATTAAATAATTATAAATCCAAATTAGTTCCATTGAGTCTAACAAAAATACACAATGAACCAAACGAAAGTACATACTATTTTATATATCAAGATATGTCGTGTTAAAGTTACTCTGGTTAACAAAGTGATTTCAAAAAAACTAAATATCAAATGATCATCATTTTAAAAACATAAGTATAATTTTTTTTTGACGCATGAGCAGACAAGCAATTAATCAGAATAATTAAACATTACATTCAGTTTATATTTGTATATGATTTTTGATGTATTCAGATGACGTTAACGAAAGAACCTCTTCACGTATAAAATCGATTTTTGGCTGAGACAATGTTCATTTGAATAGGACTAGTGAGGAATAGAAAGAACTGGAATGAATTTGATTTTTCGGACTCTAATTGTTCAAATATTGAAATTTTACTGACTTGCTCGTCCCTCTCAGGTAACATTGAAAATTGACTTTCGATTATAAACTTTGTATGCACAAAGTTTATAATGAGATTAGTTGATTGAGCAAGTTATAAATTTTCTAGTCTCCTATTCTGAGATATTCGAAATTCTTGCATGTGTAAAAATGAACTTTGTTCATATGTTTTCGTCCGCAAAAATGAAATAGTGGTTGCATAATGAACTAATTTTCTTAAGAACTTTGTTTCTGCAACGATTGAAGTTGAAAGTCAATTTTACACATAACCTGAGGGAAGAAAAAAAATCCAGTAAAATTTCGATATCTCAAGAACGAAGACCTGGGAAATTTAACCATTCTAAACTTTCCTACTACTCTCTAGTACTCATCAAATGAGTACTGTCTCTTTCAAAAAGCTATTTGACACCTATGAAAGTTCCCTCGTAACTTCTGTAGCTAATGAGATAGATTTCTAAAAATACGAAACTCTATTTTAAACAATATTTGAATTTTATATTAATAACTAAGCAGATTCACACATGAACAAATGAAATGTTGACCGGTTTCATACTCATAAAAAGTCTTTAGGTAACTGAAATTTTTGGTACTTACCATATTTCAGAGTTATTTTTAGAAAAGTCTGATATAAATTATACCATTAGAGCTAATTTAAAAAAAAAACATCAGAAAGATATGATTACAATAGTAATAGATAATGAGTTCAAACACTCGAATTTGTCTTCCGTTGTATATAACATATTTTGATTATCCTAGAAAAAGTTATAATCCGTGGAGGAGCCATTCTGTATTTTGAGTTAGTTTCTTCACTTTGTTTCTATTTTCGCTATTACGCTCAGCAAAGTACCTTCCTTATCTTAGTTATCAATCTTTTCATTTTATGCTAAAGCGAATACCTAGATTGACAAAAAAACACGAGAACAAAAGTCCTCAAACTTTAATTACATAAAATAGCTGCTCTACTTGTCATGTAAAAATATTAACTGCATGTAATGTTTGATTTTTATGAATAATTTTTTCTATGTGGATTCGTTAAAAGACAATACGTGTTTTTTAAAATGAAAAATTAATTATAAGTATACGTAGGACATTGCAGACAAAACAGGACATACTTTGATTCTTTGCAAGAATTATGTTTCTGAATAAGTTCTTGTAGCATAAACATTTGTAAAAATGTTGGTTCTTTTGGCTGACTATTAAAATCTAACTATCTGAGAAAAAACTCTGAAAACTTCAAGACAGACTCTATGGCATGAATCGCACCAACGATAAAATTTTCAGCATGATAGAACTCCAAAAGACTTGTTATTAAAAATCTGCTTTCTAGAGACCTTGCCAAGTCTAGAACTAAGAGTTGGTTTTGAACTTCTTATTCGGTTATAAGAACATTTTGCCGTACTTCGTCACGTCGCTGACGATTGATTCGATGTATATTTTGATTTTAATATCATAAATAAAATGGTGATTATTTTATGTTTAGTTGTTCTCAAAAATAACTTCATCAACCAGGATAACTCGGATGCGACATATCTATTGCATAAATATATTTTCTTATTTTAGATATAAATGAAAGAATAGCAGTACGAGAAGCAAAGAAACTTTTTAAAAAATTTAATTTGAAAGCTAGTCGAATCGTATGTGAATTAGTAATTAAACAAAATGAATTATGGCATTTTACAAATATTACATGTGAAACAAATGTTATAGAAAACAGTAAGTAATGAAAGAAAATTTTTATTAATAAAAAAAAAAACATTTTTATTTTGTGTAGAAGATCAGAAAATCACAAGAAAAAAACGATCAGCAAAAACAATTGACAGTGATGAAGAGGAATTATCAAATGAACGTCCGAATTCATCAAAATCGAAATCAACTAAACGAAAGAAACATTTCAACTGATGAATAGTTTATAATTATTCGTTTAATATTTTGTTTTTGTTTCCTTTAAAATATTATGAAGGAATGTTTTAAAAGAAATACGTTTGCTAAAGGGCCTCATTCGCTGGTTTTATTTTTTTAATCAAGAAGAATTTTCTTTTATCACTGTGAGTTTTTTTTAAATTAAAGAAAACACTCACAAATTATTATATTTTCTATATTTCTAATAATTTTCTTTAAAATTTGTAATTTTGTTTCTTGAATTCAATTCAGTTAAATAAAAAATAAAATTTTCCTCAATGATCAAATGATTTCTCTGTGACAACAATTTTTTTAATAACTTTTGATAGAAACTTTTCGTAAGATTAATCAATAGAAGAAAAAAAATTTCCCTTTCGATCTACGCAAGACTGACATTCGTAGCTCGTTCCGATCGAGAATTGTAAGACTTTTCCTGGGACCCCCGATTTTAGCTAACTAACCTATGATGGTTCGAAAAAGCAGTTAGAAAAGGATAATTCATCGTGGTTAGTCGAATGGTGATGTTTGTTTTTAGGTTCGTAACGATATGACTCTATTATCTCAATATTGCCAAATTGTTAACTCCATACGTGGAGGATGATTGTGAAATTTCAGAAATACTCAGTTAAATTTTAGATCAGTTTGAACCTAAAAACAAATATCACAATTTGACTAAGTACGGTGAATTACTATTACCTAGCTGCTTTTTCAGGTGATTACAGATCACTTGGCTGAAATCTAGGGTTTCAGGAAAAGTCTTACAACTCTCGAATGGAACAAGCTAATAATGTTGACTTTGTGTAGAACGAAAAAAAAGAACATTTTCTATTGAGTAATCGTATTAAAAATCTGAATCGAAAGAAAATAACTTCAGAATATTCACCAAGCACTTGCTTGAAGGAGCAGTTTCTGACCAATCGAAATTTGATATATGTCGATGATTCAGGATCTTTTCTTTGAAATAATGAAACCGCAGGTTATTACGACATTTCTATCAAAAGCTATTCAAAAAGCAGTAGAGCACATTCTATTTTGAAATAGGTAATAGTCATTCTTGCCAATAGAAAAATTTTATCGCAAAGAGTGATACGAAAGCACTGAGTGCAGTCAAAACAATTATTTTTTTCTTCCTTATAATAAATTCAAAAAACGTCCAAACTTTGGCAACTAATCTCTGATCACTGGATCAATATTCTCCTAAATTTTCATATCGTTAATCCTACAGATAAGAGAGGTGTATAGGGTGGTCCCTAAATAAGTCGGCAATAAGAAGCTTTATATATCTTAACTACATATCTATCAAATGTGTTCAAGGTTTTGCCACCTGTTACAAGATGGGTGTGGATAATACAAAAGAGCCAGGTCTACACTCAAGTTTTTTCTGAATCTAAAATTTAAGAATGTATACACTTTGGTTACAATAAACTCCTGTTGCTTATATATAAAGTATCACAAATAGAAGAAACAAAAAGTTTTCAATGTTACTTTGAAATCATTTTGTCACATTTTTTTTCGATCCATAAATAGGTGACAAATCTTTGTTGATGTAAATTATTACCTCGGGACACTATTTGTTAATGATTCTCTTATGCAAGAAAAGCTTTCAACAAGCCTCTATTACTGACAAAAAGGTCAGCTCCTCTGATCGACATCTAGCGGAGATATTTAAATTGCTGATTGTCTAGTTATTTAGCGATTAGTTTGCATGAATTCATATTGTAAAGAAGCCATTCTATCCATATCTCGAAAATGAAAAATGGTTAAAATTTGCATGACATTTAGAGAAGAAAAACATCTACGAAAAACATCAAAATAAAAAAAAAAATATTAGCATAGTTTTTTTGAAAATACGCTTCTGTCAAATGCTTATAATTATTAGATGTATATATTTTACATTTGTTGTTAATTCCAGTTGGTTATACATGTGCTGAAATACAAAATAGCAAAGACGGAAATTTTGACAATGCGTGATTTGCAATTCTGTTATGCATCGATTAATGCAAAAATCACCTAGTTAATAAACAAGAATATTCTAGCAAAAAAAGGGGTTAAAGACATGAAAAAGTAAAATAGTTGAACTTGTGTTAAAAATTAATTATTATATCATATTACAAATAAAACTGTTGGTCTTTTTTTCCCTTTACAGCATGGATAAACAACTTCTTTAGAATATAAACCTTAATACTTTCCTCATTAGTAGAGTTAGAGGTATAAACTTAAAGGATAAAATTCATCTACTTGTATGAAATTAGATATTACTTTGTATGTGCAACGCCCAGATTGGTTTTTAGTTCTTTTATGTGAACTTGAAAATACAGTCTCTAGAGCCTTATTTAATCAATATTGCTATCCAACAGTTAAGTATTTTATTCCAAATTTATAAATCAGAATCGTGCTAGTTAAAGAGAGAAACAAAATTTTCATAGATTAATGAGACTTGTAACTAAAAAGATCTCATAAATTTCTTTATAAAAGATATTCTACTGCGCTCAAGTGTTTTATAGAAATCTCATCATTTTGGGAAAGAAATCATTAGGATTGATCTTTCATTAAGGGTACTTCTCCTCATCTTTTTTGAGTATTTTTGGTTATTGACAAGGTTGCAATCAAACAGGCAGAAATTTCTACTACCATTAGACCACCTAAAACAAGCAGATGCATGTCCGAGGAAAAAAATTACAAAGAGCAGTTTATAAGGAAACTCTATTTTTCCATGGGATCACATCCTGGTGCATCAAGACTCCTTTGTAACTTTATCCGATCAGATTGAAAATTTTTTGCAGATACTCAAAACTATATTTCCCGGTTAGTCTTGAATTTTTAATAAAAAGACTCACTTTCTCCTTTTTTTTTATGAGAAAAATACGTGAAAGTATCAGGATTATGGCTATTAGAGTCCTATATATTCGAAGACGAAGATCAAAAGAATCAGAGCGAATGATTCTATTTTTTGAGAATACTCCAAAATATCAGTGATAACAATTTTAGTTCGATCGGGTGTACTCTATTCGAGAAGTAAAAGTGGTCAAAAAAAGACGACGGGAGATATTCTTAATGTACCCTAATGTTTATGCGATTTCAGAAGAGTTTAATAAGTTCTTCTTTGATTTGACTTGCAAAAAAGTATGTGATTCGAATGTAAACTAACCAAACACTTAATAAATAATGAAAAATAGGATCAAGATTTGCTTCAAAAGTTTTGAAGTTCGTGGATACTCACAAATTTAGATATACATTACTTTTTATTGTAAAATTCGAGGTGAAATATTGAATTCGCAATTTTTCTTTTTATCACATGTCTTTAAAAAATGTTTATTTATATTTCGTTAGCTTGATATGTTACATGAGAAGCTCTGAAAGATTAGAAAAACTGATAAAAATAAAAAATTTCTCTTATACTGCTGCATACTTATTTTTAATTACACATATATTTTATCAACATGTTATTATACAATTATTAGGCAGTATTTTTTCTTGAATGTATTCTGCCGTCATCTATAGCAGTCTTTTTTTTCTTTTTTGTCTGTCAATATTTTTTTTTTATCTGACTCATAAAAAATTGTGAAAAAAAAGTTACTTACCCACAATGGGCCAGAAATGTAATTATCAAGAGTGATCTCGCCTGTATAAATTCATTTCTTGCTCAGTAAAATTCTGCATACAGCGAATTATTTTCTCTTGAAACCATTATTAATGGAATACTCGACGAATCTTTTTGATGATATATGTTTCAACGATTTATTTCCAGACGGAGATTTTTCAAGCATTTTAGATGATGTTAAATTTGGTGGTGGTAAGTTGAATCAAATGCAGTGTATTATTTTATATCTATTGATACTTTTAGCTCTAGAATTGAATGATAATAATCAAAGTGGGTTTTTATCACCATTACCATCTGTTAATAATGATGATACGTATTCTGAAACTCTAAATGGCAATCCTTCATCAGAACTCTTTCGCTTTTCATCAGGTTTGCTTTTTAAGTCTTTTCAAAATCAATTAGAATTTATATTTCTATTACAGATGAACAACGAGATATTGTTGCAATTGTTGATGATAGGCAAAGGATGCCAAATTCAACTTTTGATCAAAATCCAAGTTTTATAAACATGCCGATCTCCCAACAAACCATTGAAAATCAAAATGTATTAATCTACTATCAAATGTATCCATCGATATTTGATACGATTGATGCTTCCATGTCTATAAAACAAGAACCCAAGGCAAATAACCGTATACGTTATGATTGTGATGGTGTCCGATTTTTGCCCGGCTCACGATACCATCCACTGGCAGCTTATGTCTGTTGTTTTTCTTCTTCTCATAAAAAAATAATTCCATATTGGTTTTTTAGTGCCAAAATCTGCGATCCGTTGTGTTAGCTGAAAATCAAACGTTGGGAATCGTCATGACGATAGTAACAAGTACAGATAATCCCAATAGTCAAACATTTGTTCATGCTAACGATATTGTTTATCGTGAACCAGATGCAATTAAAATTGCATATGGGTGCGTCTTTGTTCCTTTAAGACAATCTGACATCAACAATGGTGTAAAAGAGTAAGTAAAAATTTAAAAAAAAAACAAACGAATTTCTAGAGCATTTTTTAACTTGTAGATTTCGACGTCTGTCAATTTTATATAAGAAGTATATTGACTATACGTTTGATCTTACACCATTCAATACAGATACAATGTTTGGAATAACACAGAAATGTTTGTATTTTTATTTTAATGTCGGTTTTTTTATGACGCATATTTTTTTTGCTACATATAGATACAGTCATCAATGATCCGAACATGGAGCAAGTTCCGAAAGGAAAATGTTTTAAAAGGGACTACGATCTATTATCATACAAGTTGTTTTTTCAACTTGCTTTAAAAGAAGGTAATGTAATATATATTTCAAACATTACATGTGAAACTGAAGTTGTTCATGAACGTAAGTTTTCTATATTAAAATACCATATACAATATGATGGGTATATTTGAATTTTAGAAATAATGACGCAAAAATCTGGTAAACGAACAGCATTATGTTCAGCTGAAAGTCTTTCAGAAGAAGAGGATAATTTCAAAACGCAAATTTTGAATTCATCGAAAAAATTCAAGTCATCAACACCACCGTTGATTGGACTTCCGGTAAATATAGATTTTCATTGAAATAAAAAGTTTATTGGAAAACCTACAAAGCATCACGTATTTGTTGATTTCAGGTGACACGTGTATCAAACCAGTGTATTGACTGCGACACGGATCATCGACAATGATCCTTGCCGAACGGCCTCATCCGACGCTCATGCAACACAATTGTCTTGCATGACTTTTGCAGTAACAGCTAAATAATCAAGAGATTGCTTCTTTTTTTTTTTTTCATGAACTGAAATGATTTAATCAAGAAAATAACTGAATGTTTTTTTTTTCAATTTTTTATTATCTCAAATATTATTCATCATATAATAAGTTTTTCAACAAAATTATTCTATTTTTTTTTTGTTTTTCTTATTTATGCATTGATCTTAAATGGCTATTATATAATTGTCCTTTTCTTTCGTTCTCTATTTGTTTGTTCGATAGCACTTTTTGTTGTTCAAATTACGGCAGGTTTTTGTTTTTTGTAAGTCATATCTACCGTTGTTTTTTTGTCGTAATGTCAAATGAGCTGCTAAAGTAATGCATGACACATTCATGTAAATAGAAAAGCAAATATGACAGAATGACGAAAGAAAAATATATCAGCGAAATTTATGTTGGAAAATTCCAAGCCCCAACAATGATGTCAGATACGTTCGTCAGTAGAGAAAATGTAATAGTCATATAAATGTATATATGCCTCTCTTTTAAGTAGCCTTACGAAACAGCTCTTATCAATGACTTTCACAATTTTTCTTTTTAACACGAGTGAAATTAACCTTTTTTTTAGTATTTTTAAATACAACGTGGGTAACTCGTGTTACTTTAACGTCATTTTATCAATAAAAGAATAATATAAATTTATTTACTAATCATCGTTTGCTTTTGTTTCAAGTCTTGGTAATATAAAACCTACTTTGATTGGAAACATCAGTTGATGATATGATCCTGATATATACACATTAGAGCAGTAAAACAAGCGAAACAATAGAATATTGGTTTTATTATTTTTAATTGTTTTTTTCCAGGCATGAACTTCCATTCATATACAACTGAAGATCCTGATTTGACTCTGTTTGATAGTATATAATAAATAATTTATTTGATAGTTATCTCTTGATTTTTTTTTTCTTCAGGTTTGACTGAATTCCCATTAGTCAATGAAGACATTAGTACTTCAATTAATGGAATGAGAAAGTTTTTCTTGTTTTTCTTTAATATTTTTTATTAAATTTAGGTATTCGCGTTGCTTATGATTATAATCCATCGGAAACATTTTCTGATAGCAATTCTGCCGGTATTAATTGATTTTTAGACATAAAAAACAACAAATCTTTTTTCGTTTTTGGTTTAGAGTCAAGTATGAAACATCGTTTTTTATTTCATTGATAAATATTATTAATTAACATCTGTTCGTCCTCATAGACTTGATCAATGGACTATATAAAACTTTAAAAGAATTTAATGAAAGTTTAAATTCAACCGAATCGAGTGATTTAACACATAGTACGTTTTCTTTTTTTTTTTGATTCGATATTACACAAAAAAGGGAACTCTACGTATAGATACGAGAAACGATGAACAATTAGCGATAAATACATCGCATAATGAATTATTACCTGTCGTGCGATCACATACGGAAAAGGGTATAATACATAATTAAACATGAATTTTGTTTTTCAAAACATTTCTTTTGTTGAATTTAGCATCCGAATCATCAGTTCCTCTTTCGAGTCGTGTCGCTATAACAAATTCAAACTCAAAACAATTACAACTTGTCTATCCACTCGAAAATACATATCGAGCACGGTATAAAAGTGATTATTTTCCACAAAATGGTACTGTTCGACGGCCACGTTATATTGCTGATCATGCATCGAATCATTTTATAACATTACAAGTAATTAATCACTAACCAAATCTTATATTCTCATTATTTTTAGTTGCCATCTGAATATCAACATGATGCACAAAATGATTATATTCGTGTTGCATTAATAACGACATTGATTAAAGGTCATGAACACTATTATAGTCCATATAAATTTCAAAAAGATAATTATGATATAAAAGTACCTGATGAAAATCCGATATATATTAAAGTAGAAAATAGTCGAGAAACAAAATCTATTATTCGGTAAAAAAATATTTTTTGTTTATGTCTTTAATTTAATATATGTTATATATAGACTTCAGCTTGTTTTAATTAAATCTAAATTAGATCAACTTAATTATGTTCAACCATTGATACGTTTTTCTGAAACAATTACTCATGTGCAAAGTAAAATTTAAAAATAGGGATTCTTTTATTCTCTTTAAAGTTTCTCAAATTTAGACATAATTCATGAAGAAAAATTAACACCAAAAGATTTAATTAATAAATATCAATTGGAGAAATCTCATTTAGCGTTTACATTATGTACAAAACAACCAAATGGTTTATATAAACCACATTCAGAAACAACAATTATCTCATCGGTTATTTCTGAAACATCAATACCAAAAAAAGCAGGTGGTAAATTATTAATTGTATACATATATGTTGTTTTATATAATAAGTCTGAATCATTTTTTTTTCTTTTTCTAGAATCAACTACAATTCCATTGGGTAGACGAGTATTTTGTCCTATCATATATTCTATTAGGAACATCTTTTTTTTTCTTTATTTTGAGTTAATACGAGTCAGCATGTCAATTGTCCATGCTGTGCACACTCATTTGATCTCGATACTGCTTTAGAATCAAATGAAAGAGATAAACATAAATCAAACCATGAAACGTCACGTTCTTGTTCGAAAGTATAGTTAAGAATTTCTTTATTCCAAAAATAAAACTCCCAATATAATATTTACAGACAAATACAAAACAGCATACCAATAAAAAGAAGAAATATGCATAGCAACCAATTAGATTTATTTTGTGTCGGTATTTTTTTTTGCATTGTGAGATATGCTAACCTGCATGGAACGTTAATAGGAATGTGTTTTGGCATGACCAGTGTTTCCTGAACTTATGATGGCCACAAATAGATAGAGATTCCTTGTTTTGTAATACAATTGATTAAGCACAAACGATAAAAAAATAACCATTAAATAAAGATAAATATATCAATGACTTACTTATATGTTTTTTGGACATGAGGCGTTGTTTATTTTATATCTGCTCAATTCGAAAAAGAAAGATTGTGAAAATCGAAGAGTGTTTGAATAACCTTATTGTTTTTTCTTTTCTTAAGTATATTTTAAAACATATCAAAGCTTTTATAAAAGGCAAGTGCTATTAAGTGAGGAAGTGTAGAACGAAATAATTTGACCTTTCTTTTTCTGCAGGAATTCAATTAATCGCGACTTTTTCATGCACAATAAATATGTACGCATAGACACGGGCCTTTACACATCCAAATCTTAGCTACCATACGTATTGGAAGAGAATTATTATTAATAGTGTCTTACCATTCTAATGAGTTTTCGGATCTGACAAAAGATTATCCTTTAAAACTTTCACTACTTTTTTATCAAATATATAACTAATTCTTGATATTTTTACATCCGACAAAAATTATTCGTTAGCGACAAGATTTCCATAAATTGAAACACGTGTATCTCGAGGTAATGAAGTTTAGTAGATATACTCTATGCATATATTAAGTTATTCTGGATACATTTTCGTTTCAACGAAAAGTCGAATTGGGACAGCAATGTGAAAAATTAAACAGTACATTTTTATAGACAATTCAAAGTTTTCTTCTGAGCCTGTATAGGCTTTTCAAAAGAAAAATAATCAATTTATTTTTCGTTAGCAACGTAACGAAGTATAAATCTACGAAGGAAAAAATACTTTCATAACGGAATGATAAGTTTAAAACCAATTCGAAATGATGCCAATATTTCTTGAGATTGTCTTGATGATGGTAGAACAAAAATTTTTGTTTCTATACTAAAATGTATCCTGTAGTTTTCGAATTTTTTCTCGCATAATTCGAGAGATATTTGATAGCTACTTTTTAATTAATAGTCAGCTGAAAGAACCAACATTTTAATATATGTCTATGGAGAAAGAACATATTCTTAGAAATAATCTCTGTAAAGAATCAAAATCCAATGGAAGGTGAGTGTCCCGTTTTGCTTGAAATGGTTCATATAACTAGTGTTCCGGCAAGATCTTTCTTGCTGCATAAAAGTCTCTCTGAATATCTTTTATAAGTCTTGGTCATTAGTACGATAGTCATAGCTCTGTTATTTTCGTATACTACAAGACTCCTTTTTAAAACTTATGGACAATAAACGTTTAACTGTGCAAGAAATTCTTCTAAAGTTTTGAACTTAATTCACTGAACTATTCGTGAGTTCTGATCTCAAAGAGTAATATGGAGTTTTCTTTACATCAATGATTACAGGAAAAAAATTCACAGTTCTCAAAAAGTAGTCATGAACTTCCATACAATTAGTTGTGTAGAAACATGCTACTAATCTACATTCTTGCAGGAATATCTCTGTTCAAACAAGTTTTTAGGATGTATCGTTCATATGTTGGCTGAGATTGAGTAGAAGAAAACTTTTGTTCCCTATTGTAAATGAAACATAGTTCTTGACTAAAAATTAATAATGAATATAAATTTTTCGACATAAAAAAAATATCATTTCAAGATATCTTCCTTTCCAAGTTTACAAAAAATTTTTTATTCGTATTAATGTCAAAGAATGATTGACTACAATCACAATTCTTATTTTGAATATTGATCACAAATGTTTGTACATAGTGGAATCCTTCAAAAACTTTGCTGAAGTCAGAAGATAACCGAAATCCGAACAAATTGTCTACTTTCATTTTCATACTAGATGCCTAGCTGATTAGTGACTTTTCCATTATTGTTAGTTAAAGTAGAGGACAATTCGGAAGTAAGTTCATCATAGGTTTAATTATAGTCATTGAATGTTTTTGCTTCAGCTTTATATTTATTGACACTTCTTATTTTTCATTCATATGGCGGTTCATGAACAAATAACGATGTATAAATTTCTTCTGGAAATAAATTCAAATACACCTCATTCAGCTTATTTATTTACATAAACATGAAAACTCGATTGTTTATCTTTTTTTTCTATAAACTACATGTATTGATTCATAAGACACTATTTACTTTGCATCTATAGATGAGATAAAAAATAAATATCAACACAACCGTAACATGACAACATAAATAATTTATTAAGTCAAGCTGGCAAATTTTCATCATGACTCAGAAAATTACCTGTTTTTTTGAAGAAATATTTCGTCATATATTCAGGTTACCTTTCGAAGGAATGAAAAAAAATGCACTGAAACACGTACATGGTTTTTTTCTTGTTCTTTTCTGTTCTTTTCTGTTCTCTTGATCCGTTCTTCTACTTCCGAGAATGTAAGTTTACTTGGAAAAAACCCATGCAAAAAGTTTTTTCCCACTATAAATACCCACCAAAAACAAAACTCATATTTGTATATACTTTAGTCAGTCAATGGTAAGAACTTCTTCTTAAAAACGTAATTCTTTGGAATTTTTTTTTCCATAGAATACTTTCTAAGCAATGTAATCTTATTATTTATTACCACTGCAAGATCGCTTCTAACAGTGAAAAAACTAAGCAATCATGAACTCATTGAATAACTTTTCGTTTACGGGGTCTGATCATTTATCTGTAGAAGTGAACAGCGATGATATGTATGGTGATCTCAGTCTATTCAATCCAATGATGGAAGAGTTTTTGGATTCATTATTGAATTCTGATTCAGTTTTGACTGAGAATAATATTGCTGGGATTTGTGAATCGGCAGATCTAGTCGGTAGGATGAAAATAAATTTTGATCAAGCTTTGATTTTTATCTATAGACTCAATTAATCAACCGGTTGAACCTAATGAATTTGATAAATATCTTGGACCAACACTTCTATCAAGTAATAAAATCAAAAATTGTAACATACTGATCAACTATTTCCTTTCAGCTTTCAGTTTTGATTGTTATGAAAATTTGCTCGTTACCAATGATTTACCAGATTTTACTATTGGTAAATAAAGTCTTTTTTTTCTTAAATTAACATTGCTTTATTGTATGTAAATAGACGAAAAGAAAAATGTAAAATCAAATAAGAAACAAATTCCTCTTTCATCATCAGTTGATATAGGCGTACCAAAAGTATTATTGAACTCATCTCAAAAAATTGAATTGGTTTATGAGTTAGAAGAAACATTTCGGCCACGATATAAAAGTGATTATTTTGCTCAAAGTGGCAAAACACGAAAACCACGATATGTGGCCGATCGTCACAACAATCATTATATTTCACTTAGAGTAATACCGATCCGTTCTCATTCTTTTTTATTCGTTGTAAGCAATCAAAATTGTAGGTGCCGCCCGGTATTCGTGGTAAAATTCGAGTTGATTGGCTTACAATTGCTAATGAAAATGGTGATCGATATACTATGCCATATCAGTTTCAAGCCAACAATGACTCATCTGAAATACCTGATTGTAATCCTATTTTTCTAGACATTGAAACTGATTCTTCAGGTATTATGAGGTAGATATATACATATTTCATTTTGATATATATCATATTATGTCAAAAATAGACTTTATTTAGTATTAATTAAAGCAAAGCAAGATGCATTAAAAACACTTCAACCACTTCAACCATTTCATCCTTTTCAAGATGTTTTAGGAAAAATCGATAAACCAACTTCAGAAAAAATGTCGATATTAACACCAAAACAATTAATACAAAAATACCAACTATGCAAATCGCAATTGGCATTTACATTATGTTCATTAAGTACAGATGGTAAATCATGTACAACTGAATGGGATACAACAGTTTATTCCACAGTTCTGAAAGGTAACAAAAAGTAATGTTTGAATATTCATAGAAAATTCATTAGTCTAATTAATAGAAGATGCTGCCGATAGTTCAACAGAAAAAACTGTTGCTTGTCCAAAGTGTTCATTTCTAATAAATGTTAATGATGATTGTGGTATAGATCAAGAAACAATAACAAATAAACGAAAAAAGTTGCCAATCAAGACTTGCAAATCGAAAACAGTAAAGGTATAAATAAATTTTTTTCTGAAACATGCATTTAAAATTTATAAGAATTTCTTATCATTTTAGAAACAAAAATCTTTGCCCGACATAATTTATTACACTGATTAATTATCAAACTGTGCACTACAGATGTCTATATTCACTCATTTAATCTCGAATGATATTGTCTCTACATATGACTTGATTTGATATCATTTGATGTTTTCTTATCAATCATATATGACTAAAAATATTTTGTAAAAGATAAAATAAAATACAGGAAAACATATAAATCAATGTTTAACTTTGATTGAAACGCTATTAGTTTAGATGTCATACAAATTTTTCAATTATGAGTTTTATAGAAAATAGTATTTTGTAAAAAGATTTTTTAATGTTTCACTTTGTCCGTTTAAATCAATTAATAAAAAAAAAAAAAAGAAAGCATTTTATTATTACTATTTTTTGAATATCAAGATCAATCGTCAAGTATGACACGAAAACTTTTGAAATGTAATCATACAAGATAATCTTTTTTTTCACATGACAATTACTGAACCACACCCTTTTTTTTAACAACGCTCCGGGTACTGGAACTAACATATTTTGCTCGTTTTTATCTAGAGCCTGTTCGGATGATCTCGAACCAGAATCCAACAGACTCTATTTGACAGTCCAGAAATATGAGCACGAAGGTTTCTAACGGACAAATCTCTAGTCATCATCAAAATCACAGCTGTAAATTTAGAAATAATACTTTCTATTAATAAAATAAGAGCCTCAGAGCATGATAAATGTGTTGAGTATGACCAGGAAAAGTCAGTCAGCCACTAGAAGTTAAATTCGGTATAAACTGAAGATTTTTCACCTCGACACTTCGAACTCGCTTTTGTGAACTCCTTGTAACCGAACCGCAGAAACAGTCAATGGCTAGTAGTTTCAATTTATATCTTCGTTACATAAATATCAGAAAAGATTCTGCTTTATTATGAAGATTTTGGCAACTGCTACTTTATGTAACTGTGACCATATGTAGTCTAATATAAGAATAAAACTTTGTTACCCATTTTACTTTCCTATCGGTCGTAGTAGTTTTGTACGAATGAGAAGTCCTTCTGTTGTGTTAAATAATGGTTCCAAATAAAAACCAACAGCCAAAACAAAGCGCAGATGCTATCCAATATCAGTTATTCGATGAAAAATTTTAAAAGAGTTTTTATTTCGTTCTTAGTATTATCGCATACGGAAGACGATCGACTAAAATAAAACTTGTTCCTATTAGAAGCTTCAAAAATTATATGTGTTTCACATTGTATATCTTTGTGGAGATGTACTAATAAATGTTTTCTCAAAAGAACTAAATAGTAACTTAATTGATACATTTAAATGGGTCGATCCAATCCTTAGATCAAGTTGATGGTACTAGAAAAATATTTTCCGAGTTGGAATAATTGAGAAAATTTTAGTCTAACAAACTAACAACTTCATTCCTCATATGCTAAGTAATGAATAAATATTCCACAAAAATATTCTATTTTAGAAGTTTATAAAAAAGTTTCAAGAGAAAAAAAATAATATTAAAGAAGTATTCATATAAACACATAGTAGAGCAAAAAAAACAAGAAGTTTATATACTGCTATACCACAACAAAAACTGTAATGGGCTTATTGGAGTCGAAACCGAAATTGAAGACGAAAAAAAAATTTCGTAGGCAGAATTGCGGTAAAGAAAACTCCCGAATGTGGAGTCGAAGAATTTGGCTACATGCATTTTCATTAACAAACCAATTTTCCAATATATTACATAAGTCATCTATCATTTGTGTTAATTCAATATTAATTTCTTCTGTCTATTACGATCCAAATCTTCTTTTGTTTAACACATTCGCCATGCAGCACGTAACAATGGGAAATATAAGTTTTTGTTTTTAAAGATTTATTTTTCGTATTGTGATTTATCGAAAAAATTATTTCTGAAAAGATTATTATCATTCTAAAATATCATTTCATTGCACTAATGTATTAGAAGAAAAAGTTCGGTTTTAATTTTAACGAACAAAATGATATATAACGAGAAATCGTTCTATAACAGAATTGTTGATTCAGCTGTAGAAAAGTATGATATCAGATTTTCAATTTCTCTTTACATTGTCATGATGATAAAATTTTCTAGTTATCAAACATAATGTGTTTCTTTTGTATGCGATCAAAATAAGCTCAAACTTACTTATTTTTAAAAGATACATTTTTTTTGAGCAAACTATGTGAACTATTTTGCATTCATAGCGAACAGACAGCGACTAATCTTTTTTTAAACTTCACAGAAATATTGTCAGGATAAGTGTATAGTCTAATTTTCAGACTTCCATGGCAATAGACCCAACTAAATTAATAGAATCATAGGTATTTTTGCATATCAAATAGCTAAATCAATTTATTTCTTATCGTGTTTCTGATAACATATTATAGATCGTCTCAATAATGATTTCTGGTGATTGAAATTAGAAATATGGCTTAATTAATCAGTGCTTGATTATTTACCAGTTGAGATGAAGAATCGAACAAAAATGTAAATAACAATTAAAGATATCGATTCAATAAATAAATAGAGCTGTTCCATGTAAATTATTTCAAAAAATGTTATCACAATCATTGTATAAAAACAAGAAACCATGAGAGTATTAGTGAGTTTCTTCAGTGGCTACGAACTGAAAAAGATTCGAAAATGCAATCTAAATTTTATTAAAATAAAATTTTCTTTTTGAACGGCAATAAATATATATTAGTCAAAAATCTTCTTCTTCTTTTTCGATAGATTTCTTTTTGGACCTATAGTTAGACAAAAAAAAACCGGAATTCAAAGCAAAAATAATAGTGCATCGAAGTCTGCCTTTTCAGCAATTATAGACTTGAGCTTGAATCCATATCGAATCGTTGTACTCGATAATTTCCATTGTCAACAACATACAAATTACCTTGTCGATCGAATGTTAAATCTAGAGGGCTGGAGAGTTGATTTGCTTGTTTTCCTTTACCGTTTCCACCAACAACAATACTACCCTGTTTAGCCCCTTGAGGCCAACGTACTATTCGATGATTACTTGAGTCAGCAATATAGATAGTACCCAATTGATCAACGGTCAGTCCTATGGGAGCCCACAATTGTGTCAGACTATTTCCTGGACCGTTACCCCCAGCTGCAACGATACCTTCTTTTTCACCTTTCATCCATTTCATTACACGATGATTGTGTTCATCTGATACATACACCGATTGATCACTATCGACGAAAATGTGAAAACGACCACTAAGTTGATCGAGATGATCACCTTCTCCATTTCCACCAGCTACTATTATTCCACTAGTGTCTCCTAGTTTCCATCGTCTCACTTCATGTTTTTCGTAGTCTCCCACATAGAGATATCCATTACTGTCCATTGCTAGACCCCAACAGTCCACATTTTGAATGATTATTTTTCCACATGTGCCATTTCGACAAGGCCATCGTACCACTTGCCTTTTACCAACATCGCAAATAATAAGACAGTCACTCTCTTTATCAACAATCACATCTGTTGGACTATTCAATTGATCTATGGAATTTTCTAATCCATTTCCACCCGCAGCTATTTGGCCAGTAGTCGAATTACACTTCCATTTCACAATACGATGATTCGAGCAGTCAGTCACATATACAGTCTGATCATCATCAACACATAAGCCCCATGAGTTTGACAATTGATTTAATCCATTGCCGCGACCATAGCCTCCAGCAACCGTCATACCATCTTGCATCCATCTTGCATTGGAATCAATTTTCAGATTATATAAGAATACTGCAATAGACAACAAATGCTAATGACAATAGTTATAATTTACTATTGCTTTCTAATTGATATCGATACTATCAAATGAGAAAATAATCAATCTATCAAAAGATTTTATTATGATAGTCAATCGTTTTATTAGCTTGTAATTAATTAGAACACATGCTTGAGTCTGTTGATTATAATCTGTGTCTGAAAATTTTCTCATCCTAACATTTTTCCCCCCATACTTTTGCATTCGACAATATTCATTACAAGATTTTTTCTTTTCATCAACTTGGCGAATTTAGCGTGTTTATTTACCTCCATTCTTTTTTCTTTTTCAAACTAACTTTCTTTTTTTGTTTATACTTGGTAACTGACTTTAAAATTTTAATATAGATTGCTTTCATGTGGCCTCAATCTACTAAGTACATACTCTTTGTTATGATGACTATTGCTGTCCTTAGCTGGATTCATAAAATGTTTGAATCGAATAAATGCATAATAATCAAAACTTATGTCGACTGAAGAACATTTATGTACTCGAATCGATCGTTGATTGTTCTATTCACTATTTTAAACATGCCGTTTCCCGGAAAAATATCTCGCAATTTTAATATCCTTGTAATTCAGAATACCTACCAGACTTATAAGATTTGACATCAATTGAAAACGTAGTAATAAGTGGTGTAGCATCTTGCCGAAGATTGATATTTGATGGTTTAGTAAGTTCTTCTTTCAATTGAGTCAAATCATTATTCCATCGATGTAAATCTGTTTCAAAAAAATCATTTTCTGCATGACTTTGTCGTAATTGATCAGTCAACTGATTTAATCTTCTTTCTATTTGTCTCATGGATTCAGTAATATGTGTAAGTATTATTTGTCTTGCTTCTTCTGCTTTTTGTCGGATTTTATTGATTGAATCACATTCCCATGTATCAATTTGTTGTATTAATGGATGTTTTTCTGGTTTAGCTGTTTGCTCAGTAAGTGTTTGTTGAAAGACATCACGATTAGCTTCAACTTCATCAAATTGTTTACTTAGTTCTTGTTTGTGATCTCCCAAATGGTTAAAACAAAATTCTTGCGAACATCCTCCACACTTAAATGTGGCCTTTTCTTTGCCACATATAATGCAAACAGTCCTACCAGATGCTTGTGCCATGTGTTTTGATATTGTTTTATTTTTGTGCGTTATGAAATAAGAGTATGTAGTCGAAAAGATTAAAACAAAACAAGATAGCAACCTTTTACCATATTGTGTCCGCAAATATATCAAGAAAATGAGTCGTTGGCAATATACTTAACAATGAAATCAAAGAATGGAAGGGGATTTGTGCTTTTTTTTAAAATGATTGGACAATTAAATGATGTCTTTTCGATACCATTTATGATCAGGTTTATTGACTTGCTTTTCATAATTTGAAAATCTACATTCACAATGATTCTTCGACGTGATTTTGATTGATAATACTTGTAAACAACAAAAAATCTACAATGATTATAATTAATCTTACAATCCAACAATGCTACTTCTAAAGAAAACGAACTTTCATTTACCTTCTATTTTGACTTATGAAATATAATAACTTTGTTTATTGTTTGAAACTCAATCTATGCCTGTCTGTATTTACTAGAAAATATAGATTCAATATTCATGAAGCAAAAAATAATGATTAGATAATTGATCTATTAATCCTGTTATATCTAGACTCATATGTGAATAGATTAATGAATATGCTTCGTCAAATATGAGAAATAATCAAAGAAAAGGACACATTAAGTGCAATATTTTGTTGGCGAAATCTATTAACGGTCTATCGAAAAGTTTTTGAACAAAATGTTTGCCCATTTGTGACTCTCTTAAAAGAATTCTAGACGAATGAAAAACTATGGATTAGGACCAGAAATTTGTGCTCTTTTCGAATATGGGCTCAGAAATTGTGTATCTATTTTTGTCCTAGAGTACTGATGGAATCTTTGAACGTCATGAAAAATTGGTGTGAGTGGCGAAGAAACAGCCATTTTCAATCTCCGTAAGTCTCTTTGCAAAGGTACTAAAAATGGTTCAATTTGGTAATTTTGTACAGCGAACAATTCTTTACAAAACATTATGTCGAACTAAAATGTAGCTTTTACATAAGTGAAACTATAACCATTTTTACAAGAGCTACATCTACCCAAATTGAATTTTGATCAAAAAACCGATTTTTCAAAAATGTGGCTGATAAAAAAAAACAACACTTTAGGTATTTTATCAGAGCAAAACAATTATGGGTATGGGTGTGTATCGTCTGTTAATCAACGCCTACACACACACACACACCATTTTCTACCTGATGGATTCTCTTGACATCGGTACTATTCGATCGCAAATGAAATTCTACGCTTAACACAACAATTTAGGGATCCGACACAAATCAGGAAACGAATCTCTGCAAGAAAATGTCAAGTATGATGCTAAATTTTCTTATGTGATAAACAATGCATTGGTCTCCTACTTTCTAAATGAAATAAAGTTTTATCAAAGCACGCTGAATTGAAGGGCTGAAAAATTCAATCTTGTCTGAAACCATTGAATCTTTGAATGTTAGATAATCTTATTGTTTTGTCTCTTGATTAGATTCACTATCCTAGGAATCCTTTTAAATCTGAACACTGATATTGATGTGAATACGAAACCTTTTTTTGATAAAAGTCAGAAAATTTCTCAAGTCATTAAGTATTTATAGGAAAAAAAATCATGAAAACTCCATTAAAAGTTTCTATATACAGTGCACTTACAAACTTTAAAAAATGTATGTTCTCCTTGAAAAAGATGAAATGTTTTCGTCAAAAGAAAAGAATTGTATCAAAATGATGAAAGTATTAAAGAAATTTAGAACATTATCGAAAGACTTAGTAGAAGTCGAAATAAACGAATATCTATGATGGATTAAAAACGTGCTTCACAACATACTGATAAAGATAAGAAATTAAGAGAAAAGTAAGAGAATTCCATGAGTCAAAGAAATCATAAAAAATTAAATAAAAGAAGAGATTTTATTTGTCTTAACTTTAGTTACATCACTCAAATCAAAAAGATATTTGAGATAATCCCCAAAAATATGCTTGAAATAATACTTGAACGACAGAAAAATTTTAAATTAATGTAAAAAATCTTTCATATTCTCGATAATCACGATTGTATATTTCAATTTTGGCAAAATCTATTTGAATAAAGATGATTTTCATACGACATTTTTCAAAACAACCAACAAACATAGTTATTTAGTCCCATCACATGAATAAGAATTCATCAATTCGTTCTTGGTATTGTAGTTTTTAAATATATATAGTTAATGAATAATAAAATACCCTATTCTTATGTTGAAAAAGAACGTAACTGTGGTTTGTGTTTTATGATATGTTATTGCCAGTGCATAGCTGAGAATGTTTATTCAAACAGTACCAACACCGTTAAATAGATTGAAGATTTAAATGCAAATGTTGGCAAACAAAAAAATTGTTCAATATGGTAATGTATGAGTGAATTGATGTCCAAAGCAAAGATGATTGAATAGTTTTCAGTATTTTATATAGAATAGATAGAGATGATCGTATAAAAAAGCACCCAATGATTTGGCAAGACAATGGAATTACATTTTTCTTTTGTTTAAATAACATCTGAAATGGCTCTTTTCCACAAGGTTATGTTATATTTTAGTTATTGAGTATATTTTAGTGTTTGTTTCATCAGTAAGTATTAATCGATCTTGGCTGTCTGCCAGGTTTTGTAATAAAAACATGTATGCAAGTATTAGAAATATTCAAAACTCAAGATTAAAATAATCTATATATGCATTAATTATCTATTAAGTTTCATTAGCTGTAAAGTGAAGGACTGATCAATATTTATCCTTAAATCACCAATGTATCATTCCCATGGGAGCTAGTTAATGTTTATTATTTAAAATAAAATATAGACGAGATATTGAATGATAACAAAGAAATTCATTAAAGTTTGATTCGAGCTTTTCATGTGTTTATTTTTGATACACTCGTAGTATTTTATGAAAAAATATCAAAATAATACCTGACCTATTCGACGTTAGTTGATGAAGAGTTATATTTATCAATACGTTGTTTTAATGGTACAAGCAAATAGTTGATTTAACAAGTCGAGACTCATGCGAATAAGAATAGTCCCATACACTGTATATTTTTGTAAGTAAAATTATACATTCGTATGTAAGTCTTACATCATACTTTTCCATTGTATAAAAAATTAGGATAATAAAACAATACGTTATTCATCGATAAACTTTAACTTTATTTAGTCATGGTCTTACTGATCTTTTGAATTTGACCTTGATCAAGCTATTTTAGTGATTATTTAATGAAAATAATACATCTTCTAGAAAACAAGTATTCGTTATAAACTATAAGGTGATCATTTCTATTGATTCTATTAGACATATAAAAGAAGTGGTTTTCGAATCAGATCTACTTGTTCTAGTTTTACTAAAATATTCAGATAAAATTATATCATATAGATTTACTGATAAATCTCCAATGATTTTGCATTAACTACGACAAAATGTTTTACTCAACTTGTTAGAAGATCGACTCTATGTAATTAAATAAGACTAATATAAATTATTTACTATAATTTATTTAGTTTAGCAGCAATTACAAACTGAAGAATTAGATTAGAATCAATACTCAATGGATAAAAATAATCAAGATTATTTTAATATTCCCTAGACTGAAAGGCTAGGGTCTAGAAACGGTAATTCACCTGTGTCTGTTTGTCCGTCTGTCTGTCTGTCTGTCTGTCTGTCTGTCTGTAACAAGCGCTTGGCACAAATGGCCATTTTTATGGCACAAATGACCAATTCTATGACACAAATGACCATTTTTATGGTACAAATGGCCATTTCCATGGCACAAATGACCATTTTTATGGCACAAATGGCCATTTTTATGACAGAAATGGCCATTTTTATGGCGCAAATGACCATATTTATGGCACAAATGCCCATTTCCATGGCACAAACGACCATTTTTATGGCACAAATGACCATTTTTATGGCATAAATGACCATTTTTATGGTACAAATGGCCATTTCCACAGCACAAATGACCAATTCTATGACACAAATGACCATTTTTATGGCACAAATGGCCATTTCCATGGCACAAATGACCATTTCTATGGCACAAATGGCCCTTTTTATGGCGCAAATGACCATTTCCATGGCACAAATGACCATTTTTATGGCACAAATGGCCATTTTTATGACAGAAATGGTCATTTTTATGGCGCAAATGACCATATTTATGGCACAAATGACCATTTCCATGGCACAAATGACCATTTTTATGGCACAAATGACCATTGTTTTGGCACAAATGACCATTTCTGTGATACATATTATGGCTGGATCCACTGACGTGGCACGCGGAGCAGCCGTATATAATGACGGAGCAAGTGTAGGGGGCAGGCGGAGTTCNCACGAATAAATGAGCTTCTTTTTTACTTCCTGATCTCTCTTCTTTTAATTGTTTTTCTATTGAAGTTGAAGGGTATGTGACTTACTAATTTATTCAGTGCACATTTTTACGCCTATAGTACTCTACAAATGGCTGTAGCCCCCCTGGATTTTTGAACCGATAAGATTCCAAGATTCAGGGAGCCGGAGAGTTTTGTGGATCACTGTAGCTCTGTCCAAAAGAAAACTGAGGGTCTCAAATGTTGCCCGTTCAATTGAAAGGACATTACAATTCTTATTTCAGTTTGAATTACCCTTCCCTGGTAATTTATATTTTTTATTACTATTTAAAGACAAATAATTTATTTAGAAACATTTTCGAAAGTATCTGCTTTCTTCTTTAATGCATTTTAAAAATAAATTTCATAACAGAACAAAACGACAATGTCATTTTTCTTTTTCTTCGTTTATCATACTTGATTACTGCTACGGAAGAAGAAACAAAACGATAGTACTGGACGAGATTAGTTAAAGTTCATTTTCTTCCGTATCAGTAATAAAGAACGATCAATGAAGAAAAAGAAAAATACAATTGTCGTTGCGTTCTGTTATATAATTTATTGTTAATATGCACTTAAGAAGAAAGCCATGCTCCTGAAACCTTTGCAAAGTAAATTAATTGTTTTTAAATAATAATAAAAAAAAAAATACTAATTATTGTCGAAGAGTAATTCAAATAAAAATAATCATTGAGTGTCTCAAGATCTGAAATCGAAAATTCTGAAACATAAAAACTTCAGAAACTGGATGTCCAGAAAGAAAAATCTAGAAGACAAGACTTGATCTTCAGCATGAGAAATCGCGACATTGCCGCATGCAAGGTTTTGGAGTTTTGCATTGAAAATTTTCTTTTTAACTTTTGATACTGTACTGATCATGTCATGAAATCAGGCAATTGTCTACTTTCAAGAGGTTCTTTATTAATGATGGAACCGGAGAAAAGTGTCCACATAGGAAGGTTTTACTGTATAATCAAAATTCATATAGACTGAAGAATGTTCATGCACACGAATCGATAGTTGATTGTTCGATTTATTATTCTAAACATGTTTTGTTTCTCGAAATAATATCTTGCAAATTTTTCTATTTCATATCAATACTTCTATATTTTTTTAAAGACAACGCAGATGTTGACGGTTTTACCAAAGATTTCCGGTTAGCAACTTGAAGAGTATCCTTTGTTTTTTTTTTCTCTTTCGAAAACATTCAATAATTACTATTTCTGAAAAAAGGAAAATATTCTATCTAACAGTATTAAGCATAGAGTTAAACAGTTTAAGTGTACCTTTTATTCAGAATACCTACCAGACTTATAAGATTTGACATCAATTGAAAACGTAGTAATAAGTGGTGTAACATCTTGCCGAAGATTGATATTTGATGGTTTAGTAAGTTCTTCTTTCAATTGAGTCAAATCATTATTCCATCGATGTAAATCTGTTTCAAAAAAATCATTTTCTGCATGACTTTGTCGTAATTGATCAGTCAACTGATTTAATCTTCTTTCTATTTGTCTCATGGATTCAGTAATATGTGTAAGTATTATTTGTCTTGCTTCTTCTGTGTTTTGTCTGATTTTATTGATTGTATCACATTCTCATGTACCAATTTGTTGTATTTTTGGATGTTTTTGTGGTTTAGTTGTTTGCTCAGTAAATGTTTGCCGAAAGATATTACGATTAACTTCAACTTCATCGAATTGTTTACTTAGTTCTTGTTTGTGATCTTCCAAATGATTAAAACAAAATTCTTGTGAACATCCTCCACATTTAAATGCGGCTTTTTCTTTGCCACATATAATGCAAACAGTCCTACTGAGTGCTTGTGTCATGTGTTTTGATATTGTTTTATTTTTGTGCGTTATGAAATAAGGGTATGTAGCCGAAAAGAAAAAAAAACAAAATAGCAAAGTTTTATTATTTTATGTCCACAAACATATCAAGAAGATGAGTCATTACCAATAGATTTAATAAATGAAGTCAAAGAACCGATGTGTTTGTTTTTCCTTCGCAATTGTTGTGCAGTCAAATCATGTTTTCACAACTATCTTTATGATCAAGTTTATTTACTTGCTTCCCATAATTTAAAAATCGACATTCAAATTGATTCTTCAACATAAATGTTACTGCTAAATAAAATAAAACAACTCTTATTTTAACTTCCACTCTAGTTTATTAAAATATAATAACTTGATTTCTTGTGTGAAATCCAAACCGTGGTTATCTGTAATTACTCGAAAATATAGGCTCAATATCCTTGAAGCTAATTACTTCATAGTTAATTTTAATTAAAAGTCAACTTGAAAAGCCAACATTTTTACATATCTGCAAGCTAAAAGAACCTATTCAGAAAAATAATCCGTGTTAAGAATCAAAGTCAGATGAAAGGTAGGTATATTCTGTTTTGCCTGAAATAGTCCATATACAAAACATGAAGATAAAGTAACACTGCTGGTTCTCAAATTTCCAATATATAAGTCTGTTTTTGTTATTAATTTTATATTTAAATCAAACAAATGTGCTACAATAATACTATAAACATAATATACTCCATTGAATAAAATACGGTTGGTTTCGACTATATCTAGAAAAATACGTTCACCGAATCTTATCGTCAGATTCTTGCTTCCGAGTTCCTACTATTTTTCGAAACTTTTCAACAAGTTCATTTCGGAAATTCAGAGATTCAGACCCCTAAATCATTAATCGAACTTGGCTTATAATTATTTCAAATAAATCTGTAGAGAACAAACGAAACTGAGTATTGACATCAATATATTGTTTTGAGAGTAAGCTCAGTATGGAAAATCATGCATAGTCGAATCGAACACAATTACAAGAGATTCGTATACAATTGTATATCTTCGTCTATATACTGGAAAAGACGGAACATAAATGTTGAAAACTGATTTATTTATTGATGGTTAGTTTTTGTTTGCAGCGACATCTATAATAATTATTATAATGTTTTTTAACCGTAAAACAAGAAATCGAAGTAGTAATATTCTTCGTTAATTTTAAAAACTAAATTATTCTATAAAATGAATATATTTAAAAAGGTTTTCAACTAGTTTTTCATTGGACATCAAAAACGTTTCCAAATATGGTCACTAATACTCTTAAGAATATTTTCATCTATTCATCTTTCATCATTTAACAAATTTTTTTTTCAAAATCGCTATTTCAAGTCAATCATGCAAGTATGTATAATCTTTCATTCACTGACGCTCACATCTTTTATATCTTCAATATCTTTGTAATATTCGGCTTGTTTACGATAACATGTATAATCTATTATTGCATATAATTTTCCTATAAGGATGCCTCTTGATATAGATGTAAATAAACATTCTAACAATATTAGACCAAAACCAAGAATTAAACATAGTTTACATTGAATGTCTTTCGTAGGCGAGAAAAAAAACAGCGTTTTGTCATTCTGTAATAAAATATATAGTGGGTGCATAAACAAAAAGATTTGTTTATTATTAATATCATGTCATTGCATTTTAAAGTTTACCTGATAACAAAGATGTATTTAGATTCTTACTCTATATATAAACAATAACAACTGAATGATCGGTGAAAGTTTTTGAAAAACATGTTGCTTTTTGTAAAGTATTTATTCAGACCAGCAAGGAGTTAACGTGAGTGGTTTTTAAAGACGAGGGTGCATTGTGCCACATGTATGTTTTATAATTATGATACTAGAGCATAATAAATGGTTGTAAGCATTAATACAATTGAAAGTTAAAATTCCTTGTCAAACTACTATAATCGATAATGTGCGAGGCATAATCATTCTTGGTAAATTTTCGATCGAATTTTTTTATAATACAGTAAAAGAAAAAAGAATCCAGGGATATATGGACCAAATCATTCGTTAGCGACGTGCTTCGCAAAAATTATCACACGTATATGTCGGGATAATGAACTTTTTTCCTAGAGCTAATTTTTATATGCTACATAAATATTAAATTATCCTAGAGATCTTTCCTTAGAGAAGTTATTAGTATAAAACTAAGGTTTACAAAATTCTGAACATGAGTAGATTTTTTTGAAAAAAAGTCAATTTACTTTTCGTTAGAGACGTGACGTAGTACGAAAGAAATGCTCTTTTAACCGAATGAAAAGGTCAAAACCAATTTCAAACGATATAAATCCTTCTTTAGAATCTCCGGAAAACTAGTATTCAAGAGAAGATTTTTATGGAATTCGGTCTTGCTGAAAATTTCACAATAGATGATGCATCTTATGTCATAGAATCTATCCTAAAATTTTCGAATTTTTTTCTCGTATGGTTAGGGAATTGTAAAGAATCACAGTCAAATGAAAAGTGCATAGATTTCGCTTTACCTGAAATGGTTCATGTATATAAGTAAATTTTAAAAAAAGAAGCTTATTTTACATATGATTCTAAAATTGATTGTTGTTAGTTATAGTAGAATATAAATTATATTTATTTATTTTAGGATCCAAATGCTGATACACAATGGAATGATCAATTACGTCGTTTTAATATAATTGGAGCAAAAGAAGAAATAAAAACTGAAGAAGAACGATTAGAAATTAGCCGAGGTAAGTGAAATAAAATAAGACAATATCATATTAGTTCTTAATTTTATTTTTATCATAGCTGAACAATTAGATAAGAAAACATTAGATGAATTAGATGAACTTGAAGATGAAGACGATGAACGTGTTTTACAAGAATATAGGTACATACTTTTTTTTTTTTTGTCTAAGTTTTATTTCTTGGTTTTAGACGAAAACGTTTATTAGAATTACAAGAAAAAGCAGCTCGTTCTCGATTTGGAGAAGTTATTGAAATTTCAGCAATTGATTATGTTAAAGAAGTTAATGAAGCTGGTAATGATATATGGGTTGTACTTTATCTTTATAAATCAGGGTAAATAAGATAGAAACTTATAAAGTTTTAATATAGAATGAATTTTTAGACTTCCAATATGTTCATTAATTGCTGATCATCTTCGTACGCTTGCTTTAAAATATCCTCAAACAAAATTTGTTAAAAGTATATCAACTGTTTGTATACCAAATTATCCGGATAAAAATTTACCAACAATATTTATTTATAATAATGGTGAACTTAAACATTCACTTATTGGTCCATTTGCATTTGGTGGTATGAATTGTCGTTTTGAACATTTAGAATATAAATTATATGAATTTGGTTCGATTCAAACAAATGAAAAATTAGAAAAACCAGATGATATGAAAACTTATGGAAAGAATGAGGCAGCTGATGAATTTCTTCGATCATCAATTCGTCAAAGTATGAAAAATGCAAGTGATGACGATGATTAAATGAATCTGTTTGTTGTTGTTTTTTTGTCTCCTTGTTATTGCATGATCTTGTTCAAGTTTGCCGTGTGACACATTTTGTTTTGCTTTTGTTTCTTATTGATCTAACATTTTTTATTGCAAAATATATAATGATTTCATTTTTATACTCAACAAAAAAAAATCTATGCATACAAATCCAAGATTTGAAATAGAATAATCCTGAGTAAAGCATAAGTTCTTTTGTTATCACAAATGTTTTAGAAAGTTTTTAAAGAAGATGTTGACCTGCTAGAAAGTATTTCCGACGAGTCAAAAGCTATTAGTTTATGCTTTTTTTGACTATGGGCTTAGAAATGTTTTGGTTCAAGAGTAGTGAGAGACTTTTTGAAAGACATGAAAAATTATTTTTAATGGTGAACTAACAGATTTTTGTTTATCCTATAAGTTTCTTTTCGAACATGCTAAAAATTATTGGAATCAGTTGTCTTGTCGAAAGGACACTTCTCTACGAAATGCGGTACTGAATTAAGCTGTAACTTTTACCCAAACATTTGTTTCAAGAGTTCCTTTCAACATAAAATGGTTGTCAACTCTTCAAAGATGAATATTTCGGAAAAACAAAAATTGGTGTGCTTTATCGAAAGACAAAAAAAAGCAGTGCATTTTGCAGTGCAACTTCTGATCTACAAGTTGATATATAAATAAAGATGCTTACTTTTAGTTTCGAATCGTAAGAGTAAGCATACAAAAATTTTCCATCCAAAGAATTTCTTGAACTTCTCAGAAGCTATTTTACACCTCTTGAATAAAATTTCTAATTCCATATTCGAACAGCGTACAAATTCATAGCTTTTGATTAGTCGGTAATACTTTCGAGCGGGTCAAAAGTGAACAAACATCTTGTCTAATTACGCTTCGACCATCCGTTATGTAGCCAACCTAATCTAAATACTCGAAAGCTTTGGTTAGTTGATTAGAGATATAATACATCTTTATTATTTGTGTTTATTAGTAGATTTAACTGTTAGGCAAAATTAAAAACATTATGATTAGTAATTCATGCAATGGTGAATATTGCTGAAAATAAGAGATTGTATATTTTATTTCAAAGTATAAATATAGTTGTAAATAATGATTTAACATAGCTGATGTATTTATTATTTTCATAATTGAGCATGATTATTATAACAAATAAGATAGAAGAAAAGAAAATCAAAGAATTATTCGAAATTATTCTCTTCTTAATATAATATTGTTTGATTTCTGACAATGAATGATGTGATGAAAAAAAATTGCTTTCTTTTTGTTGTCATTCTTATAAATACTTGGCCAGTAACTAATTAATAGCCGTGATGAATCGAATACATCATCTGTTATGACTTTCAATCATATTTTCTTCGTAGTTATCTTCCTGTTTCATCGGCACTCTCTTAATTAGCCTATTTCTTTGACATAATTTTTTTCCTGTTTTCATCGACACAACATTTTCCTGTTTCATTGACAGATTTTTTTATGAATAATTTCAGACTTTTATTGAAGAAATCTTGCCGTAGACCGAATGAAATAGACTAATCAACAATCATACTCTCCGATATATTTGAAACGAACATTACCGTTAGCAGAAACGTCAGACAAACGATTGTGGGCGTGAATGTAGATATTTGCCTTCTCTACTCTCTCATCATCTAATTAGTCTTAATTTCTCGATAAAACATTACTAAACTGTTCACCGTATTAGATTAATGTAAAAATACGATTTTTCTCGGTTTCTCTTTCTCTCTCTCTCTGTAATGTACCTATCACAATTAAATTAGATCAATATTTTTATTGAACTATTATTATTTTTTTCTGATTTTTACTTTTCTTTATACTCGTATGACGTATTTACATCAAAGTCTCAATAGTGCCGATAGTCTAATCGAGCACAACATACACAGAGAAAGAGAGGGAGAGAATTTTTTTTAGCGTGCATATAATAAAAAAATCAAGTTTTGATTAATGTTGTTCTAAGAAAAATGAGTTTCGAAATCATTGCTGAACTAAAAAATAATGACATCCATAGTCAAAACTAAATTAGTTGATAAATATTCAAAATATGTTAAAACAATTGGAAATCGCATTGTTGAAGGTTTGAAATAGATATTCATTTTCATAATCAATATAGCAAATTTATTTAGTTGAATTTTATTGGTTTCAAGTAAATCCACGTCAAAGTTATCGATTACGAATTAATGAAAAACAATTTAATGAAGTACAAAAACATATGCGTTCAAAAAGTAACTCAAGAATAATATTATTAAATATAATAAATTAGCTTATTTTAGAATTATTAAATCTAAATTTTGAACAATTTACTGATTTAATTACACCTATATTTGCTAATGATGCTGCAGAATTTAGTAGTTTTGTATTACGTTCAACTTTTGATCATTTATTTGATTTAAATTCTAATGGAACAATTGAACAAGAAGAATTTGAATCACTTTTTTTATTACTTCAAGGTTTTAATTCTAAAAAACAAATTTTATTACAAGAAAATCTTCGTCAAATGCTTGGTAATCGAAATAAACATATTTCATTTAAAGGTATTAATATTTCCAAAAAGAAACACTTACAAAGTATTTATTTTTCTATTTAGAATTTTATGATTTTGTTAAATGTGGTTATCTACGTCAATTATTTATGAGTTAGAGCGTTTGTATATAACAAAGGACCTTTTTTTTGTTATCTTTTCAGTATAAATAAATACAGAACATTATCTTTCTCGACTTCTTTTCTTTCTTATTATTGTTTTCATGAAAGGATTTACTGCACTTATTATAAGTAGTTTAAATAGTTTTGATTTGAATATTGTACGTAAATTTGCTAAACAAGGTTGTAATATTGTTTTGAATGGAAATCAAATTAATGAGAACATAGTTAAAACAATTCAAAATGAATATCAACAAAATAAAACAATTTATTTATCAGATAATATACAAAATGAAATCGATATACATAAATTAGTCAAACAAATATTAAATCATTTTCAGCATATTGATATTCTTATTATAAATAATGAATGTAAACGACATTATAGAGCTTCTATTGATGAATTTCCAACAGAAAAATGGAGAGATATTATCGAGCATAATATTATATTAAATTTTGCTTTAGTTAAAACTCTATGGCCTTATATGAAACGACAACATTTTGGTAGAATTATTAATATTGTAAGTATACAGGTTAACGTAAGATGACTCAAACGGAATTCATTTTTTGCCCTCCAATATCCAGCATTCTCTAGTGAGCCTCAACAGCTGAAGGATCAAGGATTCAGCTATTTATTGATTACTCTCAAAAGCGGAGTCGATTTTGGAAGGACATTCAGCTTCCTATTAACTCTTTCTTCTACTTTCTGTCATTTTTGGAGAAGAAGCTCATCAAAGAATTTTGAGACTTTTAAGATAGATAGATCTGCATGAATAAGACTAAAATTATTATAGACTAAAGATTCTAAAATATTTTATTTGAGGAAACATTGAGATTAGAAAGTCGTCTCGCTTTCTCAGCTGCAATACGTTTGATAAAGTTAAAGTTTCTTTGTATAACCTTTCGTGCAAAGAATAACGTCAAAATATTGAGCGTACCACCAGAAATACAGTTTTTTATTTGTGTTTCCTTGCGCTAGAGCTGCTTTTGTAAATCCTGGTAAAAATGAGCGGTACGTTAAATTTTGATAGAAAATAAAGTAGGCATCTTAGACATCTTCTAGTATAAGTAGAAGGAAGTTTCACCTCGATCGAATTTACTGTGGTTGAGAAACATTAGCGATTCTTATAAGGGATACTATGAGACGTATATAGAGCAGAAAAAGTAAATAAAAATGAAAAATCTAAAAACTTTTGAATCGAGAAAGAATGATGGATCTCCTTAAACAGGAAGGAAGAAAAAGTAGATTTGACATATCTGGGAAAAGTTTTACATACTCTGTAATTTATCTATGCAAATTCAATAGAAGATACATTACTAAAAAGCTCGAGAGCATATAGTATTATATTGCTAAACAAGAAATTACTACAGAAAGAAAAAACTAGATGTATTTAACAAATTTTTCAACTAAGTTAATTTTTCTTTTTAGAACAGATACAGAACTGTTTACAGTCCATACCTATAATAATAATATGAATAGTTGAAAAAGTTTTTCGTAATAAAACATTTTTTATAATAGTTTGTAATTATTCAATAATTATTACATTGTAGGCAAACGAACATAGCTTGGCTGCTAGTGAATATAAATCAGCATGCATTACTTCACATCATGCATTGCTTGGACTAAATAAAGCTATTTCTATTGAAGGTGCTTCATTCGGAATTACTTCTAATATCATTTGTCCAGGTATACAAAAAAGCTAAAATTTAACTTTTTTTTTTATTGATGATATTTTATATAGGATACATAAAAACAAATTTCTTTGAACAATATGATTACATAAAAACATTAGCTGATCTTGTTTTATTTTTATGTAGTGATCAAGCTCGTTCAATTACTGGTCAATCAATTCCATGGTGTTTAACATAGTTTTATTTCAATAATATGCTGAAAATAGGTTTTATTATATGATATTTTCTTATATTACTGATTAAAAAAAATAATCGTTAGCGATACTATTGAAGCTGATTTATAGAGTTTCAGCTTTTTATTAATAATAATCGTGACACAATATCATGTTTCATCAATAATGAAAAGAATGGCTATGCATTTCGTTTGCTGGCTATTTTATTGTTAAACTATTGGCATGTATTCATTGGATACATTTCATATGCCGTATGATAATAATAGATGGTAGAAACTGTAGGTCACGGAGCGGATAGGTTGAACAAGACATGAGCCTCACCCGAATTATGAATCTGAGACTTGGTCGCATGCAAGGTTAGATTTATTTAAAAAGGCAAATCTTATCTTGATGTAGAGATTGACACCTCTATTGCGTTTATTTATATGCAATGATGAGGAGAACTGAAAAACTGAGACAACAGTAAACTCATTAATTGTATTGGCATGGTTCATAGCATCACTTTTTATCTTATTTACATAAAGTGGTATCTAAACTAAAAAAATTGTAGAATTATTTGATTCATAGACATCAAAATCAGCTTTATCAGAGGCTACATCTTGTTTATCGTGATGTAATCATTCTCTTCATTTTATTGAGTGAAATGCAGTCATAAATATTAGTTAAAGTTTCCAAAAACAAATATTAATTAAATAGTTATAGTCTGTAAAAAGTCTATTTTTATATTTACCTGAATATTTAGTACTCCTATTTTTTGGATACATTTGGCAAAATGATCTTACTGACACGGTGAAAGATTATTATATTAATGTGTCAAGTTTAACCCTTTACCCCCCATAGCGGTTCCAGAAGAGCCACCGATGAAATAACTTTATGAATAGAGTATTAGCCTGTCAAATATGCCAATGGTGTGGCCTAATCCACCGAATGCCGTGNCAAAGTTTTTCAACATGAAACATAACAATTGATGATATAGTTTTGTGTTGTTCTTCTTAAAACTTTCTAAAACAGTGAAATTAGCTCAATGTCCTTGAAATAAAAAATACTTTTCTTTGTAACTTGTACCCAGCGGTAATCTATTATAAAAAGTATTCATCATGTTGAATGCAGTGGTCTCCTAGCAATGATGAAAACTTTCTTACAAAATAACTACATAGTAGTTGACAAGCATAAGTGGTTTGATACCTTGAAAATACGAAAAATGTCATGCTGAGATTGTTTTATCAATAGAATCTCAACATAACGATGAATTGATGTGACATTATCAGCATATACATATATATATATTAGCAACAATTATGTACGATATATAATGTAGGCTAGACTATTGGAATTCATCCAGCTGTTGAGGTATAAAGAAAGCAAAACAAATAATTTATTGGTTCGATAATTTTCAAAGCCACTGCATTTGTTAGATATACTGTGAATAAAGACTCGTCTGTCTTTTTTTTTTATTACATAGTGCTTGTATTGATAGCAGAATAATTGATATTCAATATAAAATAGATGCTTCATTGTTTTTCGGGAAATTTCTAAATTGAGTTTTTCCGGTACTGAACTGTAATTATTAGATAATTTAACTATAAGGTTGAAGAGACCTTATCTATCTCACAAAAATAAAAAAAGATTGTGATTATTTGATCGATATGAGCAAAAAAAACTGTTATAGAGCGGCATGCTCTTTTTGGATGAATCCGGCATTATTGTTGTTCGTAGATTATAATTTATGGCAATTTCCGTTTATCTTAAATTCCTTTCGATCGATTGATCGATGGTTTATTTTGCCAGATTTTGTCTCTGAGCTAAGTTAAAAAATAGAAATAGTGTTATCTTAATGTATGAAATATTTCTTAGCATTTCTTTCTATTTGATTATTAGTTGATCTAATTGATTCTTGACTAGTTCTATTTTTTTACTTATTGACGGAGAACTGTTTCTTTTCTGATATTTCGTTAGTTGTACAAGTTGATTATAAAAACTGTTGATTCTTTCATCCAATTCAAGTACGGAGAAAAATTGAATTTGTTCTGCTTTTTTTTTCAAACTTTGTTAAAATATTTGATTATACTTCCATTTTCATTTCAAAAATATTATTCAAGCAATGAATTATCGAATGATATTGTATAGTTGCTTACCTTACTTTTCATTCTTCATCCGATATTTGCAGCCTGATAGAATCAGGAGCTTAGCAATAATGATGAATGATAAAATGAGCGCACGAATTTCTTTTTAAATATTGTTTCTATTTGAAAGTGAAAAAAACTATGCACAATATATCGTGTTTTAGTTTTATACCGGTTTCCTCTGACATCTAAATAATCGTCTAGACTGTCGAATATTTATTCGGTTACAGAGATAAAATTGAGTTTTCAAACGATAATTTCAGATGTTCAGAAGTTTCTTGAAGTTATCAATAGTTTAAATATTCAGATTGATCATAGCTTTTTTCTGAGTGGTGTTTATATATCAAGATGCTTTTTTCAAAGACTATGTATTATCACTAATGTATGCTCGTTGAGAATTACTCAACTGATGGAGTGTCACCTCGAGTCTGTCTTGAATTTTGTAAGAGAATAAGTGTCCATTGTAGTATAATTGATTCCATAGTGTTCATGATTAGCATGGATATTCATATCTTTAATTTTAGGTATTGTCTCGTATTCATTATTGTTGTAGAATTCACATATATTTTCGAAGGAAATATAGTGAGTAGAAGTGTAAATCGAGATTTTTGTGGCTACTTCCTCTCCCATTACAGTCCTTAGCCATCAGGATAAAAAACACTGAACGATATTAATAACAAGGCTTAGAAAATTCTCGAATACATCAACTTCTTCCTCGACATTTAAATAGCAGAAATATGTTTATCAATATTGTAAATAACTCAATTTCTAATCTTTTACGCAAATAAACGCTTATATGATAGACGTCAATGATGATGTTTTGCTTTCCCCACAACTGTCATACGACCAAAACAAAGTCATGACCGGATTAAGTTTTAACTTTCGAGACTAATCAATTCCAGTATTACTGAGTCCATCGAGATAGATAAATAGGTCGTCAAGATCGGCTCTAGATAAAACAAACGTATACAACAGGCTTATTTGTCCATCAAATTAATGTTTAAATTTATAATAATAAATTATGAAAATTTAAGAAAAAAAAATTTCTCTTCGAAATGTAGAAATAAAAAAGACAACGTTTGCTGACAATCAATTATTATTAGAAAAGAAGTACGACCTTTTACAGATTTCACACTTAGCATATTTTGTATTAATATAATGAAGCTAAATAGAAGACATGTGAATTCCATATTTCAGCCCCACAGAGACTGCAATAACAAGCTTTTTTTTAATTTATTATGTTGGAATATTTACAGAATTTGTGGTGTGAATTGTAAATGGGTAGAATAATCATTTGAGTATTGTTAACTTCATTAGTTTTTTGTTTGTTCAATTTCATTATCCTCTTTTCTTACTTCAAAGCGTTTTCCTTCCGTTGATATTCTTTATCTTTGTTCAATCATTCTTTAAGCATTCATCTTCATCTTTTTGTTCTACTTCCTTTAGTGTGCTTACTCCTAGTCTTTCATAATTCTGTTTTATTAAAAGAGGAAAAACTTGAGAATTCTCTCAGACAAATATCGGTTAGCTTTTCAAGTTCTGTTTATGAAAAGAATGGATTAGAAAAATTAATTTCTTCTCTTCTTTGTATCAAGTACTCGAGGGAAATTTGAATTAATATTAAAAGTAATTAGTGTTATTGTTCAAGCGGTAAAACACTTTTTATGCGCACAGGAAACATTTTCTCTTCGTAAATCTTCATAGTTCATTTCAGGCTTTATTAACAGGAAGAGTCATTTCAATTTGTTTTCAAAAGCTTTTCGCTGTTCTAAGTACCTCCAAAAATAACATGAACGAATAAAAATTAATAACTAGAAGAGAAATAATCATAAAAAGAGACATATATAACGAGAAAACGAAAAGCAAATGATCAAAGAATATTACTTTCCTATCTTTTGTACTTCATCTGATCAACAGATGGTATATGTAAATACGCAATCTTTTTATACCAGACATCCATCTAACCCAATAAATTTCCTTTCCTTTCTTTTCTTTTTCGGAAAGAAAAGCAAAAGTGCCACTCCTACCCATACTATATAGAACAGTTCGCTAACTACTTGAAAAAGGCCAACGTTGGTATAATTGCTTACGATATAGCATTAAATGTAGAAATACAGTGATAAACGATGGTTGTTTGCATTACAACAAAAATGATTATCGTTAGATAATCTTTAAAGTTCTATAATAGATAAATCTTAGTAATCTTATTTACCATGGCTAAGTGAAATACATTTGAATTCTTCTCTGCAATGCTTTGTTGCGAATAAAATACAATATTTTTTTTGACTAATTCATTTATCAATCGAGAGATTTTTGTTGAAATTCATTCAACCATATCGGATGCACACTTCAGAAACATCTTTGGAGTATGCTACGTGATGATCAATATGATTTCGATTATTAAGCTATTGAAAAAGAGTACACATTTTGACATATTCTCCGTTTGTCACGTTTCTTCTTAGATAAATACGACAGATGAGAAGATTTTTTTCTCTTTTATATTCCAGATAGTTAGCACGGAATTCATTAAAGTTCCAATTCTCATTTTATTTGCACCATTGTGTATAATAGTTCTTAATTATTCTATTCAAAAAGATATTCTTCTAAAAACTCAATGTATATGTATTCAATAACTAATTTTTCTTCAAAGAATTTCGCATTGCTTTTTTATCACGTATATTAATTATTAGTTTTGCATGTCCTTTTCTTTCACACATATCCTGTGAATATAAATTATACATGTTAATTCTATATACAAATCCTATTTATGAAATGAAATATTTTATATTAATTGACAGCACATGTAAAGTGTTGTATACATCCGCAACGAAGTAGATAAATTAAGCCTTGCAGTTCAGCTACGACTTAAATACTATTTTACGACCACAGTAGGTTTAAACGGTGGGGTTTACCTTACGGTGAAAAACAGCTATTATGTTTTGATTGTTTATCACAGTCGGAATGATCATCTTGAATTATATGGTTTTATTATTCAAGTGACAAGTGTTCCCAGAAACAATGGATCAATCTATCCTTTAATGATATTTCTTTTGATATCCATTTATTCTGACTTGATTTTTCTCTTCAAAGATTCATCTCTGAATTCTCTGCAAAGTAGTATATGTATTATTAATGTGTAATTTTCCAAGATACGCATCAAACAAACAGTCAAAGATGAATAAATTGAATAATCCGATGTATTTAAATCTGAACAATTCGACGGTCAATGGTTCTTGACGATGAAAGATGGAGCGTTGTCTTGACACAACTATTGCGTTAGCTGATGGATGTGAAACTTCGCATTCCCCGCCTGCCAAAATATCTGATCTGACATCGGTGATCATTTTCGACCAAGTAACATAAAATGACGCTCAATGCATCCAGTATTTTCTTTCAGTACTACTGATATATAGAAATGAGATCTTTAGAACAGATCAGACATTTCTGCAAATAGGAGTAGGAAGCTTCACATCCATCAACTCATGCAACAATTATGTTAAGACAATATTTCGTATTTTATCGTCAAGAACGATTGACCGTCAAATAGTCCATATTTAAATCCATCGGATTATTCAATTAGAAAAAGTAAAACCGTTGTCATACAAAAATCTATATTATTTACCTAAATAATTGGATAAAAATTTGTCCTGGAATATTATGCATTAATATGACATATTGTTTTGTAGAGAATTAAAAGATAAGTCTTTAAAACAAAATAAAGCCTGTACAAACATATATTAAAAAGATATCATTAAGATACATAGATGTCTATTCGTTCTAGAGTACCCGTTATTATTTTATTTTTAACCCTATTCTACAAATAGGCATTGCACATTGACAAATACAATGAAGTATAACATAAGTACTTTTTTGAGTTAATTAAAAAAGGAATATTAATTCGAAAATGTTTTTATTATTATCGTAATACTTGCTTGATAGTTCCTTTATAATTAAAGCATCGTCTAAATTTCATTTATTATTCATGTTTTTATTGGATTATTTTATTATTTAATAAATTTGTCTTTACTATAATAGAAAATAATAATTTATAATTAAAAATGAAACAAACTCAATATAACTTTAATATAAATATTGAAAAAAAGTTTTTTTTTTTTATATAACTAGAAAACAGAATGTCTGTGAGAGCCCGAGTCTGGTTAACAGAAAAATTTCAGACTTCGAGGCACAACAGACTCTAGTGCCTGTTATTCAGAGTGAATGTTTTGTAATAATCGAAAGTTGAATAGTTGACAAATTGTGATATTCACGAAAAAGAAAAAAATAGTGTTTTACTTCAATCATATTTAGTTTATCCACTTATTAAGTCCATAAATTTAACAAATCATAAAAAAATAGTATGTTCTGTTTTTTGGATGAAAATTATTAAAACGAGAGAGAATGCTTGATTATTGTTTTTAATTCATAGCATATATGGATTAAAACTGTTATGCTAAAAAAGAATGATATCACATTAAAAAATTATAACAATAGTGTCCTGACAAATTACATGGAGAACGTCTTTCTTTGAACAATTCTTTCGCTGAAATTCTGGAAGATGCTGCGATCTGTGAATTCATGTAAACTCTATTCAGTAGAATAGCATTTTTCTGTACACCTTAATCGTATCAAACAAAAATCCAAATATATATGAACATGCATTCGTTTTTATTGTACAGATTTAGAAAGCAAAAATCACACAATTAAAGTTCTAGTTTAATGCTTTTATAAAATTCACTGTTAACAAAATAGTCATTCAAACTTGAAATTGTCATTACAGTTTCTAATGATGTTCGTCGTTGCCATAATTTGTGTATAACTGGAAATTCTTGTATTTGACGTTGTTTGTTAGCAGAACAACAACAAAAAAATCGTTGACAAATCCATGATTGTTGAAATTCTCTTAAATAATATTTATTAGGTAATATATAAATGAAAAATGTAAATATTTGTGGAATATAAAGTATTAATAAAAATCCAATATGAAAATGAATATAAAATCTATCCGAATATATAATGCAAGAATCGAATAAATATTGAAATATAGCATATATACATAAACATTGAATAATAACAAACGATGGCAAAATATGATCCATATAGATAAATATTTTTCGATACCATTTTTGTTTCTGTTGTTTTATTTTTGAAAACATATATATAATACATATTGAGTGAATGATACATGGAATAACCATATAAAAATAAAATGTAGAATTATTCATATAAAACCAAAATTGTTGTAAAGGATATTCATAAGTACAATATAAACGACCTGATCGATCTAGTTTTAAATTTCGAGCAAATATTTTATCAAGATTTGATATTAAAACAAGAATAGAAAGACTACATAAAACGAATAAAGCACATTTACGAGAACGAAATCTATCAACACTAAAGTATCGATTCAATAGATTTTCAATTGCAATAACTGCAGTTATTAGAATACTTATATTGATAATAACAAGAAATAAATATGGATAACCATGACAAGTCCATAACCGAAGTAAATAATTATCATATTGAGCAGCAATGATTATATTTGTTAGAAATAATATCATCATAATTATAGCACATGCAGAAAACATAATTAAATAAACTCCACATACAGTATATCGAATACGATCACGAATGCATGTTACTAAAGAGAAAATATTACTTACTAAACCAATAGCAGCTAAGAAAATAAAGATAAAAAGATAAAAATGGCGTAATGATGGAATATCATCAAGAATAGCTCCAACAATTGGCAATGTAAGTGCATGATTTCGAATCTCGTGATGTTGATCAGTGAAATATTCATTGGTACAAACACAAACGCCTGAAAAACATCGACCATTGTTTATACAATTACTATCGTCCAAACACAGCTTCATTCGTTGTTCGTTTTGTAAAAGCAAATAAGAGTACTGTAGTATATGTTTTTATATACGAAATATATTTTTAATTGTATATATTTTCATATTAAATAAATACATGATTTACATTATTCTCAAGTATAGATACGTATAAAAAAAAAATACTTCCTCCCAATTTCTGCTTCATTAACTACGATACTAATCAGGTGTATTTAGAATATCATTTTTGGATGATTACCAGTATAAATTACATCAAATGTAAAAAACGCTGTATAAATCTTTCGTTTTCTGTAGCAGCAGTGCGAAGGGATCAAAGCAGAATGAAGATATTTTCAAAAATCGAGTAAAAGTGCTACTCAACGCATTAGCATTTTGAGGCAGTTGAAATCGGGTAAACACAATGTAAATTTTGTTTGCCATGAGAAATACGCAAAAATCTTGTCGCTTGTGATTGATTTATACATAAGAGTTAAACTTTAAAGCATATTCATAAATATATAAAGAAGTCAAAATCATTTGCCGCATAGCAAATATTACTGTGTAGAATTCTAAAGAATTCTATCTTGTCATGCAGATCTTTCTATCTGAAATGTTTCTCGATAGTTTTTGCCGTCAAAGATGAAACAAGTCATCGGAGTAAATTCTTTATTTATGCCGATAGTTTCAAAATGTTTTCAAATTCGTTTATTCTAGATAAAGACAATAAAGTTCATACAATTACTTAATCTTTTGAGACTGGGGCTACTGTTGGAAACAACAAAAGTTTTTGGAAATTCTGAGACAATGCATATACACTCACATAGATATTGATACAAACGATTGACAACATCACAATACACTAGAAGAGAGAGAAATTAAATGAAGATAACAAGGAGACTACAAAAAAAATCGACAGTATATGTCGTCATTCAAAGAGGATTCAAGAAAATAGTATAGAAGTAATGGGCCTAGCAACGAAAAGAAAGAAGATGAATGACAGTTTCAAGATACATTTGAAACAATAGATTCATAGTTTGTAGGATTATTTGTATCATTGAAATATGATAAGAAACAAGTGGCATAGCCGTCAGAGACAAGAGAGGAGTGAGTCTCCTACTTCTGGTGAAAATTTTCGGTCTACACCATTATGAGAAACATGCTGAAGTCAGTTACTAGTTGAATCAGGACTGAAGCGCATATATGTGCATCCTGCTTTTCAAGGATTCAGAAGCATGAATAAATGGTTGCAAATTCTCTTGTCTGAAAAACTTTAAAATTCACTAGACTTGTCTTACAAAATAACGTCGTTTTTCAATAATTGCAATGTTGTTTCATAGATAAAATCTTTCGAAATTAGAGAATGAAGTAGTCTAAAAACTCCCGACATTAACAGAAAACAAAAAACTTCTGCTACTTTATTCAGAATCATGGGTATCGCGAGCAGGAGAGAATGGATTAGAGAGCGACTCCTTTCTTAGAAGATTTTGACTTTTTTTCCAGCGAAACTGAACGATTTTCTTCTTATTTTTCTGCTTACAAATCCCGTAAATCTTGATGACTTCAAAACACCCCTGCACAAAATGAGAGAAAACCATAGCCTAAATCTTTACAAACCGAAGAATGCTCATCAGAAACTTTTTCCAAAAATAGAGAAAGCTGCAGTCAAACTTTCAAAAATAGGAGAAAATAATCTCCTTTCTCGGTCTTGCTATCCATGGTGTTCTGCAATAATAAAATCGATGAGATGCGAGCATGCATTTAAACAAACTCAACTTTTTAATACTAGAAAAAAGTATAAGGTTATCAAAGAATTTCTTTTTATTTTTGAATAAAAAATCCGAATAAAAACGTGTGCTTAAAACGAACTATGAATAAAACAAAACGCCTGAAACAAGTTGTTTACAATCTCATTGATTCACTCATTGTATTAGCTAATTCGTGATGATAATGATTATTTTCATCGTGAGTCGATGTATTATGCAAACAACGATCAAAATTTGCATCATGTACTTGATTCATGGATATTGACGATTTATATCGATAAAATGAAAGATCTTCAACTGTTGTATGAAGAGGTCCTACAATCGAAAAAAAAAGAAGCATTAAAAACAAACAACCAAGATAAATTGTTTTTTTTTCGAAAATTAAAACCTTTTCCAATTGCTTTACAATGTTCATTAAATAAATTTAAAACTTTATCATGTCGATATTCAAGAAATGTTCGAATATCATCAAGTGAAAAATCTTTTTCAGCTGCATAATAAATTGATGTAAGAGCTGGTGCAAGAAATGGCCATTTAGAGCGAAGATTAATTAATTCATCATACATTCGATATTTATCACCATTTGAAAAAAAACTTTTTTCCCATTCTGGTTGTTCATTTATTGTTGTTAAATTTGAATTTGATTCTTCATCATTATCATCATTATTTTGTCGATCATCAAACATATTCGAAGCATATTTTGTACGTAATTCAATAATTCGTTTTGCTGAAAGAAATTGTTCAGCTGAAAGTGATGTTTTTAATTCAGATGCATCACTATCAAATGTATTTAATGCATCAGTTAAACGTGATAATTTCATTTGAGCACGATCATCCATATATTGTAAAACATTTTGATTAGCTTCATTTATTCGTCGTATAATATCACGCGTCATAGCTTCAGCTTTTGTACGTGCATCAGCACGTTGTCTTTCTACAAATGAACGTACTTCTATTTGACTTTGTTGACGATTCATATCCATCTGAATTATGAAATGAATGAAATTAAATAATTGTTTTCATATTAAAAATATTTATTACTTGTTTAGCAATATCACTCATTTCTTGTAAAACATATCGTTTATGTACTCGAACACACATATCACAATAAACTTTATGACAATGTTTACATCGATGTCTTGCTAGTGAAGTACATGATGGTTCAACGCATATTTGACCATCAAGTGATAAACGATGAATAGGATGATCAGACATTGATTCTAAAGAAATTAGAAACTATTGTTCTTTGTAATTTATAGAAGATTCTAAAATTCTTACCTAAGTTTAGTATATATATATATATATATAGATATAGATATGTGTGTAACAATACTATATAGTGATGACGGTATTAGCTGAATGCAATGAATGCACTTCTCTTGCTTGTTTTCTTTTTCTATGTCGTCGATCGAGGTAGAGATATATATATGTGTGTGCATTCTATAATAAACGATCGCAAACGTCGATCCATGACAATATCTAGACTAGTCTGTTCTGTTGATATTCAGAGAGATGACGCACCGATCGTAACGAATATCTGCTAATTCTTCTTTCGTGCTGAATATATTTTTTCATAAACTAAAAAAACATTTAACTACAACATTCATTCAAACTAAACTGAATAATGATTGGAAAGAATTGTTTGATGGTTTTGTATTTATGTAATAAGAATTATTCGGAACTCTCAATTCGATATAAAAGTTTTCAAAGCTCATATTCATTTGATTCTTAAATCTTTTATCTTAAGAAAAAAAACAAAGAAATCAATGTTATATGTATTTAAAAGAAGTTCATCACTGATAATATAATTTATTAATAAAATTCTTTAAATTATATACATATTCGAAAAGTTTTATTTGATTTGATTATTGAAGAGTTTACGACGAAGGAAAATCAATTGTTGATGATGATATTGTAGACCCCGCAGCATTTGTAACTACTCTTTCATTCATTGTTATACCATACCAAAAAGCAAGTAAAACAGAAGCAAGAAAAACAAAACCATGAGCTGTATCTATTAATTCATAACTATAACCAACAAGTCGAAAATGTCGTAAATAACATCCAGTTGAACTCAGAAGACAGAATGTTCCAATCATAAGTAAACCTAAAGGTAGAATGCGTAATTTTTCAGGAAATAAACGAAGAAGAAGAGTAACTAATATGATAATACTAATAACAAGAAAAAGAAGAGCTAAAATAGCGAAAGTAGCAGTAGATTTTGAACAAACATTATTACAATTCCAAAGACCATAACCATTTCTTGACCAATTTGAAGTTGTTAAACCAATTAAAGTAAAAAATACGCCAATACCTGTAATAATAATAACCGTAGTTAATATAATCGATTCAAGTAGTTTCATTTTCTATATATGTATTTATAATGAATAAAAATAGGATGTCAATACGAATAAAACAAATGTATTAATGTAAAGTTTAGTGTATATATTTAAATACGTGTATGTATAACAATAAAATGTAACAAATTTGATTGCTACATAATAGAAAGAAAGAACAAGAATGACATATATTTATTTAACATCAAACACCTAGTAGAAAGATACATTAGATTTACATAGGATTTTTTTGTTTCTATAAAGTTCATCATCTTCAATATAAAATATAACTTTTAAAGATTAAGTCTAATAAATGATTAGTAATAACAAAGACTGATATTACTCATAAATCTTATAAATATATACTTATGCTATTAATGATTAATCACAATCGTATTAGGATTGACATTTTATATAATTAAAATGTCGAAGAATATCTTTCAATAAGTCATATAAATAATAGAAAGTTTTTTCGAATTTTATTCTCAGCTCATTATAAATCCAATCCAATGGAAATCAACATGAAAGAAAAACAAGAACAACTTTTTCGTTCTTATCTCTTGTCGTCAAGATCATAACATCAAGTACAAGATGCCCGAATATCTTTTCTGAAACATAGTTTCAAAGGAGTATTGAAGTGTAGAAATAGAAAGTCGGACCTGGCAGACCGTGACAGACACTATATTGTAAAATCTCTCTTATGTGGGCACAATTGGAATAGATCAAAAGTGTTCACTTGATGGAGGTACTAATTAACCTATAAGAATTCAGTTGCGATTCCTTGTCGTTTGTACAAGTTGGTCTTCTTCTTCATTTCTAATTCAATTTCTTGAATTAGAGATAAATCAACACATGTTGACATGATTCGATGTTACCAGCTGTTAACGCAAAAAAGCAACGAGAAATTTCATCAAACACTGTTTTTGTGGTTTACCGCTTCCTTTTTTTCTTTTTAATATACACATTAAGTGCATTCCCTTGTCTTTTGTGTCTCATAGTTGCTTATTATAACTCAATACATATAAAATCGTTTTTTTCTGATCCGGCGCGTGGGTGATAGAACATACGTTGCCAATAGTAGAGAGGTTGTTATTGCTTTTGGTATCATAAGTAAGCGCCCACTACTCAGAATAATGAGGTGCTCAATGTGTAGAAACTTTAATGTATAGCGAAAATGGATACGAGGTTGATTATTTACTAGGCATTCATTGATATTACGATAAATTTTTTCTAAAGTCAGTTATAGGATGAACGGATTATAGATTATACATGGATTATTTGTACAGTTCCGAAAAATTTATTTGTATCACATGCTGATAAAAAGAGTGCTCAACAAATAAAAATTTTATAGATTGATCTGTCGATTGAATGAAAACATTAAGATCATACTTTTAAATATGTCTACCCCAAATCGTTTATTAATAACGTTAAAAATTCTTGTATTTTTTTGTAAAACGTTTTTATTATGATCATTGTATAATTATATCCTTGCATAGTTTCAGTTATGTATTCTCTAATGTATATGTTTATTCAAATAACAATAAGAAAAACAAAAGAATAAACATAAAGAAAAATATATTATTAAGAATTTTCCAATTCTTGAAATCTAAATTAAACAAAAACAAACAAACAACAATATTTATCAATCTATCAACATAAGATACTTACGAACATTTTGGACATAAAAAGAAAACAGTTTGTCCTTCTACAATGCGAAGAAAAAAAGAAAACACAATCATCATTATATGAAAGAGTAAAGTTTCAGTTAGAAACAATACGTTACCATCTGCTGAACGTAATTGTCTAGTAGTAAATGACATTTCATCATGTCCACAACGAGGACATTTTCGTTGAATCTAAATCAATATTTATATATAGACATCATCGATAATAATCATAAACAATCATACTAGTGTGCCTTCTACAGTTTCATTATTGTCTAAGGTTTTCTTTTCATCTTCAACATTATGAAAATCGACATGAACAGTTGATTGTGTTCCATGAAATGCTATTAAATGAAAATCTTTTACTATCAATATGAATATTCATACAAACCTGATATATCTTGAATCTTTTTGCATAGCAAACATTGAATAGTTGGTGAACCATCCGGCAAAGGTAATATTGTTCCACATGCTGGACAAAAATCTTGATCAAATGTATTACTCATCTAATCAAATACAATGTCTTTCTTAGTATATTATTTTCACGATCTATTTCTATGATATATATCTTAAATTTGAATCAAAGTTTTTATTTTCAAGAGTAAAATAACATGACACTAACGCACATAAACACACATATATAGAAGTGCATTTTATGAGCGAAAGAATCGTTTAACAGTTTGTCTTGCTGATTTTTTTGTTCCACCTTGTTTTGAATCAATATTGCCAGTTAACATATTTGAATTTTGTAACATACTTAAATTATTATTATTTTCATTACTATCTCGTCTTCCACCACTACCACCTGATGATTGTCCTTGTAAATCAATAATTTTAATCATTGATAACATTTCTTTATCATATTTATCTTGTTCTTCTAAAGTTTTTTTCTTTTGTTCATTTGCTTTCATAGCTTCATATTTTAAAACATTTAACAAGGCTGAACAATTTTTACACCATTTATCAAGTACTTCTTCCATACGATTAAATGCTATTGTATTAACATCACGTGCTATAGCAAATTCAACATTTAATCGATTATTTAATTGATCTAATTTTCCACGTATAACTTGTGCATATATTCCATCAATAATTAAATCTTCAAGTTCACGTACACTTTCAACTTGTAGTTCTTTTAATAAAAGTGTATAAGGTAATATTCGTGCATGTATAGCAAGTGATGCTAATGTTAATAATTGTAATTTTCGTCGTGCTAATGGAGATAATGAAATGAAACGTGTACGTTCAGATTCATAATCTGATAATGTACCGTAAGCAAATAATTCTAATGTGGATAAAACTTGTAAATGATCTTGTTTAAGTGTATTTACAAGTGAATCCAAACGAAGAAATTCATCAAAACCGAATATATCCGGATGTTCAAGAACACGTGTCACTAAATCAACAGCAGCTAAGCCACGTACTGATTTAGCTAGTAAAAGAAATTGTTGAGCGGCTTGTGAGGACATCTGAAATTTATATAGAGGACTATGATAGAACGAAAAAGAAAAAAAGAAAAAGAAAAATTCATAGTACATTCTTCTATTATTATATACAAATGGCCGAGTTACATACGACTACTATCCTACAAAATACTGATAATATTTATGTTCAAACTGAAGATGATAATTCAACAATACGACAAGTACTCGCCGATATCGAACGTCTCATGGAAATGCTAAGTAATGAACTTGATCAAAATAAATCTTCCATATCATCGAATTTAATAAATTATTCACCACAACAATTAAAAATTACATCATCATTATGTTATCCAACATCATCGACAACGATAACAAGTGTTACAATAACTGATGATAATCATCAACTTATTGAACATCTTCGTCATCGTATAGCTCAATTAGAACATGAACGAAACGTTCTTCTTACATCATATCAATTACTTATTAAGCTACTTAAATAAATCAAAGAAAAGACAATATTTATGTAGAGACAAAAACAATATTTTATACGAATTTCTTTTTTTTTCTTTAAATATATTTTACAAAAATACATATTTAAGCATGACGAATTTTCCAATTTCTTGAACCATGCAGATTCTTACGAAATTGATCGAATACAAGATCATCGGTAGCCGTTTCAGATAAAGGCTTTTCTGGTACTGAGCTTGGTCTGGGATCTGAAAAAAAGAAAAGAAATGTATAAGGATGAACAAAAAAAAAGTTCTAGTCATATACTGCTTCTATTTGATGGATAATTTTTTTTATAGCAAACGAAATACTATTCGACAGTTTATCGAATACTTACAAGAAAAAAAAACATAACTTATCAAAAATTAGAACTTGAAAATGACTTCTACGATAAGTTGTGTTGATTATTTATAACTATTTTCTTCTAATAAATCTGCTATCAAGCAAATAGCAGAATAAATTTTATCTGTAGATAGTAGCCTAACGAGGAAACTATCCCAACTATAACTCCCCATTTGAATCCACAATATAATCTCGGTAAGACTAGAAGAAGTTCAAAAAAACTTCTCCCAATGAGTTTTGGATTATTGTGATAGTTTCAGCTAAATAGCTTGGCTGCAGAAGTCCTTCCGTACGAACCTTTCTAGAATTTTTCTAGTCTTACCAAGACTTCCTTGTAAGTACAAACGACAGATTACAACTCGAGTAGTTTTCTCGTCAGAGAAACTTTGCGAAAAAAACACTTTTCAGCACCAAAATTTTTTCACGTTGTGATTTTTCATTATTTCTTCTTGGATGCTTTCAACGAAATATACACGCCTCATCATCCGCATTTAGTGAATGCGGTGCATGTATCTGTAGACACACTACACATCCACTTAAAAATCAATTTCGTAACATATATATATATATATTCCTGATTTTGTAAACTATGTTTTATTTCTTATCTAGGTCAACCACATCTTTAACTAATCGATCTGATCGACAGTGAGGTTGCCGTAGGTTTTGAGCAGTATCTATAGCTTATCGAGAAATAATGAGACTTATGAAATTTTATTATAAAATTAAATAGACTAAGTCAGAGCTCATTCTGGACTGAACTAATCCGATTTTTCAATCGGCGTTCACCAATCGTTGAAGTAGAAAAAGATCCAAAACAAATCTGATGTTTATCAACTTTTGTTTCTAATAAGAAAAACCGATCAAAAGTGACTCTTTTCATTGGTTTTAACAGCAATGATCATAAAATATGTTCCTTTTTTCTTGAGTTTTAACTTTTATCTTAACAAATGATTAGTGTAATACTAGACGAATCATTAATACACATTTTATATTTCGAGATAGGCATTTCAATCTAAACTTATTCAAATAGCACAAAATGCCGATAAATTAAATTAGAATTGATTAATAAAGTTTAATCAATAAAAATCGATTATTTTTACATAGGTTATGAGCTTTCGAGCATGGATTGATGATAGCCTAGAAACAGAATCTTAAATAAACACAAAACTCCCTAGAGGTGTCACCTAATATCACCGTAAAATCTCATTTAATTCTTTCCTTGATGTCAACATTTCCGTAATTAAGAGCAAGTAAATATACAAAGAGCAGAACAAAGACAAAATTCGAATAATAAAAATTTATGGACAAACTAAAATGTTAACAAAAGATCGACAAGTAGGTGTTTGTATGGCGAATCCTTAATACCGATTTATTTCTCTATTTACACTGAAAAATGTTGTTTTTATTCAACAAAATCAGACGAACAGTTCATGGGTAGATAAGATCATAATGATTATCTTACCTCTTAATAAAGTTGGATGTTTTTCTTTATTTCCAACAACTGGTTGTGGTTTGACAATATCTTTTATTTGATTTTGTTTTAATCGTTTGGAATGTAAAATGTCCATTCCATCCGTATTAACTAAAAACAAAAATATATTCTTATTTAATTTAATTATAATATAATCTTGACATACATCGTTTATGTTGTACAAAACTAATTGAAGCTGTTTTTGTTGGTGTTGATGGTACAACAGTTGTACTAGCTAATAAACTAATTGGTGCTGTTGATTGTGAAATAATTGTTGATATTTTCTTTTCTGCACCTTTTTTTTCGCATAATGTTTGTAATAGTTTTCGTTTAGCTTTATCTGTTTCTTCAATATTACGAATTTTTTCTCTGAGAAAAACAATAATAATAATTTTCAAAAAAAAAGTAAAATGCTTAGACATACTCAACACCAATATCAACTTCCGGTATTCCACTTAACATTTGTTCTGAAAGCATTTCTTCCGATGCTTGTGCTGAATGATCTGTAATTAAGTGTTTACTAACATGGAATAAAGTGTCTTCAGGCTTTTTTAATGTCGAAAAAACAGCTTGTAATTCATCATTAGTTGACAAATTTGATGATGTTGTTGATGATGATGACGATTTTTGGATTTTAGCAAGTTGTTCTTCAATATAACGTTGCATTTCAGTATCTTCATCACGTGTATTTGTTTCTCGAGCAAAATTATCATTGATTGTACTTATATCTTTTGATGAACGTGCACGTTGCTGTTGTTGTTGTTTAATTGTATTCACTTCAAGAAGACCACCAGATTTTAATTTAAATGGATCATTTGGCTACAGAGAATAAAAAATGAAAAGTTTTAACTTTATAAGATATGATAATATACATACATCAATTTTTCTTGAACTACTTAATGGATTTGTTTGTTTGCCAAGAGCAAGTTCTTCTGCAGAAAGACCTTTTTTACGTTGACGAAGCTTTTGAATTAATTTAAGATCTTCCATTAATGTTCTAAAGCAAAAGAAACAAAAAACAATAAATAATCATAAGAAGAAAATAAAATGGTATTTTCCTACCCACTATCAGCTCCATCATTTGAATTTTGTTCATTGCTATCTTCATTAGCTGGTTGACTATCATCTTCGTCATCACTATATTTTCGTTGACGAATATGTGTTCGCTTCGACATTATTTAATTTATATGTATAAAATCTAACGAAAACAAAAGATTAAAATGAAAATATACGTTGAAATTAATAAGGATACGTAAAAATGAAATAAACATGTGCATAAGAACGAATAACTTCGTTGGATAATTGGTTCAACCAATCATAAACATTTTTAATGCCATGAAAAACAACTGTGAACGACACTAGCGTACGATCAATAAAAGAAAGAATTCAAATATAAAAATAACAACCTTTCTATGGAATCTTTTCAGATATAGCGTATTGCCGTTATGAGAAATTAGACGATATAAAACTAATAAGATATCGATCAATATTTGTTTGCTTTCTATTAAGCATTAAAAAAATCGTTCAAGGCTCATCTAAGAGAAAAACTTCACTTCAACCATTTATACAATGAATCGCGTATGGATTCAGCCTCCATACTTTCCATGGTTTGTGCTGTAACGAAATCTATACTTTGTGTTGCGGTGCTCGCTGAATGGCGAGACACTAGAAACTCTTTCGAACATTGACAGGAAAATTGATGTTTTGAGAAGATACAAACATTTTTGAATCTTCAGCGAGTTCCGCAAAATGAGGACTTAGCCTTTATATTTTACCCGAGATAATTAAGAATGGTGAGCTAGTTTCTAGTCAACTGTTATGAGCAGGAGAAATAATGAAAACATCCGACAGGACAGGATCAACTCTACGTGAAGTCGATTATTATCCATCCAATTGCCGAAAATTAAGATCGCTTCGCACCGTATTTATGCATACCCTTGCGAGTTTTCTATTATAATGATCTCGAGAATAAAAAGTCAAAAAGTATATAGATCGATGATCTTGCCTCTTATTGTTGAAATCGAAGTGGATTATATCTCTCAAGTTCTTTAGTTTTGTTATACAATAAATAGCAAGAGTATAAAAACTAATTGTAGAAGACGACTAATACAATTTTCCAACATGAGATCTATTCAAATTGAATATCTAACAAAGTTTGTAATACTCTGGCGATTGATATATTGAACAATAAAATTAATTTAAAATTATAGGTGAAAACTAAGGTACCGGAAATGCAAAATTTCAGTGAATTTTGTTTCTCCTTCGTTTATATATGGTTTGATAGAGCTTGAAAAGCTGATCACGAATGTATGCTTTCTATTTCGATTCGACCACTGTTTTGCTGGAAAAAAGCCTTAAAAACCTTGAAGAACTAAGAAAATACCATTTTTACGTTGAATTTTTTTCCATAGAAATTATCAGACTTTAATTTCAGTTATTTTATGAATTTTTTGAAAGTAGTATATTCTGAATCAGTATGAAAAGCTGAGTAGAAAAATGTTAATGGATTAGATTTCGACCTAATAAAACTAAAAAGTTCCTATTCGATATAAATAGGTCCATGAGAATAAAAGTATGTATCAGCGAGCATTCTTGTAAACCTATCTAGTTTTTTGTAACAAGAGATAGAAGCAAGTGTCTTATTTCGTTAGAATCACCAGATCATGGGCTAGAAAAATTATTATTTTTCTTTGAAAAAGTTGTTCTACTGCTGAGAAAATCGAATTTCTTTCCTGTTCGGCGGTAACATGAGGCGAAATGAAGAAAAATATGTTGGTAGTTAGTAGTTTTTATTATCATGGTTCAGTCAAAAGGTAAAATGAGTTGCATATTCAGAATCAGCGTAAAAAAATGCATCGATTCAAATATGTTTTATAGAATTGGATTTTGTTGCGAAAAATTGACCTGTGAAGGACCAGGGACAAAATTTTGGAAAAATGGACCTGACGGGGGACAACAGTACTGTCTGCTTTGCCTTTTGACTGAACCATAATAATACAAACTGCTAAAAACCAACATATTTTTCTTCCTTTCGCCTCATGTTACCGCCGAACAGGAAAGAAATTGGATTTTCTCAACAGTAGAACAACGTTTTCAAAGAAAAATAATAACTTTTGTAGCCCATGATCTCATGATTCTAACGAGATAAGACACTTGCTTCTATCCCTTGTTACAAAAAATTACAGTGGGGGTCATAAGTCTCGCCCCACTTTTGTATTTTGAGTCGTCTATTTGAACTAAAAAATGTTGATTTAATTTGATTATATATTCTTGTAGCGGAGATCGAGCANATCCGATCGATATTGTTGTATGACATGACATATACTCTGAAGCGAGTGGTGTTCACCACCACATTGTGCACATTTTTGTCTTTTAGTACAAGTGTGTTCTTCTTTTTTTGATATTTCATCAAGACAGACTCGACAGCGTTGTAAACTAGCTTTACATTGATCACGTACATGACCTATTTTCCAGCATTTAGAGCAAAATGTCATACGGTATCCCGTTAGAAAGGGAGTGATTGTAAGCCAACGATTACAAATCGAGATGCGACCAAGTTCAAGAGCTGTATTATATTCATTTAAGTCCATTATAGTGAATTTAAAATCGTTGGATTTTCGTTCGTATGAATAGTGTATTAGTTTTATATTATTAGCTGATGCAATTGTACGTTTAATTTCTTCTTTTACTAGTTCCGGTTCCATGTCACTTGGTACGTACCGAACTACTAGAGCGAAGCAGTTCGGAATATATTTCGGTTTGGTAATTCTAATTGGTATATTATTAACATGCGTTGGCCATTTGTTTGTTGCTAATAACACCATGTAATCATCTTCGTTATTCACTCCCAGCTTCAGACGATTACTTGACCATCCTACTAATGAGAAGTGTTCAATGTTTACTTATTGTTCTTTGAAATGCTTTTCAATAACATTTCTGGCTTCACATGCCGATGGAGGCCGCTGTGAAGTAATAGTTTGTTCGAATTCGATGAAGAAGCACGGTAGATTAGAGGACATGGCTCGTTTTAGCTGATCGAATGGAAGCGATTTTGATTGTTGTTGATTAATTACGGCCGTATCTTCCATTTGCATGCGGGTACCTTTGCTTGATTTATGTTGTTTCGGTGCAGAACTGATGGAACCCCCGCTGTCGTTAAGAGATCGACCACGTTTCGGAGTTGATGAATTATGCTGAATATCTGTCTTAACATTTAAAACAGAGGGAATCGGCTTTTGTTCTAATGAACGAAGAAGACCTTCTCGTTGTTCCATATCATTGTCATCTACATACACTGCTGGTTGAGAATAAAGTTGCTGATGTCGACCATTCATCTGGTGTTGATCATTGATACCTATTTCATTTGTTGTTACTTGAGCTGTACGAACGTAATTGTTCGATCTATTCATTTCGGCTAATTGAAAATTGATTGATGACATAAAGTCACTCCTCCGCGCAATACGGGAGGTATGCGCAGGATACGAAGAAAGAAGAGTATGTACGCGGACGAGCAAAAATGAGACCGCTCTCTACGAAGGCAGATGAAGAAGTGATAATTTTTCCCTCTTACAATAATAGTGAGTGCTTCCAAGAGACAAGCACGCGATATGGCAGATCTTTTACCAACTGTGTAGAACTTGAAAGTCGAATTCAATTGAAATTATCTTTTCAGTTAAAGACACTCTAAGCTCAATTTTCAGCTATCCTACACCTAATACAACAAATGAGAAAAATCTAAAAGAATATTCTTTGTCCCTATCTTGCTATGCCTCCTTGATCCTCACCGTCTGAGAACTTGAAATTTGAAAGTTGAAGATTAAAATAGTTTTAATTGAATTCTACTTTCAAGTTATACATGTACGCACTTCAATGCCCTAGAAAAAGTGTTATTCTATGTTTTCTATATTTTATAGATGTAAAGGATTTTATTATGATTCGTAGAACTTCGTTAACATTAAATCAATGCCAAAACCAAGCCATTTCACAACAAACTCGTTCAAACAGTATGCTGCTTCATAATTCTTCAGCAGAATTGGAGCGTGGTGAAAGCGAAGGTACCATCAACATACTTTCCATACAAACACAATCTTTAAAACTATCACCTCAAAAACCTATGACTTGGCCAGAATTGACAGAATCTTTAGAAGCATGGCAAGATCCTGAAGATGGTGTACAGGATGTGGAAGCAAAGGAAAGAATCAAGGATTGTTTTAGGCAACGTTCAGATAAGCTGGATTTATCCTTTCTTTCTCTAAGCACGCTTCCTGATGTGGTTGGAAGAATGCAACATCTACAGTTTTTGTCGATCGCCAGCAATAGATTTTCCGTGATACCACAGACTTTGACTACCTTAAAGCTATTGAATGTTTCGAATAATATATTGACAGAGGTGCCCGATAATATCAAAGTGTTCAAAAACTTGGAATTTTTTAATGCAGAATGTAATCAGATTCAAAAAGTTTCAGACGAATTGGCGCGTTTGCCAAATATTCAGATTGTGATGTTGACTCATAACCGTATTCTAAAATTTCCTGAGAATATTTATAATATCAAAGATCTTGATTTGGAAGACCAAGTTCCGCTAGCGTCGTTTGGTCACTTCTCCCCAGAATTCGCAGCACGATGGGAAAAAACTCTTCAGTATGAATCTGGGTCAGGCTATCTGGAAATATGGGTGGCACGTTTTGAAGAAATTCTCAGGCTGCCGCAAGCTAAAAAATATCGCGAAACATTTAAACAGCGTATCGGTATATTGTTGGATGCGATGGTGAACAATCCGAGTTTACGTACACGATGTTATGATAAAGCACAAGATGCCACTGCAACATGTCATGACGGTATTTTATTCTCTTTATTCGAAATGGAAATCAAACAGTTCGAGGAAAGAATGATTGCCTTGGAATCATCTGATGAGGAGGTTCGTCAGGAAATTGAGAGAATCTTTAATTTTTATCGTTTACAATAGCTCGCTTTATTACACTCGGAACAACGTTCGTACGAACAAGCAGCGACTACGGAAGGAGCACAGACTGATGTACTTGAAACGGTCTTGTTTTTCTACACTTCTCCAGCAAATACTTTGGATATGCCATTGGGCGGGGAGAGATTGCATTTTATGCGTTATCCGGAGATGTCGCAAGCAACTCATGATGATGTAAGAAAAGCGGTTGCACAAATTCAACGCGAAAAAAGAGAGCTTGGACAAGACTTTTTGATTAATTTTATTTCGGATAAAGAATCTTGGGTGAATTATTTAGAAAGTCGCTACGCGGATATCATTGCAGAACACACGCGCATTTTTATGAATCAGATGGAACAATTGGAAACCAGAAAAGACAGGATCAGCGAATACGATTATCTCACACAAGTGAATACCATGGTCGAAGAGAAGAATGATTCGGAACAAAGATTGTACCGTCAGTTGACGAAGAGTATTCTTACAAATTGATTTTCCTATTGTGTTTCTCATAGGTTTTTATTCTTACGGTGATCTCTAGGTATTGAGAAAACAATAAACTCACGAGGAAAGTTCTCCAACTGGTTCTGAGCTTTTAACTTCACCTTTTGACTATAAGTAGATTTCAGTGAGACTAAAGAAATTCTAAAAGAATTCGTGGCCGTATCCTATTGATCAAGAGTTATGATCGATTTACTGAATTTTTGACCTATTCATAGGTACTTACCGGAAAATCAAATTACAAGATTTCGATCTGAAATTTTACTCAATGATAAGTCTAATGACCATTAGAATACTCTGAAAATTTCAGTCAAAACAAATGTTCTCTTTTCGAGATATTAAGAGAGAATCTATAAAGGCATCGAGGATCATCTTCGTATACGAGGCACTAGTCAAAATTTTAAATTTTCACTCTTTGTGTGTGTTCGAAAGGCCACCATTTGACACTATGAAAACCAAATTTTTAGCTCATTTTGATGTTCTATAAAGAAATGAGCCAATATCGACTTTTGAGAACTACCAATCTACACTATCAAAAAAGTCGTCATAAATCATCTCATAAATGTCTATTCGAATTATGCTTCAACAAATCAATGCAATTGTTCGTGCAATATACCAAATGATAGAGCTTCAAAATCTGAATAAAATGAGATATTCTAAATATTGTATATCATGTATTTATTGGAGTTATATAGTCAAACACGAGGGGAAAAGATCACAGTTTACGTATTCATAATTGTCGATGTTTCACAGTATAAACTCTTTGCATGGATTCCAATCTTTCTAGTCTAATAATTATTAATGTCTTTTAGCTTTCTTGTAAGTGTTGATAGATAACGACAACAGAAGAAACTTGTTTTCTACTTGAAACAATTGCAACATATCTTTCTTTTATTGTTTTATGAGACCATTTACAACATTTTCATTCCATTCATTTATGCATGATATGATTTTTGGATACTTCTCACATATATTATTATGATCTGAGTCAGTACAAAAAATGAATAATTAATAATTTTATTCGACAAAAGTAATACTATCGTTTTTAGTACGCTTGACTCAAATATGTTAATATTCTTGTTCGTACTTGTAAATTATTATTCATTCTTATCGACACGTAAAAGGTGTCAAGACCTTACAATTGTATATTCAATGAACCGAAGAACAAATCATTTTTTCTATAGAATTGTTTTTATAATGTTTTTTTTCATGCAAATCAGAATTGATCAATGACAATTGACATGGGTTACTAAGTTTATACAAATAAACTAAATTCTCATCATAGTAAATTCTATTCATTGCTTATCTTTCCACTTCATACTGTCCATATTTATATGATTTAAAAAAAAAACAAGACATCAAAATCAAACACAGATCAATCAAAACATAAAAGAAAAAAAGAACAAAAGGTCAATATTCTGTACACTTCAATGATTTTATTCAGTCGATAGATGATGACGATGAGAACTTATCTTTTTATACATGTTATCGACACGACAATTGTTCGCTATTTTTTTTGCCTTTTATTTCTTCGTTTCACATGACCTTCATCATAATAGTTGATTTGAATAAGTATCAGCAGACATTAAACATTGACTAAGTGATGTTAAATGAACATAATCTTTAACTTGTAAACGTGTTATATGTTGAAATTGACAAGGATTTGATATAGATGATTTATTAACATGACGTTGAGATTTTTTTTTATTACTTAATATCGAACCACATGATGAACTTCGATTATGTCCATTAGAAAAAAGATGTTTATAACGATGATCATTTCGTATAGATATATAATAAGAAAAAAATTCTTGTGATGCTGTTAAATTATGAAAACGAAGTACGGCAAGTGTTGTTTTATCTGATAAACGAAATGTTATATGTTGTTCACGTGCTTGTTTAACATCACTATGTCCATCGATAGTATCTTGCCAAATAGGAAAACCAGAACCATATTCAGCAATAATCAGAGATAAACATGATTGACGTTTTGGATTCGTACCAGAATTAAGTAACCATACAGGTAAACCATGTTGAAATAAAATCCAATCTTCAAGTTTAGATAAACGTTCAGCTGTTGTTATATATAAATCACATAGACAACGACATGCATATACTTGTGTACCAATACTTCGATATGATAATTCAACTTTAAGAATATCATCATCGGAAAGAATTGTTGAATGATGAAAAGTTTCTGAACGTAAATGTCGATTTTCATCTTTCGTTTTATCAAATAATGATTTACGAGAATCTTAAAATGGAGATATATATATACATATATATATAAATATGTCAAGATGATATTAATCCTTTCTATATAATGCAAACTTACTAGACAATGTTGTCGACTTATAGTTTTTTTCATCGTGTGTTAATCTATCACAACTTTTTGCACGTTGTTCATATTGTTGATAATCATGTGTTTTTTTATTAGATATTTCATGAAGAAGATCAGTAAAACGTTTTTCAATTGTTTCAAGTTCTTCACAACTAAGCCAACTTTGATCTTTTGTATGATAGTCTTTTTGTTGATGTTGTTCTAACGATGATAATTGTTGATTATTAATTAATGGTGATACACGTGCTATAGGCGTATGATATGTTCTATTTGTTTGATGTTGTTTTTGAATTTTTAATGATTGCATGGATCGATAATCTTTATTGATTAATTTCGACAGGTGAAGTGATGATGTAGCAGAACGAAGTGGTGAAAATGTAGAAGACGATGTTTGTGATAAAGAATAACTATTAGAATTATTATAACAATTTGTCGATGAAGTAGAAGAAGCAGAAGACGATGAAACTCCTGAATAGCGATCAGATGATGCTGATGGCATTCTCTGGAGAAGAACAAAACAAAACAAAACAAAAAATCAATGCAATAGCTTTTCTACTATGTGTATATTCGGAGAATGAAACTGTTCAATATGATTGCGTGCGTCAATATAAGTTAAAAAGAGAGTAATACGTGAGAGCGTCTTGTATAATCATAAATACACTCGTTGAACGATCGACAATGCGAGAGTATGTTTGTTGATGCAGTTCGTCTTCTTTTCTCTTTCTTTTTCTATTTTACTTAATTGTTGTTGAAAAAGATGACCAATACGACTATCACGAGACGTGTGTGTGTATATATATGTGTCAACATACGAGACTATTGCAAAGTGTCCTATCGTAGTGACAAAAAAAAAATATAAGAATGAAAGAAAGCAAGAAAAAAGCCAGTATCACATATTTGTCACAGGAAATTCACTCGTTCAACGAGCAACGCGAGAAGAGAGAAAGTGAGAGAGATTGACAATTACAATTTTACTTTTCTATCTTATTGATATCAACGTTATATGGCTGAGATATATGATCAATTGAAAATAGCGTGAACGAAAATATAGTAGGTCACTTTTATTTATCAAGATGCAATGTTACACTTGAGATGATATCGATGGGTAGCATGCGTGTATATGAGCGTGCACGCACAATTTCACTTAATCATGTCAAATTGAAAGAATGAATATACACGCTTAGTAACTCCGAACTAATACAATACGCATAGGAGAAAGAAAAACGAGAGCGATACAAAAACACTAAACATACGAATCTTCTTTCCTCAGTTTAACCTTCTCATTTGTATCAAATTGACTAAGAATATTTCTGATTGTATATATGTAAAATATCAACAACCATATAGAAATCCATTAGATGACATCATCAAAACGGACTGTTTCCTATTCAACTTGTTACTAATTCATTGACACTTATATATCCTTCTGACAGCATTTTTGCAGTTTTTTTTTTCTATGCAGCTATTCTCTCTTGATTAGTAACCACGTTTCTCATATCCACTGTATTTATGTCAACATCATCGGCAATGTCTTGATTACATGTACATGTCCTGATTTCATCATCTCTTTATTGTGTCGTCTCTATACACACTTGAATTTATTCTTTCCTAACTGTCTGCTCTTTGATGATCATATCAAGTGTGTCATTGTAATTCATTGAACACGACTATACTTTGTTCAACCTTTTTCTTATTATGTGATCCTATCCTTTTCCTCAATTCCTATCAAATGTTTTGTTTATTTTTTTACTATTTCATTCATGATCTATTACATGTAGATCCTTTCTTTGTAAAGATTAAAACATAAATCATATGAATACACTTGTATGGCGTTGATAATAGCAAGTTTATTATAACACAGAAAAAGAAAGGAAAGTGTTACACAATTTAAATAGAAAGATTTACTAAATATTCTATCTTTCAATGATCAAATATCTCATGCATATGACACACTTATCATCATACTGCAAATTCATCATTTTCATCATCATCATCTTCATTATCCATTTGTTTTTGTCGTTGTATTTGTACAGGTCGAGTGATGTGTGATGAACGTCGACGACGAACAGGTTGTTGATATCTGAACAAATAATGATAGACTTCTTAAAATAAATACATTACAAGGATAAAAGTAATACTTACTTTTTATGAGTATATTCTCGATTTAATGGACGACATCGCCGATGATCATATGTGTTCTCAGTAGGAGGCATCCGTTGACAAAAAGTTACGAGTGGTGGTGTTTGTTGACAATCATCTCGTACTGTTAGAACTGTAAAAAAAAATAGAGAATGAAAAGTTCATCTTAATAAATTAAACATTAATTACCTGTTTGTGTTCCAGTAGAAGATCGTTTAGGATCTAAAATGAAATAAAATTATGATCGTTTAAAGCTCAAATAAAAACTTACCAGATCCGCATAATAATTTATTCCAAAAACTAATATTTGTTTTTTTTTGCTTTTTTTCGAACGTCTGTATATTAAAATTACTATTAAAATAAGCCTGTAATATAAGAAAAGTAAAATAATAATTGGCTAAGTGAAAAATTCATTACAAATACTTGATTAATATATAATTTATCAAAGAAAATCCCTGCTTGAGCAAGAGAACGTCGTACATTGGCCATGTTATCACTTGAAATAGTTCGAGTCATATTCGCTATGATACATTCATTGAAACATAGGAGATTATATAGAATGTTAAACAAATCATCAATTAATTGATTCTTGATTGATGATATTAGAATGAACATCAAATGATAAATGAAGAAATGATAAATAGACGAATTATTCATCTGAATTAACTGATGATTGTCATACAAAATTGACGAATAATTTTCATATCTAATGATCAATGCTCTGTTGTCTCTATTTCAAACAAGCCGAAAATCATGTTTGTAGTCATATGTGTAACTGTAGATGATCATATTCAACAGATTTTTTTTGATTTACTAATATGATAAATACCAAACAGCATAATGCAGATTCAAATAACAGAATATCAACTTTTTACTCCATGTTTTGATCAGTCGTCATGTCACCATTTCTAGAAATCAATTACAAAAAATAAATGAAACATGAATTTAAAAAATTTTGTGAACATTTCTTATGAGGAACTTTACTTTTTATGTAGTCGTTCTCCTGTGAATAGCCATTAGATTAAGATAACTGTCCATATTATGAATACATTGGAGATACTAATATTCTATTCCAATATTTGTTTCATCAATGTTTCTTCTGCAATCACTATGTGGCAAAAAGAAAAAAAATACAGAAGAAATATTTAAGAAAATGTTCAATGATCAGATTTAATAGTTTTGGTTTTTGACTACTCTAGAAACTTGGATAAACACGTTATAAGTATTACACATTAGAGATGTGTTGGATTAAGTTTATTTAGTCTCGTTCTTCAGTAATTGTGTTTTTATTTATTTAGTCGACGACGAGCACTTTTTTGGTCTCCTCTCTTGAATCATGCACTAATTGGAACAACTAATAATATAATTCGTTTAGAACTATGGATTATGTAATAACAATCTGTAGTTCTAGTTTCGGTCGTAGCAATTTCTTTTTAGCATCATCCTGCACATTTATATTTAGCATGCTGTCATGATTTTAGGATTTCTAATAATGTTATCTTTTATATATTTTTTTTTATGATGAGAACAGGATTAACGAAAACGAGAAAAAATTAAAAATACGAATAAGCTGATATTAATGGTGATCATTGTTGCACTCCAAGTAGCAGATGTTGAAATGACTCCTTATCGACCAGTAGTACTTTTAACATATTCGATTCGATATATACGTCCATTTCCATCTTCACTAAATAATAAACTTCCATCTTTCATTTCTAATATTCCAACAGGTCGACCAAATGTTGTTGGACCTTGTGGATCAATAAGAAATCCTTTAAGAAATTCTTCATAATATCCTTTAGGACGATTATCGTCATTAAATGGAACAAAAACAAGTTTGTAACCAGTACCAGCGTCACGATTCCATGAACCATGACAAGCAACAAATGCACCATTTTGATAATAACTTGGAAATTGATTACCACGATAGAATTGCATATCTAAGACAGCTGAATGTGCTTGAAAAAGAACATCAGGTGTGCGTGTAAGTTCAACTAAATCTGGACGTTCACTAGAACCATTTGAAAAACGACGTCGTGGATCAACATTGTTCGGTGAAAGATAAGCTGAGAAAAAAACAAAGCAAACTTCAATTAACAAAAAAAAATATACATATTTTTCGATTAATTACCAAATGGCCATCCATAAAATTCATCGTTTTGAATTCTAGTAAAAAAATCTGGTACAAGATCATCCCCAAGTTCATCTCGTTCTTGCACAGCGACATAAAGATCACCAGTTTTTGGATGAAAATCAATACCAACTGGATTACGTAAACCCCAAGCAAATGTTTGATTATGTGTACCATCTAAATCAACTACTTGTACTGATGCTCGTGATGGATATTCAATATCGACATTACTACCAGAACCAACAGTGACAAATAGACGATCACCGTTTGGTGATACAACTAAACTACGTGTCCAATGATATGTACTTTGATATGTCATAAGAACTTCTCCAGTACCACTCAGTTTTCTATCACCAGTTTGATAAGGATATCGACGAAGATTGCCAGCATTAGCAACATAAAACCAATCCTATGAATGATAAATCTTTACATAAAAGTTAGTAATTTTAATTATAAACTAACCTTTGTAAATGCCATACCGAAAGCTTGAGAAATTCCATTGGATCCATCGGCAAAAACAGATGTATCGTCACCAGTTAAAATCGATATACGTTTACCACCCATTTCTGTAACCAGAATATCACCGGTTGGAGTATAAATCATTTGTCTTGGTGACTTCATACCATTACGATAAATTGTTACACGAAAATTAACATCAGGTACTAATAATGTTGCATTACTTGGTACTCCTACAACGATAGCTGGTTTTTCAGCTGATGCTGTTTTATATGGAGGTGGAAGATTATCTAAAGTTATATGAATTGGTTCTGGTGTAAATGGTTGAACTGGAACTATCGGTGCATCCTTAGCCAATGTTAAACAAGTTGTAGTAATGAAGAGAATAAAATAAGCGAGCATAATTAATCTAGAAAAAATATTAACAAATAATTCAAAGGCATTTTAAGGTTATGGTAGATTCGGAATCAATATGAACAAAGTGAGTCAGATAGAACGACTTTCTCTCATTTTTCAAGACTACTTTTTTGGATGATTTCTTATCCCAGTCAAAAGCCATAGACTTTCCTGAAAAACTGACAATCAAGCAAACAATTTGAAATGTATTTTGGTCGATTTTGTTTTTCTTGCTGATTTTGAATCTAGTATCTTTATCGCAAAGTGATCGTATTTTGATAAATAAAAGCTCGCATTACTGACGGAGTTTTATGTATTGGGGATTCTGAACCAAAGTTTAACGATGTTTTCTCCAACAAGGTAGCATTTTGGAAAATCAAAGCTACACTTTTGAAGAACACTATAAAAGTTCGACATAATATGAGATAGAAAAAGTTACGTAGATAGCTTTACAAAAAGTCTCGATGACTGATTGAAATATCACTTGTTACTCATTTGTATGATCTAATGCATTTCATGCTGATAATACACTTGAATAGTATCAAAAATTAGTCTTACGAACTCAGTTTTTTAGTGTTGAAAATATACTGTTAAGAAAAAATGGAACATTTAAAGCTATCGACAAAATTCAATTTTTTTATCAAAAGGCATTCAAAAAAGAAATATAAAGCATATTATTCTTACTCAATTCGTCGAGCTCTCTCTAACCATGTATGAAAAATCAAAATAAAAAATATCTGCTTGTATTTGCATTTTTTTTGCATCTTATATAGGTCCGATATACGGGTGTTTTTTTTAATTTTAATCCCTCCTTGTTGTATATAAAGCTGTGATATTAATTGACGTGTCAAGAATGACAATGCGATAAATATATAGCAATAAAGAAATCTAATATATTGTTAGTACTGATGATATGACAAAGAAAATTGAGTCTTAAAACTGAAAATAAATCGAGATATTCGATATCAAGAAGATAAAACTCGATGGTCATCACATACGATTGTTTTTCTTTCGCTTTAAAAAATATATAAACAAGAAAGTAGCGTCCTCTAACTAATCATTGTATTCGTTTTTAATCCATTTAATGAGAAAAAGATAATTAATTTCTAGAAAACTTTATCATTATACATTTCATTTTGTCTAACATCTTATTTTTTCACAAACTGTTGTCACGAAATAGTTCGTTGTAGTGGTTAATAATTCTATCATCTAATATGGTAGTCGATTCTCTTCTTCTAAGGGCAGAAAGAAACAAAATCAACAATAAATAACAAAAAAACAATTGAGAAGTTCGTTTGTCTCAATAGAAAATACAATTTAATAGTTATTTTATTTTTCAGATTTGCCTAGATTATTAAACCATATCATTAGTTAATTATCAATGGCATCACTTACTCGTTTTTCATTAACATCATCATCGGCTTTATGTCGTTTATTAATTAATCGTAATGCTGGTCTTGTTCAACAACATTTACCATCAATGATTATTCCACCTGTAGCACAACAACGATCAATTGCCACTTCACCTATTCGTCGTGATATTGATTCGGCTGCTAAATATATTGGAGCTGGTGCTGCTACAGTTGGTGTTGCTGGTGCTGGTGCTGGTCAGTTAATTTTTTAAATAGAAAACAAAACAAGAAAATAAATCATTAAATTATTTTTTTTATAGGTATTGGAACAGTATTCGGTTCACTTGTAGTAGCCTATGCGCGAAATCCAAGCTTAAAACAACAGCTCTTCTCATATGCCATCTTAGGTTTTGCCTTATCCGAGGCTATGGGACTATTTTGTCTTATGATGGCTTTTATGTTATTATTTGCCTTCTAGAACATTCGTTTAATTATCTAATTCCCATACATACACAAGAACATTTAGGCGATCTTTCGTTTTTTTTTCGTTCTATATACCCGTCCTGATTCCTTTACATTTATTATAAGTACCATCTAAACAATAGCCTATTGGTCTTGTTAGTCCTAGACTTGTCTTGTCACCAAAAAAAGAATTGTCGTGATTGTTTGTCTTCTTTTTCTCTCTCTTTCTTTTTTTATGCTAAACTTTGCTTGGTCAACCTTAAAATAAATTAAGAAGAGATAAAAAAAGAAATGATATAGATGATTTAAAAATAAAGAATTTAGCAAGTTTGATTAATGACTGTAATCATATGTATTGACTGAAAAAAAAAGAAAAATTTCTTAGAATAATTATGAAACTTGATTGGTATTTCAATGTTTTATAATAAACTTATGTAAAAAACAAAAAATTGAAAAATCATGAAAAAGAGTTTCCTTTCTTATTTCCAAATTGATATTTCTTTTTTATTGATTATTATATGAATTTGTTTATTATCATTTAAATCAAATATTCGTTTAATCCAATTATTTCGTGTATTATTATTCATTAATGAAGATAATTTAAATGAACCTTTTCTACAAATAAGTCGAAAACTTATCAAATTTAGTAATGAAGATAAAATCATTTCTAGAATTTGTTCAATATTTCTATTAATTGATCTACTTGATTGTATTAGAAATGAAAAATGATGTAAATATGGAAATGCATTAAGTAATAAAGATATATCTTTCATAATAACACGACCATCTGTATCACTACCGAATAGCCAAAGTTCTTTTAATCGATCAAAAGTAAATCCAGGTAAACGTTTACATAGATGAATAAGATCACCATACATAACTGTTAAAGCACGAAGACAAGGAGTTATTTTACTATTCGTTACAAGTAATAGAAAAAAAGGTATATTTATTTTGCATCTTGTTGATCGAACATATCGTAACGCAATAAGACGTGGTAAACGTAATTGTTCATTAATATTTGTTGGATCGCTTATATTAACAGCAGTAAGGTCAAGAGCTTGAATACATGGAAAACGACTAAGAACGTATAACCAATCGTCTATGGATGTTTGCTCATGTCGTGCAGATAATAAAAGTGATTGAACACCATAAGCTGGCCGTTGATATAATTCAGTATCTGTTGTTTTAGCATATTTAACTGTAGGTGATGTTGTTACACACATATTTGTATTAAATTCATGCATATCATATGGAACCGTATCAATATAAAGCACTCTTTTATCAGCATAACAAATAATTGGTAATTTAGTTCGTGCAAATGATTCAATAAATGGATTGACATCAATGTATGTTGTTCCAGTTCCTATCCAAATACGAGTTTTGAAGTGTAAACGTTTCAAATTAGGTAAACGAGATATTAAAAAAGTCCAACAAAGACCATCAGCATAATCTCTATCATTTGTTTCGATATCAAGTGAAAGCAATTTGACAGTTGGCATATGAATCATAATTACGAACAAAGCATCAAATGTAAGAGCGTTTTGATCATTAGTTTGAATATGAAAATCTGTTAATTTTTTTGGCATTACTTCACTAATAACATACTGTATAGATTTGTTTGATGAAAATGAACTGATTGCAACATATAATTTAATGAGATTAGGTGCACGTTTGAAGAGTAAAATGAGATCATCTATTTGTGCTACAACAATTGTCAATTGTTCAAGATATGGATTTACTACAAGTTTTGTATCATGCTGCAATCGGATACCACCTTCACCAACCCAAAGACGTATTTCTTTAAATGAAAATGATGAACAAAAAAGATAATAATCGAGAAGACATTTTGTTGAATACAGAAGAGGTTTTAATGCATCGATATCAATTAATATTTTTTCGATCATAGCTAACTTTGGTAGAATATGAACATCATCATTACTAAAATCAATCAATCGAAGTTGTTTTATATTGGGTAATAATTGATGAAGAGAACTATAATGTTTAGTCGATTGATTAAAAAGACGAATTTGTCCTGGTGAATTCCAATTACTTAAAACTAAATTTCTGACATGTTCTGCTGTAGAAGGTAATAAATGTGAATACCATCGTTGATATTGATTCAAGGTTAAATGATGAATATCTAAATTATATCGGAATCGACTAATAGTTTGATTAAGACGCCAATTAAGTTGACCAAAACCATTGAGAATTTCAAACGGTGACAAATAAAGACAAATTTGAAGAATAATTTCATCAGGTAATTCTTCGAATTTCGAAAGGAACATTATTGATCTCGATATGGTTTTATTATGAATTATATGATAGTTTTTTTTACCTATTTTTTTTTTTATATCTCTAACCTGAAACCTCTTTCACTCATTTAATCATTCTTGCGAACACATAAGATACACTACGTATAGGTAAAATGGTAGAACGAGACAAATATCAAAACAAGTAAACACTGTAATGTACACTATATTAAACATTATATTTATATTAATAAACTTATGAAGTTTAAATATTTGAGACAGCGGTGTGTGATATCTTTGTTGCTGTGTATTCAATGTTGTAAACTATTGATAGAAAATATTTTACGATTTATAGTGTGAATTCATGTGGACTTAAGGTCAAGATAGACTTATGTAAGTAGTCACGTTAATGTTTATTTTTTTCATTAGAAATCCTTGAAATATTCTTTAAAATCATCTTGTTCTGCAATAACTAATGGTTTTTCATTTCGTGTTATAGATTCTTGACGACAATCTATTAATGATTTAGTGATTATATATTTAGAAAATGGTGATGGTATTTGTTGTGTATAAATTGCTTCAAAATTTATTTTAGAAAACCATGGATCTAATAATTATAGAGTAAATGTTTTAATTTTATTCGAAGTTTTTATTTACGTTCTTTAATTTCTGTTGATCCTTTTGCACTTGAACCTAATCGTGTAGTTGGATCTTTTTGAAGTAAACCAAGTATAATCTTTTTAAAATTTAATGTAAAATTAGCTCGTAATGGTGTTTTTTTTCGACAAATTGCTTCAAATAGAAGAACTTCGGATTGACCTTTAAATGGTGGATTACCCGTATTCATTTCATATATCAAAATCTATAACAAGAAGAATTTTATTTAATTACAAATTAAAAAATTTATATAGGCATTCTTGCTCCTAAAGTCCACCAATCCGTTGGTTTACCATGACCTTGAAATATTCTAGATTAGTTTTTTAAAAGAAGATTTATAGAAAACCTTTGGATTGAAGAATTTCTGGACTGAAATAATCCGGTGTACCACACAGTGTATAAGTTCGTTGTTGAATCCGTTTAGCGAAACCAAAATCAGCAACCTAAGCAATAAATACAATTGACCAGGAGCAGATTCAAAAACATGTATGTACTAACGAGGGAAATCTTTCAACTGATAAATCGCTTTTGAGTCGAGACTATGGGTATTTTGTAGATCAAAACAACCTATTAATAGCCTGAAAAGACTTCGTGCCGTTAGCTCATTGTTGCGAAGATATTAGTTCTTAAATAGATACCGTGATCTCTCTCATTCAGTTCCTCCAGGTGATGATAAGACAAAAATTTTTGTTACGCGACTTGATTGAATCTCTAAAAAACCAATTTTAAGAAATTTTTGGAAGCTCGATCATGATGAAAATTTCACCATAGATTCGGTTCATGCGGTAGAGCTTATCCTGAAGTTGTAGGATTTTTGTTTCATATGGTTAGAGAGATATTTGCTAATAACTTTTTAATTAATAGTCAGTTGAACAAGTCGATATTTTCATATATATCTATGAAGAAAAGAGCATATTTAGAAAGTTGATCATTGCAAAGAGTCAAAAGTCAAATGCAAGGTATGTATGTTCTGTTTTTCTTGATATAACCAATATCACGGTAGATTCCATATTCTTATTTCAGGATAGAAGCAAATCAAAAGGGTTGAGAATTTCACAATACACTATTGTCATTTTAAGGTTCACTTCTGTACAAAGTTTCAAGTCGAAATTTGAAAATCAGTTTTTTTCTTATTACGGCATTCATTTAAAAATTACCCTAAACATCTAATATCTAGACAGCAATTAGCTTAGTGCCTGAACTACTTTCAGGATTTTCATAGCTCATTGGATTCTACATAATACACATAGTCTCGACTCAAAAGTAATCTATCGGTTGAAGGATTTCCTTCATAGAGTGTATTCTACTTTTATAACTAGAACTACGATGATTTCCTTGTTTTATTTCCTCATCGTCTGTCTCCATTTTGAACTGATAAATATTAAAACTACTGCTGACTAAAGAATAAAGTCATTTTACCTTTAAATAACCATGATGATCCACTAAGATATTTTCCTAAATTTTTTGATTTTTTTTGTATCATATAGCAGTATGTGCACAATAAATCAAACTCACTGGTTTTAAATCTCGATAGATAATATTAAAAAAATGTAAATATTCAAATACCTAGAAAAAATATATCTGATGATGACTGTAAAAAGGTAGACATGATCTTCATTCATACAAGAACAATTTGAGCAGCGAAAAATGAAGTTATATGTTCTTGAAATACTTTTAATTTATTTATATAACCAAATAAATCACCACCGCGAACCTTAAATCAAAATATTTAACATAGAATTTTTATATTTTTCTTAACATACATATTCCATAAGAACATAAATATATGAATTATCTTTAAATAAAGAATGCATTATGATAATATTCGGATGTCTAATAGCATTAAGAATACGTATTTCATTTTGAACATGTTTTATTTGTTTATATTTTACAATTTTTGATTTATCTAAAACTTTGAGAGCATATTCAATTTTGTTTTGTTCAAGTATAACTAATAAAACTCGACCTAGATCGAAGAAAATATAACGAATATTAATGAATAAAATGATATCTCACCAAATGATCCTTGCCCAAGTGTCATAATAAGTTCGAACTCATGTAAATCAAGTTCATGTTCTATTTTGTATGATAATTGATAACGTTTTTCAAAATCTTCTACAAGTTGAATATTTTCTGGAAGATTATGATAGATTGTGTTTTGTAAATGTCCATTGTATGAGATATTGTAGGAAATACTTTCATTAAAATGTGAATATGTTTGCATGTTATTTATTGTATCAGTAGTGAAACTAATATATGTTTCATCATGGAGCTTTTGTTGTTGTTGCTAATGCGAGAGAAATATGCTGAAAGCTGTTAGCACAATTCATGGAGTATTAAAATGTGAAACACGATGTAGCTGCCCCTTGCTCATCATCGGGAGATTATTTTATTCTATCAAATTTGGAGTACATTTATTCGCCATCCTTTGATGTAATCCTTCAGAAATGTAATAAGGAAATAGTTCATATATTATAACGAGACGTTATGGATATACGATTTTTGATCGTATACCGACAATGTCTGTCACGATAGATGACAAAAGATGGTTTCAAATTATTTTACCCTATATACTTCAATACCCGTTTTATATCGTGTTTCATATGAAAAATGTTGAATTGAAGTTATAGTTTTTTGTTTACCAATGGCAGGGAAGGTAGTTTAGCAGATAATGAATGAATTGATGACATTTAGAAATTAGTTTATTTTCAAGTAGTTGATATTGACCAAGATTTTAATTCGAATGAATCTAAATAAAATTGTAATGATCAAGATAATGTAATTGTTGATTACTATTATCATTTTTCGATAATTGTCATTGATCATTAGTGCTTGAATGATGCCATTTTAGTTTTCTTTTGCTTACATTTTTTATTCTTTATTCTTTTCATACAACTAAAAATCATTAATATTGAAAAAAAACAACAACAAAGAATTTCTTCACAGAATAAAATAAAATAAAATTCACTTATGCGCGCGTGATATTTATCATTTCTTGTAGTTCCTTTTACTAATATACGAAGTAAAATTTTACATGCGAAAAAAAAATGATAAAAATCAGATGGAACACCCTAGCTAATCCCGGTAATTTTTTATCAAGAATCAAACAATACATTTTAATGCATATTAATCGACTTTGATTTAAAACTTCGAAATCAGCTATTTTCATTTAAGATTCCGATAAAAGTGCTTCACTGATCCCGGCTTGCTTTCCAAGAATCGGAGTTTTTCAACAACTTGGACAAGCTTTTGAATATGTGGAACACAATGTACATAATTGAGTTCGACAGCAAATTAAAGATATTTTAATTTTTTTATTGCCACTGTTTTGCTATTTCTACTGTAAACTCTTTAAGTTGGCTTCATCTTCGAAAAAATGTGTTTTTTTAGTCTAGTTCTACATACATCAGATCCTATATTCAAGTAGATTCAAATTGGTGCTTGAAATGACATCGACTTAATGACATGACCGTGATCAAAAATTACAGATACGCAGGTCTCTAAATGTTATCAGTGATCGTAACGATCATAGTTTATCATCGTTTTACGGTGCATCGTAAGCGATCATTTTAAGGACAAATTGTTTTCGTTCGCTGTTTTCCAGTCTTTCTATACGAATAGATTTATTGATAAATAGAAAACGGAGCATTTGTTTTGTAACTCTAGATTATGAGACAAGGTCGGCTGGTAGCGTCTCCATTCCTCTGTTTACGACTATTTACTGCTTCAAAAGTCGACTGGAGAATCAGATAAGGCGATATTTTCTTAAGCAGAAAAGTATATTGAAATAAATGAATATGAATTTCAGAGTAAATGAAAACGAAACTAACAAAAATATCAAAATACTTCAGAAGCAATGTGAAACTGGACCTGTAACCGACCCAAGGCCGGCTACAAAAGTCGGCTGACTGCAGAGCCCGAAAAATATTCAAAGACGATTCCATATGACATCTACTATTTCTAAATCTTAGACCTATGTAGAGGAAATCATAATGAATTTTAGTCATCTTCAACTATCTTAGATCAGCTGACTCGAGAGAGATAATGAATCTGAATCAATTATTGCCATATAAGAAAACTCTCAGCTGTTCATTATCTCTCTTTGTATCTACTCTATATAAGCCACGATCAGATTTTCTTCAATTCTCGAGACTCTTTCATGGATGACTTTAAGTCAAAGAAGGCTATAATTAAAGTATATATGCATATATCATCTGAGATATGTATGGTCGTTTCAAGACTGAATCATCTATGACCATATAAAGAAACTATCAGCTGTTAATTATCATTTTTGGCATTTTTATATCTTCCGAACGCAGCTGAATTTCGAAAAACGGATTTCAGATGTGCATTCGTCACCTTCTCACGATCTCGCCAAGCTTTTTTCAATTGAAAATGATACTCAAGAGCTCAGAACGAGTGGCTGATTCGAATCGGGATTCATGTGCTGAGAAGAAGAAGAAGACTAGACCTCTACCCGGCCTGAGGCCGGCTACAAAAGTCGGCTGACTGCAGAGCCTGAAAAATATCGAAATCTGATCCTATACGACATCTACTATTTCTAAGCCTCAGACTCGTGTAGAGGAAATCATCATGAATCTGATTCATAGACATCCATATAAGGAAGCTCTCATCTGTTCATTATCGTTCGTTGCATCTCATCTGAATAAACCATGAAGAGATTTTTTGAAACGTTTGAGACTCTATTATGGATGAATTTAAGTTATGCAACACGATACTTAAAATATATATGCACATAAGATCTGAGATATGAATGGTCTTTTAAGACTAAGTCATACATAACCATATAAGGAAACTATCAGCTGTTAATTATTTTTTTCCTCTATACTTATTTCAGTTACTTGGTCGCCATTGAAAAATTTTTCTCGACGTTCGAGACTTCATGGTGCAAGAATTTCAGTTGCACAAGGCGACAATTAATTAAAATATATATACATTCGACATCTTACATGTGAATGGTCATCTAAGATTGAATCATGCATTGTCATATTAAGGAAACTATCAGCTGTTAATTATCATTTTCGGTTTCTTTTATATCTCCCGAATGCCGCCGAATTTCGAAAAACAGATTTCAGATGTGCACTCGTCACGTTCTCACGATCTTCCTAAATTTTCTTTCGACTGAAAATGATGTTTGGGTACTGAGAACGAGTGGCTGACTTGAATCATGACTGATGTGTTGAGAAGAAGAAGAAGAAGAAGAATTTGCCATGGCAACTAAGCGAGTGAAAAGCAATAAGTCGGCTCTGCTTGCACTTCGTGCAGTCAGCCGACTTAATTTGTCATGGCAATAAAGCGAGTGAAAAGCAATAAGTCGGCTACTGCACTTCGTGCAGTCAGCCGACCTAAAGAAGAAGAATTTGCCATGGCAACTAAGCTAGTGAAAAGCAGTAAGTCGGCAAACTGCACTACGTGCAGTCAGCCGACTTAACAAAAAACTCATCCCCACGAGAACTCCATGAAAGCCAATGAACACTTTTCTGAAGGATGATTTCGATTGATTGCTTAATTATCTATATGATTCATTATCTATAATCAGCTGTGATTACAGCTGTTTGACATACGAAGAAAGACAATCGGGCCTAACTTTTCTCTTCATTTTCGTTTTAATTATCTCAAAATTTAAAAAATGAAGTCCTCAAAAATTTGTCATTTTTGGAAGTGATTTACGAGAAATCCGAAGGTGCTTTGGAGATGACCTCAAAAGATATGAAGAAGAAGAAGAATTTGCCATGGCAACTAAGCTAGTGAAAAGCAATAGGTCGGCAAACTACACTACGTGCAGTCAGCCGACTAAATAAAAGAGGGCAACATGCCATAAGAGTCTGCCGACAAAGTTTAGCTGAATAACTCTTATACAATGGAAGCAATTTTATTGTTTCCTCTTTATAATCTGATAATATACTTCTTTAAGTTTTATTTCAAATAATTTCATTAGCAAGAAATATTAAAAACGATTATCATCAACCAAACAGAGCTCGAACGAAATTATTTGTACTTTTACTTTTCGTACTTTTTCAAGTAAAAATACAAGTATTCATTAGATGTACTTGGTACTTATGCTTGTACTTCGAGAAAAGTACTTTTGTACTTAAAATGAAGTAGAAAATTTGTACTTCGTACTTTTACTTTGAACCGATGTCTTTCTTCGTATGTCAAACAGCTGTAATCACAGCTGATTATAGATAATAAATCATATAGATAATTAAACAATCAATCGAAATCATCCTTCAGAGAAGNATATTTTCACGTATGTGTAGGATAAAGCAGCCAAAAAACGTGATATGGCATGATCCGTATGCCATTCAAACTTGTTTTAATAATATAAATGATTTGGTTGACAAGCTGAAAAAGGTAAGCAAGCAATTAATTCTATATAATTTGCTTGTTTTACGCCCTTTTTCCTATTATTTATCTGATAGGAGGATCGATTTTATTTATCGGTCAGTTATTTCTCAATGACCACCGTTTGCATAGAAGGCAAAAGAGAACAAGAAAAAAGGCATGGATAGAACACAAGAAAAAGGAATGGATAGAATAGGAGAAAAAGGAATATATAGAATGAATAAGCAAAAAGAAGAAGTCAGTTCCGGTAGCTGATCATCTAGTATATAATAGCACATGGCAATCTTTCCTTACAATTTGGTATAGTTTCGTGAATTTTTTTTCTTTCATTTAATAAACGTGGACTGTTTCATTCTCTATTTTTCTTTTAGTTCGAGGAGGAAAAGTATAGATCAGTGATGATCATGTTAGATGCTATTGGTCGTGAAGAAGTCAAACAGAATGAAGAAAAAAATATTGATGTTTCAACAGCAATTAAAATTATTGCTCGTTTATTATCTGCTTATCGTCATCCAACTGCGGTACGTTATTCTTGATTTTTTCTTAGGCTCTCAAATATTTTCACGTATGTGTAGGATAAAGCAGCCAAAAAACGTGATATGGCATGATCCGTATGCCATTCAAACTTGTTTTAATAATATAAATGATTTGGTTGAGAAGATGAAAAAGGTAAGCAAGCAATTAATTCTATACTGATTTTACAGTTTTTTTTTATGAATTAATTGTAGAATATCAAACTTAAACGAGAAATTGATTTAGCTAATGAAAGCCGTGAACCATCGATTGGCATCTTAACAACTTCAATGTCTGATGGCGATAAACACACTCCATAAACTCAATCGTCATGGACAATTCAAATAAACTTTGTTTTTTATCTGTTTTTTTCTATGTATCGTCTTCAGTGTTAGTTATTGTGAAAGCTACTTAGTTATTTGTCTCATAATCACTGGACAACGATAATTAGAAAGATGTTGCGTTGTATTCATTTTTTTTTCTTTCTGTAAATTTTCTTGTTCTTCATTCTTTGTCTTATTCACGGTATAGTCATATAGATAAATCCAAAACATTCAAAACAAGAAAAAATGAAATAGATGATTTAATAGATAAAAGCACTTAATCACTATTCATCATATTCATTCTAATTCTCATTATTGTAAATTGGACAGGAAAAGAAAAACACTAGACCTCTATCCGGCCCAAGATCGGCTAGAAAAGTCGCCTGACTGCAGAACTCGAAAAATATTCAAATACGATTCCATACGACATCTACATTTCTAAATTTTAGACTCATATAGAAGAAATCATAATGAATCTGAATCGTAGATTTTCATATAAAGAAGCTCTCAGTTGTTTATTATCGTTCTTCGGATCTCATCTGTATAAACCATGATGCGTAAATATATAGATATGCTATGAGAACCAATGTGAAGAAATCCTTTTCAGCGGTAAACTTATTATCACTTCATGCTATAGGCATACATGATAAATGGTTGTCAAGCTCTCAACCTATTTATACAAAACGATAATGAATATAAATCAGATTCATCTGAAGAATAAGAGATAATGATTTTGAATCATATGCAGATAAATGTTCTTTCTGTATTAGCGACAGGGTAAGATGTGGCCACATAACATAATGGTGATATGTTTAAATAGATTTTTTTTTATTCGAAATTGTATGGATTTTCTTGGATCTAGCGATCATTGAATATCAAATGAATGTATTATATGTATATAAATAAAACAAAAAATCTATGACACGTTCAAATAATGTATTATGTTTATCCGATGAAAAATGGTTTTTGATTTAAGTAAATACAAATGTTGTTATTCTTATTATATTAATAAAAAATATAGTTTAAAAAATGATAGTAATAGGTTCATGTGAGAGAAGTTACCTGTTACTATATAAAAATTAGAAGTTTAAAGAAATATTTTGTTTTACTGACAGATAAAATATTTTTTTTATGACTTATAAATTCCTATTTCATAATTTATAATATGAAATTAAGTTGGTGAAATTTCATTATTTTGTTTAATTGATCATTATGTAATAGGTTATAAATTAGTTTGTTTTTTCTTTTATAGGTCAGCATATTTTTTGTAGCCTATTGAATATCAAACATTTTGTGTTATGCATATAAGTATGATCCGTGGTTTGGTGGATCTATCCAGGTCAATCGATACAGCCTGTATACGGCCGTATACTGTGAAAATACGACTCGGTATACGGTGCTGTATTACTGTGCCCAAGATGAGGAGAAAATACGGTCCGTTTACGGTGCCGTATGAAGCAAATTTACGGTCAAAATACGGATAGCCGCTTCGATTGGCCTGGGTAATAGAAAATGCACTATGACATACACCCCACTTTGATTGGATAAATTTTTGACAGAATATTCTCTAGTTTTGTCGAATTATTAATCTGAAGTTCGTTTTGGGTGTATCTAGGTATTTTTTGAGAAAGCTACAAGAAACCTTTGTACAGGGCACTGCACAGATCTCTCTAATTTCAGATTTCTCTCAGAAACAGTAGGGTTTCACCCAAAACAAATTTCAGACTAATAAACAGACAAACCCAGTGGATATTCTATCAAAAATTCATCCAATCAAAGTGGTGTGTATGTCGAAGTGCATTTTCTGTTAGATTCACCAGACCACGGATCAGTATGATAATTATGCTACTTTATTATATGTGGATCATACTTTTACATGTAACACACAACGTTCTTCATAGTATCGTACTATTTGGTTTAATCATGGTGCTGCTGAAAAGGATATATATCGAGGACGAATTGGATCTATTTAATATTATTGAGATATCCAAAAAAAAAAAGAAATTTTGAGACTTTCGGAAATTTAATTTAAATGTTTTTCAACTGCACTACGTGCAGTCAGTCGACTTAACAAACGGCTCTATAACCTTTATTTGTACTGGGAGTCTCGTAATTGCGGAGCTGCGGTTCGTAGTTCCCTAAATTGATTGCATAGACTGTATTCTTACTTGATTTCGTTTGCATAAATATAACTAAGATTATTGTATAGAGCTGAAGATTTTGGTGTTACTATTAGTTTGACAATTTTCAACAATGAATTTTGTTTATCAATTAATTTTTTTACATCCTCTGTTCTATCAACATAATACTCTTGTTTAACTTAGCAAAAAACAATTTATTAAGTGTCAAGTAATGGGAAAGTGAACAACAAGAAATAAATGTACGTTGATTTTTTCTAAGAGTAACCAATAAATAATTAAAACTTTGATCCTTCACTTGTTTCTATATGCAGAAGGTGTCGGATATTGGTTGCAAAAAAGACTTGAGCCTAAATCCAAGTGGATTCGGGTGTGAATCTGTTGGATCTGAGTCCACGTATTTTTTTATTAAGTTATTTTCTTTGTGTATATTTATCATGGAAATGTCGTGACATAAAATATCAGTAAAGATCTCTGCATGAAATGTTTGTCTAGGCTTTCAGTTACTGGAAAGAACCAGAAGTGATTCGTTAGAGAAAAACACCAGACTTCTACACATTTATCGCCTAAATTAGTTTATTTGTTTGCCTTGAAATACTCTTGCATCGGCTTATCTCTAACAATGTATACATATATATATATATATATATATATAAATGAGCGACATCATTTTGTAATTATTATCATCGAATTGTCGATTCAACCAATAGAATTCTTTAAGAAAGATTAAATGAAAATTCAGGTGAACAGATCAACAAGTCCAATAATAGAAAGAAAAATACCCAAAATACTTGTTTTTATGATATTATTTTTAATTGAAATTAATGCGTAAAAAATAAGTTAGAGAAACAATAAAGTTTCATAAGTACGAAAGAAAGTCCTGCAAAAAAAAAACGAAAATCTAGATCTTATATTCATTCTTGATTATAAATCATTTTAGATTCTTTTCATATAATGAACATGGCATCATCATCGTCATCATCATCCTTAAATCCTTCACCTAGTCCAAATACTCTATCAAATGTTAGTAGTAATGGTACATCATTAGCAGGAGCTAGTAGTCAAACATCAACTAATTCTAGTACAAACTCCAGTCAATCAACATCGAATACTAGCAATGCTCCTGTATCACGTGATCGTATTGCTAGTTGGATAACTGAATTACTTTCATCATCAACACGTGAAGCTGCTTTAATGGAATTAAGTCGTAAACGAGAAAAAGTTGCTGATCTAGCTATATTACTTTGGCATTCATTTGGATCTGTTGCTGTACTTCTATATGAAGTGATGTAAGCCATTCTTTAAACTAAAATACTAAGTATTTGTGGCGTCTTTGTTTTTTCGTTTGTTGTTTAGTTCAGTTTATCCATATATTAATCCACCGACACTAACTGCTCAACAATCAAATCGTGTTTGTAATGCATTAGCTTTATTACAATGTATAGCATCACATCCTGATACACGAACACTTTTTATTCAAGCAAATATTCCATTATTTCTTTATCCATTTTTAAATACAAAATCATCAACAAGACCATTTGAATATTTACGTTTAACATCATTAGGTGTTATTGGCGCACTTGTTAAAACTGATGAAACAGAAGTTATTAATTTTTTATTAACAACAGAAATTATTCCATTATCATTACGTATAATGCAATCGGGAAGTGAATTATCAAAAACTGTAGCAACATTTATTTTACAGAAAATTCTCGGTGATGATTCTGGTTTAAATTATATTTGTGAAACATTCGATCGTTTTTCACATGTTGCTATGGTTCTTGGACGAATGGTTCTTCAACAGGTTTCTATCGTTGTTTTTTTTTGTTGTAGTTAATTTATATAAAATAATTTGTTTCTTTTTCTTCATGGAACGAGTAGCAAAGAGAAGCAAGTGGTCGTTTATTAAAACATATTATTCGATGTTATTTACGTTTATCGGATAATCCACGAGCTCGTGAAGCTCTTCGATCATGTCTTCCTGATTGTCTTAAAGATCATACATTTGTAATTAATTTTTAACAGAAAAAAATATTTTTGAAATTTTTTCTATTATTATAGGATGGTGTACTTAAAGAAGATCAATCGACTAAAAAATGGTTATCACAATTATTAATTAATCTTGAAACACCGACCACAACTACAACTAATGCACAACAACAAACATCGAATTCTGCTGTTCAGCAAAATACTCAAACTACATCAACATTAGAAATGGGATAAAGAAGATACTGGTTCTTTGACGTAACTAGTCATTTAACGGCTTTATTTAAACAATGACGATTATTTTTTTCTAAACAAAACTTAATAATAGGTGTACATTGTTTGTGATTCTCAAAAGTAATATATTTCATAGGCACTTTATCTTTCTCTTTTCATTTTTTTTCTTTTTCAACAAAGCTATGCTCTTTTATGTTGTTATGAAAATATTCAAATAGTTAGCGAAAATAATTAAAAAAGGAAGGAAAATGTTAGCAATTAATCAAAAATTCCTTTTCTTCTTTTTGCTTTTGCCTAATTTTTATTTATTATTCATTAAATACTATATGAACATTGTTTTTTATTTTTTTTCTTTCATCCATTTGTATCCAAGAAAGTTTGTTTAGTTTTTTGGTAAATATATGAAATCATAATGATGAATCTCATCATCAAGGAAAAACAAATGAGTACCTAACGTTTTGTTTACGTTAACCTTGGTTTTCCGTCAGAAAGTTTATTTAATAAAATTCGTAATAGACGCATACAATTTGCGTCTGGATATAATAAGCAATGCAATGTTTGTATATGAAATACATCATTTTTCATTAAAGGCATAAAGCGAGGTACATTAGTACCTTTAAAGCCAAGTGTTATTGCTTGATCAATATTTGATGGATCTGTTAAATTAGTAAATAAATTTCTTTCAATATGATGATGAAAATCATTTGCAATAGTTAGATTAATATTATACTTTTTCCTAAGTATATAAGCTATATGTGTATCATCAGGATAATTTGTTGATATACAACCCTCCATAAATTTACTATTTGGTTGAACATCGTTACGAATCATTTTTAAAAGAGACCTAGAAAAACAAACACCACCACCATAAGTTGCAAACCAAAAATCCATACCACGCCCATGTTTTGGTTCGTTTAAACTTGGTTTGCCAATATATAATGATTGTTTATCAGGAAAGAATTGTTTTAAATAATCAATAAGTAATGGTACATTAACATATTGATCATCATCAAAACGACATAACCATTTAAATCTATCTTGATTTTGAAAATAAATATTAAATTCTGATGCACTATGACAACATAAATCACGTATAGAATGTGCTTGCTTACAATTAGTCAAATGTATCTGATGGTGATATCGTTTGGAAAGATAATGATGAAATAATGTTGCATTGCCATTTGTGGTTATATATATTGTATCTGGAGAAAATTTAAACCATGTATTCAGAATACCTGGCATTCGTAATACTTGAGTATTTTTAGAAGTACGTACAACAATGAGAACATCATAAACATGTAAATTCGTAGAAATATTATAAGAATTAGATGAATTCGATTTGAAATATGAATAAATATCATTATCGTTGTTATTATTAATTGATCTTGATAAGCAATTTTCAAAACGTATTTTACACAATCGAATCAGTAGCCAAAAACAAATAATAAGCAAACATAGAAAATAATGTTTACGGAAAATGAGCAGTACTCGACGGATTATGCTTATGTACATGTTCCGGGAGTAGCGAATTATTCTTTGTCAGCGAATAGAACGGCAGAGAAGAAAAAGAAAAGAATAAGAGAACGAACTTTTTTTCTCTCGTTCTGATGCCATACGAAGAAATATTTGGCTGTTGTGGCTTCGTAGATACACAGAAAGAAATGAGTTTTTTTCCTTTTACATGTATATATGTTTGCATGACCCATACACTGTTTGTAGTCGAACAAATGAAAGTAATTCTATATGTGTGTAGAATCATCACGATTGGAGTAATAATGTCATAAAAATCCATGTTAAATAATAGACACAATGATTGAAAAAGAAAAATGTCGATATTTTTGTAAATTGCTATAAATGCTTGATTTATTTTTTGACTAATATATGCATATAGGTTTCTTCATTATTTGAGATGTTTAATAAATGCATTAAAGATTCAAGTAATAATCTTCTAAAATTTTATTTCATCAAATAGATGGATGCATGCATCAAAATTTCTGTCTTAGTTTAAGAAATAACTAATGTTTAATTAAATAAAAATTAAAAAATATCGAATCTTAAATAATTTCTTTACAGATTTTCAAAACTTTATTGATTTGAAAATGTTAGACGAACTTATTGAATATGAGAGGTCGTTACAGAATCGATCTGTATGATGTATCTTCTTTAGGTTTTATAAAAGGAATATTTATCTTAGGAATTAGTCGTCATAAACGGCATTGATCTCACAAAAGTAAAAGTACAAAACTCAAATTTCAATATTGCAACGCAAGCTTTAATCAATATTATTGTATGCGAGCAATAAGAAAGTGAATGATTAATAATCCTTCGTCGGAAGCAGAGCTGTGTTTGGAATAGAAGAAAAGTTGTATTTTTCAATATATTCAATCTTCAATGAGATGAGATGGCCAGCAACCCACATCGACGTTGATTGCATGAGGTTGTTTTAGTGAAACACGAATTCAAAGGAGTGTTAAAGTGTATAGGATAGAAATTTGCATTCACTCCTCGGCCTCGCTTCCCATCAAACGTGGCAAACGGCCTCCAAAGATCATCGCAGACGACACAGGCGTTCTTGAAATATGGTCACACACGACACATAAATAACGGCTCGTTACAATGCATATATTAGCTACTTCCTTAATGCATTTCTGGACGGTTAAGTAGAAGAAGAGGGAAGAAAAAAGATCCAAGATGCATAGCATATAATAAGCTCTCTGTGATTACCAACAGCAACTGCATCGTGTTTCATATTTTAATACTACAGGGATCGCGCTATCAGCTTTTCTCTATGCAATAATACTTTTTAAAGTTTTCGTTCTTATGTCAAAATTGAGCCTTATGTTTAGGCTCTTTTCATATTATTCCGGAGAGATTTTTATAATTTTGCAGTTGACATGAGCTATAGATCAAGATGGGATGTGGCTAGGTTACGACGAGATTATGGAAGTAGTGTCCTGGCAATAGATCAGGTTTCGGGGTGGCATTTTAACTTTATTTTACTTTAATAAAGTAAAGTAAAGCAAAGTGAAGTATCTCTACCTTTATCGAACAAATAAGATGTAATAAAATAAGATAAAGTAAAGTACATTTTTGACGGTTATTAATTTATTAGTTTTTTATCAGACATTAATCACATTTTAATACATCAAAAGTTGTGTTGAATTACGGATCGAAGGCTTTGAAAAATTTGAACCTAATTTTATTCCATTGAGAGTCAGCATTGAACCCAGAATATTTTTCATAATTTTATTTTCTACTTTCTCACAGCCCAACTTTTCGCACATGAGGTTACCATCCAGAATCTAAAATAATTTTTTTTCGCTGCTCTACCACAGGTCTTTAAAATTCAATGTACTCAGATAATAAGAAAGATTGAAAGCACTCCCTAGTACCATTAAAAACTAGCTTTGGTTCAAAAATTTCACTGAAATACGACCAGAGTTGTTTCATCGAGATTAAAATGGAGTTGACTTGATCAAAAATTCGTTTTCTAACGACGCATTCATTGGACAAATCTTTTCGTAACTAATTTTTATGAATTATGCATTATTTAATGGGCTAGCCCAAGGTTGACTATTGAATTAGCCCACAAAACCTACCTGAAACTTTTTATAGGTATGATGGATGTGGAATTACATACGGTTGTGAAGAAAAGTAGGTCCACCCTCCGCCCCCTCCCCCTAAAGTGATATTATATCTCATCATTTCGAACTGATCTTTTGGGACAATGTCGGTCTCATTGAATTCTGATCGCAAACACCATCACGCCCTCAATTGGTTGACGGTTGCTGAAGATATCACTTGTACATCATCATCACCTTATCAAGGTCACATCTCGATCATTTTTCGACATTCACTTTCGCGCAGCGGGTCATTCAAAAGCTCAGAGATGCAGCTATCATTAGTAAAATTTTGGTGGGAAATAGCAGAGATCCGAAGTTCGCACTGAAAAATTCTACCAAGTAGAAAATCCTTGTTTTCGGTTTGGAATGGATAATTTGAGCTAAAATCGATCAATGCAGCGAAACATTGTAGCAGTGACTCATCACCAATCCACAGATTTGTGGTAAAGTATTCAGAGCCGTAGATCTATGTAGATCTGAGATATAGTCATTGGAAGAATTCACCACACGACACTTTGCTTATAAATGGAGCTACGGTATTATGTGGTGACCTTTGGACCCAAGCAACTAGATAATCAAGGCGACAACTAGCACCAAAAAAAGCAAAAATTCATTTTAGGATGACGAAACACTGCGAACTAAAAGCTTCTGAGATGATATTTTTCCTCCATGTCTTCAATAAACTGTTGGCACTACCTATAAGCGAGTAGAACTGTCAAATGCTAGTGAATTTACGCTCATCTTTCCGGAAATACTCTTTTCTGGTCAGAATAATTCAGAGGGTATGTACGTACAAAAGGCTGATTTCATGAAGCAGAAACTCTGTGAAGTTGGCAAAATGGTTTTGAGATGAAATGCTTCGTAACAGAGAAGTATATCGTGCATAGATACGCTACCAAGGGGGGGGGGGACGTTGAAGAAATTGAAGAGAAATACTTTCTTAAAAACTTTTAGCTCACAGTTTCGTCCTCTTAAATTGAATTTTTCATTTTTTTGGTGTTAGTTGTCCCCATGCATACCTAGTTGTTTGGGTCCAAAGCTCACCGCATAACACGGTAGCTCCATTGATACACAAGCTGTAGCATGGTAAACTCTTTCAATAGCTCTATCTCAGCTCTGCATAGAGCTACAGCTCTGAATATTTTACCACAAAACTTGTGGATCGATGGTGAGTTATTGCTGAAATTTAAGTTGCACTGATCCATTCTAGCTTAAGTTGTCGATCCCAAACTGAAAAAAAAAGGATTTTCTACTTGGTAGAAGTTTTAGTGCGAGCTTCGGATCTCCACTATTTCCCATCAAAACTTTACTAATGATATCTACATCTCTGAGCTTTTGAATGATCCGCTGCGCGAAAGTGAATGTCGAAAAATGATCGAGATGTGACCTTGATAAGGTGATGACGATGTACAAGTGATATCTTCAGCAAACGTCAACCAATTGAGGGTGTGATGGTGTTTGCGATCGGGATTCAATGAGACCGACATTGTCCCAAAAGATCAGTTCGAAATGATGGGATATAATATCACTTTTGAGGGGATACCTACTTTTGTCCACGAGTGTAAATGATCTGATCAAGTCACCGGCTTGGGTTAGGGCTAATCGATTGAAGCTCTAATCCAAAAGGTACCCATATCAACCAAACTCAGTGGGCATCTCTGCCCACATAGGCCTACTCAGTTTTGTGTTAAATTTAGATATGACACTTTTGTGGAGTCAAATTGAATTTTTCTATTCGAAAACCATAGATATTAGTCAAAAATGGAGCAAACAAGGTCTCAAAGATAGAATTTTGAGCAAAAGTGCTTTATTAGATATGAATTTTTACGTGGAAAATATTGTCATTAGAAACAGCACATTTAGTTGCATACTTGGTAAAGAAATCTGACCACGGCACGCCTAGAAACTCTAATTTCGTAAGGCTGACAAAATATTATGAGCGATAATCAGATCTAATCGGGGCGGTATTTGCCAATTATCGATAGAATGAATCGAATATTCAACACGTCCTTATAGTTGCTGGTAGAGAAAATAATTCTGTGTCAAATGAATCGGTCGTCGACGAAATAGAACCGTATTTTAATGAAGTTTCTGGTCAAAGCTAGTTTTTAAGACTTTCAGGAGATCCTTTCTATCTTTCTTATTACCTAAGTACTTTTGAAAGCAAATGAGATATTTGTAATTAGCTCACTTCGTACTATTGAATTATAAAGTTTTGCAACAGGACAGCGATACAAATTTTTTTTCGACACCTGAAGGGAACCCTACGTGTGAAAAATTGGGTTGTGATAAAGTAGAAAATAAAATTTTGAGAAATAGTCAGGGCTTAATGCTGATTCTCAACATATTAAAAATGGGTTCAGATTATTCGGGGCTCTCGGTTCGTAATTCGACGCAATGTTTGGTGTATTAGAATGCGATTAATGTGTGCTAATGAACTAATAAACAAATAATCATTAACTCCATGCTTTACTTTATCTTATATTACTTCATCTAACTTTTTCTGTAAAGTAAGAGATACTTCACTTTACTTTACTTTACTTTACTTCTTAATGTAAAGATAAAGTGGCACCCCTAGTCGGGTACCCAGCATTCGCTTCGGTTCGAAGCATCGGTTCGAGTGTAAACTGGTTTAGTCATGATTGAGTAATTTATTGTATTTGAGAACAGGTTACAGAAGTCGATAACGATATTGTTTTGCTAAAAGAATTCGTTTTTAATAAAAATTCATCTACAGATGATGGTGAAACATATAACAAAATCACAAAATATACGGAGAGGGAAATGAATTTTCAAAAAGATGAACATGAATTATTGTGATAGAAAAAGCATTCATGTATGTTCCCATAATGATGCCGTTTGTCACTAATACTGCGTTCCATTTCAGCATCATCGACAACAAACCAAAGTATAATTAGCGAAATCGATCGGATTTTAAAGCTGAAAGACACCTATAAATTCTGAATCCCTTGATTCACTTACATTTTTTGTGAAATTTGAGATGATCTTCTTTTTTTGTTGCTGTTTATGGAAGAAACTAAATAGTACACTTTTTCATGTAAAATAAAAGTTTAAAAACCTTACTGCATCTGTGAAAGTATCTGCCAGATGTCAATTATCTCCAGGTCGGGTCCGGTTATGAAAAGTCATACACGTGCAGGACAATATATAGGAGGTGCGGTTAATTTAAGCCTCCGAAACCTTTTTGCGCAGAAATTTTATAACGAAACTATCTATATCACGAATATATATTCATGATAATCATAATAAATTCTAATGACAAATGTGTCAGACAATATCCAAGAGGAACAAAATGATTTCTACATAACTTTTCACTTCAATTGATTTATCATAAATTTTGATGATTTTCAATATTCTGACATCCTATTGATATTGTTATAATTCTAATTTGGTCTTGTATATTATATTATTACAACCATGACGTGTTTTTGTGATCGATATTACTGCACAGTCTAATGCGAATGAGTATTTCTTAAAGAACGAAACAATGATTTCCGTTTTTTTTGTGAACCAGAAGTGCATACCATATGTTCCTTTCGTAGTATGATTGCTAGAGAAGTTTTCGCTCTACAAAACTGTGAATTTTGTTTTTCAGATAAGTTTGTCTTGATGATGAAAAACTGAAAGGATAAATTGGTATTCAATCGGCTAACTGCGACAGTTTAGAAGCTTCAACTAATATACCTTTTTTTGAAATAGAAGCTCGACAGAAATTCAAATATGTTATAGAACTCTTTAGAAATTCTTAATCTGTCGATTTTTATTAACAATTTTTTGAAAACACAATTTCAGGGAAAACCTTTGCCAATAATAATTCTAAAATTCTGTAAGTCTTTTATAGCAAACCTCGAGCAGTGTTTGTACTCATTTCGAATGAATCTAAACATTTTCTTTGATTATTTTAAAAGTTTCATTATTTTTCGTCGACTTACTTAGGGTTAATCAAAAGTTCTACCAACATAAAATAAAAATATGAAAATAACGAAATGTTTTTAATTTTATTTTATTAAATGTTCAGTTTAGTTGTCATGATTACTTTTTGTTTACATATTCTGGTTCTTTCTAATAATTTAGTTGTTAGAAAGTTTTCCGTTTTCATCTGGCAATTCAATATTAGTAATTCTGCTCGGATCTGTTTTATCAGAAATGGTCGAAGTCAATAAGTGGAAGTGCTCAATATCTTATACAATCCCAAAGCTTCGAATTCTTGAAACTGAGATTTTTATTGTGAAATCTTGTTTCAATCCTCATTTGACACAGTAGATTTTGATGTTTTTCTGATATCGATTATGACAAATTCTATCTGTTGGATCTCATCAAAACTTAGTGAATCTGGTGAGCAGACATTAACGAAAAATGCTGTGAGTCATCGGATTTCAAACTCATTTGACAGGATTGAACCCAGTGAAATTGATTTGAGTGCGTCTAATTCATTATGGGTCGCAGTTATATTTATTAAAAAATTATGCCTGTGCATTCTGAGTACAACTCAGTATTTTCGAATCGCTGTTAATTATTTCAATATTTTGCATCTTCAATAGTCGCTCATTTTTATGTCTTTGAGAACGAAGATAAGACTCGATTAATTAATATATTTTAGTGCTGCACAATGAATTACAAATGTTTTATGACAATGATTTTAGCAGATGATTTCTTAGATTTCTAAGGTATCTAAAAATGTTTCTGACATCAGAAATTATTCTATTTTCCCTTGATGCGTTGATGAATATCATGTTGGCTCTTTTACATCGTTCTTCCTCCTAGAACATATTATTCATCAATACTAGGAGTGGAAACGGAACATTGAGTGAGAGCAAGTTTTTGGTTCGAAGAAATTTTTTCTCTCGAAGCGCAGTGAGATGAAAATCGAAAATTCCTTTCTATTTCCAACTCTTGCACGAACATTATGGATTTCCTTTTTGTGTCGCTTGTATTCTAAAATTTCTGTAAGATAGTGAATAACTATCAGTTTTTGCAGCTTTTCGATTAGTTAAGTAAAGAATTTCTTTCGATGTTGTTTCTGTTTTGAATTTTCAAGGTGATTATCAGCGAATCTTTTTTCTCTATATTTGTTTATTCTTTGTTAAAACTAAATCACTGATCACATAGCTTGAATTAAATTAGTGTTAGTTCGTTCAACTGAATCAGACGCAATATGATATCTGTAAATTCTCCATTCATATACTAATCGATACTTGTATTTATATAGCTTATTAATTCTATTTGATTATTGGTTTAGAATATCTTAGACGTTGAAAAGTTTCATTCATTATAAGTAACTAGAAGGTTTATTTTTTATTTTGAAAAAAAAAATTACATACAAGAAAGATATGAATATAGTCATAGTTACGATTTAACATCTGTTTTACTTGCCAGCAAATCTCGAATTTCTAGTAATACTTTTACATCTTCACTTAACTCTTTCAACTCAGTATATTGTTCTTGTGTTTTTTCCTTAGTGGCATTTTTACGTAATTTGCCAACCAATACAATTATGAGAAATAACGTAAGTGATACCACCAATAAATAGATTATATGTTGTATAAATGCACCATAACGAAGTAGAACTGGTGGTGTATTTGGAGATGCAAAACGATGCATTTTTATTGTTAAATTAGCAAAATCAACACCACCAAGAAGTAAGCCAATGGGAGGTAAAATGACGTCATCAACTAATGATTGAATAACATCGCCAAATGCCTTACCAATAATGAGCCCAACGGCCATATCAATCACACTGCCACGCATGGCAAATCTATTGAAATAAAATCATCATAAAAAACATAATCGAAATAAAAAATTTTCTTTCATACTCTTTGAATTCTTTGCAAAAACCATTACAACATTTGCATAAACGTCCCATTTTTATCTAAAAAAAATGTTTGAATATATTGCCAAGTTATTTGAATCCAACTCTAACAATTATACCATAAATAATGACACCATATGTCGTATCAAGTTCAACTTTTTACGAAAAAATTGCTTCTTTCAATTCTTCATAAAAAGTAAAATTGTAAATGCTTATTCAATATTTACATCAAACATCATCTTTATTTTCTTTCATTGAGAAATATTATTTTATGAAAAATTGAATTTGGCACGACTTGCATAAGAAGATAATAATACAAAAAAAAACAGATAGTACTATTATTTATAATAGTTGCAGAAAATTTCGCTACTGAGCAATAAGTATATAAACTTCAATCCTTTTGTCTGATATTTTGACTAAAAATAGAGCTTGGTAAACCCGAGTCACAAGCAGCAATCCGAGGTCGATAGGTCTTTATACAAAAGATTTACAATAACAACACTGATTTTTTTCCGTAGCATCCAAACTTGTTTTTATTGGTTTTCTCCTATTTAAATGTGTTAACATCCATTGTCTTATTGACAAATAAAGGTTACCATGTCTATATAACATGAATCTCTTCTCTCTTGATGACTATGATTGTTAAATTTTGTGGAGAAAACTTGATTAGAGCAAGGACACTTACTGAAGAAGCGTCCAAAGTAAATGGTTAACATTAGATGGAGATATCGGTCATTGTTCGTCAATTCTCATCAACTCTCATGTAAAAATTACTCAAAGAATACTTCATAAATCAGGCAGATTAAAGTCGTTTGATATGAAATTTTTATTGGTGATTAGAGGCAGCACTGAATTGTCAAATGAAGGGTCTAACTCATTAGTTTTCTTCTCTATGTTAAGATATCGTCGTCTGAAGAAAAACTTTATCTTGGCATTCTAGCTCATCCACACGAAGGCCAATCAAGTCCATGCGATCCGAATTCAATGTAGTCTATTTATGATCAAACTATCAGACTAATGGATTCAATTTTAGGTAATTTTTTACCTGCTAGTAGAATATTTAGCAACTACTGTATAGCGTACTCGTCATACTATCGTAGATGGAGGTTTAAATTGATGTATTGAGCGGTGCCTGGAAATTTTCTGTGAGTTTTTAAAAGATTTCTTAATTTCAAGAGATTTCGGAATGAAGAAAAGAGAAAATGATGGCAGAGAACTTATTGACAAGAAATCAGACAATAACATATTCAAAAAGTGATTTGAAACAGCGGAAATTTTTTAAACTTCAAATATCTATTTCTGTATCGCTACTGAATCGCTTGAGCGTTGGCAATCAAAATAGCAATTCAGCCGATCGGCTTACATCTCTAATCATAGGTAAATATATATTTGTTTAGAGATTCAATGGTGAATATACTATAGAATTATTATCCCTAATGGATTAATCTTCCAGTACATACAAACCATTATCTATAATAATGAATTTTCATTATTAAATATTCTAAACTACAAATAATACAGTGTGTTCTAAAAGTCCCTTCCTAAAAGTTTTTTTGCCCCAATTCACTATTGATTGGACTTCATTGGCTAGTTTTTTTCTTGAATTATAGCTAAATGTACAGAGTTTTTATTTCTAACGACAAACTTCAAAAGCATTGTTGAAAGTTAAGATATTTAGCCGAAAGACAAAAATTTAGCCTGGTTTCTCTTTCCGGAAATACTCATGAATGATGTGTTTTAAGTGCTTGAATTTTGATTTGGCATTATTCATTTTTTTTGTAAAAACATACCGAAAAATATTCTGTAAAAAGACCATTCCAGTATTGAACAATTTAAAGATTCGAATCACTAAACAACTGGAAATTATTTGTAAAAAAAGAAGAAATGCTATGTAAAAGCTTTTCTAGAAAAAGAAAACAGAGTAAATTTCTGTATTTCGGCTTAAGGTCTTAACTTTCTGCAATGCTTTTGAAGTTTGTTTTTAGAAATAAAAACTCTGTGTATTTATCAATTATCCAAAAAAAAAACATTAGTCAATGATGAAATGGAACGAAAAAAACTTTTAGGAAGAGAATTTTAGGCCACGCTGTAGAATCGATTATGTAATGATATTTTTAATTACGTGATAGTATAGTGAAGTGTTTTAAATGTACCTCTATGAAAATAAAACACGAAGAAAAAGAACAAATTCAAATAATATTTTGCCGTTTAAATGGTGAAGTTTATAATACTTACGTAGTTTTTCATTCATTCTGTCTCGTTTACTATGTAAGATAGAATGAATGATTGAATATAACCTCATTATTCAAAACCATCAAAACTAAAAATACAATAAGATGAATACAGTAATAAATATTCGTCACATCAACATAAGACTGCATAAGAAAAATCTTTTCTGAAATAAATATCATACCAGTTGAAAATGTTTCTCATCCATACAATGTGCTTTATGACTGAAAGTATGTTTATTGTTAACCCTTTACGGCCGGCTCCTAGAAGCCGTTAAGAAAAAAATTCTTATGATACATATTTTTTCTTGTTTCACCATGAGGATGATCATATTTAAATTTGAGGATTAAAGAATTGATTTATAACTAAATACCACGATGTTGCCTTTTGGCAACATCCGGCCGTAAGGGTACAAAAAGTTGAAAAAAGACAATTATTTTTCCTCGATGAAAGACCAATAATTTGCTGTTAGGTTCAGTCCAGACTGTGAAACAAAAGCATACTTTGTTCATCTGCCCATCTCTTAAAGCTCTAACGTGATATATATTCCCATAATACTAAAAAACCTTCCGAAATAGTGCAGATTTCATCTATTTTTCCTAGAGGAGCTCACAAGTTTAGCGAGATTCTAACAAGATTTACAGCACATCATAGTATTCATATTCAGGCTATTATAAAGCGTTACCAATCTTATTAAAATTTTACTAAATTTATGAGTTTCCCTAGGAAAATAGATGAAATTTGCACTATTTCCGAGATTTTTTTTAGTATTATGGGAATATATTTCACGTTAGGGTGGTAAGAGACGGGCAGATGAACAAAGTATGCTTTTGTTTCACAGTTTGGGCTAAAACTAGCAGCAGATTATTGGTCTTCCATCGAGGAAATATAATTGTCTTTTTTCAACTTTTTGTACCCTTACGGCCGGATGTTGCCAAAAGGCAACATTCTTGTACTGTGTTCTTCGAGTAAACTGAATGATTCATCTTATTGGCATAATAGATAATGGATCTGGAGAGGAAAATTAACCACTAGTTACTTCTCGCATCGAATGCTCAGACAAATGGAAAACGGATCGTTTCGACTCGAGGGCTATTTTGGGTGTTGGCGGGAGATTTCGTCTCTCTCGTCAACAATACCTTTCTTTTTTCTTGAAAAGGCATAGGTTTGCCCTAAAATACGTGTAATTAATTATCAGATCGCTTAAGGAACTATATCTCGTCACTTTAAAATAAATCCTAAGATGATATTGGCAAAATGTTGCCAAAAAGCAACATTCGGCCGTAAAGGGTTAAATGAGAGTCAGCTACTATGTCAGATAAATGTAATATGTTCAATTTATTCTTGTACAGAAAAATCTATGTCCTAAAAGACAGTGAAGCCAACTGATAAAAACTCATATTCACTGCTGTATAAAAAAAACTTCTCAACGCAAGATTTCGATTGAGACTGGCAGTGGCATAGTTTGCGGATTTTTTTACAGTAAGAGTAGTTGCACTGAGAATAAATGTAGAAAATAGAATAAAAACTATATTTAGCAAATCTACTTGATAATTGATGTGTTCAAATAAATTAGGTACTTGTAAAAATAAATTATTATTTCCATCGAAGTTAATAATACTCAACTTGATTTTACCTCATACAATCAAGCACTTAGGAGCAATACCAATCAATGTTTTGTAGGTTTTGCTATGCTGTGCAAAGAGAATAAAAATATACCATAATTTTTTTCTCCTAACTGATTCTATCGAGAAAAAAAAGAGAACGACAAAGTAAATGTCGAAACCATCATTGACTATTAACTGATGCATGACCAATTATATTAACACAATTAATATTTTTCAGTCAAGCTACTATGTATAATACTTAGACTGTAACTATTACGAATATGTAGAACTTTGCAGTGTATAATAAAATATACGTTTTTTTTCTGTAAGAATTTATTCAGTTTTAATGTGATTGTTTTCTTCAACATGATACAAAGAAAAATAATCCGAAAGATAATTACATATACTACTAATAAACCAAACACAACGTGTAAAAATAAATATTATAAACCGAAAAAAAAGTAGATAAATATGAAGCATTATTTGTTCGTCATACCATCCATGATATTATGAGCCTTACACATATTGGACAAGTGTTTTGTGTAAATAAAATCAGAGACTTAATTTATTATGTTCAAAGGTATGAGTTAAATTCTCGATCATGCTTTTATTCTCAAAATAAACAGATTGCTCAGATACAATACAATTGAATATATTTGATTGTTGAATATTTCATCAGCTAGTGAAAATAGTTCGAATATCATGACAATATTAGCTATGGTTGAAAGTTTTATGGTTATTCTTTTCTCGCATGTTGACTGCAAGATGCAAGTGATTTTAAACAGGTTTCTATGAAAAACTCGAGTACATAGACATCAGCATGAGTGAAATATTCATATTATTGTTGAGATATTAACATTAAAAATAGTTCTACCTTTCCTCGATGCACATGTTTTATTTTATTTTTTTACATATAAGACGAAGAGAAACCAAGAAAAAGCAATCAACTGTGTCAATCATGAGAGACGAGCAGAGCTACACATATAGACAACGATTACAAGGTTAAAAAAGAAAAAGATGTGCGAATGATGATGCTACGTCGCATTACAGTCTCTTTGTTTATTTTCGCTGCATTTTCTTATTTTCATTTATCTCTTCTGATAGTATAGAATTATTTTATTTGATGTTCTTAACATATAAATCAAGAATATTTTTCGATGACTGCGTGGCTAAACACAATCTAAAAAGAATGTGGAAGTTTAGGGGTAAAAATTTGGATTCTCAACTCTATATGAATCGTGACAGACGTTATACAGAGATAGAGTTTGCGGGTTCTAAAAACCATATTCTTGAAATTGAAAATTTCAGAATATATACATAATTTTGTTTTGTTTAAATAGTGAAGTATGTAACGTCTTTAATCGCAATAATTTAATAGTGAAAATTTTCTTAAAATGTATTTCAAATGTTTGTATCTATTTGGGAATTTAACGGTTTTAGTTTCAGTTGTGAGTAATTTTTGAAAGCGCCAAACTCTAGTCAGGAATCATCATAGATCGTGACAGATATTGTTGATATACCATCGAAGGCTGTGTATCAAAGACGCCTTGTCTTAATATATGAACTACTTTCTTATTGCATTTCCTGAGGATTAAGTAAAAAGATGGTGAAGAAATGTATCCCAACATAGATAGAACAAAGCAATCTGCCTCTGATTGACAATAGAAACTATATTGTGTTTCAAATTTTAATCGGCACAAATTGCGCTATGAGCTTTTTGTCAATTGGCCAATGATACAAGATCTAATTTTATTCGTAAATCTCTTGTGCAGGATTTTTCTACTTTTCCGTCGAATTTTCTTATAGGAACAAGTATAGTGGAATAATTTTATAGTAGCAAAAAAGTACAAACGCTTTTAGCACAAGATGAATTATCAACATCTTTTAATAGATAACAACTATCTGCATTGAAAACGATAAGTGACAAAAAAAAAATCAAAAAGCATAATGGTTATGATGTAATCTCAGCCTGTGATTTGTCATCTAATGTATCTTGTTACTTAGAATAGCACTGTTTTTCAAGCTCGACATTTATTAAGAGATTAAGATTTGACAGTTCAATATTTAATATAACTTTAAATTTGTATTGATCATTTAAAATTAATAAATAATTTTTTTTATAGTAATGTATGATAATCAAATTTTCTAAGAAAATTTCTCAATACTCTATACTCAACAACTTAACTTTAGAATCACATTTTCTATTCTAGTACACATTCTTATTAAAGACATAGCTAATACCGATATTTACGAAATGTATATCATTGAGAAGCATGTCAAAGAAAATAAAAAACTACAATCTTTTCTAAAACATTAAGAAATGGTTTATAATATGATGTATCCCAAGAAATGTTTTTACGATTCTTACTGCACTAACGGGTGGAATCTCCTAAATGATTAATTGATTTTTGTGTCGGCGCGATGTGCATCACGTAGACTCACATGAGTTTTGAATATTCTAAAAAGAGTTTGAACTCTTCGTTTATTGCTGTGAGAATAATGTATTTTTACGCTATTTTTTAAATGCAGCATCTCAACTACAATAGCTAAAGGACTTGAACTCTTTCTAGGGTATTTATAGTGCATTTCGGCCTACGTTAAATACATGGTTGCTGTGAAATTACAACAAAAGAATGAATGAAGTTATGGTGTCTTGCAACAACATTGACAATTATTATCGTTATTCATATAATCAAATATCAAATGTACCATTTATTCAAGTTATCTCATGTTTATAAAATTTATCTTTTTAATCACATAAACTAAATTTAGGATATCAAGCCTTTTTTATATACGTTATGTCATACTCCCATGAAAATGCATACGTCTTTTAATAGTCATAGCTGAAATACATAGCAAATATTTTATTAATCTCTCATTGATGTCAATATCTTAATCATTCAACTAACGATGCTAAGTTTTATCATTATGCATATAAATCTTACTCTCAACGAAAGTATGCTCAAGTGATAATGGTCTTGAAATAAGTATTTGATGACGCAGACTTTCTAAGAAAGAAAAACTTAAAATTATATATATATATATATATTCGAAGCAATGACCTATATATCATTGCAATTTATCCTGCTATTATGTTCTACTATTTGGTCACGTTTGTTTTCATTTTCTACTTGCCAACTATAATGTTGGCTATCGAATGCTTAGACTGTTACCAAGACTTAGCGTTTACTTCTTCAGAAGCAGTAAATACGACAAGACCAGAATGTGCTGGAAAAAATGTGCCAAGTCAACTGTGTGTAGCAACATTATTAATTTATTTTGAAAACGGAAATGCTACTGCAATTTTTACTCATCTTCCCGAACAAACATTCATTTTATCAAATAGAAATAGGATGGTCATAAATGCCACAACGATTTGGTTTACAAAAACAAAAATTTTCCATTCACTTCAATCGTTTTGTATCAATAGTACAGCTTGTACAGAAGATGTAAGCCAAACTTATAATACAAGTACGTTAAATAAATATAAATATGAATCTTAATTAAACGAGAACAACAAAATAAAATATGCTTTTAAATGATGATTTTGTCGTTTTTTTCCTAGTGAAAAATTTAAAATATGTCGAAGTTCAAACAAAACTAGGTGAACTTTTACATTCTGATCAATCATTTGTTGTCAACCTTACGTGCTCCAATAACTATAATCAAAGTATTGAATGTCCCAACGGATATTGTCAATTGATTCGTAGAGGTACATCCAATATTGATCGAAAATGTATTCCTCAAGGTGGCAATATCAATCCATCAGGTATAATGATTGAATCAAATACCATGGAAGGACAAGATGCTGAAAGTACTTTTACTTACGCATGTACCAAACAAATGTGTAATGGAATAACAACTGGTGAAGAAGTACAAACCTTATTGATGCAATATGGACTATTACCAACACCAGATATAATATCACCGTCTGTACAAGAGACAACAACAGCACAAACCTTATCAAAACCGAACACAGCAATGGCAATATTATATAAACCAATGATGAATTTGCAATGGATGCTTCTTTTGATAATAACAATGTTTTTAAAAATATAATTGATATTTCTATTTTAAATTGTTTCCAAATCAACATCATTGAAAGTTTTTGAATAAATAAAAAGACTAATTGAAAATTTGATTTTTTATTATTTGAATAATGAATTTTTTTGTAAGGAAACAAAAGCAATTAACAAAAAGCAAACGCTTTATCTATTAATAAATAGAAGAAAAACATCGTGTTGCAAGGTTTAAACATCAATCAGATATTGCAATTGTGAATATCAGTAGTTGACATACAATTAATAATGAGCAAAGCTAATCGTTTTGGTCCTGACCTTAGTTTCGCATTTAGTAAAGCCTGTACTAGCGAGAAGTAGGATATCATTTTCTAGCTGCTTCGATAAGCTCAGGACATATTACACAACTTCTAATATCCTCTTCGGCGAAGTTTCATTACTTTGTTCAATTCAATAACGCTTCATATATTCTGCACGTTTATATGTTCGACAACTTTGTTGCTTGCGGAAAAAAGCAATAAATTTTACTATCAAAATTGTAACAGCAAATATTAAAGTTATGGTTACTCAATAATTTTCACATAAACTTTTAGAACACATGAGTTGTGACAATATTACATTTCACACGATCATCAAAGATGTCGATCCCAATGGAGGAATGTTGATCCTGATCCTGATCAAACAAGAAAATTGGGCCCCGACATTCTGCCGAAACTGAGACCATCTTGTCCACATCTACACACAACTTTCCAAATACAAAACATTTAGTTGGTTTTTATACACATTCGATTAAATTTTTATTACGTATGTTAATGTTGATTCTCTTAAGTAAGCGTCAACCATAGCAATATTCTGATAAAGTTTCGTCAATAAATTCAGTTGCGAACAAGAAAAATCAAGATTTTTTTTCTTCATAGAAAAAATTTTGAAACTTTTCTTTTGCTTATGAAATATCAATAGAAAAAAAAATGTATTATTATCTACTCAAGTGGAATGAAACTTTAATTTTTAGCTTTATTAAAGCTCATTTGAACTTATTTTTCACATTAGTCATATATAATTTTTGTTTCTTGGGGCGCAAAAATGAACGCTTCTATGGTACCATCGAAGTATGTTTGTGTGTAGGTTGGTAAGAAGAAAAAGAATAAAAAAAAACGGTCGTGTACAGGTATGTGTATGCATAAATTAAACCCATTTTTTTTAACTTTAAAAGCTCTTAAGTAAGTAAAATGCAAACAGTGTATGTAAATGGTAAATAAAAGAATAAGAGAAAAAAAAGGAAATAAATCTGGGTAAGTTGACTAACTTAAGTGATGTTATTCCTTTGTTAAAGAAACCATTAATCTTTTTTTCTATGATCATTCTATTTTACGATGAATATACTTTTGAATTAAATTTATAGTATTATATGAATGAAGAACTTCTTAGTTTTCTTTTTACTTGATAAAGTTTATAAAGATGCAAATCATGGTATCCTCATTCAATTTCAATCTTTTTTTTCAATTATGTGTTATTACTATACAGCAGGCTGTTTGTATATAATCAAAAAACGTATGTCAGATGTTTGAAAGAATTCAAAAGAAAATATACTTCTGTTCTCTCTTTTATTATTCTCTATACTTATAATACATTATAAATTATGAGCAGAAGCCTTCTTTAACCTATCGAATCTGTAATACATTAGAAAAAAAAATTATGTGAGAAGAAAGTAACAAAAAGAAAAAAAAGACTCAATTTTGATTAGGAAATATACTCGAGTTTTTTATTTCATTTCTTTTTTCTCAATTAGATTAATATGTTTCAATACGATTGTTATCGTTCAAAAAGGTTACACAGACGTAACAGTGGTTCAGATAACGATGATAGTGATGCCAATAATCGAGACCCAGGTCGAGAAGTGATTGAAAAAAATACTCGAAACCGTTTACAACGTACTGCTAATCAAACAAAAGAAGAATTAGACATAGTACTCAAACGTGTTGATGATGTATGTAATATGATTTCTTTTATTTTTATGGAAATATTATACAAAAAAAAAAAAAACAATTTTAGACATTAAATAATTATGAATCTTCTGTTAAATCATCTTTAATTCAACATGGAATGACACATGATGATGCATCAAATATTGAGCACGTTGCTGATATAAAAGAATTAGAAAATTTATTAAATGATAGTTTAGCTAAAAAACGAGTAATTTTTATCAATTAAAACATTTTTTTTTCGTATTCTTAATATCAATATTTAGTATCAACAACGTTTAATGATTTTTATTGTCGGACAAACAGAACAATTAGATGAAAAAACAAAACTACTTCAACAAATTGGCCAAGTAAATTAAACATTTAGAATTTAATCTAATTCAAATAATTTTTTTTTGTTCCTATAGTTTTTTAATGAACAAAAACAAAATTTTAGTTCAAAAGAATTTAATATTTCTGATGAAATAAATGAAACACAAAATGAAATTGATCAAACACTTAAATCATTTGATGCTAAAGATTGCTATGTTCATGTTAGAGAATTAGGTACACGATTAAATGAACTTAATGAAGAAATTATTGAATATTTAATTCAAAATGCTGCAGCTAAACAACAAACAAAGTAAATTAGAATTATTTATTTTCGTATTATTAATTTAAATTTTTCGAAAGAGGAAAAAAGAAATCAGCTCAAGCTACAAAAGAAACTAAAGAACAATTAACTAATCTTCAAACAAAATTAGACACAGCAAATACAGGTGTATATGATATTAAACATAAAAAAATATTTATTTAAAATTTTCTTTTTTTAGAAGTCATAAATAGAGATGAAAAAATTCAATTATTAGAAGATGAAATCAGTACCATACGCAATGAAATACAAACAAATCAAGATAATCAAGTAAGAATAAATCGAATAAAGGATTTTATTTAAAATTTTTTTGCGTATAGAAAATATTACACGATCAATTAATTCAATATGAATTAGAAATTAAATCTTATATAGATCATATTCATGAATTAGAAAATAATATTGAACAATATAAACATCAGATAGATGATTTAACAAAAATTAAATCAGTTACTCATCGCATTGATGCAAATGTAAGTATTTAAAGTTAATAGAAGACTTATTTTTCTAATTATTCCCTGCCCGCATTGTAGCAGCATGAGTCAAAAGTCTCTCAACTTGTTAGAGATGATTGAATATTATCACGCTTAAAACCGTTTTTTGCCAAAGAAAACAGAATTTCATAATAAGACTAAAGTTTCAATTTATATCGTCACATAAGATAGAATAGATGATTAACTCACCATCTATTGCTAGCTACAATGTACAAAACGATTTGGTGATATTAAATATTGTGCCTAGAGCATATTATACGAAGTAACACCGGTATTATTGTACTCTATAAAAACAGCTCGAAGAAAGTTTCTCTCCCCAACATATGTATGTACTGATAGTTCTCAAAATTCTCCTATAACAGAAATCTTAGCATTTTTAATCGGGACTATTCATTGAGAAATATTTTTGTACGTTTACATGTTTTTTTATATAAAAAAATTTATAAACATGAAAATAATTTTTTCCAAAAGTAATTGGATACACTACTGGCCATAAGTCCCTGGATGTATGAAACTTCGAGTGAAGATCAATCGTTTTCCATGATATTTTCACCAGAGATGCAGCTTGAAAAATNAACATACGCAGTATAATTCACTGCGATGCTTATGCGAACACCATTATATGTTTATTGGATAGTATTCAGTGATGTAGTAGAACAGCTGTAAAAATATAAGAAATATGACTTCGAAAAACAAAAAAGATAAGAACTGATAGCTCTGGAATTATGCAAGCATATCCTGTTTTCTTTTCTTTCTATTTATCATCTCGATGTTCCTGTGAATACTTATCTGTTGCGTTTGTTTTTCAGATTTACTTCAACAGTATTTTTAATAATAGAACTAGACTGTACGGAACATATTTTCTTTAGCTTTGAAATAATGAACAGAGTGTGGGTGTGGGTGGCGTGCAGGAAAGGCACACCCACACACCTACAACCACGCATCCACACCCTTAGCTGCAGTCATTACAATTGAATTTTATTAACAATTCCTGTTTTCGCTCTATTAGTTGATCTATAATCAGGAGTTACGCATCATCATTACTATTAGTTATAACTTCAGAGTAGTAGAATTATAAGAACGACTACAATGAAGTTTATACGCTTAGAGTCATCATTTGCTGAAGTTATCACTTTTTTCGACATGTTTGTTTACTAGATCGTTTTCAGCACATCACCCGTTTGTCTGACTAAATGTCCACTACATATGCGATGCTATGTAATTTATCCTTATGGCTTAGATCATTCAAATCGCATGTTACGTTTTAATGGGAATTCTTTTTCCGAGTAAAACTATTTATTTGACAACTCTTCAGAAATAATCGGAACATTCATTCATGTCTAGTAGTCTAGTCTATTTTATTGAGAAAATATTGATTTGAAAAAATATTTTTTCCAGTAATTAAATGGAAAGAAGATAAAATTCTAATAGAAAAATAAACATATTCGTTCAATATCGGTTAAGATAAACTACATTCACATGTAGCTTATCCGTTGTTATTTACACCAGTCAAATTGCATTCTATGTTAGGCGTTGTTTTTTTGTCTATAACTTATCGTAGTAATATGACATTCGTGCATACCGCGAACACAACACAGTTGCCTAATTTTTCTATATTTTGTTGCATATTTTGAAAAGATTTCTAATTCTTTTTTCATCTATTAAATGCTGTACTCTTTCATTCTGGGTTATTTGAATTTTAATTATATCAATTCAGATTGTTATTCATTACATGTTCCTAAGATATAACAATGTAATTTTCATATACTCAAAGCATATTCACTATATATGTTTAGAAAATATGTATCACATGCTTCATAAAATTGGTCTTCTTAGTGTTTCTACCTGGTATGACAGCCAATTGTTTTTCGCATAATTTTGCACGGTGTTCTCTATAAATTTATCGCAGTTCAATATGACATTTTTTTAAAGAAATCCTCTCTAGATTGACAAGCAACATAACCTATTGGATTACTATTGAAAATAATTTGTCAGATCTTTCAAGAAATCCTTTACTTCTAAAAACAATTTCTCAAGCCATATTTGAAAACAGCATAAAATACTCATTGGCAATATTTTCTACTAGGTGAAAAATAAATAAAAATCTTGTCTAAAAACTTTCCAATCAATAATCAATTTAAGAATTGCTTATAACATTACCTATGCTGAACTTTATGCTTGTTTTCATATGATATTTATTTCATCAAAGTTCATTAGCTATTCGATTTAAATTATACAATCAATAAAATTCATTAACATCGAGCATTTATTTACACATATCCAAAATATGGTTTTTTTTCTTCTCAGCTGGACAAGTCAAAACAAACAAACAAAAATTATGCGAAATTCATTTTTACAAGATATAGAAAAAAAGGAATAATTTAAATAAAACTTTATAACGACCACAATTACCAAGTTGTAGAGCTGGATTTTGCTATAAAAAGAAGAACAAAAAGGAATCATTTTTTTATAGCATAAATTGATATATCAAACTTACCATTTTCATCATTTCTTCCTTAATTATTCGAGCAACTTCTTCTTTAGCCAATTGAAGATCACGTTCAATTAATGATTTAATTTGTAAATAAAGTTTTATATTACCCTGTTTGTCATCTTTATTATTTGGATAATATTGACCACGTACAAGTATATCAACATTGGCACATTCACATATATGCAATAATGTTTCATATTTTGAAAGACAAAAAAAAATGTTCTTTATTCTCAATATATATAATGTATGCGTGTCTTACTTTGCTTATAACTTTCGATCGAGCATTTTGTGGAAAATCATTTATTTCTAATTCTTCTTCAAACATTTTCGATGCATTTCCAGTTACTTGTATTTCTTCCTCGGACTTTTGATAATTTAATTTTCGATTTAATTCACTTGCTAGTTGTTGTGCTACAATACGACTCTAACAAAAACAATGCAATATATTCTATAATAAATATTCAAAAACCTGTCAAATACTTACGGATACAGCTGATTTTAATGTGCTATCATGTTGAAATAATGAAGTTGTTGCTTCTTGCATATAATCTCGAGTTTCATATTTGTTCAATGTAAGCCTTTAAATAAAAGCGAAATTCATTATTTTTTTGTTTGTTCAAACTTGAAGACAATCATATAGAAAAAAAAAGAGAACTGATCAATAGTATTCAATGAATTTTCGTACTCAAGATCCAGCCGAGCCGTACTTGTAATACTCTGAATGGAATTTTTTAATCGAAATTGGATAGCCGTCCTGAAGATACAAAACACTTTTTTCCGAATTTTTGTATTTGGTGACGAACGTATTGTACATATTTAGATGACGAGAGTCCGTCGAATCCGAAATCAACACACCGGCTCTAGTCTGTACGTCTATAAAAACAAGTGAACTCCGATTGTCATCTTTGTAAAGTTCAGACAATCTTGTGTTCTACAAATACATTCTAAAGGATTCTTTTTTGTGTTTGTTTCAAATTGTTTCTGCTAGAGTTGTAGTCAGTTTTCACCGTTTTAAAAAATAGTTTATAGATATCCAATTTTTTAAATCTAATTAAAATGCTTTCATTCATGCATTGTTGAAGAAGAAATTTAGATTCAACTGTAAAGGTTGAGTGAGGAAAATTCAAGATCTGCAGTTTGGCAATCAATCGATGTGTAGATTACCCTTCTTTTTTCGAGCTATATATTAATATCTTATATATTTATTTTTGAGAAATCAAACAGATATGAACGACTAGAACATGATATTTCTTCCTGATGATTTGTGAAAATCTGAGCAAAATAAGAAAAATGACGATTTTTGAAGACATTTCTATTAACCAATTAATAATGACTCGGCAAACAACTCAATTACCGACCGATTATAACCCTGTATTGGCTCCTTATTCTGTTATTGGAAAACTTATAAATTCTTGGACGGGGTATATTCATACCGCATAAAATTTCTAGTTCTCTGCCATGACGTTTTTGGAAGAAATTCAACGAGCAAGGGCCAACAGTGGCTCATTTGGCAACCCAAAATTCTCTGTAAGCCTTCGTACTATGTAATTCATGCTTTTAATTTGTGTACGACGTGAGAAAGTATTTTTATTTAAATTCTTATTTTTTAAGGGGAGGAACCTAGATCAAAAAATGAGAATACACAATTTTTGAGAAAATGATTATAGATTTGGATTCTTCGACTCACTTTCTTTGGTATCCATCATCAAACCGAACATAAATAAATTAATATTTACCTAGCTGCTACTTTCGTAGCTAATTCTAATTTCGATGCTGCATTATTTACAGATGTTGAACCACTAGTTTCTGCATTTGGATTAATTAATGCATTACCTTTAGCTTTCATATATTTTTTACTGTTATTAAATAACGATTGAATTTGTACATCAATCTAAAGAAAAAAAAGAAATTATTTATATATTGTAAAAACAAATCAAAATATTAACCATACAACTTGACTTTCTTCATCTTCATCCAAATCTACTAAACCCATAGCAGCAGCCTGCATGTTTTTGTGTACTCAAAAAGTGAGTACACTACTAAAATCGGTCTGTGTGTCCGTCCGGCCGTTTACACGATAACTTTCGAAAGGAGAGTCAGATTGCGATGAAATTTTCTACACAGCTTAGTCTTGACAATATCTCGGTCGAGTTCGAAGATGAGAAGTATCCGCCAAGAAATGGCTGAGTTATCGAAAAAATTGTGATTTTTGACCAGACCATCCCTGAGGGGGAGTACAGGGATTTTTTTCTCTATAAAAACTGTAAAAAAAAATGCAGGTTTTTTGTGTACTCTTTAAACAGTTTTCAGTGAATTTTAGCCTAAGAACTCTATTTAAAAAACTTTTAATATATACCTTTTTGTAGAGTTCAACGACCTGTATCGAATCATCTAAACATATCCAAGAAAAACATTTTACTCCATTTTTGAATCATGGGTATCTTAATTTTTCATCCCAAAAAAAAGCATAAAATTTCTGAAAATTTCTTAAGTTCGATAATAAAAAGTTTCCCTAACCCGTACTATTTAGTACCAATGAACTCCATTTTTGACGATCTTTCATTTTATATAAAATTCATTACAATCTTCTATTTGAAATTATAGCGGTACCCCCTTGAATAACATTATCTTCGATCTCGTACATTCAGTATTTCTTTCGAAATTAGGAAATATCTTAGCCGAATAATTGAATATTGGAAAAGACATTCATTAAATGAATTCAAAGTTTTGGTTTGCCACTAATTTGTTTAAAAATGATATTTTGCTTGATCAATAATTGATTGATAGTGGAAAGATGCCGCCTTATTTATAGATTCCATAAATATAATAAACTAAAATTAGTTTGACTTGTTTTTCAGTTAGATAAAAGCAAGTAGCTTATTTTCAGAACTTTCGATACGAATTATTTATCAATACATTTCTAAAGGACTACAAGTCGTCAGTATAGAATAAACTTTTTTTGCGTCTTAAATCCTTTTTGTACCATGGAGCTCTATATTATAGACGCCTTACAATGTTTACTTGTCAATTGCATTCATGCGTGGTTTAAACGAGAATCACGTTCAAATAATTTTACCAACTGCGTGCTGATGTGTTTCCAACAAGAAACTCATCAGGTGCATTGGAAAACTATTTTCTTACCGCACTGAGATGCGTCCTATGACAAGATTGCATTTAAGGCGTCTACTCTGCGTTTGGTGTTTACATGGGGAAAAAGGCGTTCGCACATTTATTAAGCATGATGAACAAAAGATATGTTATTTTGAAAGAAGTCTTTCTCAGATAGAAACACATGACTTAAATAATGTTGATACAAAAAATTTACAGTTGCTTGTTGTTTGCTATTTAGCTATTTGGAACGATGAATGTTGGAAGCGATTGATTCTGCTGTTTACAACGAAGAGTATTATTATACATGATGCTAAGCGTTTAGTGTCTGATAGACTGTATTATTCTAAGCATACTCTTCTTATCAACAATCAATTCTTTTGTCTTTTTGCATTGAAATATAATTCAGTCCTTTTTGTAGTCCGAGTTCAAGGTAATTAAACTAATCACACTTCCTACTGGTGCATTAGATAAAAAAGCTTTCAACTACAGATTATCGTCGACACTACCAAGAAAATGAATTTTTTTAAAGGATATAATAGAAAACCTTCTGCAACTTGTGGCTGGTAAGACTCTAAGACTTCGAATAAGCAGAGAACTTTAGGTCTTTCAAAGATAGTAAAAACCTTTTTGACGTTGTCTCACTTTGCAGAGCAGATACCATAATGCAAAAAAAACCGTCGTCGGCAGATAACATTTCAATAATCATTGGATCTGATAGAACTCTGAATGTTAATCATATATAAAGAACCGCGACGTAAATTCGATTATAACCTATCAGAATCATGTCAAAATTCCAGTTGGTCAACTAAAGACACGCAATCAAAGTACCTTGAGGGTGTGGGTATGGGTGTGAATAAATGAAAGATGTATACCAACACCCACATCTACACCCATACCACCCCACCCCACACACCCATTCACACCCTCAAGCTGTATCTTTTGGATCTATAGATATAGTAGCCCGCTTATGAGGAAAAGTTACTAACGGTATTTTTTTCTGTGTAAGCAATTCTCAAAAACCAACTCAGAACCTAACTGGTGTGTAGAATGACTTATGATTAGCATTATTCGAGTTCCGTCAAATAGTTTCGATCCTTTGTTAATGATAGATGCATGCCCACAATGCATCCCAAGTAGCAACATTCTTATAAGTAGTGTTATGAATTATAACATTTATCAGAAATGCAAACATTCGCCATTGAAAGATATTGTATGAATGCTATGCTGAAAAAATATATGATTTTACATTAGGTTCCTCTAGGTAACTCTTACAGTAGAAAATATCAGTCTCTTTAGTTTTTGGAGGATCTAGCTCGACATTGGATGTGGACGTAGGTATCAGCTCGTGAGGATATATGTGAATAAAACGATAGACACCCACATCCACAAATATGCGCATCATACTTTCCAAATACACTCAGGGGCACAGGCACACCAATGATATATTCCGCACCCTAAAAATATTGTATAAAATAAAATGAATGATTTCGATGAATCTCCATGGTGCAAAAAAAGCAAAACTTTTGATTGAAACAATGTTACAACTAATTTTCATATATTATAGAAACAAAGAAAATTGGATAGAAGAAAGGGAATAGGAAAGACGAGTTTTTAGAAAATTTTATTTATAATTTAGTTATGTTTTTTTCTTCTAATATATTTTTTTATTGAGATTGTTGTCAACTCATATTTTGATTATTCTTTATTAGCTAACCATGTTGAAAATGTTCCAGAAATGTATTATTTTGCATCTTATCTTGGAATTTGCTGTATACATCAAAACATTTTTTTCTATTTATATGCGCAAATGTACCCATGCATTGTTTTCCTTCTTGTTTTCTGGTAATGGAAAGGAAAAACAAGTCGGCAGAGCTGAATCGTGTGGTTATATGTAAATGTTTTCTGTTTCACTTTTAGAAAACAGAAAGCAGACGAGAAAAAAGGGCATGCATGGACACATTAACGTTATAAATGAAAACATTTATAATGTAAATAGCAAAACAGAATTGATGAAGAAAAACGTTGCGTTTCTAAAATGCTGTTGTCATTATTGATTAATAAAGAATAATCAAATTATGAATTTCCAACAATTTCAACAACAATTATCTTAAAAGAGAAACAAACAGCTTGATTGTAGTTACAACTACCACCCTTGACATTAGAAAGAAAAAGAATTTCTTGTCAGTTAGCAGGGTATGCCTATAAATACAAATAAAATGATTGGAAAATCATAATTTCTATTCTGAAAACCGTAAAGATAACACACGACAAAACAATCTGATAAATTAGTCTGTTTCTAGTGTTCTGTTCTACTTCTTACGAGAGATATCGACAATAATTGATAGTTTTCTTATTTATACAAACAAATAAATAATGATATTGTTGGTCGAGAATTGAGGACGTATCATCGTATTTCAAAAGGTCTATACAATGCCTGATCACACTGACTTATGTACTTCTTCTAAATATAGCTAAATTGTAGAAAAAGTATCAAAACCAGTTTTTTTCTCTTTATTAAAAATCAAAACTATTTCACATGACAGCTAGGATGAGATGGGTGTAAAATCAAACTTTAGGTATGGATGTAACCCAAGCTATCACTCGATGGGTATTTCGAGGTGTCGATCTGAACCATCCGATGGCTTGATAGAATTAACAATTGTTCAGCCATCGTCATCCCCTCGACCTATCGGAAAATGGCACTCCAATTTGTCGAAATGGCATTTCGATGCTCATCGAAGAAGCTTTCTCGATGGGTTCGATCCGTAGGGCATTGCGAGGGGTCGAAATTTCAAGCCCTCGGCATTTTCTGAAAAGGACAAGTGGCGATAAGGCCATTTTCCCGCCCAAAACGTTTCTCAAAAAGAATTACATATTCGGAATCAGCATTAAATTTTGAGTAAAATGAGGTACTTTTTGCTGTCGAAAAACGACTTTCATTTTTCACGGTTCCTTGGGCACCTGTAGGGGACCTCAGGACCATCGAAATTTTTTTTTTTCAGAATTTTAGTGAATTTAACATTATCTGATGCGAAATTTAATGCTGATTTCGAATTTCAAATTGAAATTTAAAAAAAATAGACTATTGGTAGAAAAAAATTTGACTCACTGTAGGATGCTAGGGTGGGCCTACTTCCAGTTACCGTGCACAAGTGACCTAGTGACACCATTCCAAAGTCTGAAATACATTTAGTAATGTGTGAGATTGCTTTCCCAATCAGAAACAAAAACAAAAAGGTGTCTGAAGTCGAGTTTTGGTGAGCTTTAGATCCAAATACTCAAAAAACCTATTTTTTGAGCCCCTTAGCTCCATATCGGAGTGTAAGAAAATCTCCAACCAATGAGTGACATATATAGATCGATGCAGTTTTTCACGCTCTTTCCGAATATGACCTCGGAAACAAGTAAAAAAAGAAGAACATGGTCAAACCACGCAAATACTGAAATCAGAGCAAAAAAGCCCCAAAAACGCGCCGGTATTTGCAGATTATGACCAATAAAAATTGACTTCTGAGTAAAATGCATATGATATTTCGAATCATCACTCAAAACTACATCTAGTAACATGGATTCTGTCAAAAGAAAAATTCTCATCAAAATTAGGCTGATGGGGGGTAGAGGCAAAATTACAGCAGAAAATAGCTGAGAGGGAATAGGGATCAAATTTTATTAAAAAATAATTTTTCACAGAATCTATGTTACTAGATGTAGTTTTAAGTGCTGATTCGAAATATCATATGCATTTTATTCAGAAGTCAATTTTTATTGGTCATAATCTGCAAATACCGGCGCGTTTTTGGGGCTTTTTTGCTCTGATCCCAGTATTTGCGCGGTTTGACCATGTTCTTCTTTTTTTTCTTGTTTCTGAGGTCATATTCGAAAAGAGCGTGAAAAACTGCATCGATCTATATATGTCACTCATTGGTTGGAGATTTTCTTACATTCCGATATGGAGCCAAGGGGCTCAAAAACCAGGTTTTTTGAGCATTTGGATCTAAAACTCACCAAAACTCGACTTCAGACACCTTTTTGTTTTNAGTTCAATATGACATTTTTTTAAAGAAATCCTCTCTAGATTGACAAACAACATAACCTATTGGATTACTATTGAAAATAATTTGTCAGATCTTTCAAGAAATCCTTTACTTCTAAAAACAATTTCTCAAGCCATATTTGAAAACAGTACAAAATACTCATTGGCAATATTTTCTACTAGGTGAAAAATAAATAAAAATCTTGTCCAAAAAACTTTCCAATCAATAATCAATTTAAGAATTGCTTATAACATTGCCTATGCTAAACTTTATGCTTGTTTTCATATGATATCTATTTCATCAAAGTTCATCAGCTATTCGATTTAAATTATACAATCAATAAATTTCATTAACATCGAGCGTTTATTTACACATATCCAAAATATGTTTTTTTTTCTTCTAAGCTGGACAAGTCAAAATAAACAAACAAAAATGTTCTGTATTCTCAATATATATAATGTATGCGTGTCTTACTTTGCTTATAACTTTCGATCGAGCATTTTGTGGAAAATCATTTATTTCTAATTCTTCTTCAAACATTTTCGATGCATTTCCAGTTACTTGTATTTCTTCCTCGGATTTTTGATAATTTAATTTTCGATTTAATTCACTTGCTAGTTGTTGTGCTACAATACGACTCTAACAAAAACAAAGCAATATATTCTATAATAAATATTCAAAAATCTATCAAATATTTACGGATACAGCTGATTCTAATGTGCCACCATGTTGAAATAATGAAGTTGTTGCTTCTTGCATATAATCTCGAGTTTGAGATTTGTTCAATGTAAGCTTTAAAATAAAAGCGAAATTCATTATTTTTTATTTGTTCAAACTTGAAGACAATCATATAGAAAAAAAGAGAATTGATCAATAGTTTCCAATGAATTTTCGTACTCGAGACCCAGTCGAGTTGTACTTGTAATACTCTGAATGAAATTTTTTAATCGAAATTGGATAGCCGTCCTGAAAATACAAAACACGTTTTTCCGATTTTTTTGTATTTGGTGACGAACGTATTGTACATATTTAGATGACTAGTTAGAGTCCGTCGAATCCAAAATCAGTACACAGACTCTAGTCTGTACGTCTATAAAAACAAGTGAACTCCGATTGTTATCTTTGTAAAGTTCAGACAATCTTCTGTTCCACAAATACATTCTAAAGAATTTTTTTTTTGTTTGTTTCAAGTAGTTTCAGCTAGAGTTGTAGTCAGTTTTCATCGTTTTAACAAAATAGTTTATAGATATCCAATTCTTTTAATCTAATTAAAATGCTTTCATTCATGCATTGTTGAAAAGGAAATTTAGGTTCAACTGTAAAGATTGAGTGAGGAAAATTCAAGATCTGCAGTTTGACAATCAATCGATGTGTAAATTACCCTTCTTTTCTCGAGCTATATATTAATATCTTATATATTTATTTTTGAGAAATCAAACAGATATGAACGACTAGAACATGATATTTCTTTCTGATGATTTGTGAAAATCTGAGCAAAATAAGGAAAATGACGTTTTTTGAAGACATTCCTATTAACCAATTAATAATGACTCGACAAACAACTCAATTACCGACCGATTATAACCCTGGATTGGCTCCTTATTTTGTTACTGGAAAACTTATAAATTCTTGGACGGGGTATATTCATACCGCATAAAATTTCTAGTTCTCTGCCATGACGTTTTCGGAAGAAATTCAACGAGCAAGAGTCGACAGTGGCTCATTTGGCAACCCAAAAGTCTCTGTAAGCCTTCGTGCTATGTAATTCATGTCTTTAATTTGTGCACGATGTGAAAAAGTATTTTTATTTAAATTCTTACTTTTTAAGGCGAGAAACCTAGATCAAAAAATGAGAACGCACAATTTTGAGAAAACGATTATAGATTTGGATTCTTCGACTCACTTTCTTTAGTATCCATCATCAAACCGAACATAAATAAATTAATATTTACCTAGCTGCTACTTTCGTAGCTAATTCTAATTTCGATGCTGCATCATTTACAGATGTTGAACCACTAGTTTCTGCATTTAGATTAATTGATGCATTACCTTTAGTTTTCATATATTTTTTACTGTTATTAAATAACGATTGAATTTGTACATCAATCTAAAGAAAAAAAAGAAATTATTAATATATATTGTAAAAACAAATCAAAATGTTAAACATACAACTTGACTTTCTTCATCTTCATCCAAATCTACTAAACCCATAGCAGTAGCCTGCATGGTTTTTTGCTTAATTTTTAATTGTTTTTCAAATGAATTGAATTCATAACTACTTCGTCCATTAAAACCCCCAACATCAACTTTTACTTCTATACCCATGGCTTCCTCTTTTTTAACATAACTGTCCCATAATAAAGTTAATTCTTCTGGTATAGATGTACCAAATGTTTTTAAAGCTTGGATTATATTACCAGCATAATGTTCTTGTGCTGGTGTAAGAAATGTATAAGCATAACCTATATTTCCTGCTCGACCCGTACGTCCACAACGATGTACATAATCTTCATAATGATTTGGACAATCATAATTGCCAACAACAATTAAATTTTTAATATCTAAACCTCGTGCAGCAACCGATGTTGCAATTAGAAATGGTATATCACCATTTTTAAAATCTGTTATTATTGAATCATGATCATATTGATCAATACCATCATGTAACGCCATACATGGATAAACATTACTCATTAATTTTTTCATTAATTCATCACAATGTTCTTGTTTATCAACAAAAACAAGAACTGAACCTTGTGATTGATATATACCAAGTAATTCGAGTAATTTTAAATATTTTTGATCATCACCATCAAGAATTATCTAATGAAATAAGAAAACATTTAATTTAATTTATTTGATTTTTAATTCATTTTTTTAATACTTACGACATTTTGTATAATATCTTTACAAACAATACTTCGTTCACCTATAGTTACTTCAATGGGTTTATAGAGATTTTTACGTGCTAATGCTTCCATTTTTTTAGGAAATGTTGCTGAAAACATAATGATTTGACGATCAGGACGAATACTATCAAGGATTTTTGTCACCTAATAAAAAACAAAATGAAGAATATTTGTTGTATATTGATTTTTATTGAATGTATCAAAGAGCACTCCAGATCGAATGGCATTATCAATTCAATTTGTTGGAATTAGAAACAAACTTTTCCTCACTTATCTATTGGCACAACACAATCTAAGTCAATGCTTCCGATCGAAAACGCTCCTGTATTCCTAGGCTTGGGAAACTGCAAAATGATATACGTATGAGTATCTGTTACCATTTTGCAAGATGAGTAAAAGTNGGAATGAGGTTAGATATAGACCCTGATCAGATTGCATAGGTGAATTTTGAAAGAGCTTGAAAGAGAATTTTTTGGGGCCTCTGCACCGCCACAGAAGTGAAAAAAAATTTTTTTTTTCTGATTTAAATCAAATGTATTTTTACTGATAGAATCGCGTGTGCTGATTACAAATATCAGTATTAGAAAATCCATAAATGCTTTGCTAGTAAAAGAATCTTAATATTCGGAGATGATCTTTATAGCTAAAAACTTAGTTTTTAGCCCCCAATCGGCCACTTGACCTCTAGAATCTGTGTGAAATTTACACAGTATAAGTAAAACTATACGATCTATCTGAAAATCAACAGAAAATTACACGCACACATTGATTTCGTCTAATATTTTGAGATTAGGGGTCACAATTTCCTTATTAAAATAGCGAAAAACTGAGGTTTTTGCAACTTTCGACCTTGACGCACTACTTTTGTTTTGCTCTTTAAATATTACAGATCGATAGAACATGAAAAATTACGTATACTGACACAATTTGACATTGTTTGGAGTCTCTTTCATGGAATGGCTGAGGTCTAAAAATTGCATATAATATAAAAATACTCAAATTTGGGCCCCTAAATCTCAAAGTATTAGACAAAATCGATGTGTACAAGTAATTTTTTTTCATTTTCTAATAAATCATATGTTTTTATGTATATAGCGTAGAAGTTCTCACAGATTTGAAGGATCAAATAAATGATAACGAGGCAAAAACTGAATTTTTAGTAATAACGGTCATCTCAAAATGTTAAGATTTTTTAACTAGGAATACATTTATGGGCTATCTAATGCTGATACTTCTAATCAGCACACTCGACTCTATCATTGAGTATATGTTTTATTTGAATCGAAAGAAAAAATGTTTTTCGATATCCCTGAAGGGGACCGCAGGTCCCAAAAAATTGTTTTCAAACTATCCCAGAATTAACCTATAAAATATGATCAGGATCTATCCCTAATTCCACTCCAATAAAAATTTCTTGATATTATTAGGGGCGAGAAAATGGCCTTAACTGCCCGAATCCTTTTTTAGAGCTTACTGCGGTGAACCAAGTTTAAAACGTTGTCGAATGATATTAGTTTCCGCTGCACATCTGTTCGGTGATCAGCAAAACCAGTCGAAAACATTCTGATTAACTGCATACTCGAAACCGTTGATACCTATATAGAAACAAAAATAGACTAGCTACCTCACAATGGCTTCACATCATAAATGACACATTTCATCCGAAATTTTTTCATAAATAATGATTTTAAAACAATCTCACCCACTGTTAAAGATTAAATGATGCCCAATTCAGAGTGACTGAAGAATTCCTCACATTCTTATAAGCTCCTAATTACGATACACCAATCCACGCGATGTAGTCTGTTGCTTAGGTTCCACCTAATCCACAGAGTGCACCGACTTGAGTTCGAAGTTCGAAATCCAATTTTCTGCAGCTATCCATTGTCACGTTTTTCTGACGCTCATCCGACAATGACTCGGAAAAATGATGATTGGTTAACAGTATCATAACAGTCCGGCGTGGTCTAGTGGTTAGGATTTCTGCCTTTCACGCAGGAGGCCCGGGTTCGATTCCCGGCGTCGGAATGCTTTTTTTTCTAGAAAAAGGCATAGTTAAGTTTTTCTATCAGTGATCAGAGAATTTAGTCAGAAAGATAATTATTGAGCTAAAACATAACAGTCCGACGTGGTCTAGTGGTTAGGATTTCTGCCTTTCACGCAGGAGGCCCGGGTTCGATTCCCGGCGTCGGAATGCTTTTTTTCTAGAAAAAACCATACTCAAGTTTTTCTATCAGTGATCAGAGAATTTAGTCAGAAAGATAATTATTGAGCTAAAAGATAACAGTCCGACGTGGTCTAGTGGTTAGGATTTCTGCCTTTCACGCAGGAGGCCCGGGTTCGATTCCCGGCGTCGGAATGCTTTTTTTCTAGAGAAAAGTCATAGTGAAGTTTTTTTATCAGTGATCAGAGAATTAGCCAGAAAGATAATTATTAGGCCAAAATATCGATAGAAGTCCAAGGTGGTGTAGTGATTAAAGTATCTGTCCGACTTCTTCTTGTGTTTTTGTAGAGAGTGGCCACGTTTTGTTTGCTAGCCTACTCGCGTATTTTTTGTTGCATCTCACGAGGATCTCACGAAGTTGATGGATAAGAAATATTTTGCCCTTCAATTATTTTCAATTAGACGGAAGAAACAGATCGAACAATTATTTTGAATCAGCTCAATTTAATGCAAGTGAATCAGGTATGAAAGATGAGTAACAAATGTATGAACCGTATCTAGAAAGTTGTTGTCTAGCACGAATGTATGATGATGACCACGAAATAGAACAGCAAGAAGGTCTTCTTCGTTCAATAGCACAAAACCCTCACATGGTGAGTGACTTCTATCGCTTTGTTCCATTTATATGAGCCCTTGGTGTTCAACAATCCGTTCAGGATATGTACCATGAAGAAACTAATCAAAGTTAACAGTAGATTCAATCTATTTTAGATATTAGGAGAAACATCAGCACAAATCATCAGCTCCAAAACGTGTCTGAGCGCTTAGCCATAGCTGTAGTTTTATTAGTTCTAAATCGAAACAATAGGCACCAAGCAAATGCACACTCGTGGAAGTAGAACATACGACAACAACTAATCCACGGCAATTGAATTTATCTTCTTTCGATCAGCTAACACGAGTTGTATCTTCAAACCTGCCATGTTTCTCCATCCAGCTTGAGCAATCTAATACTTCACAACAGCTCTCATCAGCCTTCGAAGCTAGAAATATTATTGAAAAGCATTTCGAAGAACAAAATATAAACATTCAACACTTTTCATTAGTAGAGTGGTCAAGTAATTGTCTGTAATTAGGACTGAATAACAAAGAAGATTGTACGGCGTTAGTAACAACAGCTAAATGGCCAACAATAGTTAAACGTACAATTAGTTAAATCATCAAACCCAAATATACTCCAGATTTTTTCGCTGTAGTCATTCGCTAAGTGCCATCTGCATCAGAAACTGAATTAGTCTGGGAGAAACTAAACGTATCATTCATCAGTCGATAATATAAAACAAATCCAGTATGCGTATGAAGAGAAGTCTAATGATTTCTGTTTCATTGTAAGAGACTTAACAGAATTCAATATTGCTCTTGAACTTTGTTGCATCTCGATAAACAATTGATGGCTAACGATCACGTCATTTGTAACTGGAAACCATATGACATATCCTACTCGATATTGGAAAATAGGACATTTTCGCGAGCAATGTAAAGTAAGCTAGCAACGATATTAAATCAGCCTAAAAGAAATACCAAATGAGAAAGAGCACAATCACAAAAACGTATCAAAATATGCACAATGCGATGGTTAGTGCCATTCGTGTCATGGTCAATGCCAACTCATCTAACAATACCGTGCAGATGTAAAAGAAAATATTAATAAAGCTTTGGGATCCAGAGAACTACATCGAAATGGGTATACTAACCAACAGCTTGTTTTTTATTGTGAAAGATCAAAACTTTCTACTTCTGGGCGAATCGAAATAGTCTCACTAAGCATCATAAAATCATGTACAAACAAAAATACATATCTATGATGCACTCGGTTCAACAGAAGCACTTTTTCCTACGAATAAAAATCTGGTCGCTACGCATGAAAGTAATACAAGTGTAGAAGAAAAACTTGAGAAGATCAATTTCAAATTGAATCAAACAGCCTGTGACACACAGTTACATCCACCAACAGTGATTAAAAAGATCGAATACGTACGATTACTTATTCAACATATTATCTGGTCGATGACGAATCAAGTAGATCCGGTATTACTGAACTCCACATCAGATCTACACTCTGTCCTCGATAAACTACGTAATCTAAAAACTAATTTATGCAATGATTATGAAATATGATGAAAACGTGCAGCATCACCAGCCGTTCAAAGTGAACAACTTAGAACTTCGAAAGGAATGAACAGTGGTGATAAATTGATTGTGAAAGAATAGGGTACACGAGCACTTGAAGTTATTGAATTAACATTCAAAATGAAGGCATCCATATGATTATTCATTGAAGTGCGCGAACTATGGAATACAAATAAGCTACTTCGTTTCAACATATTTTATCGAAAAGAAACTAATCACAGTGGAGACATTTGCATAGCAGTAGGAAAACATCTCAAGGTATTGCGCATTGAGATAGATATACCACATACAATATTTGTTGATATTATAAGACTCTTAGAACCAATATGTATCGCAGGTATTTACTGGCCAAATAGTTAGCAACGTAATCTTGATGGCATTTTCCCATTAATTGTGGAATGTATCATTCTCATCGGCGATTTTAATGAAGCAGCGAGAGAATGGAACCAACCCTTCAATGGATAAGACAGAAACACTCCTGAAAGCAAGGGGGAAAATCAGACTTCTGTAATTCTTATACTTCTTCGTACTTGTTCATACTTCTCGGTACTTCTCCGTACTTCTGCTCCCAAAACAGAACAAAAATGTTCTGTTATTGGAAAATGTCAAAAATTTGATTCTCAAAAACAGAACTTTATTGTTCTGTTTTGGGAACTGGACTTTTGACATTTCTCAATAACAGAGCACTTTTGTTCTATTTGTGGGAAAAAATCAAGGAGAAAAAGCGTGCTTCTTGGTACTTCTTCGTATTTCTCGATACTTCTCCGTATTTCTCAGTACTTCTCCGTACTTCTTGGTACTTCTCGGTACTTCCTGGTACTTCTTTTTACTTCTAGATACTTCTCGGTATTTCTTCGTACTTCTCGGTACTTCCTGGTACTTCTTTTTACTTCTAGATACTTCTCGGTATTTCTTCGTACTTATCGGTACTTCTCCGTACTTCTGTACTTCTTCGTACTTCAGAAGTACAGAAGTCTGCTTTTTCACCCTTGCCTGAAAGCTTGAATTGAAGAGAACAATCTCAATTATATACTATCGACATAATATTTATCAAAGTGCTCGATGCGTAACATAGATTTATCTGTCTAAAATATGCCAACTATTTCATGTAAACCATTGCATTTCACACCAGTGATCATTGACCTCTTGTTTTGATTTGTGAAAATAATTTTTCAATATAAGAGGCACTCTCTTCCATACGAATTGGAAGGCGTTTGAAGCTATTTTTACTACTATGTGCTTCAAACATTCTGGGTAGAAAAACAAAAGAGAATAACCGTAAACGAATGCTATTGTTGGTACGTGCATTTTACTGCAGCTGTCAAGAACAGACTAACGAAATGGAATTAAAAACGAGAAATACAAACCAACATTATCTCATTATATAATCGAAAAATAAAAGAGAAGTTGGAAAAATAAGAAATGATTATTATCATCTACGTAAAGAGGCGTCTTTTATAAAGAAACAAGAATACTTTTACGAGGCTTGTCAAGCGAAATAAAAAGTGAATTAGGAAAGTACAATGCATCTCAAAAGCAAAACTCTTTAGTCACAATTTAATAGACACGTGATAATAAAGATAAGATGTTTTCATCATATCTGTCTCATATCTATAGATCAGACATACAACCATTTTATAAACTATCGAATCCTATTAAACTACTATCAAAACAAGACGAAATTACAAAAGAATTACGTAAGTATTACAGCAAACAGTTCATGACACCATCGATCGATTATTCAAATGCACATGGAGTGAAAATTGAGAATGAATGCAATAAAGTATTGAGGATATTATCAAATTCACATGAACAAATGGAGAAAAAAAGTATTGAAGAAATCAGACGATTAATTCGCTGTTTTAAATCGAAAAAATCAGCCTCTATGATTAAGAGACTTTCACCAGTTATATCGAATGTCTTGTAAATTGTTGTAACCACTGGTTCATGAAGAAATCTTTTTAGGTGTCTCCTCTAGTTTCAATGATTTCTTCCTATAGATACTGTTCAGTGCTCTAGTAAAAATCCTTAAGGAGTTTGGGTTCTTATCATTTCTTTCAAAAGTTATGAACATTCTAATTTTGTTCCCATCGCGCATAACATGGAGAGTAGGCCATAAATACTATTATGATAAAAAATGAAATATTTCCCGATTGTTTCCACCAAATGTGCTGATTTTTTGGTTATTTCTATAAGTTTATTCGAAGGTTTTTTCTTCCATAGCGATAAGATAAGTAAATATTACTGCTAAGTATTATTGTTGGTATTATGGAAGTAATTCTACCTGGTATCCAAAAAGACTTACATGTTTAGCGTTTCATAGATGATATTGAGTTATCATCTACGAAAAAAAAATAAGGAAAAGTCAAAACAAACTTTATGAATGATTCTGTATTGATGTACATAAAGCAAGTTTTCAAAACAAGTCAGTTTTAATGGTGAACTTCGTGGCGTATGAGTAAAACACACAGTTGTAACCCTTTGGGTATCAAAACACCAACTTCTTTGAAAAAGTAGTATTCTACGGTTGAAACTTCGAGATTTTGTAATATGTATTTTCATTGGATAATAGGTAGAATTGCTTTCATAATGCCAACAATAATATTTAACAGTAATATTTGCTTACCTTATCGGTATAAAAAAACCTTCGAATAAATTTCTATCAATAACCAGACAAATTAGTTGATTTGGTTGAAACGATGGGAAGTCATTTCATTTATTATCACAGTAGTATTTATGGTCCACACTCTATGTCATGCACTATAGAAACAAAATACAATGTTCATAACTTTTGAAAGAAGTAATAGAAACCCAAATGCCTGAGAAGTTTTTATTAGAACACTGAACAGCACCTATAGGCAAAAATTATTCAAATTGGAGGGAGTACCTGAAAAGATTTCCTCGTTAGCGAATATAGGTATCGAAATGAATGGCAATTAGAAAAAATAATAACTCTGAGTTAATTAAAGGCAGGTGTACCAAAATGTGATCAAACAGGTCCAATAACTTTACTAGCAACACGTTCAAAACTTTTTGAAAAATTAGTACTTAATAAAATTTGATACTGGATAGACATGAACCAAATAGTGCCAGTAGAATAATCAGGATTTTGTCCAAAATATCTTTTACCCACAAGAGTTTTGTTAACTTATCAAGAACTAAAAATGTGTACGACTACCAAGATATCGGCATTAGCTATCTTTGTAGATTATCAGAAGGTCTATGACCTTATCTACACGTAGCTCTTTTGACTAAATTGTGGAGACTAGGGATGCTTGTTAATATGTTGAAAATGATAATATCCCGGTTAACAACAGATAGGAGAGCCAATGTGGTGTTCAGAGAAAAATCATCAGAATATTTTTATATAAACATCGGACTGTCTCATAGTAGTAGTCTTAGCGCTTACCTATTTATCGTGTTTCATTGTGATTTGGTTCATGGTATTGGAGCGCATTGAAGTCATCTTTTTACAAATGATCTCTGTATAATTATAAGATCGCTTGTCTCAATAAAACTAGTACCGATGATCGAATACTTCGAACAAAAAGGTACGTGCGTGTGCGATCGAATATTTGCATACTCAGAAAAAAGCAGCCCATGAATGTGTTGAAAACAATGGCATTGCTGTTTTATGCACAAACAAAAAAGCCAAGAGGGCACATAGAAATGAATAAACAAAAAAAACGAATTAGTAAATGAATTTATATATAAAAGATTTGCATGGACAAACAAATTATTCTTGAAAACAACACTTGATAAGTGTATAGAAAACTTTAGGAAGTCGATGGGAAAGCTTACATAGTTAAGAGCGAAACGTTTCATCTTCATCAAGGCGCTTACACAATGTTTTTTCGCATACACATTTCTCCTTTTTTGTATAGTTATTCCCCTTGTTTCTGCTGCTTCCCGAGTTGTAACAACAATTATTACAGCAGAAACTCTAAGTTTGTCTTCGACTCATACTTCATCGACCATTTATCTCATCCCGTAATTTATACACTATGGCTAATGAAGAGTCATTAGAGGCTTAAGTTAAAAACTACATTCAAAAAAGATTACAATCTATGTACGCTATGGATCTTGGTTGTTCACGTTTCTACAATGATATTTTTATTTGGGATTTTTTTCATAATAGAAAGAATGATGATTAGGGCCATCTTTTTCGTAGTAATCGTGTAAAGCAATCGATAGAAAAGCATGAATCGCTTCTCCTAAAAAGACAGCATTTATTGAAATAAATTAGTTTGTATATAAAAACAGCATGCAGAGTCCTTCTTTTTGCATCCTTTCTTTTTTGCTCTTCGCTTCTTTTCCTTTTTTTCTGTCATTGAAACACTTACGAGTGTCTTCCTTCGTTTCACTTTCTCTTCTGTCTTTCATTTACACGCTTCTTCTCAAATTTCGAAATGTTTTATGAATTTTTTTGCCTTTTTCTTTTTGTCTCTATATTTATTCTCGCACACTCACACTAACAGAATCAGTACTCTGTATAATGACATTGGCAGCAACTGTAAAAATCATAATTTCTCTGTATCTTATCATGTAAACACTGACGAATGTTACATTTACAAGCGTGATACAAAAAATGATTTCTGTCTTTCATGTAGCAGGCTCCAGTTTGACTCTCGGCGTCGGAATTCTTTTTTTCCTAGAGAAAATTCATAGTCAAGTTTTTCTATCATTCATCAGAGAATTGCTCAGAAAGATAATCAGTGAGCTAAAAGATTCATAAGAGTCCGACGTGGTCTAGTGGTTAGGATTTCTGCCTTTCACGCAGGAGGCCCGGGTTCGATTCCCGGCGTCGGAATCTTTTTTTCAGAAACGAAACAGGTTTGAAACCATATTTTGTAAAAGATAACAATTAAGGCAGAGGTAAAACAATTTATTTTAAGAAAATTTTTAATGTGCGCAAGGTGGTTGCAAAGAGCGCATATTGGTAGTCTTCGTTACAGTTGATTGAATACAATATTAAATTGAGAAAAAAAAAGCGTTACCTTACGCGTGTCAATTAGTTGTATGTACAGAGACATTTATTGATTGTGTTTATCTATGACAAGTGTCTCCGGTAAAAGTTACTACTAATATGCAACAAACCTCCTTTTATGAATTGCCATTTAACAACTATCATGCGCAACCGATGAATTCTGGTGAACATGGACAAGTTCAATATGTTGATAACATGAATATGTTTCCAGATTCATTACCAATATATCAGATACCATTTCAACAACCATCATCTTATGCGACAGCTATTCAATCATCACCATATTCACTACCTATACAACAGCAGCCCCTATCTGTAAACGGCAATCAAAGTAAAAATCTAACATTGTTTTCATATGAAAATTTAAGAATTCTCATTTTAGATTTATCAACAAAAAATCCAACAGATCCGGGAACACCCCCTTTCGAAAAAAATAAATGGCCGCGTAAATCAGTTTCGCTTGTTTGTCCACGATGTGGTGCCATAGTAGAAACACGTGTGGAACTAGAAATTACAATTATTACTTTTATTGGGTTTGCGATCTTATGTTGTTTCACCTGTGTTTTGGGCTGGCTAGCACTTTGCTTACCAGCATGTAAAAAAGTAACTCATTATTGCCCTTATTGTAACAGTATGTTAGGTGTACGACCTGAATTACGATAATAAACATAAGATTAATCAATCGCATTTTACGCTTTATTTTTCACAAAAAAAGATTCAACACATACTCTGGAATGAATAGTTTTAATTATAAAAAAATATATATATAAATAACAGTAATGAGATAACTTTTGAATGTGACTAACTATTAAAATCGTCGACATTAATTCGCATAGTATGTTGTGGTGATTTTCGACGTCCACTATTGCCATTTTGTTGATTACGATCATTTTCAGTTCGATTTCTTTCACGATTTGTTCTTTTTTGTTCTTTTTCATGTTCAATTTCTTGTCTTTTTATTTTATCAAATTGAGTATCAAAATCTTCTGCTGTTAACTGTTCACCTTCAAGTATACCAAGAACAGTAAAATCAAGTAGTTTATATGGTTCAAGTTTAAGATTAAGATTTGATGTTTTCACTTTTTTATTTGTTATTAATGAAGGATCAATTATTATCCATTGTCCTCGATCAGGAAAATAACGTGCTATAGTTATTTTAATTATTTCTTTTGAATCATTTTTGTCATAAAGATTATCGTCTATTAAGGATTTTAAATGCAATAAAATGTGATGTTCGAGATATTCATATTTAGCACTTGTATTGTCTCGTATTGACCAATGAAGTTCAAATTTATGTTGAAAATAGTTATTATTAGTATCTTTCGAATAAACAATATTAAGAAGTAAGTCTTTTTTTGCTAAATATTCAGGATGAGATAATATTTCGAAGGCATATGAGCATAAATCGCGTACTCTTGCTTGTCTAAATAGAGCAAGCAAAAAATGACTCGCTTGTATATGTTTTTCATAAGAAAGATTTTACTTTAGAGTTGTTAGAATAGGCTCATGTACAATTGATGTTGGTTGATCATTTTCAATATCATAAAGACGAATAAATTCCAATGGTTGAGCATTGTTAGTGTAATTCGATGGAACATCAAAATCAATAAATTTCGCTATGTATTCTCGAAGAACATTAAACGAAGATATAATTGGTAATTCAAATTGTTTCTCTAGTTCTATCATCTCGAATATAGGTCGAGTATGAACTAGAACAAAAAAAAAGATCATTATGTCTACATAGTCTAAGTTTCTCTCAAATATCGTTAAAAATTTAAAGTGATACAAACAAAACATTTCATGATTGAACTCTTTTCCAGAAAAAGGAAGACATTTTATAATCGATAATAGATTTCGTTTTCAGAAAAATAAAGCGTTTGAAATCGATTAATCGATTTTAAAGAGAAGACAAGAGGCTCAAAATTTTCTAAATAAACATTAAAGATTTGCAAAACTCCCTATCTTACAATGGAAAGTCTACAAGCATAGCTCACCAATCGGATTGATATTTTGATCATGAATAGGTTCTAATGAGAATAGTAGAGACCTATAACGGTTTGCTCTCATTAGTGCCCATCGAGTTGTTTATGGGTCCAGATCCGATCGTGTTTGAGTTCGAAAATCTTCGACCCGACAAACTCAAGTTTCTATGCGCTTTCCTTTCGCAGGTTAGTACGATTTTACTTAGTTTTTGATCTCTGGAAAGATACTTGTGGAAAAAATCGAATTACGAAATTTTACCTTGAAGTTTTGCCCATCGGTAGATTTCGTGAACCTTAGAATGTCGCACAGATTTCAGTTCGAAAGTATGTGTTACTCTTGGGATATCGAATGTTGAAAACTGAGTTTCCTTAACTTTTCTCATGATGCATGATTCTCTTTTGAATATTTAATGTCTCAAGAAGAACACCTGGCTAGACTGAAATTGCCAGAATATTCTAAAGTCTATGAGATCTACTTATGGACAAAATCTCTGGCAGAAATTTCGTAATTCGATTTTTTCATAAGTACCTTGCCGAAAATAAAAAGTTCAGTAAAATTGTAATAGCTTGAGAAAGACAATGCATTATGCATTGGAATAAATCCTTATGAGCTTCTATTGGTCTTGTCGAAGTCTACTTATGGAAACAGTAGCAGCTCAATTAGTAGTACATCACACTTATGGACATTTCATCATTATACAAAATTCATTCGTACTAGCTTCATTTGGTTTGTAATATTTGTTAATAATTCTAAACACTTTTAATCGAACATGATTTCTCGGTGCAACACTGCCCGATTGCATGATTAATTGAGCACCATTTGTAAGTCCATTAACTAACAGTGTTTGATCAAAATCATTCAATGGAGGACCATCATTTATCAATGACGTTTTAACTTCACATAAATGGTATTCATTATCATTATCTAATAATAGAAAAAAAGAAAGAAAACCATTCACATGAAATATTGAAAGAAAAAGAAGATTTTCCTTACTATCCATATGAAGTTCTTGTTTAATTAAATTCCATAAATCAGTTAATGTCATACTTTGATCAACAACAAGTTCAAGTGAATTAGGTTCACGATCAGATAGAATATAAAGTAGAAGATTATTCTCTTTAAGTGCTTGGCCTAATTTTAAACAAAGATTTGTATTATTTTGTTTAAAATCAATTGTATCGACAGTTTGATAATCATAGACTAACATGAAAAAAAAAATTAAACAATAAACATTTTTCTATGTAAACAGAGAACTTGTCATACGAGGAATATGTGCTGCATCAGAATCATCATCAATATGTAGTCGACACATGGATGGATCTAATGATAAACCAAATACTTGAATAGCCATTAATTTAACTTCTCCAATAGGCTAGAAAACAAAAAACCATTTTGCAGTGTACCATTCTATTGGAGAAAAAAGTTTCGATACTAAGTATTTTTCACTTTTATCCTTAATGATAACAGCTAAAACAAATCAGAGAAAAAATTTGAGTAATTGAAACAATTTCCTATCAGAGAAAGCACATGCCAAATATCAAGCAGTAGGTTTGGGTGAAAAAGTCTCTGAAAAATCAAGACTTCGAACACTAATTCTCTGGATTCTATCATAAGCATTTTACAAACAAATTTATCTGATAAAGAAAATATTTCTGAACAACTTAAGAAGTCTCTGAGCTCTCTACAACCTATCTTCAATAAACTGCACTCATTCTGCGTAGAATCTCGCAGAGTAAAACTTTTCTTATCTTATATCCTATCCCATAGTGATTTTCGTATCATTTGCCCTATCCTATTCTACCCTATAAATTTTCTACCCTAAACCTATTCTAAGACTTCCAAATTTTGGCATAAGTCAAGATGAAATTTTCTTCATTATGTCTCAGAATATTTTATTGATTTCCAACGATAACCAAATACAAAATTATTGCATATTTCAAGAGTTTTGTAAGAATAAAATGTCATTAGCAATATTGCCGCTTAATTTTGTTTTTTTTGTATTTTAAAACTCATCGACTGGCACTGAAAATATGTTCAGTTGCGGCTAAATTTGCCGGAACTTCTTATAGCCTTTTTTTCCGCTTTAATATAATAGCTGACTTCTTCTAAACCAGAAGGATGTCAGAAATATCTTCGAAGTAGCTTGCCAAAAAACTTCTAACAATATGAACAATATTATAATTCTACTCTTAACAATTTTTATACCAGCCTACCATATCCTAACGTTTCTTATCCTAGTCTTGCTCTACAGATAGAAAACAGTTTTTCAAGCTTATCGCAAAGTGAGTATCGTTCGCTAAAGACAGGGTGTAGAGAACTCTTGAACATCTTATTTTGTTCAGAAATATTTTCTTAGTAGAACGTTTTGATAGACTTCGGAAAACTGTTTTGAGAGTTTCAATTTTTCAGAGGTCTATTCATCCAGACCTGTTAAACGGAACTTGATAAATATTTTCGTTGATAGAAAATCGTTTTAGCTAATCAATTCTTTTCTCCGATTTACTCTAGCTGTTATCGTTAAGGAAAACAGCCAAAAATAATTCGTTTCTAAAATTTTTGCCTCCATCTTATTTATTATAAGTCTTACTGTTGTATTAATGCAACTATATGTCATTGGTTTTGTATTCGTTGAATCAATATTATTTTTAACGGTTAATGATAAATGAGTTTTTCCCATAGTTGTATTATTTGAAGAAGCATCTTTCCAACTTGTTACACTAGAGTATAAGTTGATATACATGTGTAATGAAATATAAATAAGTAAATAACTTACAAAGAATTTTTATTGTCAATACCTAATGTATCACCATCATGTAAATGTAATTGTGCTAATGTTTGTTTTTCTTCATCAGTTTTATATTCGCGACGTGATTTACGATTATTTTTCTCCTCTAAATTTAATTTACCCATACGAACTTGTCTTAAAATTTGGGGATCATCATGTTGATAATAATCATAAAATAGACTTTTTTTTAATTCAAATAATGTAGTATTTTTTGATACATGTCGTGTAGTTTGTAAACGTGATGCATGAATATGTGCATCAGAAAAACCATAGACTATATTTAACATTATTGGTTCAAATTCTTCGCCTTGTAGAACTGTATCCGGTAGGCTTGATGAATGTTTAAAAACAATCATTTGACGATAATTTGATAGATCATTTTTATCTAATGTTATTTCATCATTTGAATTTGTTAATTCGTTAATAATATGCAATTGACCAGAACGAAGTTTTTTAGCAACATAAAAATGACTTCCTATACCGTATATATCCTTAATAAAAAGAACATAATAACTTGTAGATACGTATATAAGAAAAACATTGCTTTTATTTCGGAATATCTTTAAGCATCAAACGTTGCTCAGTACGAAATACTTCTTAATACGAATTTCAAATGCCTCAAACAGGTAAAGTCATTGTCGTATTTTGAAAATCTACTAAGCCGTTAAAGATATACTTTTTGCAAAAATTTGACGGTAAGCGACAAAGATCGGATCAGTAAATGTTTCTTGGAACCGAATCGAACCCAGTCAAAACTTATAGACAATTCAATAAACGTATTATATTACTAGATTTAGGAATGTGTGCATTGATAACAATGCTCACTGAAACACTGTAACAAACCGATTCCAAAAGGGTATATTTTGATAGACTTCATGTCTCAATGTGGCAGTGAATGCGGATGTCACTATAATCAGTGCCTCAATGGACTCTGGATCAGTGACTCACTGTCAACATTTCAGTAGTTATACCAACACTGCAAATCCGTAATCAGAACTAGATGGAATTGATTTGCGTTTTCTGAAACTGAACCGAATCAATCTTGATTCGGTTTGAAACCGGATTAATTCTATCTCAGGTATATGACGCCCAACTCAGTATTTGTTGTCTTGAACTTCCGATGAGTACACCTTTAGCCTACTATACATATTGATCTCGCAGGGGCTGATAATTTCTGGTAAAATTAATCGGTTCAAACTCTTTTGTTTTCATTTTTTGAGAGATGTTTTACATCAATAAATTTTTATAGCTCGAAAGACAAATGTTCAATCTTGTAGATCTTGTTCTTAAAGTAAGCCGAATAAATATACATATATAAATGTAACAATTCTGAGCGTAATGATGATGAAAAGTGCTATTATAATGATATGGTCTGTTGTGAAACACAGTCTAAAAGAAGTGTTGAAGTATATAAGGTAGAAATCTGCACCCTGCCATACCTCAGACACACACACAGATCATAACAAATGCTAATCGAAGGTCATAACAGACGTTATTGATATATGATCAAGGACTGTATATTAATAAGATCTTTTTATCATATATGAACTCCTTCCTTATTGTATTTCTGGAGGATTACGTAAATCGATAGTGAAGAAATGTTTCTCAAAACAGATAGAATACGACAAACTTCTTGTAATTAGCAAGAGCAGCTATATCGTGTTTCACATATTAATCCCGCAGGGATTGCGCTAACAGGTTTTTTTATTAGTTAGAATCCAAACGTTGCTATGAATTATTTTATGGATTGATTCATTGTTTAAACAGGCTAGTACTTATCAAAGACAAAAATATATTGAACAGTTATGGCTTCAGATATGAATATAAAATAGAGAGTTAATACAGCTCATCAATTATTTTCAATTCTTGAAATAAATCTGTACCTCAAGATTCGAAATAAATTCATTAAGTTTTGTTCGTTTATCAAATATATGTTCACCATATTGATCAGGAAAAAGTACTTGTTCATTGTTATTTAAATTTAATCGACATGCATCAATTACTTCAAACCATTCACTTGGATAAATAGTTACTGGTAACTGATTCTGATATTTTTCATATATTTCACTATATACAAAAAGATAGAAAAAAAAAACAAATAACTCAATATGTTCATTTGAACAAGATACAAACAAGTCTACCGTTTTTCTTCTAAAATTTTATTTTTTTCTGTAATTTCTTCAATTAACCATTGCGGTATTGAATATGTAGTATCTGAATAATCCATTGTTGATCCATTTTTATTTCGATGACTCTTTAATCTATAAAATAACATATATGCACAATCATTCATTCCATAATGTCTTTGAATATGTTGTCGTGTAACACATGTTACTATTGAATCATCAAAACAAAACCAATATTCATCATTTTCATAACCATTTGTTAATGATTTATCTATTTGTGATGTTTCATAATCCATGTCAGTCATGTCACATTCATCAATATCCATTTGTTCAATTAATCGAACACGTTTATCATCAACATGAAATACTTCTGGATGACTACGAAGAAACTATATAAATCATTTATGATGAATAATTATTAAGAACTAATAATAAGAAAAAAAAAGAATATCTTTACTTTTGTAAATGCACCATTAGAACCACGAGTTCGACCACGCGGAACTGTTGTATTGTCACGATAAGTCTTAAAAAAACAGAAAATTCTTTGCTGTTTTATAATTGTGTTAATAAATATATCAATACTTTGAAAAGATCATCAATAGTAACCCAATCATCACATGATAATAATATAGTTCGAATTAAATCAATTTTGTTCATTATTTCTTCATCAGTTTCAACTGGATCATTTTGACTTGAATTTCGATTAGAACGAGAATTAGTATTTGAAGAATTACCATTTCGTGTATTCGATGTTTTTTGTTTGTTTGATGATTTTGTCTATTATAAATAATGAAAATTTAAAGATGTTTTCTTTATAAAATCTATTTTGTTCTAAATAAAACTAATATCGAATTTTATTTTCATTCAGTTTCTTTTTGTGTAAAACGCAATTGTTAATAAAAACTGAATTTCATAGAAAGAAAACTGAATCTCATTCATTTTCTGCATAGATTATGAGGTATTATATGTAATATTTTACTTTTGTAATGAAAAATATCACATAAACCATTGATTTTTATTATGAAGTTAACTTCATTGTGCTTGAACTGCATCGTTCTGTAGCAGAGGTCGAAACGGGGAAATATTTTGTTTCCTGCCTGGCCTTGCCATGTCTTTATAAGATGTTCGTATCTTTTGATCATATTATTTATTTGATAACATGAAGCAAAAAAAAGGCACAGAAACACAAAAAGGATATAGTTCAAAATCAATCAATCAATCTTTTACGTTGTTATTCTCTGTCGAACAAAGAATTAAAATATTATTAATCATTGTTGGATCTAAATTAAATCTTCTTTGGTAGCTAACTTTCGCTACTGTCGAAAACTATCTTCTAACAGCAGCTGAACTGTATGGTATTGAGTATATGCGGCATGCTAATTAACTTTCGTCCCATCGTAATCTTTTCCCGACTCGTTTAGACTTCTGGCTTGCAGATATACAGATGATAGCTTTTTATTATAAAAAAAACAGTTTATTGACGGCTAATTAATCATCTTTAACTTTTTATTGCTTATAGTGGTTTCAAAAGAATCACTCATAAAATAACTTTATAGAGTATTAGCCTGTCTAATATGCCAATAATGTGATGTGATCCACCGAATGTCCATCTCTTTCCCAAGCAGACAAACTTTTCAGAAAACGCGTTTAAACGCACAGAAATTGGCCTAAAATCAGCAAAAAGTGGACGTTTTTGGCTCACACTTGCGGTTCCCGACTGTAAGCCAAAAACATCCATTTCTCGCCCTTTTTGTGCGTTTAAACGCGTTTTCAGACAAGAAACGCTTGTACACGCATACAAAAAAGAGAAAAAGTGGTCGTTTTCTCATACTCGAGATGCATGATCATGATTACAGCAATGTTTCTGGAGTTGGGAAAACAAGACAACTTTTTTCTCTTTTTTGTACGCGTGTACACGCATTTCTTGTCTGAAAACACGTTTAAATGCACAAAAAAGGGCGAACAATGGATGTTTTTGGCTCACAGTCGGGAACCGCGTATGTGAGCCAAAAACGTCCACTTTTTGTGGATTTTGGGCCAATTTCTGTGCGTTTAAACGCGTTTTCTGAAAAGTTTGTCTGCCTGGGTTACGTAGGATTGTTTAATTGGTCTAGTGACCGCATGATGGAGATTCCATGCCATTGTAGAAATAGAAAAAGAAAGAAAGGAGTGAACTAATAAAAATTTATCTTCAAAGAATACATATTTTTTGACACATTTTGTAAACTAAACATCTACGTTGATTTGAAACATTTTATACACTTTGAAAACATTTAACTCATAATAAATACTATTTCAACTTCTCAGGAGTTGAGGTTTATAGTACATATAATTAATTGTGTTCTTAATTATCTTTCAGCTGTCCAATAATGGTTCCATAGCCAATTGTATGCCTTAGTATGTGTAATTCGCCGAATTATCGTGAAGTTTTTGAAACATGTTTAACTCACTAGTGAGTTTAAATGAGAAATAAGTACGGTTCGTAGAGTATACTTTAAAGCTACCAAGAGCATATAACACAATTCATTTTTCTCTTATATGTCTCCGAAAATAGAGAAAATACGATCAATATAAATGAGTAATACCCTAATAGAAAATTATCTTGTGTTTTATAGCACTGCTTTTCAATTTATTTAGAAAAAATTTCACCCACTACTTAGCGTATACTAACAGTATACTGATGGTGGTATTTTAATTCATTATAAAAAGCTTAATGGAAACTATCTATCTAAATGGCGTGATAGTAAAAATAAATATATACATTCCACTGATATTTGATCTATTCTTCAACTAATACCATAATAATAAGATTTTGGTAAAAACTATTTGTTATGATATATGATGGTAATATTAGATTACAGTTTGTCTTCGATGTGTATCATCTTTTTATTCTAATCTCCTCGAAATACCTAGCCATCTTTACGTATTAGCATATCCTAGTTATTCACATTCAATTGCATTCGTTGAATTCATGTATCAAACACTTTTTTTCTTCCACTCTTCTTTATTCAAATAATTCATGAACTTATTTACAGCAAGATCAGGGATGTCCTCCCGATCTTAAGAAATTTTCGTTTTTTCCTTAGCAAAACTCCAGCGTTTTATTCGTTTTCTTTCTTTAACAATGTTCAAAAAAAAAACGTTCGATCTCCCAACCCTAACGACTTTGGAACACCTCCGAGCATGATACAACGATTTGAAATAATTTTAATTGCTTAGATTTTGTTTGATTTAATCATATAACGAAAAAATCATATGATGCTAGATTCGGAGAATCACTTAAGTAAAAACTTAATGAATTTGTTTCTGTATTCTTCTTCTATCAATATTACTTTATTGTATACTCTAATATGTATAGACAGGTCGACATTAAGACAAACAGAACATTAAGAAATGAATCCATATAAAAGATTAAATGTGATCTAATATTACCGTTACTTATCATAACAAATAGCTCTTATCAAAATTTCATTATTATGATATTAGTTGAAAAATGGATCAAATATCAGGGAAATTTAGAGCTTTGTTTTTACTATCACGCCATTTGGAGAGAAAACTTTTTGTGAAGAATTAAAATGTGCAGGTCAAGAAATGCAGAGCGTTTTCGGATCGAAAACTCGGAAAATGTTAAGAACTGAGAAGCAGGTATTCGGTAGTCAGCTCTACCCAGTTACAACTAGAACTAGAAAAATTCGACCATCGGAATCATTAATCTGGGTACCTACGCCATTAATTTTATTATGCCCTAAGTATAACTTGATTTGTCTCTGTTTCTATTAAGTTTTTGAAAAGTTTTCAGTTTGGTTTCTATTTTGAAAGAATTGAATTATGTTCATCTGTAATATAAATTAAATAGATTTTTCATCAGATTTAAATCTTCCTCTCGAATGTGAATGTCTTACTGCAGGTGATGACGGTGGTGGTGGGCATATCCAACATCCAATATGATCGATATCTTTAATATAACCATAATAATGCCCTGAATAACATGTACCCTTATGAATAACAACAGCAAATAATTCATAATTTGTTTCGATCACAGAATCCTGAAAGAAAAAAAACAAACCAAATTTCTAATAAAAGAAATCTAGTATACTTTTATCATACTTCACAAAATTCCTTTAAATCGATATCAAAAGGAAATTCATAACGTGTTGTTTTTTTCAATCGATTACCCGTTTTAATATCATAAACAAATCGTTGTAATGGAAATGTTAAAATCGGTGGTAATTTACTTATTTTAGCCCACTATAATATACAGTGAAAGATAATATCATTCTTTTTTTGTGTTTTCAAGGTATTTACTTTTTCAGCATCACATAACATATTTGCACATGATGAACATCGATATTGATTATCGCCAATTAAGTGTTCATGAAGAGTAAACATATTTGCTAATGATGTATGTAAATTTGGACTATCTTGTACAACCAATGGTAAATCTTGATAATCTTCCTTGAAACAAAAACATAGAACTATTAATAAAAACAAAAGAATTTTTTTCAAATAATATCTTACTATTCGTTTAAAAACTTTCTGACATTGTTTACATTGTGTATAATTAATTGTCGAACCTTCATAACAAGAATGTATCAAATTTGATTGTTTAGTACCTTGTAAAGATTTTTGTATGGCATCAAATAACAAACGATTAAGTTCATGAACATCTTGATGATCAAATGTCTATATAGAATATAAAATACAGTTCTATTCGTACATAGAACAAGACAAAAAAAAATACAAACTTCATTCGATTGCCAACCAAAACTATCGGTTAATCGAATTGATGAGCATGCTTGTTGATTAAGCAAAAGCATTTCAGCAAAAAGACGTTGTAATTCAACAATTATCTTACGAACCTATTTGAAGAAAAATATTCACATAAATACCCAAACAGAAAGCTTAATATTTTACTTTCAAAGTACTTCCACTGGACGGAGTTTGACTTGAATCATTAGAATTTGATAGGAGATTAAGATCTTTAGCAGATAGACGGAAAAGAGGTTCTAAAGTAAAATATGTCAATCATTTAAGTGACATGTTAAATTTACAAATCATCTAATAAAATATTTTGATTTTAACTCTTTTCTTCTCATAAGATGCTTCCTTGAACTTCCATCAATTGAATATATCAATGATAGTAGTTCTACATTGAGGTGGAAGCGATAACCGGGTCTCTCGATTCGATCCGTAGTTTTTTATCCAGATTTTCTCTTTCGATGAGGTAAGTTCAAACTGTGGGAGAGCGAACATATGTTTTTAGAAGCATCGACACGTAGTACAATAATCACAAACATCGGGAGAGCCAATCCAATTTTCGATGAGGAACCGGTCTTTCGGCTCCCATGTTGGATACCACATTGCTGGTCAGATTTCTCGAGCCTTACATCGAACTTTGACTCCGTCAGAGTTACATCAGTAAAACAATCGATTGATTTTTTCTTACATAATAAGCAATTTATTCTTTATATTTTACATAATAAAGAAAACTACATTACTTTATAGATTGATGAATGAATTTCAAGAAAAAAAAACATTAAAGAGACATTCTCATTAACAAGTAGTACTAAAGGAAGCATCTATGATAGTCAAAAGAAAAATTTTCCGAGGTTCTCGGAGTCAAAAAGTTTCACTTCATAGAGCTCTAACAGTCTAATCGATTCCATCTCTAGTTTTACTCTTAGGTATACAGTTGCATTTCAATCATTCACCGTGTCTTTTTTCTTCCAGTAGTATTGAAGCTCATTTAAAAAAATGGTTACTAAATGAGCTCTAATATAAATAAACGAACATCACCAATTGTTCGACTGTCATATGGTGATTATATGATACCATGAAAGATGTTTAGACTATTATAAGTTTATGTAAAGAATTCGTTTTTGACATAAATGTTTTTTGTAATACTGAGGAATGAAAGATTTTTGCTTTTTAGTACAAGAAAACTGTATCACCTTGAGAGATTGAATTGACCTGAGTTCGATTGCTTTGCAATCACTGATATCGTTAAATAAGAATAGATTTAAATGTTTCGATTAATACTTGAGATCTTTTCGTTACTTACCACGAAATTCTGGTGTAAAAAGTAATGTTTGAATGAGAGCATTCAAATAACTAAAAGAACTCATTTCTTATAAATACATTTAAAAGAATCATATCTCACCAAGTAGCTCCTTGATTTTGTAAACCACATAAATTCGTTTCATTTCGTGGTGATAAAGGTTTTTCAACCGTTGACTTTGAACCTGTATTGGCTGTTCCTTGATAATAAGCTGTACGTAAGTAAAAAGAAAATCTTTTATGAATACATAAAACTTCATTCAATATTTAACTTACGTTCTCCATCTCCACCATCGTCATCAAAGAGACCTTGCAACATACTATTATCAATCTAAAAATCTAAGCTCAAATATTTGGATAATCAACAGTGCATGAAAAAAGAACGAGGAGCCTTCCTAGTCATCTTTTTTTCAATCACCGCATCACAATAAGAAAAATAGGAAGTTATCAATGTTCGTTTAAGTAGGACAAAAAGAAAAAACTTAATGATCAGGAGCTTCTTTCGTTGTTTCTACAAATTTCTTGTATTGATCTTCATTCATTAATGTTGTTGCCATATCCTTTTTAGCTTTTTCATCAATAACAGCTTGTACAAGCCAACCATCTTCATATGGACTTTTATTAATTAAATCAGCTTCATTTTTTAATTTCTCATTTATACCAGTTATTTCACCATCAAGTGGCATATAACAATCGGAAACGGCTTTAACTGATTCTAACGTTGCAAATGTATCATCACGTTTGAATTTTGTACCAATTGATGGTAATTCACAATAAACAACATCACCCAGTGCATGTTGAGCATAATCACTTATACCAACACGAACTTCATTTGATTTTTTATTTAGGTCAAATAATTGTACCCATTCATGTTTTTTAGTAAAATAACGTTCATGATAAGCACATTTTGTTAAATGAATTTGACGTCTTGAAACATATTGAATAGTTCGGCGAAATAGGAATGTTGATAAAGTGGACATCTAAGATAAAATTAAAAACTAGTTTAAAGTAAAAAGATAAGAGGCAATAGTAAGCATTCGATTTTAGTACATACGTGTTATAAATAAGAAAAAATATTTCGAAGTGATTCGTTTTAACGGCAGCCAATGATTTATTAGAATGAGTCATCGATAAATAGAATATTTGGTAATAAATATTAACTTATGTTTTCTTTTTGTTTTCTAGTTCCATATCGTATTGAGTCATTATTCTTACATATATTTCGTAATGTCTTTCGTAATAAAATATTTTTGATTTCGAGGAGGCGATTCTTTTTCTTTTTTTTGCTTGCTGAGTTAATATTTAAATAGTCAACGAAGATTTTTTTTTCTTATCTGTAGACATTTTCTCGTCAAGAAAATTTTTCATGGCGTTATTTAAACAATTTAAATTATTCGTTGATAAAGAACTTGATCATTGTTTACAAAGTGTTGTTCGTCCATTTACTGAACATGTCTATTTCCCTGAAACACCTATCGATCCACTTGAAATAGAGAGTATGCGTTAAATAATATTCTTTAAAGAAGAAAATTTTCATTTATTTTATTATTTCATTAGAACATCATCATGATATTCAATTACAGAATTTATCCATTTCTGATACACTTGCCTGTGCGACTTGCCAAGTTCAATTTACTGATCGAACAGAACAGGTTTTTTTATACATATATAATATATATCCATAAAAAATCGTTCTATTGTCATTTTTATTTAATAAAATTAGACGCTTCATTTTAAATCTGATTGGCATCGATTTAATCTCAAACGAAAACTTCGTAATCAACCTCCATTTTCATCGGAAAAATTTGGGGATATGGAGAGTAGGTTAAATAATGATTTTATTCATTTATTTATTTACTTCATTTGTTCGTAGAAGATATATCAAGTATATCAGGAAGTGATTCATCTAGTGGTGAATTAAGTGGAAATGAAGGTTCACTAACTACATCTTTAGATGGTTCTTATAATACATGTGCTAGAAATAATCCAAAAATTATTTTAACACTTAATGATGGTCGACATTTATCATTATATCGATGTATTTTACATGGAAAAAAGGTATTAAAAGTTTGAGCATTTTCAGATAAAATTCAATTCATCAGAGAGTCAATTAAATTTCTGTAATATGAAGTAAAAACCAAATGTTTCAAATTGATTATGTTTAGTAGTGTAAGTCAATGGGAAAAAAAATTTTCGATTTCGGAAGTTTCGAAGTATACTAGAAAGAAATATGATGATTTTATTCGCGAAAATTAAATATCGACAACAAAAACTGTCATATATCAAATGTTAAGGTTCGAATAATAATGAGCGTCTTCAACACATTAATTCGGTAACGATGGTCGCAGAAATCGAATCCCTGTAGTATCAACGATAGTAAATTTTTTATCACCAGATTTTTTCAGCATTGTTTTAACATTCTTATTTCTCAGTCAAGTATTTATGATGCTTCGGATTGATGACAATCTCACTCTCTCGTGTTTCCTGCTGTCAATCATACCAATTAGTTGAGAGCGTCATTGACTTGAGTAAGAACCCAAGTATTGTGTACGAAACAAACAATATATATATCTATGCAAAGTCATTCGTTAGCGACGTGATTGAGTACGAAAACATGCTCTTCTAACTGAATGAAAAGTTCAAGGTCAATTCAGAATAGTATAAATCCTTCTTCAGAATCTCTAGATGATGGCAAGACGAAAGTTTTTGTTTTGAAACTTGCTAGAACCTCTAGAAAATCGTTTTTTCAAAAGAAGTTATTTCTCATACGGTTAGAGAAGTATTCTTTAATCCCTTTTTAATTAACACTTAGCTGAAAGAGTCAACATTTTTACATATGTCTATGCTTATAGCACTTATTCGGAAAAATAACCCTTATAAAGAATCGAAAGGTGACTATGTTCCATTGTGCCTGAAATAGCTCACATATATTACAATAATAACTCAGTAGAAAATACTTTTAAATGAATATGTAGTTTTTCTACAGATAAATGCTTTGACCATATATTAATCTGTTTGATTTGTGGAAATGAACTGCCGAATGTAGATGAGAAGTTGTATGTATCGTGTAGAAACTCCCGAAAAGAGATAATGAAAGATCACAGCTCGAAGACAATTGGTGATAAAATAAAATCAATCCATCGTACTCGAGACTTTATAATTAGGAAGTGTTCATTAGTTGAAATTTCGCTGTAATCAATATAAATATCTTTATTCATGTAGAATCTTCCTCAAGAATCTCAAGAATTGATATTAACTGCTCAACGACTTCCATTATGTATTCATTGGTGTATTGTCATGGCTGCTGGTGGTCATTTTGCAATAGCAATATTTGAACGAGATAAAATTATTCAACACAAAACATTTCATAAATATATAATACGTGCTAAACAAGGTACAGCACAAACGGCACATGATCAAAAAACTGGTGGTAAAGCTCGATCAGCTGGTGCAAATTTACGTCGACAAAATATGCTTCATTTAAAACAAGTAAAAATAAAATTTCATTTTTCTATTAATCTTCTTTTATCATTTATAAAATAGAAAATTCAAGAACTTTTTATAACATGGAAAAATGAAATTCAACAGTGTTCATTAATATTTGTTCGAGCACCAAGTTTTAATCAACAATTATTATTTGGTGATAAAAATCCACCATTATCAACACATGATCCAAGGTTTAAATAAAAAATTTTTCATTGATGAAATTTATAATTTATAATTCTTTTTGGTCTAGAGTTCGATCGATACCATTCGCTACACTTCGACCAACATTTAATGAAACAAAACGTGTTTATGATCAATTAACAAAAATGGAACTTTATCGTAGGATAAAATTCAATTTCTTTTATCTTTGATATTGAATTATATTGATTTTCTAGCTGAAGATTATCAATTTCAACAAATTGAACAAGAAAAAGTATCAACTACACAAACCAAATTACCAACACCAATAGCAAAGAAAATGACTGTCGATTCATCATCAGATTCCGAAGATAATTCTGGTTAATAGTTTTTTTCTGATCAAAGTTTAAATTCTACTTTTTGTTGTTTAAAAGTAGATGATGAAACAAAACAGTCCTCATTCAAACGAACTCAAAAAAAACAACCAACTATAGTCACTGCAACTAATGATCGAAAGATATTACGTAAGTTAAACGTAAAATACAGGCAAAGGATTTAGAAACGCAGTATTTTTTACTTTTCTCTTTAACAATAATAGCTAGAACAAACCAGAGAAAAGATTTGAGTTACTAAAGTAATTTCCTATCAGAAGAAGTACTTGTTCAAATCACATTAACAAGTTTGAATGAAAGAACCTCTGGAAAATCAAGATTTTCAAAACTAGTTTTCGGTATTCTACCAACAACGTTTTGCAAACAAGTTCATCTAGTAAAGAAAACATTTCTGAACAAAATAAGATGTCTTCCAGCTGTCTAGGACTTATCTTTAGTAAACTGTACTCATTGTACGAAAGACGAAACACAGTCGATTCATACAAATTTTCATAAAAACAAAGAAAACAGATTTTTAAGTTTTTCGTAGAATGACTGTAGTTGGTAAAAGGCATATCGTAAAGAATTTGGGAGATCAAATCGTTTTCTCTATCGGTCTGAATTTGTTTGCGAAACGTGTTTCATATGCTCTAGAAAACTGATTTTTGGAGTCTTGGTTTTCCAGAGATCATTTTATCCAAATCTGTTAATGGAAATTGAATAAATACCTCTCACGATAGAACCTTTTTTTAGCCAATTCAATCTTTTCAACACTTTGTTCTAGCTGTTACTGCTAAAGAAAAACGTTACAAATACTTCGTTTTTAATCTTTTTACTGTCAACTTAATTCTGATTTTTCAAAATAACTCTCTATGTTTTACTTAATTAGCTGCCGAAGATTTATCGACATTCAATGAATTATTTACTGCTTGTCGTCTAAATGATATTCAACGATTTGATGATCTTATTGCTCGATTACGTGCTATAAAATTTATCGATAAATCTCCATCAATTATAGATATCCTTAATTATCAAACAGCGGGTAGTCTTGATACACTGTTACATATTGCAAGTGAACGTGGACATTTGAAAATTATTCAACGTTTATTACATGAAGGTGCTACTCCAGCATTATCGAATCAACGAGGAAAATATCCATATAATTTATGTAAAAATAAGGAAACAAAAGATGTATTTCGTCTATTTCGACATGATCATTCAGATAAATATGATTATACACTTGGACAAGTTGCACCAAGTATAAGTATTGATGAATTAGAACGACAACGAACTATTGAACGTGAACGCCGTCGTCAAACAAAAA